TTTATTGGACAAATTCCTGAATGATAAGGTTAGGCAATGTGCAATATTGTCTTTGTGAAGCATATTGTGCAATCATTGGAGTGCAGAACTAGTTCAATAACAGCTCCCCTTGAATGCTTCACATTATCCATTCAGTGCTTCTGTTCTCTGTGCTCACATTAAATTCTCCTGTTGGATTATTCCTTGGACCAATTCATTGGATCACGTTACGTGAATTGTCTTAGAGGTAGAAATCTTCATGATTTGTTTTAGAAACTGGGATTAGTCAGTTTCATCCAAATGTTCTGCTTTACTGGCAGTCTGTTATGTTCTCTATTGATATTATTCCACAGACATTGTCTGTTCCCAGAATAGCAGTTTGAGTTAAAGCAAGAGGAAAGTTCACTTAGGGTACATTATGTTGCTGGCAACCTGTCAGTATCAATAGACTTTAGCTAAAAGGTAAAAACAGAGAGAAAATTATTTCAGCACCAGACCCACAGTATGAAAGAAATAAAAGTGTTCAGCAGAATGAGTGGAGTAATAACAATAATAATCCTTGCATTTAATATAGCATCTTATCACGTCTTCTAGACAACTCAAAGCGCTCACAGAATGTACTGTGAAGTGAATTGACTATGTTTTTTGGGCGAAACATACAACAACAACATGATCAACAAAATTACATTTGTGAAGCGCATTTCATGTCAGGAGGACATCCCAAGGCGCTAGACAAACAGAGTTAAGGAACCGAGGACATGAGCTGCAGAGTTCTGGCTAATCTGCAGCCTATGGAAGGGGGAGTTGGGGAGGCCGACAAGCAAGGAGTTTACATAGTCGAGCCTCGATTTAATGAAAGCATATATGAGGGTTTTGGCGACCTGCAGTGTGAGACAATGGCGGAGCCGGGTGATGTTGCGGAGGTGGGGGAAGGCAGATCAGGTCATGGCGCAGATGTGGGGTAGAAAGGATAGTTGTGGGTCAAACAACATGCCAAGGTTCCAGACTGGCTTAGCAAGGTGGAGTGTGCAACCATGGATGGTGATGCTAGAGATGGGAGGTAGTTTGGGAGTAGAGAAGGGTTGAGGGAGGGTTTTTTAAGGATAGGAGTGATGATGGCGGTTTTTAGTGGGGTGGGAACTGTACCAGAGGACAGGGAGAGGTTTATGACGTCATAAACATAAGTGTAGTAAGTGCTTGTTGTAAGGATTGTTTAACATAACTGAATGCATTTCACAAGATTATCTATTGTCTCCCTGAAGACCCAATGGCATTATTGTTTAATCTTTACTCAAGTGAAAGCAACTGGTTTATTCTGCTGGAGAAAGAACACTGAGCATGATGATAATGTGGACACTCGTGTCAATACGGGCGAAGAGGAGGGTCTTGAGGTGGCTCTTGAAGAAGGCAAAGGAGGGGGCGAGATACAGGGAATGTGGGATGGAGTTCCAGAGGGTAGGGGCAGAGTGGCAGAAGGCCCGCCTGTCAATAGTGGGGCTTGTGAGGTGGGGGGACATGAAGCAGGCCGGAGCCCACTGAGCGGAGGGAGTGGGCAGGATGGTAGCGGATTAGGAAGTCACAGAGGTTGGCCAAGAAGATTGAAACAACAGTTTTCTGAATGGCAGCCTTATGTGAAAGAAATGTTTTAAGAATGGATAAAATTAAGAAAATAGTTGATATTGATCTGAATATGAATTAAGTCCTGCAGCTTGCAGTGTGTCGCTGGCCTTTCAGGTAAAACTGTTGCATATCTCTGAGTGGCCCATCTCCAGCCAGACATGTTTGGTGGTTGAAGAGGCATATGGTGTATTGGGGTTATGAAAGGCGCATGCAATGCACGATTGATTAAAATGAAATTAAAACAGCAAGAAAAAAAATTATATTATTTATTGAACGGAGATATTGATGGAGAATACTTCGCTTAAAATTTAAAGCATGTTTATAATGGTTTCCGGAAGTAAATGTGATTGTTCCACCTAACACAACAGATCTATTGATCCTGGCTGGCATTAATGGGTGCTGTAACAGTCAAGGAAGACTGAAGTACAAACCATTAGGGATCTGCAGCTAATTCAAAAAGCTCTTTTTGGTACGTTATAGGACACTAGCAGAGGGAAGATGGAAAAAAAAATTTGCTCAGATTATGTTAGCTGTGTGTCCATCTGGCCATGTATTTAAAAACTAATCATCCCTTGTCCCAAGGAGTCACAATACTCAGTTAGCTGCATGCAAATCTGCTAATCCGATCATGAATCAATTTCAGTGCTGGCTAATATTTGAGGCTGTGAAGGAGGAACCTAGTCTGAAGTATTTCTATAAACCAGTGGATCTTATTACAATGCCTGGGGAAATAATCGGTGCTCCAGAAATTTGCTTCAAATGGAAATTCACTATTAATAGGACTGTATTGTACTGTATTACATTGTATGTCATACCACATTACTTCATTGTGTGACTGAATGCCTGAAGCTCAAATGTTTCTGCTCTTTTACTGGATTCCAGCAGTAGAAATACTGTCTTGGATTATAAAAATTATATTTTGTAAATTAAAAGAGATGGGGAAATACAGGAGACAGAGATATTGACAGAATGCCCTCTGTGACATGAAAAAGTTGTCATCCCCCTGTAGCTATGACATTTCATGTTAAGAAATGCACCATATCAGCAAACCCCCCCCTCATTGCAGATTCATGAGGTTCAGGTTCAGGAGCTCTGATGGGGAAAGCGTAAATATCGGCTGGAGGTTGGAGCTTATAATGGAGCTTCAGCGGGTACCAGAAACAAAAGATTGTTTTAATCAGTGGTTTGTAATAGCAGGGTTTGTTTCATGAAGCATTGGCTGTAAAAGAAATCAGTAATTATAGGACTCTGGCAAACAAAAAAAAACTGAGGCTGAAGGTTAGATATTTAGCAGAATAAGTAAGGTTCATTGAAACAAATAAGGTTCCATTTGAAAACGCTGTTAGTTGAAAATATGACAACTATGTTCTTTTGCAAAGTCAAGCCATTCCTTTTGTCGTGTGGTTGATACCTTAAGAGTAGATGTATTTCACACCAATAAACTAGCCCTAAATGTTAAACTCTTACTTTTGGATATTAATCACACAGCATAAACTGGGACATGCAACCTGTGGTGATCATTGCTTTCAGGGTACAGTGCCGAGATGAGAAGTGGAGATCACTCCAGCAGCTGAAATTAAAGGCTATCGCGTTATGACTAAATGTGTTTTCTTTGCTTGCTCAATAGAACCCTGGTGTTTTCTTCAACAAGCCTCATCTGGTTCAGATTAAGATTTTCAGCAAACATATATGTCACATTTTCATTTAATAAATTAAAGGCTGAAAGTGCACAAAAATGTTTATTTTGTAACTAAAACAATTACTTTTGTAGATCCGGACCCAAGCAACCAGATCAAACATTTGTACTGGGTTGCACCACACCCATAATGGTTGACCTGGGAATAAAATAATTACTTGGTTTAAAATTGTATAATGTCAAGGTTTAAAAGCTGTCAGTCAGTCGTACGAACCATCAATTACACAGACCTAACATGACCCACGTTTTCCAATTCATGAAGGAAGTGAGCGGATGTATCAAGACAGCAATTACAATGAGGAACTAGGATATGATTATAAGACCAGGAAGCCACAAAATATTTCATGAAATAACATCTTCATAACTGGAGCGAGGAATGTAGAGTTGACTGTCACTGGTGCCTTGGATGATAAACTCAGTAACGCATTGATGTCTATTCTCATAGTTTTCCCAATTCAACAGGAAGCAATGATATAGCATAAGTCCTGGGCTATCTGAGTGGACTGCATAGTCTCATTTCTACCTTGACTTTCCAATTTTCTATTAAATGGCTGAACTGAACACTCGGCAGCCAGTTTGCACACAGCAATGTCCCACAAATAGTCACAAGCAGATGTCTTTCACATGAGAAAATCCATCTACATCCTTAAAAGGATCCAAACTAGGCAGAGTCCACATGTTTATGCCACCTACAGATGGGAATTTCCCCATCTCTGGAATGGAACTTGCACTCTCTGTCTGAATGGATGCACTCTGCTTACTTATTCTGGAGAGTATTAGGCGCAGGTTGGCAAGAGTCAAGACTCGGGGCCCAGATTGTGCATTGGGATAGTACTGGAGTTTAACTAACTGAAATCCATAGCTTGCCTCCTGCTCCTTCTCCTTATCCAGTTTTGACCACCATATACATTAGAGCTTTGGTTTGGAGGATTAACTGGTGCCGGGTGAGAAGAATCCCTGCTTTCAGGGACTAGTCTGCCCCTCCTGTTAATACCTGATCTGTCACTAGAGGTGCCCTGGAGTACTGCGGACCTGTCTGACTCAGGAACCAGACCACTGAGGCATCCACATCAGATTGACTTTCCATTGTCAAGCGTGCTACCCCTACTCTTCCCAAGGAATCAGCAGTTTTTATGGGAGCTCCACTGATTTCAAGGGCAAAAGCCTTATTACTAGAGTTGTCACTGTGTCAAGGGGAAGTTTTGTTTCCCTAGTCAAGTAATTAGACTTACCACTGAGACTTATAAAAGTAAAACATTGATGTCTGGAAGTGCTGCATACCAGCAGAGCTGTGATTGAATTACACAAACCTTGGTGAACCCCACAAGTTGATGATTCAGGTTATTATTGATGAAAAATGCAACAGTTAATTTGCAAAATTTCCCACCTGTGGGAAGCTTGACCCAGATGTTGTTTGCATCAAATTGTGGATCCCCCTGGTCAGCCTGAAATATTTCCACTTACAAGGAGTTCCCATTTGCACAACTCAGATTCCTTATCCAGGAATCCTGTCAAGAAATGCCAACATATTAGTCCCAATTGTTACAAAAAAACAGAATAAAAAAAACTTACATTTGTTAACATACTAAACAGTTCATCTTCCTTGCATATGGAGTAGATAATAACAACCACAGAATAATTGGTACATCTTTTTAATCGTTGCAAAAAAAGATATATATGACTGGAACAAAGTTACGTTAAATAATTCTTTAATTACAAAGAATCATCACAGTTTCTTGGACTTGGTCCTCTGTTATGGTACATGTATTCTCCTGATATTGGGGTTTAAAAAGCATCTATTTTTCTCATGGGATTTCTTAATAAGGCATTTGAGTTACAAATGAGGGCTTCTTCCATTTACTATCAATACATAAAGGGACCTGAGGCACCGTGCTCTGACGTGATTTATTCCAAGCGCAGGGCTCGGGAGTAAAAATCCCAATTAGAAATGAATGCATTTTAAACCCCCATCGTCAACTGGTTAAAACAATTTATGACATTTCCTAAAATAAAGTCACGTTTTTTCCTCTGTTGATCTATTTTATCACTCAAATACAAATTATTCTTTCAACACCAATATGCTCCTGGCATGGCTGAACTTTTCAGTTCTGTGTTTTCTAAATGCTTCTTTTTCCTAATATTTATAATTCTGAATGAGAAACTGTTACAGTTTAATACTGAAAATTGTGCAGACAAATGACAGCATGATACACAACTTATATCCTGTAGAACTAGAATGAAAGCATTCAGTTATGGTAATGGCATTATGTTTGGATCCCGAATAGCTGTACCGTTATAACTGCTGCAGGCTCCTTCACCCGTAAAATGTAACATTTTGTATACCACCAAACTCCAACATAGACATTTCATCCAAAGTGGGCTTTTGGTAATCCTTGGAATCCTGTCTTCCAATACTGTGAAGAGCAAGGAAATGGCGACAGTCTGGAATATTTCATCCAGAAGTCTGAGTCATAAAGAAGTGAGCTTGATGAGACAAATGGTCTTTCTGCACTGTTAAAATGTCTTGTTCCTTTTCCGTATTGCTTAACTCATCTTGTTTTACTCTGGTCTTCGTGTGGCAGTGAAATGACCTGCTGCTCACTGTTTGCACATGTTTCAGGCACAGTGTTGACACTACTGGTGCTGGTTTCACTCATTTCTTCTGAATACGGCTTGCTCTGTAAATATTTCTGTTGCCTGAAAATCAGAATTTGGGCGATAAAACCCATGTAGCGACACTTGATTAGTGTAGAAGAACAGAACAGTGTTTTTTTATACAATGCTAACTGTCCCCATGAAACACATATGATACTGATCCATGTATACCATTATTTAACCCTTAGAGTGCCATAGATCTTATCCACTCATCCGAGCGGTGCCAGATTTATGCCAAACAGAGGTCAGCCAACTCCCATGGAGAAGGACGGTAAGGGCATCACCTAGAGCTGCCCTTATATTCAATAGATCGGCCTTCCAGCTCACTCTCTCAATTAGAAATAATCTATTTTCTTTGGTGGCCTACATACGTGTAACTCTCAGTCTGGTTTAGATTCCCTTGAGCGTGGTGATGGGTCACTGCTTCTGGCAGTCACCCGGCTGACCAAAACATAACATTTTGAGTGATACTTGCTGCTGGTGCTGGTTTCAGTAAAATAATGAATTATGTGCATCTGATATCGCGTCTTGTGATGAGCATCTCAAAATGCTTCACACAAAGCAACTTTCATGCCAGAGGTCTTCTCAAAGCACTTCACAGGATATAGAGCAACGTGGAGTGGCTGTGTATTTTGTTGGTATGTTTCTTGCGGACGAGAATTTGGGATGAGAGAGGAATGTTGGACCGAGTAGACCCTGGGAGAACAACCCGCTGCCTTTAAAATAGGGCTGTAGAATTCGTAACATTCAGCTGAACCACAGAACAGACAGGGAGGACCTTAGTTAAAGTCTCCTCTAAAAGGGATGTCTAACAATTGGCTGCACTGTGGTCGCGGTCAGTCTAGATCATGAGATCAAGTCCTGGTGTGGATTCTGACCACACAACCTTCTGTCCCAGAGGCCAGCAAACTGGTCCAAACTCACACAAATGTTACATTTGCTCAACATTCTCGTTCTTGACAAGCATGAAACTGAATTGTAACAGTTTCCCAAACAACACTTCTTTAAGCTTTTAGGATTCGTTTTATGTATTTGAAGTTCACTTCAAGCATATTTTGTTTACTAACACCATAAGTGTGACAGAAACTGTTAAAAGAACCAGTCAATTCCTATCAAATACAATTTTGTAGTTGTACGTCTGATATACAAATACAATGTGAACAGCCATGTATGTCAAGGTTCATTGAACCCTGTCTCACTAGTAATGTGAGCGTTTCTCTACATGAACAGTTTATGTCTCTTAATGTGACATGTTGAAGGGGGACTGGGAAATATTTGTAGTTTAGAAATATACTTAAGCTATATATGTATAAAAAAATCTTTAAAATGTTTCTAGTTAAAGGGAAAGTGCCTGCTGCACTACAGTAAAACGGCTATTTTAGGGCCATTATGAATGAATTAAAAGCATGTGACAAAACAATTTTGAAAATCGCAGCAAACAGGCCACAGTTAACTAAAATTATAGACCAGCAACTTTATCTTTGGAGCTAAACTTAACTCCTTATTTTAGAAATAACTGTAGGACATGCTCACTCAAGTATCTCTTTGAAAGGAACTAAAGAAGCCTTTTTGATCATATTTCTTTTAAGTGAAAGATCATATCCAAGAAGCGTTTTGGAAACCAAGAAATAGCCTTGGATAATTCTCTATGCAAAAATGCATTGCCACTTTGTTATTTGGGGGAAAAAAATGACACATATTAGAAGCAAACTCTTAACACTTCCCAGGTTTTAGCTTCAGTTGTCCTTGGTATTATCCAGGCTCAGTTAATAGCACTCTTACCTTGAATCATAAGGTTGTTGGATGAAGCCTAAATTCAGGACTTTGAGCTCATAGTGTAGGCTGACATTCCAACACAGTGCTGGAGGAGCATTGCATTGTTAAAGTTGCCGTCCTTTGGATGAGATGTTAATTTGAGGTCCTGGTAGTCTATTCAGGTGCATGTTAAAGATCCCATGGCACTATTTGTTTCATAAGAGATTGGATAGTATATTCATAATTTCCATTCTGGTATGAAGCTCACATTATTTGGCGCAATAAATGGCCAGTAATGATTTTTGTTCTGAATTATATTTCTTGTTTTAGAGGAAATAAACTATATTACCTATAGCAGTATGTAGCACAGGCTCCCACAGAGACAAGGCAGATGAGAACCATCATGCATGCAGCAATGGCCACATTGCGTTTCTTCTCTTCCTCAACATGGTGTAGCTCCCACCACTCCAACTCACTGTACTCACACCGCTCTCCCAGGAAACCTGCCAGACAACTAGCAAAAGGACAGAAATGTTGAAACATATAAACAACTTGTAATAAATAGCACCCTGTAGGATAACCTCTTGGAGCACTGCACAATAGCCGGTTGGCTGCAGAGCTAGGAGGATGGAGAAGGGGGGCAGGCAAATGGAATTTATCTCAAGGAGCCTGGAATACAAAAGGGGAAGAATCGATGCTTCCGCTGTATAGAGGATTAGTCAGACCCCATCTGGAGTACTGCGTTCAGCTTTGTGCACCACACCTCAGGAAATATGTATTGGCCCTGGAGGGAGTGCGACACAAGTTCACCAGAATGTTACCAGGCCTAAAAGGGTTAAGTTACGAGGAAAGGCTGCATAAACTTGGACAGTATTCCCTTGAGTTTAGAAGGTTGAGGAGTGATTTGATTGAGGTATTTAAGATGATGAAGGGATTTGATAGGGTAGATACAGAGAAGCTATTTCCTCTGGTGGGGGAATCTGAAACAAGGGGGCATAGTCTTAAAATTAGAACCAAACCATTAAAGAGTGAAATCAGGAAAACAAAATTCACTCAAAGGTTGGAAAAAATCTGGAATTCTTTCCCCGAAAAGGCCGTGGATGTTGGATCCATCCACACCTTCAAGAGAGAGGTTGATCAATTTTTGGTAGGTCAGGGTATTACAGGATATGGGGAGAAAGCAGAAAATTAGAATTGAAAGGATTAGTTGAGGTACAGATCAGCCATGATCTAATTAAATGACAGAACAGGCTCGAAGGGCTGATCGGACTCTGTTTCTATGCTCCTATGACCAGAAGCACATTCAAGCAAGTAGATTTTAATGTGGCATTTGAAGATAGGAGGCGAGACAGAGGGATAGAGGCAGAAAATTCCAGAGGTTGGAAGCATAGTAACTGAAGGCTCGACCACCTTCATGATGCCTGTCTTAGTTGATCTTAGGGATAGGCAGAAGAGTGGGTTCATCGGAGAAAACGCTGTTGAAATAATACTGCCTCCAACTTATATTATCCCACTTCACTTCTTAAGACTGAGACCTTGGTGGTCAGCATAGGTTTCCGCAGTGAGAATGGATTGCTTCAGTGTAATGTAATGCTCATGACTTCAAAGATCCTCTGTGAAGCTGCACCTGTTCGATCATATACTATTGATGGATGTTCGTCACACATGGCCATCAATTATTTGGCAGATCAAATATCCAGGTTGCTGCAGTTTACTGTATTTAAACATTATGATATGTGCATTAGTCCTTCAAAAAGTGATTTATTAATCTTATATTTATTTCACTACCACATCATATGTTGTGATTCTGCACTCTAATATGATGAATAAATTATATTGTCTCTACAAAAACAACACCCCAGAATGTTTACCTATTCCCAAATCTCCATTATTTAGCTTTATCTGTCTTCTTTCCATTGATAACAACCACTAAAGGAGTACATATATCATTGTGCCCAAACAATATTTGTTCTTAAGGCTTCAATTATTCCTTAAATCCTCAATACTGTTTCACAAACTCTTTAGAAATGTCAGCTTCAAACCTGAGTCGAATCACTCCAATCATGCTATTTTTATAATGTACCCAGCAGTTACAGAAAGACATTTAATGAGGCAACACTGTCCTCTAGTGGATTTTTTTAAAAAAAACATCTATGTGACTGTCCATTTGGTGATAAAATGCATTATATGTAAGCTGAGTTTATTGAATTTATTGTGTTAATTGCAACTTCATTTTTTTGACACAAGAGAACAAATAACTATCAAGACTCTAAAGTTGGCAAAGAAGGAAAAAAAGGCTCTGCTCACCAGTTTTTTGTTAGACTTCTCTAGTCTTTTTCATAGACAAATCTGAACATATTTAATGAGGAACATTATGGTACACTGTATTTTCCTCTCCTGCATTTAATATCTAAATATGATTTCCACTTACTTGCATGCAAGGGCTCTTATTTCAGGTACATGGAAGCAAACACCGCCGTTCAGACAAAAGTCCTGGTGTGAAGATGGACAGTCCACTATTTGATCATTGGACCCATCAGTGCTGGCTTCAAATGTGGTGCTTGTGATACTTGTCCCCATCAAACCATTGGGTGCAGAGGTAGGAGAGGTGGAGACGGTCACACCTAAATTAGTTATAAGCATTTTGAGCTTCATGCAGTCTAGTATTGAGCTACGTATTACTGACAGACATACAAGACACAACTTTAGCTTTGGATTTTATGCTACAGGATTTTAAGGGACTGACAAAATCCATTTGTATCAATAATCTTACCTTCTGTTCATTCTTTTTAAGAATTTAAATCTGACATGCCTGTTATAATACTAATACTTGCATTTGATATAGCACCTTATCATGTTATTGAGATGTCTCAAAGCGCTTCACGGCGTATACAGTAAAGAGATTTTGACTGTCTATTTTGTGAGCAAAATGTGGTAGCCAGTTGCACACAACAATATCCCATAAACAACCATGGAGTCAGTGACCAATTACATTTGGAGGATTGTTGGCCAGGACACCGGGAGAAATTCCCTTCTATTGTCAAATAGTGCCATAGGATATTTAATGTCCACCTGAAAAGGCAGATGGGACCTCAGTTTAACATCTCATCCGAAGAACTGCAACTCCAACAATGCAACACGAACCCCAGCACTGCATTCGAATGTCAGCTTAGACTATGTGATTCTGAGTCCCGATATGAGGCTTGAATCCACAACATTTTGACTCAGAGGCGAGAATGCAACCACTGCATCAGACTGGCTCACGATGTACTGTAATATCCCTTCCATTGCAGCGCAGCAATTCGGAGTGAGGCACTAGATTTTATTTTCCATCTAGAATTGTTCTCACTAAGCACTGAGGAGAGCACTTTACACGCACAAAAGTGTATCAATAACCATTTTTTCTGCCATCAAAATCCTCTTACAAATATATCTCTTTGAGTATACCTTTGATCAATATCCTCAAACTCCTAAACGTTCCTCCCTCCATGGTAATTCACATCATCGGTGTGAAGCACTTCAAAACATTCAATTTATATGAAAAGCATAATATAAATGCAAGTTGTCATTAATGTTATTAAATTGAGAGTTGAGAGTACAAATTGCTGGGCAGTAATGAGATTGAAGCATGTGCTGTCCAAGAGCAGTATAACTCCTCAACCTCCCTGGGCTCTACCTCAGACTCACTGAAGTAATGCACAACTAAGGCGTCTGGTTCAACCCCCAGCTGTCCTTCCTCCACCACATCGGGTCCCTGACCAGGACCGCCTTGCTCCACCACATTGCCCGCCTCTGACTGTACCTTACCCCAAATGCAGCTGAAATCCTCGTGTATGCGTTTGTCATCTTCTGCTTGGATTACTCCAACGCACTCCTCGCCGGTCTCCCCAGCTCCACCATTCACAAGAATCAGCTCATTCAGAACTCTGCTGCACGCATACTGACCCGGACCAAACTCCGTACCCACATCTCACCATTTCTGGCCAGGCTCCACTGGCTCCCCATCACCAAATGGTTCAAGATCCTCACACTCATGTTCAAATCCACTCACTCCCTGGCACCTCTCTACCTCTCTGACCTCCTCACTCTCCAATCCACCACCCGGTGCCTCCGCTCAACTGCACCGGCTTCCTGCTCGTCCCTCACACCCTCTGCCCCACCATCGGAGGTCGTGCTTTCAGCCACTACGCTCCAAAACTCTGGAACACTCTCCCTCAATCCCTCCGCCTTGCCCTCTCTCCCCTCTTTCAAATCACACCTGAAAACTTTCCTCTTCAACTGTGTTTACTGCCACCTCCCTCCTCCCCCCAGCTTAGAGTCAGGCTCCACCACTCTTAAGTGCTCTGAGACTCTAGCCTGCATGGAGGGTGCTATATAAGTGAAAGTTGTTCTTGTATTTTAATGGTAATTAGTTGGATTCTGAAACTATTTCAGTGGAGGAGAATTCCATTCTTAAAATACACTATGACATATATGGCAGATTCATGAAACATTTGGACTTACCAACACAATTGGAACCCATCCTAGAAAATCCTTTCTTGCATTTGCAGGTGTAGTTACCGTCTGTATTTTCGCACATAACATCTTCATCACAATGGTGTAACTGAGCTTTGCATTCATCGATATCTGCAAGGCCAACAACAGATATCAAGTTCTGAAATGTATGTCAGTCTCTGCAAGTCTTCAAAGGTCTTGTTCCCCCCTATCACTCAGATCTCCTAACCCCCTACCACCCTTTTCGCTCCCTCCACTCAGCGGGCTCTGGCCTGCTTCACGTCCCCCACCTTGCTCGCCACACAATCGGTGGGCAGGCCTTCCGCCACTCTGCATTCAGCGTCTGGAATTCCATCACACTCCGTCTCGCCCCCTCCCTCGCCACCTTCAAGACCCACCTTAAGACCCTCCTCTTCAACCGTGCTTTCGATCTCTCTGCTTCCCTCCCTGCCCTTCCCCCGTCTATACCCTGACCCTCAGCTCGGGTCCGTGACTCTGTCGGTCCATTAACGCCTTGGGACGTCCTCCCGACGTGAAAGGTGCTATACAAATGTAATTTTGTTGTTGTTTTATGTTTTATTTAGATGGATTTTGGAAAAAAATACATGTCATATTGACGGATACATGGGTACTATTCAAGGATATCAGATCTGTGTGTTTGAGTGTTGAAAATACTGTCAGGGAAAGTTATATCAAATAAAAGTGCTAAATACAGTCAATTATCTTTATTGTTAAATGATTCATAAGAGCTTTTTCAACAGATCAACGATTTTATTTAGCGAGCCTCTCAGGCACATAGACTGGGACAGTCCTGGGTTCATTTGCTGTGCTACATTAACTAACTTAGCCAGCGTGACAGTTGTCAGGCTACAATTGATCTTATTTTAGATAACGGAAGTAAATCAGCCAGAGTTTCTGCTGCTAATCACCATCTAGCAAACCCTGTTGGATGTTCACAGGAGTGCACATTGGTTGGGAACAAGTTTTGGGGTTGGCACAGTTACAGCCTATGGGTCAAAGCCACTGACTACGTTGCTCCAGCTTTTGTCTTATGTATTATTGCATCTCCTAAAGTTTGACCATGTTATGCTAGTGGCACACCCCGGACATCATGTGTAGTTTCTTTTGCAATGTGCACTTTCAGCATTATAGGCTACATGATAAGAATGGATGTTCAACAGCTGAATGATCCAAATTAGCCTAATAAGAGAACATATATTTAAACACATATAAAAGATACTTTATGTTATTTTATTTCATATTTAAAATAACATGTTACATTAATATAGTCAGGTGAAATTTAGATGTCTATTAATAAATTAAGAAAATATTAGATATTATTAATAATATTCGGTAGAAATTCCACGTGGGTTTAGATTTACTCAATTAATGTAACATTTCAGAGCATCCAGAACATGTCAAATTCTTAGATTTGAAGCCAGTTTTCTGCAAGTCCTTTAAAGAACAGCAGGACATGGTTCAGAGTTAAAACCAAATTCATCATTTTGCCATATTCTGTACTCTCTGTTAATTAAGTTAATATAGACCCAGGTGGAATTTTACTCCATATCGCTGTAATATTTATCTTACAAATTTTTTGTTGAAAATGCTGTGCATTTTGAGTCAAATAAATGTTCATAAAGCTTCTTAGTGATGTAAATGTTCTGATAACCACTATTTTTTTCATAGGAAGGGCTTCTATAAAGGAAAATGAATTTCAAATATCCACTGTGCAACAACAACAACAACAAGATTCCATTTATAAAGCGCCTTTCACGTCAGGAGGACGTCCCAAGGCGCTGCACAGTTGGGTCATGACCCGAGCAGGGGGGAAATGGTCAGGGTGAGGGGAGGGAGGGAGGAAGCGAGGAGGGGGAGAGAGTCGAGAGGGGAGCTGAAGGCTCGGTCAAAGAGAAAGGTCTTGAGACCGGCCTTGGAGGAGGAAAGGGGGGAGGCGGCGAAGGCACTGGGGGATGGAGTTCCAGAGCCTGGGGCTGAGAGGCTGAAGGCCCGACCACCGATGGTAGGGCGGTTGGGCGGGGACGTGGAGCAGACCGGAGCCAGAGGAACGGAGGTACGGGCAGGTAGGTAGGGGGATAGTAGGTCGGAGAGGTAGGAGGGAGCAAGGCCGTGAATGGCCTTGTAGGTGAGGATGAGGATCTTGAAATCAATCCTCTGGGGGATGGGGAGCCAGTGGAGGCGAGCGAGGGTGGGAGTGATGTGGTCCCGAAGCCTGGTGCGGGACAGTACACGAGCTGCAGAGTTCTGAATGACACATGAGCTGCAGAGTTCTGAATGACAAAAGTAACAAAAGTAACCACAAATAGTATTCCATACCATAACAGACAATCCCATCCCCGCTATAGCCAGGATAGCATTTGCAAACGTAGCTGCCCTCTGTGTTGATGCAGTCAGCCAGATGTTCACTGCAAAGAGCAAAGCTTAGGACACATTCATTCACATCTGTGAAAAAAAATGTCACAGTCAGTCAGCTTCGAGAAGTTTTCCTCATAAATCTTACTTCAATAATCTTTGTTCAATGTGCAAAATCGGAGTGTTTAGAACTAATGAACAACAGGCATGAATTGTTTAATTACATCTTAATTTTAGCAGCTGAAGGATACAGTTTAGGCTGTATTAAGACTGGTTTGTTGCTTAGAATTCCAATGGAGACTAACCAGACGTGAAAAATCAATTGCAGTCCTGATACCTCCTTCAAACCCAAGGCAAGAGGATATGAGAAAGTAGAACGAAAAAATATTTTACAAATAACTAGAAAAACAAATCGACAGTAAAGGATAAGAAGTGAAGAACATTGGAGAGGAATAATGGTTTTGGTGCATTAGGAGACATAAGTTACAAATGCGAAAGTAAGAGACAGAAAAGAAGTGTTCTCTCCCATGAATGTACCCAGTGAATCCAATGGATTAAATGGATCAAAAGTTAATACTGTATGTTGTTCTCTTTATACCTACAAAATAAACTAGTATTTAGGCACATTCTATGTACCTTATCAGAAATTAAACAGAGTAAATTTAAAGGCACTGAAAATTAAATCAATCACCATCGCAAACTTTGCCATCTCCAGTAAATCCCACCAGACATTGGCATGTAGCAGTTCCTTCGGATGTGATGCATTGAGCGTTGACATCACATTCAAGTGCTCCGCAGTCATCTTGATCTAGAAAAATCAATAGAGTACAATCAAAATTCTGAATATAGGATTTTTTTAAAACAGAAACTCACAATTTTCTCTGATGGACAAATCCAACATCAGCTGGATTGCTCCACAATTAACAAGTACAAAAAACAACTTGTATGTATCGCCTGCTCTTCATGTAGGATAACGTCCTGGAGCAATTCACAATGATGGTGTCCGGTGGTTAATGGGGAGAGGACGGGGTATGGGACAGGTGACCATTGCCTTGTCCATAGAGGTAGGTTTTTAGGTGGGAATTAAAGATAGATGGAGAGGGAATGAGATGGAGGAATAAGGAGGTTAGTGGTGTAGGAACCGATACATGAGGAGCAGCATAAATTCAAGCACAAGTGATTGCTTTCCTATTAGTTTATCAGTATAAGCAGTTACCTGATACCATTATCTCTGCTACAAGTATGGCCTTTGGATGGTGTTCAGCAGTGATTTCATCCTCACTGTTACTGGTAGTGGAGATGCTGGGACGCGTAGGTAAAATATTCTCATTTTGTAATGTTGCAGTTAGAAACAAGTTTATCTTGTGTGACGATGTAACTCTGGATACTGTTATCAGAGAGAGAAGTATATTTTTCAGTTACTAACACATTAATGTGTACTTCAAGGCAGGTCATTATCAGTGGATAGGGGATTGGGCAGAAGTTCTCTTTACCTTGTGTTGGTGAATGCTTAACATCTTGACAAGACTTTCCATCTATTCTCTTTTGGAAACCATTATGGCACAAACAATAGGCAAGTCCAGACCTATTCTCACAGATCTGTTCACATCCACCGTTCTTATATAGGCATGGATCAGCACCTATAACATTCAAACCAAGAAAAATGTAAAAGGACGCAATTGAGTTGGCTTCATTTCCTGATATAATAATAATCCTTGCATTTGATATTTGCATTTGACTTTGTATTCACCTTTTAATTAATCAGCGATACACTTTTTGATACTAGGAAAAGTAAAATATTCACCCTCTAGTTATTTATTGCAGTTCCTGCTATTTCCTGTTAACGTAAATATACTTGTGAGGGGAGCTTATACTGCAACAACTAATTAATGGTAACAGAAAACATCAGCAAATGCAATGGCTGACGTGTGCCAGAAAATGGATCACAAATAGTATTGAAATGAATGAATAATTAATCTGTTCTGTGGATGTTGGATGGGGGAGGAATATTAGCTAGAATATCAGAAGATCTCAGCTCTTCTTGCACATCATGTCATGGTTGTATTGTCCTCTTGGACAAAAGAACTATATAAATCTACTACTTAGTAGGAGGCTAAGTGATTGCCATTGAAATTTTCTATCCTAATTCTAATTCACTGTTATTCTCCTACCATCTAAAACATTCTTCAGCATGTGCCTATCTCATTCCCTTTTAAATGCCTCAATTGAGTTCCCACCATCTGCCACCAGAATAGGTAGCCAGGAACTAGGTTTATTTTCTCAGCCATGAAACAATGTACTGTAATGGAGAAACAGCCTAGATTACAAAAATTAAATACAATACAAAATTACATTTGTATAGCTCCTTTCACGTCAGGAGGACGTCCCTAAATCTTTGTGTAGGGCTGAAACCCTTAATCTTCAGAGGCAGGAATGCTAACAATTGACACAGCTAGTCAATTATTTCTAAAATATTTGTGTGCAAATTCTGAATACTTTTCAATCAATAATCCTTGCATTTGATATAGCGCTTTTCACGTCGGGAGGACGTGAAATCACAATTAAATCACAATTCATTGTGATTTAACGTCATACTTATCAGTATCCTCCTGTTGTATTGATCCTGAGCCTATTTACCTGGTTTGGCCATTGGATGAACCACAACCACAGAGGAAGGTCGGAGCATACCACCCTGAAGTCGGACTCTGTTCTGACCTGTCCACTTATCCAGCCTCATGAGTGAAGGTTTACCCCAATCTGTAAACCAAACATGATCTTCAAATACCACAACATCAAATGGTCGACCTACAAACACGGAGAGCAGGATAAGAGATTTATTGATTTAATCATGAAGAATAATTCTTCACATTCTGTTCCCGATGATGAAAAATTGCATATGTATTTTTTTCAAAAGTTGAGAGCCTCACCTACTTCATTCTGCGCAAGTATCCGGCGATTGAAGCCATTCAGATCGGCTACTTCAATGACAGACAATTTTGCATCACACCAGTATAGCTTGTCTGATAGATAGTCTATGGTTATTCCTTTGGGCCACACGATATTGGTTTTGATGATAATCAAACGATCACCACCTTCTAGTGAAGAACTTTCTATTCGAGGCTTATTTCCATAATCTGTCCAGAACAGTTTCCTTTATTGAAATGAAAGAACAACGTACTCTACAAAGTTAAAACAATGATATTGTTGTTTGGTAAATACAACAATACCACAACAGTAAAATAAATCTTTATTCAGCAATTTCAGGCGTCAGTATTCTTATACAAGTATCTTTTCTTTTACCACAGTGTCGCCCACAGCATCAATGGAGACTTGACTCAATGTGCAGCAGGCAAACAAGAAGTGACACAAATTAAATTAATATTGCTAGTTGAGTATTGGGAAGATGAACAATCAGAGAGACATAATCGAAACTGCTGATTATGGGTGTTGTGCAGGACGGGAAGATGTTCAAGATTTCTCCTTGTGCTAATATCTGGGCTTAAAAGGAAGTTTGGCTACAATTTCTTAGAGTTCAAATTTATTGTGTGACACAGATCTCCGATGCTACTACTACTACTGCAGTGAACAACAAAAATATACATTTGTATAGCAGCTTTTACGTTGGGAGGACGGCCTAAAGTGCTAGACAGTCTAAGATGTGTACCCGAGCTGGTTGGGATCAGGAGGGGTGGAGGGCAGGGAGGGTGGGGGTAGGAGGGTAACTGAAGGCGTGGGCCCAGTAAACTACATTAAAACTTTGATTATGAATTACCACCAATTTCAATTATCCATCCAAATTACTCATTTTCAGTCTGGCAGATAAATGTACTAGGTCAGTGTACATCTGTTCTTCTGGTGGTTTTATAATTATAAATTATTAAAGACACTCTTGATTTTTAAGTTTTCTTTTTCTTTAAGATCTGTTAAATTCTCTACGCTCTTTCAAATGCTGGACTCTCTGAAATGCTGAGTAAATAGAGTAAATCTAGACGGAGGCACAATTTCTACCCCATAGTCTCCAGGAGATTATTAAGATTGTTATAAAAATATTAACAATCCTTGCATTTGATGAAGTTCCTTATCATATTATTGAAATGTCTCAAAGTGCTTCCCAGGATTGACTCTGAAGTGTGTTGACTGTATACTATAGGTGAAAATGACAGGGCAATTTGCACAGCAATGTCCTACAAACAGTCATGAAGTGAATAATCAGTTTTATCTGGAGGTGGCCATCGGATGAAACTCCCTTCTCTTTTAACCATATTACACTTTGTGTGGATGTTTGTAAAGATGCCATGCTTTCCTCTTCTCTGGATGATAAATAATCCTAATAATAATCCTTGCATTTGATATAGCTCTTTTCACGTCGGGAGGACGTCCCAAAGCGCTTCACAGAACACACTGTAAAGTGAATTGACTGTATATTTGTGGGCGAACCCGAGAGCCAATTGCGCACAGCAATGTCCCACAAACAGTCGTGGATTGAAAATGACCAATTTATTATTGTTTTTGGTTTTGGAGGGATTATTATTAGGCGTGTGGAGTAAGGAAACTTGCCCAAGGTTTCGCCCTCTGCCTGGAATTGAACTCAGGTCTCTAGCTTGCAAAGCGAGTGCTCAACCACTGAGCTACAGGACTCCATGATATTTGCCATCTCCCTTCCTGAAGCAGCAAATTCAATTGCTCAAAATGGAATTCAACAACAACAACAAATTGCATTTAGATAGTGTGTTTCACATTGGGAGGACATCCTATAGCGCTGGGCAGTTGAGGGTTTCACCCAAGCTAGGGTGAGTGGGGGAGTTGCACTTTCTTGTCCATCTTTGCTTCCTGCCTGTGGCAATGTTCTTGGCCTCTATTCAGCGCATTCCTACACTGGGTGGATTGAAATCAGGAACTTGACAAGACAGAGAATGACATGCAGATCCCACCTGACTGTTCCTCTCATGCTCCAATGCATTGTGCCACCAAACCCAATTTTTTTAAACAGCATTGATGCAGTCTGTAAATTTAGTAATATTTAAAACATACACAGTATGATATAAATATGCTGTATGTTGGCCAATGTTAAGGTTAGACAATGCACTGACTGTTTTTTCCCCCTTATATTTTCATGCTCTTTCACTCTCTTACTTAGCCATTGGATGGACAGCGATTCCCCTGGGCTTGTTAAGACCTTCACTGACGATCACTTCTCTGTGCACGCCATTGAGCTCACTCCTTTCAATGCGTAATAACCTGCAACAAACGAACATTGCTATTAAGATATCATTGTAATTTACCGTTTCATTCAAATCATTTGTTCTTTATGTTTACATTGCCCCCATGTCCATTCAAAGTCTTTATAGTATGAAATAATAATAATCCTTGCATTTCAAACAGCACCTTATTATGTCGTCAAGACTTCTCAAAGTGCTGCGCAGGATTTTACTATGAAGTGTAGTGACTGCGTATTTTTAGGCAAAGCGGCAGCCAATTAGCGCACAGCAATATCCCACAAATAGCTGTGACGTTATACTGTAGTAAAATCTTAATGAGTTGTTGGTTAAAATATACCTGTTTTGATATCATATTAGTAGTTTCCTATCACACAGCAGAAACAAGCATAAGATTTTCAATAGGAAGCACACAGTTTAGTATAACACTGGATATGTTTCACAGTCCAGGGGGACTTGTACTGTCCATAGTGCTTTGTCTCGTACGATTAAGATTTAACCTTCAAGTCTCATTGAAGCGCCAGACAAACTAGTCAACCATCAACAATACCCTGGATGGCTGTGCACCTTGCTAGCTGTGTCTCCTTGGAATCACTTCAATCCTGAGGAGAATATTATTAAATATTGTATTTATTTTAACAAACATGAAAGAGTGCAGAGCTATGTCAATTTAATTAAATTGATAGACTCTGGATCAGAAAGTTATAGGTTCATGCCTCATCAGAACCTGAGCTTGGAGGATACACCAGTATTGTACAACAACAACAAGATTCCATTTATAGAGCGCCTTTCACGTCAGGAGGACGTCCCAAGGCGCTGCACAGTTGGGTCATGACCCGAGCAGAGGGGAAGTGGTCAGGGTGAGGGGAGGGAAGGGAGGGAGAGAGGAGGGGGGAAATGGTCAGGGTGAGGGGAGGGAAGGGAGGGAGCGAGGAGGAGGAAGAGAGTCGAGAGGGGAGCTGAAGGCACGGTCAAAGAGAAAGGTTTTGAGACCGGCCTTGAAGGAGGAAAGGGAGGAAGCAAGGCGAAGGCACTGGGGGATGGAGTTCCAGAGCCTCGGGGCTGAGAGGCTGAAGGCCCGACCACCGATAGTAGGGCGGTTGGGGCGGGGGACGTGGAGCAGACCGGAGCCAGAGGAACGGAGGGTACAGGCAGGTAGGTAGGGGAGATCACTGTATTGTTGGAAGTGCCTTTCCTCACATGAAAAATTAAACCAGGGTCCTGGGTAGTTTAACTGGACCTTAAACATCTCATGTACTATTTTGAAGAAGAGGAGGTAGTTTTTCAGGTGTCCTGACCAATATTCCTCCTAAAACCAATTCACCAAATAGCAACAGGTAGAATGAATGAAAGGTCATTCATCAAAATGCCCTATTGTATATGAGCAGCACCATTTGTTTAAGAGATTAAACGAAACTAATGGCATTTCCAAAATCTATTTGCCACTAATCAGTTATTTTTAATGTATAATTTGGAGCACAAACAGGTGGTTACCTAAACATGTGATGACACTGAACGGTCAAAATTTAAATAAGCCTTAGGAATTAGTTCTTTAGCTCAGGACATACCCTCTGTCAGTCCAGTACAATTTGCGGTTAATCCAGTCCACAGCCAGCCCTTCAGGCAAGTCCGTACCATCGATAATAAGTTCCTCACGCTCAGAACCATCGAGATTAGATCTTTCTATCCACTTCAAACCCGTGTGAGCAAAATAAACCTACAAGCACAGAAACAATCAAAATAATCATTCAGAGCACTTATTCATCAGTTCCCTTACAGATCTTGGTATCTGAATGTATAAACAATAATCTTGTAAACCCATGATCAAGAGTAACCCTTTCACCAATACTCTAAAGCTCATGTGGAATAGTGTGTTTGCTTCATTGCCAGTAGATCACGTTGTAATGTATTATCTCCCATCCAAATAGACATAGGTTTTCCTCTTGAGCTCTTTCCGGGACTTAGGGATATTATCTAATGTAGGACATTAGACTTCTCCTAAATTGATGGGCCAAATGTCCTACATCTTTTCCTCAGTGACGTTTTAAGACCTTTTGCTTTTCCCTATTTGACTTTGTTTATTTTAACCTTAATATCTTAATAAATAGATCCTCACTATTGAGAAGGCTTCAGCTGCAGAAGCCAGCAAAGTCACCTGCTTCTTCAATCACTAGGTCACGGAGATAGCTATCAGGTTGGCAACTGAGTTGAGAATTGCCCTCTTAATATACAGGATATCTGGCCAGAAATCTGAGTTCTCCAGAAATATTTTACAAAGCATTTGGAAAGCAAAGGGCTCAGCAAATAATCATATTCGTGTGATAGACTGTTGTGGTGCAAGGAACACCATGTTGATGCAACAGAGAATAGTTGATATGTGGAAATCTCTGTCACAAACTAGTAGAAGATGAGTCCATTGATTATTTTAAAGAGAATTAGATAAATGCTTGAAAAAGTGTGGGGGAACAAGCAAGAGAGTGGGATAGCTCATATGAAGAAAAAGGCAATGCATTGTGAATGGGCTGAATGGCCTCTTTCTGTGCTGTAACATTCTTTGATTGTACAAAGTCACTGAGATTAAGAATGTCACAGCTGATGGCTGCTGTGATCTATACGAAACACTTCCCATTACAATACAAATCAAATGATTAAAACACATTTGTACTAGGAACCAAAACTGAGCAGTAGCTGGCATTTTATCTGAAACCTGAAGTTTCCTTTAAAGGATTCAACTTCAGGTGGGTCAAAAATGGTGCAAACATGATTGTACCGAAAACTAAAGCTTGCACATGATGACTTTTGAAAATAAGTAAGCTTCTTTACCTTTCAAAAGTAATTACCCAATCTTGCCCACAAACTTAATGCAGTGAGTCAGTTTGGCTTGGATAAGTGTGTAGATTGTAATGTCATTTGGTGTGAGTTGTGTTAAATAAGGCCAACTGATTGCACAAAGCCAAACTACACTGCACACTGTTAGGTAACTCTACATTCTCAAACAGAACAGCATTTCAAAGGCTTTTTAAAAGAAGATTACGTAAGGATAAACACTGTAAATATTTATCACTTATACCTAATACCTGCGTATTAATGTTAATGAGAATTTAACGAGGGCTACACGTTAGCCCCTTGTATTCCTCCATTTATGTGCTAAACATTGAAATGAACACTTCAATAAAATTTCTCAATGACATCTATTTTATAATGATAGTCACTAGGATTTAGTGTACACTTATCACTAAAAATACACGTTTTTCCCCCTAAGTCTTTTTAAAGGGATTTCTGGTGTTAAAGATTTAGCGAAAAGATTCCTATTTTTAGCGACCAGCCTGAGTTGGATCCCACTGTCCTCAGGATGCAATTCTAAAATATGCACACGTTACTGTAGCAAGTGTTACACTGTAAGGCAAGAGCAGTGCATTGAGTTACAGATTAACCATGACCTACAAAAATGGCGGAGCAAGCTTGGTGGCCGAATAGCCAATTCCTGTTTCTATGTTCTGAAGCGCTTTGATACACTTATTCAATGTGAAAGGTGCAAATTCTTGTTATTCAAAGGTTGGGATGAGAGCAAAGAACAAAGAGGAAACCTTCCATAGTACCTTACTCAATCTGAACCTGCCCTGGAAGTGTTTGATGCTGTCACTGGGTGGCTGGGCTGGGAAACGGTTCCATTTCTTAGCAATAATGTTTCTCATCTCGATAAAGACAAAACAATCACCACAACAAAAACAAGTATTTTATTATAATGGCAAGATGGGCTGAACATTTTTCCCCTTTTTTGGTGAAAAAAGCTGCTCAACAACAAAAATGGGGTTGAAAATACGATATTTACAAATTGGACACTGCTGTGTTATTAATCGCAAATATTGTTTTTTCGAATGTAAAAAAACTCGTAACAAATATTTGGAAAAAAAATTATGATCCTGAAGGTTTGCAATGGCTGTTGTGTGTCAATGTTTTGCTTTCTGACCAATAGTCACAGTTTTCTGTCCTACTCTCAACTGAGAATCCACCTGAAAGCAAAAAGCTGGTAATTGCAAACTGCAACTGGTGTCTGTTTGCTTTTGAAAGATTTCTGATTACTTAAAATCTATTTAATCAGTTAAAATCTATCTAATTCTACTTAAAATACAAATATATTTTAGGTCAGTTATAAAAACTGTTTTAAAATAACTATTAAGCCATCCCTTCAGAAGTCAATGACATGGTCATTTAAATTCTGACTTACCTTACTTTCCACAGGGTCATAGTCAAGTGCTAAGACTCTTCCCATCTGTCTGTCTAGCACAGTGTTGTAATCTGTCCCATCAAAGTTGATGCGTCGGATATCCTGAATATTTGCAAATAGCAAAAATGGACTGGGACCTGTTGAACATAAGTTGTTTTCATTTCTTAATTTCAAAAATGATATCTCCCATTGTAATAAAGGAACAGCATTTGTCATTTGCAAGGATTATTATTATTATAACTTCACCCCATCCACTCCTAAAAGAAAGTTCTGCAAAGACACGTCTTGAACCCCAAACATAAACTCTAGAATATTCATCCATTGCCACATACAACACATTACAATTTACTCCAGCCCCTGATCCTTTCACATTGGGATGATTACCCAAAGGATTTTACAGGATATACTGAAAACTGTGTGTTATGTGGGCAAACTGAGACTATGAAAAATTTAGGTTTAACATCTTTTAGGATTCAATAGCCAGAAGCTTGATTAAGAAACCCATTGGGCAGGCCTAACCCTCTGAAAACAGCATGAACAATTCTGGTTTTGTAACCTTAAAGACACATTTTTTTGAAAGTTTCCATTTCCTGCACAGGTAGCTGAGAAAATATGGGTTGATCTGCTGCAGGTTGTAGGATCAGTTTGCTGAACAGTATGTGTTGCTTGAAAATTTCAAAGTCTTATAAATGAATCATATTCAAAATTATAGAAAACACCTACAATTTTAAAATGAAATGAAACAAGTTAAAAATTAGTGCCTTTTAACTGTATATAATGAGTCATTACTTTGCAGCTTCGCCCCTTCCTCTCCCACCATTCCCTCTACGAACCCCTCCAACCGGGTTTCCATACTGCCCATAGCACACAAACAGCCTTAGTCAGAGTGACAAATTACATTTTGCCCATCTGTGACCAGGGCTCCCTCTTTACTCATCCTCCTCTACCTATCTGCTGCCTTTGACACTGTTGACCACTCTATCCTTTTTCACCGCCTGCTCTTGTCCTTAACTAGTTCCGATCTTACCTTTCACAGCATCTCCACTTTGTCTCCCCAAATGGCATCTCCTCCAGCCCCTGCACTATTTTGTGTGGTGTTTCTCAGGGCTCTGTCCTTGGATCCCTCCTTTTCAATATCTATATGCTCCCTCTTGGTGACATCATCTGCAGACATGGGGTCAACTTCCACATGTATGCGGATGACACGCAAGTCTATCTCTCTGCCTCCACCCTTGACTCCAGGACCACTGCTGTCCTGACAGAATGTCTGTCAGACATCAGGTCCTGGATCAGAGCTAACTTTCTCCAGTTGAACATCAAAAAGACCGAGGCCCTCCTGATTGGCTTCCGTCAGCGCCTCCTCACCTCAGGCATTGTCAGCTTCACCGGATACGCACTTCACCTCACTGAGCAAGTCGGGAATCTTGGCATCTTGTTTGACCCTCAACTGCTTTTCCACCCCACATCCGTGCCATGACCCATGCTGTTCTTCTCCCACCTCTGCAAAATAGTCCGGCTACGCCACTCCTCTGCCCTCAGACCGCCAAAACCCTCATCCACACATTTATTACATCCAGGCTCGACTACACCACTGCCTGTCGGCTTTCCCAACTCCTCACTTCACAAGCTGCATATCATCCAGAACTCTGCAGCTCGTGTCCTCTCCCACACCAGGCTCCGTGAGACCTATCACCCCCGCCCTCACCCGACTCCACTGGCTCCACAGCCCACAGAGGATAGAATTCAAAATTTTCCTCAGCTTCAAAACCCTCCACAGCTTTGCTGTTTCCTACCTCTGTGCATGCTGACCGCATATCAACCTGTCTCCGCTCCCTCCGCTCAGCAGGCTCCGGCCTGCTCCACATCCCTCGCTCGGCCACCCCACCATCGGCGGTTGGGCCTTCAGCCTCTCTATCCCCACCCTTTGGAACTCCATCCCACAGTCCCTTTACCTCGCTCCCTCCCTTTGCCTCCTTCAAAGCAGGTCTCTAGACCTTCCGCTTTGACCGCATCTTCGGCCACCCTCCTACTCCTATCCTCACTACCCTCCACTGCACCTGATCTCGGCCCCCTGCTTGGTTCCAAATCCCTGAATGTCCAGTGCCTTGCGATGTCCTTCTGACCTGAAAGCTGATATACAAATGTAATTTATTGTTGTATATTAAACAAAACTGCTAATTCTTTCTGCTACCTTTAACTTCAGGGTTCAATGAAATTCACATTCTTGTGCATTAGAACAAATGGGTGAATAATTGGATAATTCCATTGCAGATTTTGGTCAAAATCAATGAAAGTTTTTTTTCCATTTATTTAAAGAATCTATGTAGTAAGTGTGTACCTACCTGAGGCACTACAGTGCTTCCCATCTGGCTGCAGCTGGTAACCAGGCAGACACTCACAAACCCAAGACACTGGATCTTGTAGGACACAGATTTGGCTACAACCACCATTATCTAGCGAGGTGCAACCTGAAAAAGTTTAAGACAATTATACTAACACTTGTAGCCTATGATAACTTTGCATAGCATTAATGCATCAATCTTAATAGTGTTTTTATATAACTTTATAATGAGGGACAAGCAGGAGACCAATGCCAGTCGAGTGAGGGGGAGTGAGGAGGACAGAGAGGTAAGGAGACGCCAGGGAGTGAATTGATTTGAACACAAGTGTGAGGATCTTGAAGTCGATCCGTTCGGTGATGGGGAGCCAGTGGAGCCTGGCCATTTGCTGAGATGAAGTGGAGGCGGTTGGTTAAGTTGGACTCGAACCATGCAAGTGAAGTTCCATTAAGGTAGATGAGGGAGGAGGGGCGGTGGAGAAGGATGGTGCAGTGGACTGTGTCGAACAGGGCAGAGGGATCCAGGAGGATGAAGAGGCAGAGGGAGCCCTGGTCACAGATAGAGAGAATGTCGTTTGTGACTTTGACTCGTGTTGTCTCTGTGCTGTGGGCAGGGCGAAAACCAGACTGCAGGGGCTCGAGGAGGGAGTGGAGGGAGAGGTGTGACCGAAGTTGACCAGCAAAAATACATTCCAGGACTTTAGCAAGGAAGGGTAGGTTGGAAATGGGACGGTAGTGTGAGAGGTTAGAGGGATCGAGGATGGGTGTTTTGAAAAGGGGTGTGATGACAGCGTTTTTCAGAGGGAGTGGAACAGAGCCAGAAGAGAGAGACTGGTTGACTGTGTCGGCCAGCAGGGGGTAGAGGAGGGGGAGTTGAGTGACCAGTAGGTGGATGGGAAGGGGGTTGACGCAGCAGGTGGTGAAATTCCCCTGCAGTTGACTAGCACAAAGCACAAACATCTACAGTTGACTAGCACAAAGCTAGCACACTCCAGGCCTAAATTCCACTGAGCATGAGGCTGCAAGACCACTTTGACTTAAATTTTAAATTAGTTACATTACATCATATAAAACTTCACACTCATCAGCTTTATTAAATATAAATTACACATTAGAAGGGTACAATTCACAATTACTGGATAATCCATTCAGGTCTAAGTTAAGTAAACCATCAATATGTCAACCATCGTGTACTTCTATATAAAACAATCAGAAAAATATATGTTTATTGCTTGTAGTGATCCAGCTTTGAGAAAGGCATTTTCAATGGCAAAGCCAAATTTGTGGTGAAATTACTTCATCTGCTCAGATACAGGACAACCTTGTTATAACACAATGGTCTCGGTCCATAATATCAGACCCTGCATTAAAACAAAGCACAAAATAATGTCCGACTTCCAGGTTGCTGGATCACCGTTGACAACAACAGCAAATTGCATTTATATAGCACCTTTCACATCAGGAGGACATGTCAAAGCATTTCACAAAGCAAACTGAGAACCTGAGCTGTGGGTGTGAGGAGCTGAGGAGGATGGGGGGAAAGATAACCAAAAGCATGCTCATAAAGAAAGTTCTTAAGACAGGATAGGTCTTAAGGCACACTTCCTGTGCACTGTGTGTACAACCAGCACACAAGAAGTGACATCTGTGATGACCTGATGATCCCAGAAGTCAGCCATTATTTTGTGTGGGAAGCAGGCTGACTCTCGTCAGAAGCTGGATGTGTACCACACTTCTGGTAACTGTGTGGATCCACAGATCAGCCATGTTAAAAGCACAAGTTAGTGAAGAACAGGATTGCCCTTTATACTTTAGCAGGGATTTCAGTCAGTGAGACGTAAATAAGCTACACCTTTAATTTTCACTGTCCAGTTCACTTTTTATAGTTTTTCGGATATTCATAGTCAATATGTATAGAGTCAGGGAGATCTTAGTCACTTAAATCTCTCCTCAAATTAGGAGAAGCAAAGGAAGGAGGGGAAAATTGCGCCCTAACATTTTGTGAAACCAATTGGGGAAAATAGAGGAATACACTTTGAGCTCTGAGAGAGACTATATACTCTGAGCGGGGGGATAATTTCACATTCTTTCCAGGCACTAAACAAATGTATTGTATTGCATGTATAATGCTAAAGAATGAAACAAATATATCAAAAAACCTACAATCCTCTAATCTTTTAAAGGTCTGACAATGTTTTGTTTTTAAATTTGTTTAAATGTACCGTTCTTTCTGCAGGCAGCTATTTAAGTGCTGCTAGGACGATCTCCAGAATGATATTAAATGCTAGCCTCAATCTCACTGACCTTCAACTCTAATCACTCAGAACCTTGAACCCGATTAGCACAATTTAAATCATTATAGCCTATTCATTTCAATCTCTGGTGGTATTATCTGCAGACAACTCACTGCAGATAAGGTCTCATTCCAGCCTTGGTTCAAATATGATATTTTGTGATTCACGATTGAAAAACAAAATCCTAATTTTGAAGAATGTACCTAGAATTGTATGAGAAGCCACAACATGGAAGCAGGACATTCTGTCAAACTAATCATTTAGACTCATTTAAAAAGCAGTTTGATGCAGCGATGTGGGGTGAGGGTTCTGGAGGAATGAGATCAGATGGGACGAATCACCTTTTTATCTAAATCAATCTTGTGGTTTGTGGTTAACTCTGTCACAAGAGTTGAGCCCAAAGCCGCTGTATTTAACATTGAACCCAAGGAGTATGGTATTGGAGTACCAGTTTGCAGGATACACATTTAATTCTTCTTTGGGGTAAGTCTGGTCTATGAGCTCCAAATCTTCCAAATTGGGCTTGAACCCACAACTTTCAGAATCAGAGGCAAGAAAGGGTGAGTCAGGCCCCAAAATTGAAACAATGTGTACGGAAGTGGTGAGTATTTTGTGATGTCGAAAAGTAATATACCTGAACATATTTTTCCATCAGGTCCTAAAACAGATCCCTGTGGACAGAGGCAGGTTGGTCCTTCAGATGTCTGGGTGCAATCATGGCTGCAGTCAGCATTTTTCGAACAAGGAACAGGAACTGGTAGATAAAGAATGAAATGGAGTAACAATCAATTGTTTTTTTTTATGAAATACATGATATTCATAACATGGAGTCCTGTAGCTCAGTGGTTAGAGCACTCGCTTTGCAAACGAGAGACCTGGGTGCAATTCCCAGCAGGATGAAACCTTGGGCAAGTTTCCTTACTCCACACACCTGATAATAATCCCACAAAAAAACAATAATAAATTGATCATTTCAATCCACGATTGTTTATGGACACTGCTGTGCGCAATTGGCTGTGCATTTTGCCCACAAATATACAGTCAATTCACTTTACAGTCTATTATGTGAAGCACTTTGAGTACATCAAATGCAACGATTCTTATTATTATAACGGAAACGGGGTTGGGGTCCAGTGTATGTAAATCCAAAGTGTGGAAGTGGATCAAGTCAGAATGAACTTCCTGTTGTTAATAATAATGATAATAATCCTTGCATTTGATATAGCGCTTTTTACGTTGGGAGGACATCCCAAAGCACTTCACAGAACACACTGTAAGGTGAATTGACTGTACTTTTGTGGGCGAACGCGGCAGCCAATTGCGCACAGCAATGTCCCACAAACAGTCGTAGATTGAAAATGACCAATTTATTATTGTTTTTGTTTTTGGAGGGATTATTATTAGACGTGTGGAGTAAGGAAACTTGCCCAAGGTTTCGCCCTCTGCCTGGAATTGAACTCAGATCTCTCGCTTGCAAAGCGAGTGCTCTAACCACTGAGCTACAGGACTCCACATTATTCCACCATTATTGTTGGTGGGACACATAATTGTTATCTTACAAGAGTCATTATTTGGGACTTATTTGGAACTCAGAGTTGCCAGTTGTGACTCCTGCTACAAATATTACGGTTTGGTTCTCCATATATTTCCTGCCTTTTGGATATGACATTAAATTGGCATTCCATCTGCCTGTTAAAGGTTCCCCGGCACTATTTTTCTCAGTGCCCTGATCAACAAATCCCACTGCCGACCCTTCCCCCCAGCACCCCCACATCAAAAAAAAAGGCTACCGCTTTGTGACTGAAGACATTGCTGTGCACAAATTGGTTGCCACATTTGCCAACAAAATACACAGTCACCACACTGTGAATCTTGTAAAGCGCTTTGAGACGTCTTGACGGCAAATGTTAGGATTATTATTATTTACTGAATTAACCTCTTAGGCTGTTTCAGTGACATATTTGCTTGAATGGGAGCAAGCACTTTAGCATGGAAGGTGTTTCAGAGAAGGTTGACCCCGGAAAACACAGTGCAAGATGAGTACATACTTGTAAGCTGATCCAAAGAATTATTGCTGTATAGAGAACCGAGTCCAGCATGTAACTAGTGCAGCCTAGCAGAGCGGGAAATAACTCCTGGACATGCTTAATAACTTGAAGGTTTTGTCCAGGAGATGATAACACAAATTATATCTTTTTTTGCTACAAGTATTTGTTCCCCATACAATGGTATGTTCAGAATAATATGTATCTGGATGAGCGTTAGTATTATTCCAGAATGCCTAACAGTTCTCTTTATGATTGATTTTGTTCAGCATAATGCAAAAAACTATGTGTAATGCCCATCTGTGAGCTTTGTATCTGAGTAGTTTAACTACCATACCATAAGAAATTAGACATTAATTATCCAGTACAAAAATATTCCCACAAAGCAATCTCCATTATTTTGTGTTTTCACTCCACAAAATAATCAAAACTGCAAATAGTAATGATTTATTGACTTTCACTAAACCATGCTTAGTTCCATTGCACATTGAAGATATCAATACCATACTTAGTGAAATGTATTGCATATAATGATAAAATGAATAGTTAATTAAAACAATTGGGTGATGTGATATTTATATACAGACTATTATAGTGCCACATGGTAAGAAAGATTAGTCTAAGATCTTCCTTTATGTAACTTGGGGATTGTGTGTTCACTCAAGCAAAGGTTAATCATTTCATAGTCCACGTGCTAATTTAAAACTTTAAATAGCTCAGTCAATGCAAGAGAGACATCAGCATTCAAAATTTGAGCTTGAGCTTCATGCTAATTCATGTCACAATTACAGGCATCTCACATTTTATTCCGTTTATTATTAGGATAATTCATTATTACTTCTGATCATTTCAGATGCAAAAATAAATGCATCTTTTATGTGACTAGAGGGAGATCAAACCACTGACACATCTGGAACTTTGAAAATGTGTTTCTTTGCAAAAAAAAACACAATCTACTTTAGTATATGACATAAAGTACATTTCTAAAGCACTTTCTTAGGGTAGTTCTAAATTCTCAAATGTCAATCACCATTAATGTAGAGAACCCCAAGTTTTGGCACAAAGTCAGATTGATGCCCCCAAAATCTTAAATTGATGCTACAATTGTAATTTAAAGAAGCACTGTTTATTGTGCATTGTAATGAATCAGAAAATAACACAAGAGGGTTTGAACAGTGCAAAGTGTGTAATCAAGGGAGCATATGTATTGGCCATATTCAGCTGACATTATTGATTAATCACAATGTTAAATGTTCATGTTTCCCAGTTTCCCAGCTCAAGAAATATTCAGCGTGAAATCCACATATATTCAAATAATGTAAGGAAATTCCTGAAAATATTCTGCTATACCTAGATTCTTTCTAATTCCAAATTTGGCCCCATCTGCTGTCAATTACTACTGTTGTGTACTCAGTCTTGCGATGTGCAAACATGAGCAGATGTCTATCTAGACATAAGAGAGTGTTCCTCTAGAGGCTGGTACATAGCATCCCTTGGTAGATGAAAATCTGGGGGAATTGTTGGTTAAAAAGGGAAATCTAGAAGGATTTAACATTTAATAGCGCCTTATCACCTTGACATGCTTGAAAGCGCTTCAAAGATCAGTATTATTAGGTGCAGTAGCTGTTTTTGGACGCGAACATTATAGCTCATCATGTTTTGCATACAGCCATGAGGTGAATGATCCATTAATCTGGAGGATTGTTGGCCAGGACACTGGAAGAAACTCTTTGAATAGTAAAATGAGATTTTTAACATCCACGTCAAGAACAGGCAGACGGGACCTCGGTTCCTTAGGATTTCTCACTATAGCACAACCTGCTTCGTAGGAGGCTATTGGTTGAATTCATTGCTACTCACTCTTACAAACATCATTATAATGTATTTGGCAACTTCTTAAATATAGGGTAGTTCTAAATTCTGAATTCTTAATCCCCATTAATGTAGAGACCCAAGATTTTGGCATGACGCTTTTGTGAAATTCGCTAAAGTTCATATTGCAATAACCAGTGAAACAAATTTTCATATCACAGCAATATAAACAATTTCTACAACATCATTATCTTGTGACAGTCATAGTTTCAAAAAATATTTAGATATTTATACAACAAAAACATTTTTTGCTGATATTACTGAGTTATTCTTTTGCATCACTTGAAACAAAATGATTTTAGAACAACTTACTGTGGCAGGTTTTCCTATCAGGCAGGAGTACAAACCCTTCTGGACAGTTACAGTAATAAGAGCCTGGCGAGTTCTCACAGCCCAGTGTGCACCCATGGTTCCAGAATGAACATTCATTGACATCTGCATATAACAAGGATACACAATATTAATTATAATAATCATCCTCGTGTTTGCAAGAGCGCCTTGTTAAAACTGCCGTGGCTAGATGCGCTACATAAAACACAATTCAATGACAATTTCAACAATCTACCATTGTTAGCTTTATTGACCCACTGCAGTGAGCGAAGAGGTCCTTTCAGGTTACAATACCCGAGCAGGACAACTTCCAATTTTACGTGATTATACAGAGTGTATATATATTTTTAGAATACATGATACATGAATCTTATCCAACCAAAATAGTTTGTTCACGTGAATACTTTTTTTCAAATTTCCAAATTGGTAGTTTTTTACTCTTGCATGGCTTTGTATTGTCTGCCAATTAAATTTGTCAAACATAGTGATACTCCTTACCAATTAGTTTTAGTGAGGCAGGAAAGACCTTGAAGGAGATCTTTTAATTTGCTGCCAAGAATTAGTAGGCTTACCAATTTTTACTGATTCAGAGGACAGTATGCAGCCAGGAGGTGAAGGACTATTTACACTGTATTGCAAGATCTATTTAACCAGTTATGTGACAGTTCAAATTACATTTCCACAAAACAGCTCAAAGAACTTCACAGGATTTACTGTAAAGTTTAGTGAGTGCATATTTATAGGTGTACTTATATCAAGCTGAGGGTGTTTTCAGAATTAATATGTTTTTAGAGCTTAAACAAAAACTAGAAACCAAAAAGGGAGGGAACTTCTCAGATTAAAATAATGCACAGATTATGATTACTAAAACAGATTTTAATTTTTTCTTGTAAATTGTAGATTGTTTCAATCACAACTGGAATTCAAAACAAGTAGCAAATTAAATTATTTTATAACTTTAACATTTCAAATTTTAGTTTTATACCAGTGCAAGTTGTTGTTGCTGCTGTTCTATTTACTTCTTAATGTTTTGCAGCAATAAAGATCAATGTGCTTAGACAAGGATCCCATCCAAATAGCATTTGACCATGGAAGCATACATTATATTAACAGGAGGTGAAGGACTATTTACACTGTATTGCAAGATCTATTTAACCAGTTAGGTATAGCAAGTTTACCTTGACACACTTTCCCGTCTTGACTGAGGATATAACCGTCCTCACACTCACAACGGTTTTCCACTGGGTTTCTTTTGCAAATGTTGTTGCAGTCTTGTTTGGTAGGATTGCATTTATCTTTTTCTGCAGTTGTGTGAAATAGGGCATGAAAATATCAAAGCTTTAGTTTCTGCAACAACTGGCATGAACCCTTGCAGTAGAATGTGAATGTAATTATAGCATTACAGTACAGGGCTTTTTTTCAAACGCAAACATACCAGTGTTCATCCAACTTGAAATTGGATTTTTCATCTTCTTTTCAATTTCATAGCATCAACATTTAAGAGAATACCAGATTCTCTTCAGGTTGGTAAATTTACTGAACATGGCTGGGTGGGGGAGAGGAGTGGGTGTATGATTCATGGTATTAATTTCCCATTATACAAACATAGCAAAAAAATTGCTACTTTAAGATATCAGCATCAGTTGGCCTCTACTGTATGTATAGCCCAAAGCCCCAGAGATTTATGAGATCTCAATCCCATTGGTTTATCTTTTGATTAAAAGTCATGTGTCTGTGTGTTATTAAGAAAAACAGTAATAATAGTTTTGGTTAACATTTCTGGAAATTAGAACGGTTAATATCTGTCACTAGAAATGGGTAATGCTAAAAAAAATACAATAATATTTCATTATAACCTTCATGTTTTAAGATGGTAAATAATAATAATAATAATCCTTGCATTTGATATAGCACCTTATCACATCTTCAAGACGGTCAAAGTACTTTAATACTTGCATTTTATACAGTCTTATTGAGCTGTCGAAACATTTCAAAACTATTCACAGGATTTACTGTAAAGCGTAGTAATAATAATAATAATCTTGCATTTGTTATAGTACCTTATCATGTCTTAGAGACGTCTCAAAGCGCATCGCAGAATATACTAAGCGCTCTGAGACGCTGCCCAACGTGGAGGGCGCTATATAAATGCAAGTTGTTGTTGTATTGTAAAGTAAATTGACTCTATATTTTGTGGGCAAAATGCGGCACCCAATTGTGCTCAGCAGTGTCCCACAAACATCATGGATTGAAGTGACCAATTTTTTTTTTTTTTTTGAAGGAATTATTACCCCCGGAAAAGTGATCCGCCAATCGACTACCAACCGGTTACTGCTAGATAAACAAAGTTGTGTGGAGTAAGGAAACTTACTCTTTTACCCAACATTTCACCGTTCTTGGAATTGAAGCCAGGTCTCTTGCTTCCGAGACGAGTGCTCCAACCACTGAGGTACAGGACTCCACAACTGTGCATTTGAGTATTTGTACACAATAGTCAATTTGCACATAGCAGTATCCCAAAAATGGCAATTTAGTGATTAACAAATTTATCTGGGGATTGTTGGCCAAGATACTGGGGAAGGCACCCTTCTCATTGACCCCATTTTGTGCTTTTGAGGTGAGGGAGGTTTGTGGTAGGAATTGAACCACTTTTTCATGTCAGGCAACCAAGGTCAGCATCAAGCACCAGTTCATTGACAGTACTACCAAGTGGAAAATAATGATGTCTCTGCCTCTGGAGAAGTGACGCCCCCCACACCACACCACCACCCATTGCATCAGAGTGAATGTTTCCACACTAATCATATCAATAGCATCTCTGAATGAGATTGTCAATTTACAGGCTGTTTTATGCTTTCAGTTAGGCTAGTTAACCCAAGTTTATTTCACGTAACATCTTACAGTCAACAAAAATGATAAACTTTTCTGTTCTAGATTTAAACAGCATGAAAGATGATATGTAACTGTAAATATTGTATTGAGGTGAAATTATTAATCTGTTGCACAACACAGTCCCAACCCCCAACAGCATTCAACGTGTACAAAAATAATTAACCAATGGCTGGTTCCCTATGCAAATATTTCCTTTCTCCATGTCAGTGAAGGGAATCAGTAATTTTTTATGGGGAAGTCACGTTGTTATCACTTTGGGACTGAAATTCCAGTCAAAGTTAACTGGAGAGACTTTGACAATGTATATTTATAATGGGGAAATTTAATTCAAGCTAACTTAATTAATTATTAAGATTGCCTTTAGTGGCCAACATTGCACATGATGCTACCAATAAAATCAACAGGAATTTCAGCTCTTTTATGTGTCTTTTCTTTGTCTCTGTCTTTCTCTATCTCTCTCAGTCACGTGGAACAAACCGTCCTATCAAGAACTTACTATTTCATAGCAGTTGGGCTATTCCTTCATCTATCCATATCAAATGACACTCCTCAAGACTTGCCAGGAATGAAGATGTACAGAGAGATTCAACTCATATACTAGATTATATGACATGAAATCCACTATTCAATCAGAGACTAGGTTCTTCTGTGCATCAATAAATGGTCTATTTATCCTTGCTGTCATTTATCATCTGTACATAAGTGTTACAGGAATTGGATCTAATGGTCCATAATCTAATAAACATGGAACTAGGATTATCCAAAGTAAAATTGGTAACACTCAAATAATAGCTCTATTTGTAGACAATGCACTGAATAGCATCCAGCTATATACAGGAGCAACTGTGTGTTGCTGGTAACATTGTAAATGGACTAAGGTTAAATGTACTGTAGTTCTTTTTCTCCAAACAAATCTTACTCCCCCTTCAGTAATCTGCCCGAGAGAATAAGATTTGACAGCATTGCACTACGTCATAAGCCCTAAGAACAAAATAAGGTTTGTTGTAATTAAATCTTTTACTTCAATGCCCTGATTGGATTTTCAACAGTGGATTGCTCTTGCAAATCTAAATCTTGGCATTGTACCAGATACACATCCTCACACTGGGGGCCCAAAAGTTCATCTAGATTAACTACTCTTTCATGTCTAACAATAGTAAAAACATCTGGAATACTTTGCAGATGCTCACTGCAGCCAGTAATATTAGCTCTAAGTAATAATACTCTAAGGTGATGAGGGGGAGGGGAGGTTGATGCAATGTTATGATAAACTGTTATGCTTACTAGAACCAACATTTACACAGATGAATCGGACAAGAGTAATTTGTTTCCTATTACTGTCAAACTAATTATTAGGTTAATTATTCTCTCAGTTGGTAGCACTCTCACTTCTGAATCAGAAGGTTGTGAGTCCAAGCCCCACATTGGCACTTTAAATTCATATAGTCCAAGATGATACTCCAATGTTATCCTGGGGGTGTGCTGCATTGTTAGAGGTACTGTACTTCAGATGAGACATTTAATCAACATCAACAGTCTTCAGTTGGATGTTAAAGATTCCATTGCACTATTCAAAATGACCAACAACCCCCCAAATAAAATTGATCATCCACTTCATGGCTGTTAGTTGGACATTGCTGTGTGAAAATTGTCGGTTGCGTTCACTTACAAAATACAGTCACTAAAAGTTCTATACTTTTTATAGTAAATCCTGTGAAGTGCTTTGTGACTTTCTCCCAACATGAAAGATGCAAGAATTATTATTATTATATGATGTTCCAATATGAAAGCCACAAATTATCATAAGTATATGTTTTAAATAAAGCCACTGCTATAAGAAGCTTTTTTAATAATTCTACCTATTAATTGAGAGTCCGACGGCGCTGTTGGCTGAGAGAAATGATGCACAATTTTGATATCGGCTGGAGGCAAAAAGGAAGGTTTCAGGCTGATGGTAACCACATCTTTCCCAGTGTACTTGTTTGCTCGCCGAATAGTAGCAGTTTTCCATTCTGAATAATACACATGCTCAGCAAAGAGGGATATTCCAAAGGCCTGGTGACTGTTCAGACACAGGGAAACACAATAAACAATGAAGGGGAAAAAAATCCTAATTTCATTTTTCTAGTTGTGCATCACTTCACACACTGAAGTAATAGTCTATTGTTTACAGTGCAGCAGGTTGCAGCAAAGAAGAGTCTCTTTAGGCTTTGGCACAAGCTATATCACTTTGATGTATGGAAAATAACTGCTCGGCAAGTAGTGAGTAGTGAAGTTGAGAAAAATTAAAGAGTTATCTAAATTTAAAATATTCTTATAACTAAATAATTACCAAAATATGATATGCGTTGGATTGATTTGCTCTGTTCGGTGCAGAAGTGCTATAGCAAAGGTGGTATTGAAAGAGATGGGAATATTTAAAAGACAAACAGGCTATATCAAAAAAAATAAACAGATTATCAATAAAAGTGCAATAATACACTGGCAATAATGAAGAACTAAAAGTGAAATTTAAAAAAAATTAAGAATGAATTAATTTTCTTTTCCTAATAATTTCTGAAATGTTAACAAGACTTACTGCATTGATTGTTTCATGACTTGAACTGAATCTCCATTGTAATCACATGAGCCAATGCTACTGGAGGCAGTCTCGGGGCTGTTTTGAACCCAGAACAGCCTTCTGTCAATAAAATCCAATGTTAAAGCCTTCACATTTTCAGTAGTCTTTAAAATTGTAATGATCTCAGTCCCATCTAGAGTTGCACGATCAATGCTTGGAGCAGAACCTTCTGAAGCACAAAATATATACCTAGGAAAAAGATCACCCAGTTTGAATTAGTTCTCACAGTAATACAACATAATGAAACTTCCTACAATGGGTGGTGTGGGTTAGTACATTGGCCTTTCTTCCAGTATATGTGTTTGAATCAATCTAGACCAGATGGGATGAAAGTCTCATCTCTGCTTACTCTAATATTTGTGAATCCAATGTGTTTAATCTGTCTGTATACATAGTATACATGATCCACATGAATCCATAGCCAAAGTATGACTATACATGACCAAGGCATTCAAAGGGCAATCTTAAACAGAGTGACTGTTAAAATTTCCAATTTTAAGCAACATCATCAGTCATTGTAATAAAATCCACGTTAAACAATCTATCACACAATCTAAAATTTAAATCCAAGACTCACATTATTTATTTTGCCTTAAGCATTCTGAGGCCCATTCCACCTGAAGGCTGCTATATAAATGCAAGTTGTTGTTGTCAATAATAATTATCCTTGCATTTGATATAGTGCCTTATCACATTGTTGAGATGTCGCAAAGCGCTTCATAGAATATACTCTAAAGTGAATTGACTGTGTATTTTGTGGGAGAATCTCGGCAGCTAATTGCGCACAAACACTCGTGGATTTGAGTGAGCAAATTATTATTACTATTTTATTTTACTTATTGTGGAAGCGATTATTACCCCTTAAAAATGATCTGCCAATCGATTAACAACCAGGTTCTACTTATTGCTAAGTAAACAGAGGGATAGAGTAAAGAAACTTTTCTGAGGTTTTGACACCTGAACTTTTTTATTATAATTTTAGTAAATATACTTATTGATTTCACATTTTTAACAAAATTCATTGCCCTTTTGTGGCTTTGACTATTTTTCCCCTGGCCAGAACCATGTAACACAGCACGCAAAAGAAAAATTAGCCATAATTTTGTATCCCAGTGGTTTATCAGAAAGTGCAACAATTTGCCAGGGGTAGCTATAGGGTGAGGGCAGATTGGGACCGAGGAAAGGTTTTAAAGGATATAGAAAAGAGCAGAGAATTGAACAAAAAATACACGGCTTCATTACAGGAGCAATTAATACCATGAGTTGACTGACATCCTACTGTGTCAACCCAATCAAGCCAGCCTTTCCCTTTGCTTCATGTCTCCCCCTGTATCCGCCTCACCATTTGCGGACTGGCGTTCAGCCATTCTGCCTCCACTCTATGAAATTTCATCCCAGAGTCCCTCTAACTTGCTCTCTGAAAGGAAGAGCAGTGTCACTGAATAGAATAGAGTCCTACCCTTTCTTTGGATCCACTACTAGAACAGTGGGAAACGTTAATTCATTCAGCAAGATCCTGGAATTCTTTCCATTCATGTTGGATGCTTCAATAGTTCCTTTCTTTCGATTCGTCCAAATTAAGTTGTTGTGCAACCAGTCCACTGTAAATCCCAGAACACCTTTCCCTACAGGGCGTACATTCTGTGAGATAAATAAAGCAGCCTTGTTAGAAATTCCATGTTCTATAAAGCAAAGCACTAAAAAAATGTAATACCAAGTGGTTGTTCCTTGCAATTTAATCTGACTAGTGCATTATTAAGTCTGTCATTTCTTTATGTGAGTGATAAAATATCCTTTCATAAAATAAGGCTTGGCCATTATTCATAGTGTCTGTCAACCCAAGCATTCCAGCAATTATGAACCATATATTCAGCTGGATATTTGATGCCATTTATTCTTGTAAGCACTTGCCTATGTGGGTTTGTTTTGAATATGTTGGATGCATCAAATGTTGTTGCTTTGATCGAGTATGCTGATAGTATTCCTCTTTCTTTTCCCTCGGATTTATCGCCTTTTCTGCTCTGCTCCTGGTCTCAGAGGTGCTACTCTTGTTGGAGAACAGTTCATAAACTCCAGCCGCCAAGTACCCCAGCCAAGTGACCATTCCTCATGTGTGTGCCAGACAGTGAGTTTTGGCAGGTTCTTTTAACCGTGAGTTGGGACCTGACAGCCGATCCCAATTCCTTCCAATCACTTTCCAGCAGGAGTCATTGGTCCAGAGCGGGAACTCTGGCAGGTAATTTGCCCTTTCCTAGCCTGGAGGGTGCTGAAGCAATTAAAGCACAGAAAATATATCCCGGTCTGAAATCAGCTCATTCAGAACAGAACGGAATTGAAACTTAAATATTGCTATGTTTTAAGCGTCATCATTTGTTTCTTTTTGGCAGTGTTGAATGCTGCATCAACAAAAAGGCTGGTTTCGGTATCCATTTTTTTGAATCATTCGCAGGCTGTGGGTAATCTGGGAGGGCCAGTATTGATTTCCTATGTCTATTTGCCCTGAGCAAGGGGTGGCTGGCCTTCTGTTAAAACTGCTAACGTCCTGAGGTGAAGGTGCACCTACTTCTAACTGTATGGCTATATAAACAATTTCAAGCAGGAGCGAACATGTGGTCCACCTAGCCCACCCAATGCTGCCCAATGTTGTTCAGCACCTCTGGCTTCCTACTGTAGGATTCTGTAATTAATGTGTTAAATAATATCTCAAATTATATTTGCCATGTTTATATATATATATATTACCTATATGTAGGTCGTACCTCTCCCACCGTCTTCATTTTGTGTCCACAAACGGCTTTTCCTCCAGCTCCCGCACTGTCTCGTGCGGTGTCCCTCAGGGCTCTGTCCTCGGTCCCCTCCTTTTCACCCTCCATATGCTCCCCCTTGGTGACATCATCCGCAGACATGCGGTTAACTTCCACATGTATGCGGATGACACCCAACTCTACCTTTCCTCCTCTACCCTTAACTCCATGACCACCGATGTCCTGACAGCTGCCTGTCCGACATCGAGTCCTGGACGAGAGACAACTTTCTTCAGCTCAACGTGCGTAAAACTGAGGCCCTCCTGATTGGCTCACGTCAGCGCCTCCGCACCTCTGGCGCTGACAGCTTCAGCATCCAAGGCTGCACTCTCCACCTCTCAAAGCAGTCAGGAACCTCGGGGTTCTGTTCGACCCTGAGCTGTCTTTTCTCTCTCATATCCGCGCCACAACTGGCACCGCCTTCCATCACCTCCGGAACATCGCCAGACTACGGCACTACCTCACCCCTCACGATGCTGATACTCTGGTCCACACCTTTATCACCTCAAGGCTGGACTATGGGAACTCTCTCCTCGCTGGCCTTCCCGCCACCTCCCTCCACAAGCTGCAGGTCATTCAGAACTCTGCAGCTCGTGTACTGTCCCGCACCAGGCTTCGGGACCACATCACTCCCACCCTCGCTCCCCTCCACTGGCTCCCCATCCCCCAGAGGATCGAATTCAAGATCCTCATCCTCACCTACAAGGCCATTCATGGCCTTGCACCCTCCTACCTCTCCGACCTACTATCCCCCTACCTACCTGCCCATACCCTCCGTTCCTCCGGCTCCGGTCTGCTCCACATCCCCCGCCCCAACCGCCCTACCATCGGTGGCCGGGCCTTCAGCCTCTCAGCCCCCAGGCTCTGGAACTCCATCCCCCAGTGCCTTCGCCGCTTCCTCCCTTTCCTCCTTCAAGGCCGGTCTCAAGACCTTTCTCTTTGACCGTGCCTTCAGCTCCCCTCTCGACTCTCTACCCCCTCCTCGCTCCCTCCCTTCCCTCCCCATTTCCCCCCTGCTCGGGTCCTGACCCAACTGTACAGCGCCTTGGGACATCCTCCCGACGTGAAAGGCACTCTATAAATGGAATCTTGTTGTTGTTGTCTTGTTGAAAGATATAATCAATCTCATATGAGGAGAATTGGTTGTGACTAGCTTCGAAGAAGCTCCTTGCTCAAAGAGGCGATACAAAAGACTGTTTATAAACAACAAACTGTTTTCATTCCCTATCAGTCATTTTCTCATGGAAAAATGGTCTGCAGCTGGAGAGAGCTATGGTGCATTTGTTTTTCCAAAGGAACCATTTTGCAAAAGACAATAGGTGAAAGATAACCTAACGAGCTGTATAAACGGAGATCGATTCGGAAGAGAATCGGAAGAAAGAATTGAAGAAGGAGAGGGATCGAATTGATCATGCCATAATAGAATTGGACATGCTATGATACTTGGATACTTTCGGGTGATCGAATTGGACGTAATAGAATTGGATGTGCAATAATACCTGCATACTTCCGAGTGATTGAATTGAACAAACAAAAATACCTGGATACGTTTGGGCGATATCGAACTGGGAACCATACAATAATACCTGGATACTTTTGAGTGATATTATTTTGAGCTTAAAATGGATATTAAATTGGACGCTGTTACTCTATCTCTTCCGCAGCATTTGGTTAGGTCAACTTAAATCGTTGTGAAATATGCATCGATACTAAGCATTGTTGTGATGTTTTCTTTTAATTACTTATAACTTTACTAATCTGAATTAATAAATATCGATATTTTGTGCATTTGTGTCAGTCCTTACTTTAACGCAGAGTCACAAATTTAAATTAACCCTTACACTACACAATGCTGCTGGATTATTTCAATGTGCATCACATTGCTTAGCATTTTCAGTCATATGAAACCTGCATCAGCCTACTGACAAAGCACATATTTTTATTCAGAGAGAACTAATAGAGCTTAGCTTAATCTACATCACTCGTAGTTTGACTCGATTTGAATCAAAAGAAAAGGTTTGAAAGCCATATCTTCTGTGCCGGAAACTTACCTCCTTCTCTGTGCCATTTAGAAACGCTCTTTGTATCTCTCCTTTCTCTTGATCTATCCAATAGATTCTTCCATCCCTGTAGTGGAAATCCAAGAGGACTGACATCCCCGCATTGGCCACTAGCCGCTTGTGATTAATTCCCTCCCTGTCAATCCTGAATAGTGCATTGCCATGGCTGAAGATGAGGTATGGTGGAGGAGCTTAAAAAAATTGGAAGCATAAATGTATAAACTAAATCTGAACAAAGAGATACAATTTACATAAGGATTTGCTAGGTGAAAGAAGACCAAGGTCCATCCAGTTTGCCTTCCACTCTGGATCTCCCTGCCTTAATTCCTTCACCTTGCCACCTCTTTAGATTGCCCCCGAAGACCTTCCTCTTCGAGTGTGCTTATGTTCATCTACTCCTCACCCCAATTTGGTATCAAACTACATTGAAACACTCCCAGATGCTACCCCAGGTGAAGGGTGCTGTGTAAATGCAAGTTGTTGTTTTGTTGAAGATGTGGAATGCTCCATAATAATAACCCCTGCATTTGATATAGCCTTTCATGTTGGAAGGACATCCCGAAGCGCTTCACAGGATTTACTGTGAAGTGGTGTGACTGTATTTGTGGTTGAATAAATTTGTGCACCATTGATCCACAAACGACCACAAAGTGAATGACCAACATTTATTTGGGGGATCGTTGGCCAGGTCAGCGGGAGAAACTCCCTTTTCTTTTGAATAGTGCCACAGGATTTTTAACATCCACCTAAACAGACAAACAGTCTTCAATTTGACATCTCATTCGAAATAAGGCACCTCCAATAATGCAACACACTCACTGAAGTGTATTGAACTGTATTGAAATGTCAGCTTAGATTGTGAGTTTAAGTCCTGAAGTGGGTCTTGGACCCACAACAACAACTACAAATTGCATTTATATAGTGTCACCATTGAGCCAGGCTGACAAGGTGCAATCAATAGGAACATTTGAACAAGAGATAGGTAGATACATGATAGCAAAGGCATTAACCGTATGGTGAAAGGTTAAAGCAACAACACCACCAACAAAATTACATTTGTATTGCGTCGTTCATGTCAGGAGGATGTCCCAAGGCGCTGGACAGTCAGTGTTTTGGACCCGAGCTGTGGGTCCGGATTAGGAAGGGTGGAGGGCAGGGGGAAGCAGGGTGATCGAAAGTACGGTCAAAGAAGAGGGTCTTGAAAGGGGTCTTGAAGGAGGCAAGGGAGGGGGTGTGGCAAAGTGACTGCAGGATAATGTTCCAGAATGTAAGGGCAGAAGGCAGAAGGCCCGCCTGCCAATGGTGGGGCGGCTGAAGTTGGGGAGTGGGCAGGATGGTAGGGGATTAGGAGGTCACAGAGGTAGGGGGGGCTTGTATTGTATCCTCTATGTGATGGAAAGCCAGTGGAGTCGGGCGAGGATGGGGGTGATAGAGTCTCGGAATCTGGTGCGTGAGAGGACACGAGCTGGATGATCTGCAACCTATGGAGGAAGGAGTTGGGGAGGCTGACAAGCAGGGAGTTTGCATAGTCAAGCCTCGATGGTATAAATGCGTGTGAGGTTTTCGGCGGCCTGTGGTGTGAGACAGAGGCAGAACTGAGCGATGTTGCAGAGGTGGGGGAAGTCAGAGTGAGTCATGGCATGGATGTGGGGTAGAAAGAAGTTGAGGGCCAAACAAAATGCCAAGGTTCCGGACTGGCATAGAAAGGTGGAGTGTGCATCCATGGATGGTGCTGCTGTCAGCATTGGGATTGAAAAATATGCCAGATTGTAATAAACAAGTGGAACAGGTTTAGTGGTCAGAATTGCCTCCTTCTGATCCTTTTTGCCTGTATGCCTAAAATCATTGTATTATTATTAAAATAAGTAACTCTGGCCTGATATTCCATCCCTCCTAGTCGTAATTGCAGGAGAATGGTGCATGGTACAGAGGAAAAGGATAGACAAAGGGAATTAAATTTAAATGTAATAAATGTTAATCTTTCAATGACCCAAATTGTTTTTCTATTAATGATATGATATGTATAGTATGTTTTAATTAACTTAATGGTTCATTATCATACTAATCATAAAAACATGGTGCATTAGTCCTTGTGACCCATTGTCAAATCCTTTTCAAATGCAAATATCATACACATGTACTTGCTAATTACAGAAAACACTGATGTTTGGGGTCCCAGACAATGTGCTCACGCTGGAATGCTATTCTGGCGTTTCCATGACTGGAGAGCATATGGTGGTCAGTCTATTCTGGCACTCCCCACCAGAAGGTAAATGGATTTTCATGCCTTGTTATTTACACAGAGCAGATCAATGTTAACATATTCAGAGTACGTAGACTTCATTTACGTAAATGGCATTACAACGTTGACTGGAATGAGCTAGATTTTTCTCAAGAATTTAACAGCTGTCATCGATTTTTGCCAGCAGCTTTCTTCAGGCTGAATTTATAAATTCTTTGTCCATTGCAGTGGAATCTGTTCTCACAATGTAAAATCAACATTTTTAAAAATCTGATAAGCAGCATACAGCAGATAGCTCTCTCTGTTGGGTTATCTTTAATTTCTACTTTAATCACAATTCATATTCAAGTAAAGGATTTTTGCAAACCAATATATCCATTCACTCATGAAAATTTCAAATATATTTAATAATTTCAAATAATTTCTCAATGTTTCCCTGCTATTCTCATGATTTCTATTTCAACAGTAGTTATTCCCTGCTAGATGTAGCCTAGAAAGGCTGATCCAGTATACAAAAGTGCTTTAGGGATTGAGAAAACTTTACTCAGAAAAATTGAGTCTTTTGGTATGTGTCTTATTCCTACGATAGCAATAATAATAATCCTTGCATTTGATCCAGTGCCTTATCGCATAATCAAGACATCTCAAAGCACATCACAGGATATACCATAAAGCAGTGGGACTGTGTGTATTTTGTGAGTGAAAATACCATGCCTACCCCCAAAGGCAAGTGTACACCAGCCATGGTTCTGAACAAACTCTACAAGGTATAATGTCACATTGATGAAATGTTTCTTGTGAAGAGAGTGTTGCCCTCAAACTCAGGCCCACCACAATATCTGGAAATCATGGGGGATTTTTCTCCCATTGTTAGAATGGGAGAAAATGTTGGGCCATCCATTTATTTTTAAAGGTATTTTGCAGTTACATCTTTTGCTATTGATAACATCAATTAAGTAACTCATAGCTTTTTTTTTATCAAGGCAGGGGTTACAAGGAATTCAAAAAACTGAATAGTTCAGAGACTTACAGTCTGCACGACAAGTCCACTTATTGCCCTCCAACGTGTATCCCGGCAGACAGGAGCAGGTATATGACCCTGGGGTGTTGGTACAGATCTGGCCACAAGTTCCCAGTCCACCTTCAAAGCATTCATCAATGTCTGCAAGACAATATTTACAACAACGTGACAAGCCAGCATGCTATTTGCCATGGCTCTTCTCCCCCATCCTCCACACAATGCAGTAATTATTCATTTTCAACATGCAAATAGCATAGCAATTCTGGCAGCAGATACACTGAGATTGTTTTGTCTGGGGCAGAGCACAGTTCTGACATAGTTTATGACTGAATCATAGTTTACAATGTTATGTAAGTTTTAACAAACTTTACTTGATCATTATTCAGCCGCGAAACTTTTTGCCTTCAGCAACAAAATACAACTGTGGAGTAAGGGAACTTGCCCAACACTTTGCCTTGCCGGAAATCAAACCCAGGTCTCCCACTTGTGAGGTGAGTGCTCTAAGCACTGAGCTCCAGGACTTTACAAGGATAGGAAGAGTCAACACTGAAGGATCAAAAAGCCAAGTCACTATGAAAGCTTGGACACAACAAGCCAGTTATCTCTGTGGTAATTTTTCTGGCATCTTTTCAAGTTGGTGAGACCATAACAAGTCAACATAAATATAAGATAGCCACTAGAAGAATTTAGGAGGAACTTCTTTACACTGAAAGTGTTAAGAATGTCTAACTTATTGTCAGAAGCTGTGGCTGAAATGGAAAGGAATAATGCATTTAAAAGCAAACTCAATGAGTACCTGAGAGATAAGGGAATAGAGGACTTTGGGAGGAAAAATAGGGAGATGGGTGGGAGGATGGCGCTTCATGTGGAATATAAACATTGCATGGACTAGTTGAGCTGAAGGGCCATGTTTCGATGCTGTACAATCTTTTTAATGAACCTCATATTGGTTGTGATATGTGTAAAATCCCCTCCTGTATGAACATTTCAATGGAAATGTAATATCATGTAAATTATCTGAACGTAAATGAGCTAAATGCTACTAATGACTACACAAACACACTCATGTTTCAACAGAAAATGTCTTGATTCTTTAATTGGCAATTGTTAACTCTACTGTGGGCTGATTCCATGCTAAAAAATTCAATCTATATGTAATTGACAACTAAGATATGAATATGCATGCCATCATAAGTATTAATATCCTTCCATATAATAATAAAATAATCCTTGCATTTGATATAGTGTCTTATCACTATATATATCTTATATGCCTTATCATAGAATATACTGTAAATTGAATTGACTGTATATTTTGTGGGTGAAATGTGGCAGCCTATTGTGCACAGCAGTGCCCCACAAACAGTCATGGATTGAGTGATCTAATTATTATTATTTTTGTTTTTTGTTGTTGAATTATTAGGGTGCTGATAGTGTTAATTAACACTGGTGTTAGTACATCATTGAAGATTCCTTTGTGAACAAAAATTCCTAATTTCGTAAAACCTTTATCCTGTCATAATCCAAGTATTAACAGCACCAACACCTGCATGTTAAATTGTCTCCTTCACAGAAGGTGAAAATTAGCTCATACAAATTTCAACTCTGTTTGACAATCCAGTGAGTCAAGGAATTCAAGATCAATCCACCAATTTGATAACATATTATCTGACTTCATTATCTGAAATCCTATACAAGGCAGATCAGGTAACATTACCACGAAACTAGAAAGCTACAAAGACAAACACACTGAATCATCGCTAATCTTGCATATGAGTTGTCTATACCTGTATGCTTTACTCACGGTTATAAGCATTATCTATAGTCCACCTGAATCATTTTACTGTTGGCCATTCACATTCTGTGGTTTACTCTTTAATGTTGAAATAGCAAGCAAATTAGTTCATGGATATCAACAGTTTTCTTCTAAGTTGCTCACCTGTCAAGAATGTTTTATTGCTGTGACTCAGGAGTGCTGTTTGTTGCTTATCAAATACTTTAAACATGTAGAAATGTATATGCATTACTTTTAACACTACTGTATTTGCTGTAATATACCAATCTATATAAAAATGTAATTCTTTAGGTTTGCCTGGATCATTGGGTTTTATGCAATAATAAACAGAAGGGGTATCCATGTTAGTGGCAATGATCTGCCTCACTTAAATAACAGAACAACAACAACAATTAGCATTTATATAATGTCTTTAATGTAGGGTAGCAGCTCAGAGGGCTTAAACAATACTGGGTATGTTAAACACTAAAGCAATAAACTAAAAAACACTGAGTACTAAATAATGCTAATTAAAATCCCTGATAAAGTCACACCTTTTTATTTATAAAAATATACACAAGGATTGAAGGGGATAATAGTGACAATGTAGATAAGGTTCAAATCCGATTCTTCCATATGTCGAGATCTCAATTGGAGAATCACAAAAGGATCTGTAACAAACAAATCCTGGATGTTTGATGGCTGACCCTCTGAAACTCCGCTAGGATATTTCACTCAGTTCTGATGTCTAAGAAGTGGTTTCTAAGAGTGTCTGCAGAAGGTGAGCCATGATGTATTTGGGATTGCTATTTAAAAAATCTGCTTGCAACTCTTGCAATTTAGACCTCAATGTGTTCTATTTACTCTATCATGGCCTCAATGACAGCCAATCATGAGAGGTTAAGGAGGCTGAGACTCTGTTTCCATTAGCTATCACAAATCCTTTTGGAGACCAGCCTCATAAAGGTTTGTACATAAGACAGGATTTTGTGTTTTAGCCTCCTCACTTGTTGAAAGCAGGAAAATGGACTCTACCTCGTACTTAATCTCCTGAAGAAAAATATGATCTGAACCCCGAAGATAATCAAGGAAAAATATTTTGAATATCCATCCATCCTCATCATATACAATTTATACTTATATAGTGCCTATCACATTGGAAGGACATCCCAAAGCTCTTGACAAATCTGGCTGAGCACCGGAGATAAGAATGGGATTTAATTCCAAACAAGACATTACTAAACTCATGGAATGTATGATCTTGGCTGAAAATTGTTTCTGAATACAGTTTTATACCCCTCTCGCACATTCTACTATACATACTTTAAAAGATTATTTCTCTTTATTAGCCATTATTTCTTCTTTAATATTATATTTTCCAGGGTAAGCTCAAATCAACAAAATGTGAAAATCAACTCCTTTTCTGGGGGTAATAATACCTTAAAAAAAACTACTAATAATTTTGTCATTCAATCCACAACTGTTTGTGAGACACTGCTGTGTGCAATTGATTACCATGTTTTGCCCACAAAATACACAGTCAATCCACTTTACACTATAGTCCTGAAGATGTGATACAGCATTATATCAAATGCAAGGATTATTATTATTTTATATAAAAGACCAACTTTATAATATTTTAAATGAATGCTTTAACTTTTTTGAAGGAACAACATGAATATTGTAAGTTTATTTGTACTTTTTTAATCAATAAATCTTTTTCCTCTGTGAATGCCCCTGGATTTTTACAAAGTGTGGAAAACAGACAGTATTAATGCCAATCTCTGCATGACCTTTTTTATCAATTGGTTAAATCCAGAATAGAAAAATGTTCAGCATGACATTAAAAAGCAAGTGCGCACAGGTCCCTGCCTGTAAAAATTGAGAGATTATATGAAAAGATAATTGTAGAGGTTGAAAGAAGCATTCTTCTCCAGAGAAGCAGGATTCTGTACAACATTACGGATACTTCTGATACATTTCCAATTATAGCCATTTGGTGAAATGTTTGCAAAAGCTGCCAAGAATACTGGGAAGTTCAAATTCTTGTTTTATCATTCTTTAATTTATTAGATGCCTTTTCTTCCTTCTCAGAAACTTCTTTTTCTCTCCCACAATCATTTTCACCTATGAAGCTTGTGGGCAGAGCAATCACCCAACAGAACACATAATCACTACTTTACACGACATTCTGTGAAGCACTTTTGAGACATCCTCCCGATGTGAAAGCTGCTACACCCAAATGTAGGAATTATTATTATTATCTGGACTAAAGACTTCTCCATCAACACTGTCAATATTCCTCAGTGTTTCATCACAGGAGACATGCCTGCACGCGTGATTCTCAGGTTGGGAACTCTAAAATGTTACAGACCAAAAATCAGCCCATCAAGTCTCTGTTGGTGTTTTTCTGTGTGTGTCCCATCTCAAGACCGTCCTCTTCGACTGTGCCTTCGGGCTTCAGCCCACCGCCACCCGTGCCCCCCCCCCATCCCTCCTAATTGAAACCCCTAGCTCGGGTGCAAACCCTTCACTGTCAAATTTTGTACAAATTAAAAATTAAAAATTTGTATTAAAATTTTTAATACAAATCAAGCCGCTGGCCTTGGGACATCTCCCGACGTGAAAGGCACTCTATAAATGCAATTTGTTGTGGTTGTGTGAGGCTCTTAACCTAATATCAGTCTCTCCCATGTTCAATTAATAGATTTTTTTTCTTCCGAATTATCTTCCCTTTCCTCTTTCATACAAAAAGTGACTACACCAAGACATTCCATTCAGTGAATGCAGAGCAACTCCATTGCAACAAGAGATCAGCATCTCAGAGGCCATGTAATAATGAAGGAAGAAAACGCATATGGTAAATTGAAAAATAAATGACCAGCTTCCAGGTCATCAGATCACCCTAACATCACTTCCTGTACATTGTGCATATGCACAGGAAATGCTGCTGAACCCACTTTCTTTGCTAAGCTTTTTCTGACCCAGTCCACTTTCTTCTACAACATCGCTGATCTTCATCACTAGCTAATAAAGCCAAAACACTCATGCCTGTCTTCATCTCCCTTGACTGTTTAAAAATTCCACACCATCATTCATTTTAAGACAATGGCTAACTTTCAAATTCTTCAGTTCCTTCTACGATGTGTCTCACCCTACTTCTGTGACCCCATTGCCCTGGCTCCACTGCTTATTCAGCAAACACTGGCCTGATTCACATCCCCTGCTTGTTCCAGCTTACATTAGTGGGTGACTTGTCAGCCATTCTACCCCCAATTTCTGTCATGCCATCCTGGAGTTCCTCTGCCTTGCCCCCCACCTTCAAAACCTGCCTTAAAAACTCTTTTGATCATGTTTTCCCCCCTTTTCCATTGCTCCCCACCTTAGCTGGGGCTTGAGTCAACTGTCTAAAACACTGTGAGATGGCCTCCCAATGTGAAAGGCACTATATTAAGTGCTCCGAGATACTATCCTGCTGCATATGAATGCAAGTTGTTGAATATAAATATAAGTGTAGTATTAGGATCATGGGAAATTTTGGATCTCAACCAAGAAAGGATTAAATAACACTTCTCAATGTTTAGGAATCCCATTTATGGAATTAGATATAACTATAGTTTTGTTTGTGTAATAATTCTGAAGCGCTTTGAGACGCTACTCTGAATGAAGAGCGCTATATAAATGCAAGTGGTTGTTGAATACCACATTTTTCACATATGCTTTGCATTTAATGTTGTATTCAAGAACAGATATTTGTAGGACTACAGTTATTGACAACAATGTCTGCACAAATCAATCACTTCTCACGCTTATGAATTTTGATTCTAACCTATTCAGATTGATTTATTTATGTTTAAATCAATTGAAAATTCCTGGGCAAAATGTGTAAATGATGATTCTCTCTGTACAAAGTGAAAACTAAGAAAAAAATGCCGTGCTAACTCTAAAGGTGAGTTCTCTTCTGTTGTAAACTTTAGCAGCAGCATTAAGGTGAGCAATGTTGTGCTTAGGAATGAGTTGTCCAGACTTGCTATATCATGACGTATAGGTGTATTTATTCATGAAGCATGAACCTAGAAATAAAAGCAACAATGAAATCCTGTTATCGGGAGAGGAGTGTGATGAATCACCAATTTTTTGGGGACTCCAGCTTAGAATCCTAGCAACAGCCAGCTGTAATGAGAACTTGCATGCACTGTAAAGATAGCTCATGTGGTACAAAAGCCGTCTAAAACAACTTGACAAACAGTTTTGAATGGAAGAACAAAAATGTCCAAGGCAACTCAAAACCTTCTTTGGAGTACCCCTGGAGATCATTCTTTTAAAATCAGCCAAGAATATGCATCACTTCACAATGTAGACTCCCTGAATGCTGGTGTGAATTAATAACAGTTTCAAAGCCTGAGAAAAGGAAGCGAATGTAAGATGATGTTTCCTGATGGCTGGCAGGGCAGGGAGGATTCAAGCATCTGTACTTGGTTCATTTGTGCTCAGCACTGTAGGCAGCTAATAAAGACTCTCTGTTAGACAGCATTTGCATGTGAACAAAGCAGCATAAAAATGTTCCGATAAATTTTGGAAGGCATATTGTTTGAGCAATGCAACGCCAAAGCCAACCGTGGAAGTAAGGCATTAAAAGTGCACGTAGGACACTGTGACTAATACAACGATGCAGATTTATTTTATTTTAAAAACAATCCTAACAAAAGGAATTGAATGATTCTTTTTTAAGAAACAGGTTTGATTGATGCCTTAACATCATATTAGCCTGCAGTTATTTCACTTATTTAAAAATGGTTAAATGTCTGCAGAGACTAGATGACGTTTTACAAATTATATATCAGCATAAGTTCTGAAATGAAATTACATTTGTTTTGATTCTAGTATTTAACATGATTATAATAACAGAAAGCTTAATAGCTTGAACACAACGACCAATCTGTGAAGTGCAAAACTCTGTAGTCGGCTTTCAACAATGTCCTTCAGCCCAGGGTTAGATCAAAGGCCTCACATAATGCTAGCAATGATACACAGCTTTGCATAACAAACCTAACTGTTGAGAAGAGCAGTGAAGGGATGATTCACATACTTGTGCTGACTAACCAGCCAGAGGTCTCAATGCCTGGGACTGCTCACAGTTTACTGTTATCAGCAGAGAAGCTTGCCCTGTGGCTTGTTTTGGCGTCTGCTCTTTTTAACATTATTTCTTGGGAGTTAATAAGAATTCCAAACTCCCCTTGAGTGATCATTCACAGCAATACAAAATAAAAGTAACAACCAATTTGCATAAACTGTCACTTAACTTTATACAACACATAAAAATAGAGACAGACAGAAAGCTAACACAGTGCCCACACAACAGAATGGTTCTTGGGTATACAGGCATTAACAGAGGAAAAGGTTGGTGACTCTCTTTCAATGACACTCCTTTAGCCTTTACAGGTAAAATGCACTCTGTAATTGGCAATCATTTGTTTGTTGGTGCAAGTTGCAGTAGTGAAATACATCTGAGAAAAGCATAAAACATAACATCATATTCAACAGCTGCCAGCAACAGCTGGTAGCAGACTTCATTTTAATATAATAATCCTTGCATTTGATAAAGCACCTTACCAAATCGTCGAGACATCTCAAATCGCTTCACAGAATATACTGTAAAGTGAATTGACTATATTTTGTGGGTGAAAATGGCACCTCAGGCAATGAGGGGCTCCCCCAACGTCGCAGTTGAGTATCATTTTAAAACAGTCCAATCTTTTCTCATTGATAACCCGTTTATACTAAAATCCCCCTTTGTGGACATGTGTGTCATATTAGGAACCAAAAGTTTAGTAGGATAAGCCACTTTATGAGTAAGGCCTAATATCTAACAAGTCAACACTTGTCCTAGTAACGTAGCCAAATTAGTCAGATAATAAACACCTGCTCAGTAATTCTGAATCTCAATGAAATAAAATTAATTTGCAAAATTGTTTTGATTCTTTATTGTCGTCCTAGCTCAGTTGATAGAGTCTAGCCTCTAAGTCAGAAGGTTATGGGTTCAAACCCCACTCCGGGACTTCCTCACCTAGGCTGACACTCCAGTGCGATGATGGGGGAGCACTGAGGTGCTGTCCTTCATATGGTATGTCAAACTGAGGTTCAATCCGTCTGATCAGGTGGACATTAAATATTCTGTGGCACTATTCAAAAAAAGAAGGAAGTTTCTCCTGGTATCCTATCCAACAGCAGCAATCTTGACTTCTGTGTTTGCCTATTAATACTCAGTGACCATACTTTACAAAAAACTCTATGAGGCATTGAAATGAATGGTTAGACATGATATGGTGCTGCATCTAATGCAAGAATTATTATGTATCGCTTAAACAAATTATATAATTCAACAAATTGTACATCAAACAACATTTCTGGGGTTAATAAATGTATGCATTTACATATTACTCTGTAGGGATATCCCACTATAAATATAATAATATAATAATAATAATCCCTTCATTTGATATAGCGCTTTTTCACATCTTCTAGACTTCTCAAAGCGCTTCACAGAATATACTGTAAAGTGAATTGATTGTATATTTGTGGGCGAAACGCGGCGGCCAATTGCGCACAACAGTGTCCCACAAATAGTCGTGGATTGAGTGACCAAATTATTATTTTTTAAAAAAAATTCTTGAGGGATTATTATCAGGCATGTGGTGTAAGGAAACATGCCCAAGGTGTCACCCTGCTGGGAATCAAATTCAGGTCTCTCACTTGCAAGGCAAATGCTCTAACCACTGAGCTACTGGACTCCACAAATACACACTATGGCTGTTAGTAAATGCATGAACCAGTAGAAAATTAGCTCAGGAATCTAAATGGATCTGCTCACAATTTAAACAATTATCACCCTGACCCCACAAAGAGAAATAGTCATGCAATAGGTCACCTGTACAACTCAAATGTATTCCAAGTATTTTAAGAAGTCTGAAATATTACAAAAACAGTCATTTGTAATATGAAGGTTAAGTTATATATTAAAACAATATTTTACAAACAGATAACATTAAGTAAAAATCAACCTCAAAAGTAGCTTTTTACTACAATTAGGGTATAATAAAAACGTGATTTAATATGAATGTCCCAAAATGTCTAAATAAAAGTAAACAACGGACTTACCAAAGCACGTGAAGTTATCACTAGATAAGTGGTAACCGTCCAAGCACTTCCACTCCACAGACAGGGAAAGATTTACCAAAACAGCACTGAAGGTCACTGTCAAGACAGATAACAGTATCATAATCTCCAGCGTTCTGGTAATCTATAACAATTCACTAGTCTTTAAGCACAGCCAGAGCAATAGGACAATACGGTAAAGAAGAAAACAGTTGAGATCAACATGCTCTGTAGCATTTTCTCTCAGCTCCTCACACTCTTTTCTCACATGGCTGAGCTCAATAGTTTTACAAATTGCAGCCCTCTCTCTCTCTCACTCTCTCTTACTCTGTCTCTCTCTCTCTCTCTCTCTGAATACCTTGCAAGGTTTCGTAGCTTTTTGGAAGCAAAGTATGAAATGCCTGACACCCTTGTGGGAGATTTTACACACTTAAAAAATCCAGATCATAATACATAATATTCCCAAAGTTAAACTGAGATAAAGGCAATTAAAAGTACAGTAAATTAGTGGTGTCTCAGTGATCTTCCAGTGCAACATTATCTCTGCAGGATTAAGCATTCTGCCCTTCCAATCAACAAACTACTTGTTTGCATTCATTTAGAGGCCTTCTCCCCCTCTTCAACTAACACTCAGTGCTGCAAGAGTTTCACTCACCCCACCCCTTTCTTTTCACCCTCAGTTGACTTAGCCCTAAATACAGTAAATTCAAATATGCATACGGACTGACCAATATTGCAGAGAAGCCGGCCAAAGGGCAGATAGCCATAACTCATAATATTTTCGCTGTCTGTACAAGTTGCATGTCTGAAGGTTACTTGTTGAATGCGAATAATCATACTTTGGTTGTCTCGCACAGAAGCTACAGTAAATAGCAGGTCTCTAAATGGGCAGCAGATCCCACACTGACTTCACGGAGTCAATTGCAGTTCACTACACTCTCTGCCAGAGAGGCCTGAAGAAAATGATAATCTTCTGTGCTTTCCTTATGTTAAGGCCAGATAATAATTTATTTATTTTATGGAACATTAACAATAACAACAAAATTACGTTTGTATAGCTCCTTTCATGTTGGGAGGACGTCCCAAGGCATTGGACGCTGGACAGACAGCGTATTGGACCCGAGCTGGGGGTCGGGGTTGGGGAGGGTGGAGGGCAGTGGGGGAAGCAGGAAGATCAAAAGCACGGTCAAAGAGGAGGGTCTTAAGATGGGTCTTGAAGGAGGCAAGGGAGGGGGTGAGGTGGAGGGACTGGGGGATGAAGTTCCAGAAGGTGGGGGCAGAATTCGCCAATGGTGGGGCAGGCGAGGCGAGGGATGTGAAGCAGGCCGGAGCCCGCTGAGCGGAGGGAGCGGGCAGGTTGGTAGGAGTTTAGGAGATCGCAGAGGTAGGGGGGGAGCAAGGCCATGGAGGGCTTTGAAGGTGTGGACCAGGATCTTGAACTGTATTCTCTGTGTGATGGGAAGCCAGTGGAGTCGGGCGAGGACGGGGGTGACAGGGTCGCGGAGCCTGGTACGGGAGAGGACACGGGCTGGAGAGTTCTGGATGATCTGCAGCCTGTGAAGGGAGGAGTTGGGGAGGCCGACAAGCAAAGAGTTTGCTGAGTCCAGCGTCGATGTAATGAATGTGTGTATGAGGGTTTTGGCAGCCTACTGTGTGAAACAGTGGCGGAGCCGGGCGATGTTGCGGAGGTGGGGGAAGGCAGAGCGGGTTATGGCACGGATGTGGGGTTAGAAAGGATAGTTGAGAATCAAACAAGATGCAAAGGTTCTGGACTGGCTTAGTAAGGTGGAGTGTGCAACTCTGGATGTTGATGCTGTCAGCGCCTGAGGTGTAGAGGAGCTAACGGGAGCCAATCAAGAGAGCCTCGGTCTTGTTGACATTCAATTGTAGAGGTCAAGGAGGATGAGGAGGTAGAGGGAGCCCTGGTCGCAGATGGACAGAATGTTATTTGTCACTTTGACCAGGGCTGTGTCTGTGCTGTGGGCGGCATGGAAACCAGATTGGAGAGGTTCGTGAAGGGAGTGGTGGGAGAGGAAGGAGCGAAGCAACAACTCATTCCAGGACCTTGGAGAGGAAAGAGAGGTTGGAGATAGGTAGTTTGAGAGGTAGTTTGAGAGCAGTGATGGTCCAGGGAGAGTTTTTTAAGGATAGAAGTGATGACGGCCATTTTTAATGGGGTGGGAACAGTACCAGTGGACAGGGAGAGGTTTATGATGTCTGTGAGTAGAGGGGCAAAGAGGTGGAGCTGGGAGGTAAGGAGAGGGGTAGGGATGGGGTCGAGGGAGCAGGTGGTCGTATTCATGCGGGTTATAGTGGTGGTGAGAGAGGAGTGGGAGACAGGTTCGAAGGTGTGGAGGGAGGGATAGGTAGGGACCAGGGTGAGAAGGGGGAGAAAGGGAGGGGGTAGTAGACGGATGAGTAGAGGCTGCTGAATGGATTCCCTCAACTTTGGATTCAAAGAAGTCCATCATCGCCTCGCAGTTAGCATTGGAGGAGAGGATGGGCGAGGCATGAGAGGGTGGGTGAAGGAGCCGGTTGGTGATGGAGAAGAGGAGCCTGGGGTTGTCCTTGGCCTCCAAGATCATCTTGGAGTAGAATGACGATTTAGCGGAGACTAAAGTATGGAACATTTTTGGAGCATGTGGGTTAAGTAAGCCTAAATTAAACAAATGTTGCTGTAGGTATAGGGTATTCATACGTTTCACCCACAAATATACAGACAATTCACTTTACAATATATTCTGTGATGTGCTTTGAGACGTGGAGAAGACTTGAAAAGCATTACATCAAATGCAAGGATTATTATTATTTATAAGGTCATACACACAACAGTTTACTGAGCAGTTTTGATTATATTACAAGAACAACAACAACAAAATTACATTTGTATAGTGCCTTTCACGTCGGGATGATGTCCCAAGGCGCTGACAGACCATAAAGGTAAAAATCAGTTTAGAAACTTCACTACAGATCCTTTCCAGAAACTTTAAACCTAACAACACATATATTTGTTATTAAATATTTAAAAACACTAAATGCTGCCCTATTTCCTTGATCATTAATGTTTCCAAAGAGCTGTTCATATTTAAATTCTACCAATAAACTTTCAACTTTAAAAATATGGTTATTATTTTAAATTATTCTGCCTTTTATTTCTCTCCTGAAGATGATTGGTTATGGTAACATAGGAAATCAGTGTTTTTTCATAACTTATTCATTCACATGCTTATTTTTATTGTGTGAATGTAAACAGTGAGAGCCCATCCAATGGCCACATAAATGCACTTTCAAGTAGGAGTCACTGGTAAGGTTGAATAACGGGAGCATCATCAGAGTTTTTTCCTCTTCTTTCCAGCAGCACTAACGTCATTTATAGGACCTACCAACAGCCCAGCTGAGACCTTAGAATCAAAGGAAATATGAGAGTAAGAGGCCCTTTGGCTAATCAAGCCTCTGGGCACTGACTACTTAATTCCCAATTGTCTGCTCTTTTCCTGGACCTTATCACATTGTTCCTTGCCAAATGTTTATTCAATTCCCTGCGAAACATGTTACGATCTCAGACTGAATAGTCTTTTGTGTTGTGGTAGACAACAGAGTGAAACTGGGATTTGCTTCATCTGTGGTTCAGTTTCAAACTGGACATTGTTTTTGCTAAACTGAGTCATTAGAGAATCAGTTATATATAATGTGTTTAATAAATGACAAGAAGAATAACGGCATTGCTTCTCCACCAAGGTCAGAATTTCCAAAATGTGAACTGACATAACAGATGTTCCTAGACACAGAGAGCCTGACAAGGTTTCTGTGGCATTACATGGTGGAGTGTCAAGTTTATAGAATCATCATAGAATTGTCATTTATAGAATCAAATAAAGGTAAGATGGACTTGGTTATGTACCAAAAGAATAAAAGAATGTGGAAAGGCTATTTTGCTTTTTTTGGGTCAGCTGGGTGTCTGACACATGTGGAAACCCATCACCATGCTTCGATATGTTCAAACCAAACTGAGAGTTCCATGCATCTCACCTAGACATGGAAATTCCCCAGATTTTATTGGAGTGGAATGCGAACTCTCTCCCATGAGAGATGCAATCTGCTTACCTAATTCTGGAAAGTATCAGACACAGGTTGGCAAGAGCCAAACCTTGGGACCCAAGAGTTGGCATTGGGGTAATGCTGGAGTCTAACCAGTTAAAACCTCATAGCTGGCCATTGAAAGCATTGTCTGGTAAACTTACCCACTGCTTGTCCAGCTAGGACCATTCTACTCAATATGGCTTTGGCTTTCAGAGTTAACAGGAACTGAGTGGGAACAGTTACAGTGACTGTTCTACCTTTCATGTACTACCAGTGAGCTAGGCTGGCTGGGCTGTCACAAACAGCCTGCAGTGCTGCAGATCTGCTAGATCAAGAACTGGACTATCGAGACTGCCACAGAGGGTTAATTCAATTCTGACATTCCGTTCCCAAATATGTCGCCTTCAAGCTAGTTCAGCTCCAAGGACACCATGTTTACCTTCCTCCCGAGGAATAGTCACTATTTCTCACTTGACATCTGACAAGCGCAGGATTGAGCTCTCGCTAGGTGAATGGCAAATACCTGCCACTTTCCTGTTGGGCCCCACAGCTCAACACAAAATGCATGAGAACATTTCAAGCACATTCTTACACAACCCATATAAAGCCTTTATATAGAATAATTTTATACTTACTGTGGACTCCATCCACCTCCTGTATCTCCTTGGAACAAGTTTAGACCCACTTGTCCCTCATAGTCCACACATAGATGCTAGAGGTTATTCTTTCCTAGGACCTTAAGATTTTGGAATTTCCTCCCCCAACAATTTCTCTCCTTCACACAATGTAGACTCTCCAAATTTCCATGTAACTGGTTTGTCTCCTGGTTATACCAGGATTAAGGATTGGGTTCCTACTTACTGCTGGGTAAACAGAGGCATAAGGACACTTGCCCAACACTTGCCCAGGTGTAAAATAAATTTCTCCTGAACAAATTTTTTGATCTATTAATGGTTACCTTATTTTATGCCCCTTTGTTGTAGACTCACAAACAAGTCTATTTATGTTCACTTCATCAAACACCTTCATAATTTCAAACACCTCTTTCAAGCACCCTCTCAATTTTCTCATCTCTAGGAAAATATCTTAAGCTCATGCAGTCTTTTAAATTAGTTGTATCCTCTCATCCATTGTTACAACATCCTTATTGTAGTATGGTGACCAGAATTGTACACAGTCTTCCAATTCCAATTATAACCAAGATTTTATACAAAATTAACATTGAATTGCTAGAGATTATTTCAAGTTATTTTCTGTTGAGTAATTTATTTGCAGGCAGTCTGCAGTGTTGGGTACCAAACGTGAATCGTGAATCAAATTAGAAATATGAGCATCATCTGATGAACCAATTTTTCATCAAAGCTGAACATTCCTTCTGGTTGAGTTCCCAGATTAAAAAATGAAGTTAGAGGAAAACAATCATAGCCCTAAGGTATGGTAATTAGTTTAAACATATTAGAATAATATAGCAAATATATTAGGATAATTTTATTCCACACATCGTGTTCATGTGCACCCAGGTGTTTTGTCCTTTTAATGGAAGGTATTGCCAATCTTTGATTGCATATTCCATCTACATAGTGACGCAGAGAGAAAGTATGTAAACCCAAAGGCAAAAATAAGCCAAGAATAAACTATAAAAACACTTCAACACAACCACATAACTAGCTACTACAACCACAGATTGGATCACAACTGCAAAACATTTATCACTGTGGTTAGTGATCTGGGGAGAGAGGAAGGGGGAGGGAGAGAGGGAGAGGAGGGGGAAATGTGGGAGGGAAGGGGTCAGATGAGACCACTGCTGAAACCTCCACTTTCACCAAAAAATGTTTGCTCCCTTTCTCTTGAATTCAAAAATACTTTAGCACTTTAACTGTTGGTTTTACACATAAATACCCACAGAAAATAAGTGTTTACGCATAAATCAAGAGCAGAAATTTCAAGTTTTTGTTTTTCTAACACAGAAAGGTATACATCTCTATCTTTATAATAATAATAATCTTTGCATTTGATATAGTGCCTCATCACTCTTGGAAACATCTCAAAGCGCTTCACAGAATATACAAATAGTCATAGATTGAGTGACCACATTATTACTATTATTATTATTATTATTACCCTACAGCAAATTCCTGTAAAAAGCCTGGTGTTTGCTGTTTTCTGGGAGAGGGTTGCTCACTGCAGGGAGTTAGCTCCAGGATTCTCAGGTCCACTGACCCAGGAAATGTTTAAACATAAATGGGAAAGATAATAATTGTTATCCTCAATTTCTGCTGTTTCTCCCAAATTCAGAAATGATCAGTTCCCTGATTCTTAAGAAGCTAACCAAATTCCACAGTAGCTACATCGTAACTATACCATATATTTACATTTACTGTACATGCATTTTGTAATAAATGCTCTCTTTCTTTTGCTGTTAGCTCTGGTTGCATTGAGACATAATGCTGACCTTTTTGTTGACAAATGAGCCCAGGCACATGTAGCTCAGGGTGAAGGGCTGAGCTTATTAAACAGTGAACAGCCCCAGCTTTCACTCACCTGTCACCTGAGCACACAAAGCTTTTTGTTCTTTTATTTCTTCTTCGCTCCTCATTTCCCTCCAAAAACCCTCTCCATCACTATCTGCCGCAACCGCAATCAACATTTAAAGCTGCCACTTACCCAATGTTAAACGCTGTGAGAAGGCCATCTTTCACCAAGGATAGTATTCCCGTTTTCTGTTGTTCCTCCGTAATCTGAGTGAGCAATGATTTTTCCAAGCATCTTATCCAATCTGGAGATGCTATCACAGTGAGCCCCACCTCCACTGTCTTCCTGGCTGCTTTCCCAGATCTATTTTGTGAAATTCTCCTACAGGTGAGTCATATTTAACTCCTACAGGTGAGTCATAATAATTTGGTCATTCAATCCACAACTGTTTATGGGACACCTCTGTGCATCATTGGCTGCCATATTTTGCCCACAAAACTTTACAGTGTATTCTGTGAAGCGCTTTGAGACATCTAGAAGATGTGATAAGGCGCTATATCAAATGCAAGGATTATATCTGCTTATCATCAGGCAAATACAAAAAGTGAATGTATAAAACTGTTGTTTTATCAAATTATGCAAGTAAAAAACATCAGCCCTTGATTGGCATTCACATGAAGGATTTTTCTGTGATGGTCGCCAACACTTGTCAGTCATAGAGAAAAAACCTTAGCCATCCCTTAGGCTGGATGTTATGGGTGGAAACCTTAATGCCAGAGTACGTAAAATTATTACACCATGCACCCTGGGAAAAAATATTGCTGCCTTAGCAGCTGCTTTTTCTGCTGACTAGAATTGAACAATATCTATCACAGAACCCTTAGAACCATAGCATTAGTTGTTTAAGTTAGGCGTTTTAATATAAAATAAAGACACAGAGCTGCAAATTCACCAACAACAAAATAACCTGGAGGTATTCACTTTAAAGAACACAGTTTTAATCATACAAGAAATCCACATTTATCTGTGTAACATAGTAACAGTAGAAAACCTGAAACAAAGTTTACATTGGAGGCAATATTAGATATACGTATTTACATTTATCATGGCTTCTTCATGCATCTTCATAAAGAAAGGATGTCTTTGACAGTGACTGTGGAAATGAAAAACAGTGTGCCCATGGTGTTGCTGAATATGAAGCTCATTTTTCCATTGAAGGCAATATGAGCGATAGAGAAATGATTCAGAACTAGGGATTAATATAGGGTTCAATAATATTATATACAGTTTATTTCTATAATCTGGATGCCGGGCTTTTCTGCTGTCTAGTTTAACCGTGTAAAATAAGTGTGTTACGAGTGTAGTTTTAGTCCAGAGTTGTGAGGTTTATTGTTCGGAGCACAGCAGGGCATAATCTTACTTAGAAGTGCTTGTATATTCTGTGAAGTGCTTCGAGACATCTAGAAGATGTGATAAGGCGCTATATCAAATGCAAGGATTATATCTGCTTATCATCCATTTAAGGAGCATAATGGATGGGTCTGGATATACGTCCTCAATGGTCTTTTCTCATGCTTTGCATTCCTATGATGCTGGTTATTTGAACGGTTCGATCTATGTTAGGGTCCAAAAAACCCTGACTGTAAAGCGCCCAGGGACATCTTTCGGATGTGTAGAGCGCTATACAAATGTAATTTGGTGTTGCTGTTGTAGGGAAGGGGATTGCCTTCTATTTCAATAGGTTCTGTTGATATGTTTTGGGTATTTATATGTTAAATGGGTCAGCTCTGCAGAGCTAGTGAATACATTTTTATAGAGTTAATGCTCCAGAATTCATAAGGGTGCCACAGGAAAGGAGTTCGCTGATAGAGGAGATTGCCTTATTTCTGGGATGCCAGTAGTTTGTGTGAAAACAATGTCTGGTCAGCTTGTTATCTCAAGTAAACAGAAAAACAATATGTTTTCCTTGTGTGAGATAAGGAGCATGAGTCATATGCCATTTGAACCACTTATATTCTAATAATTATTCATGTTTTGGATCATGCTAGGGTGCTGAATACAACTTGATATGAGCAATTGATGTAATACAAAACTAAAGGGGTAATGGACTTTCCCAAGTTTGGCCAGGCATCCAATATTCACAGCCATGGTCCATGGGCTAGTTATAATTTTATTGCCCATTGGATCAATGTTTTAAGGAATATAAAAATCAAATATTGGTAAATCACACACCTAAAATAACATTTAACAGTCAGCAAACGTACTTAGAGTGGGGAGTCCATAGTTTTCTTTGAGTGCATAATAGTCACTGAAAAATCATCCCATCTTTTCCACATGACTTACACACCTTTCATAGACGTTAACAAGCTTTCAAAACTCACGATCTCCACCCAGAAAGCTTCTATTACACTAAGGATTCTGCACACAAAAATAAATGATGCAATAACTAAAGGGTATTAAATATTACAAAGAAAGATTGCCCTTTTTGTTTAAATACACAACTTGAAGGCAATTACGGTAAAAAATGTTCAGCAGTTTGTAGATTTTACCGATATTTGAAATTCTACCAGATTACCCTTCACAAGAAATATGTTTTCAAGAGACTACATTACCAGTGGTTGAAACAGGCAACCAAGAAGGTTGGTTGAGAAAACAATTGAACTAATTTAAGAAACAGTTTATGCTCTAACAGACTAATTGTACAGTTGGTCTTCTGAAAGTCTTTCTTTATCCTTACTTACTTCTCTTTTAATCTTGGGAAATACTGTAGTGCCCAAGCTCTTCACTTTGGAGTTACACTAGCAGATTTCTGAAAAAATATGAATACATACGTTTTGAAGGCTGTTGTGCTCAGAATTAAATCACTGATTTTTGATTTATAATGAATGTGGATTAAAAGCCTATAGCTGTTGTACAAAAGGAGGGAATCAACAAAATGTCATTTCATTATTCAATACGTTGGAGAGTGGCCAGCAGAAATTAGCAGAAGTACTCCGAACGACAGCTGTCACTTTTGCAGGTCATCTGTGAATCTATGCTGGACCTTGAGCACAGAAGCAGGTTTTGTGAATCACTGATGTCCCGCCGAGCCCACAGAGCATTTCCCGTCCCATCTGTGGGTGGTTTGAGGGACAGTGTTTCAAATTTTATGTAAGACTCTTTAATTAGCTCGTGTTCTCCTGTCCGTTTTCTCTTGCACTGTGCTTTCACAACTACATAGACAACCATGAAGAGAATTGGCAATGTGACAGCACATCCTATACAAATAACAACAATGTTCAAGAGGGTTTGGTAACTCTTAGTGTTGTTTTCTTGTTCAGTTGAGAAAACCACACATTGCTCCTTTTTAGGTTTCATTCCCTTTGGGCATATACATGCCATATATTTTGTGTTTGGTGTCAACCTGTCTATGGAGACTTTGCTTTCTCCAGAGTCGATATTAATTTTCTGCATCGTTTTCTCACCGTACTTCGAGTAAAGTAAATTTAAGGCAGGGCCACTTTTGTAGTTAGAAGTTTTCCAAGTTACAAGTACTTTCTGATCTGTCTCACTAATAACTCTCAGATTCTTAATAGAAACACTTTGTACAGATGTTGTGTTCAACAGTGGGCCTCTAACTTTCTTGCTCTCGTTCACGTGTGAAGTTTTTGGGCTTGAATTCGCCAATGTATGTTCCTTTGTACTTTTCGTTTCATTTCCAACAGGCTCAGCTTGGTCGTCTTGTTTTTTAGGTGCCACTGTAGTGGAGATGCTAAGTGGTGCACTGGCTGTCACAATTGTAGTGTGTTGTTCAAGTTTCACCTGTGTTAAATTGTTTTGTTCTGTAGTAAGCCTCCATAAAAAATCTTTTCTCTGGGGAGGAACTGTGGTTGTTACAGTTCCCACAACAGTGAGTGTGATGGCAGCTTCTGATGTTCCTGCTAAATTTTTAGCTTTACATCTGTATTCTCCAGCATCCTTGTATGAAACGCCTGTCAAACTTATTATGGACCATCGGATACCATCGCCGGTGATTCTTGGATGACTGTGAAGGTGTACAGAAAAATGTGTTAATGTAGTAATAATAATAATAATCCTTGCATTTGATGTAGCGCCTTATCACGTCTTCAAGATATCTCAAAGCACTTCACAGAAAATACTGTGAAGTGAATTGACTGTATATTTGTTGGGGAAACCTGCAGCCAATTGTGCACAGCAGTGTCCCACTGTAGTAGATTGATTACCAATTCATTATTATTATTTTTATTTTTTAAGAAGGATAATGGTCACAACAAATTATCACAATACCAAATTTATTTTTTCAAAAAACTACTGTACCAAATAGTAGTTTTAGAATCACCGTTTTATAAAATAGTTCAGACAAGTCAAAAAGATTTATTCCAAAGTCAAAGCTATTCACGTGCTAAAATGCCTCTATCTTTTTACCTTATTCATACTAAATGCAATTAAAATTAAAATTGAGGAAAATGCATTAATGAATTACCGGTATAATTTACTGGCAAGACATCTGTCCTGAACCATACAAGATTTGGGGTTGGAAATCCTGTTGAATCACAGCGCAGCAAAACATTACTTCCAAGTGGTGATGTGATTTTAGTTGCGGAGGTCATTATCGATGGCTTGAGGCACTGTTCAAGTTCAACTTTATGGAAGTAAACGCCTGCTATATTTTCCGGACCACTGCACGTAATCAATGGATCCAGAAGGACAACCCAAGTTTCTTCTAACTTAGAGAGTTCAATTATCTTGGAAATCCTGCAGTCACAGTACCAAGGGTTGTCTTGCAAAGCTAAAGAGAAGGAACAATCTTAAAGTTTTGTTTTAATTCCAGTACTATTATCATGTTTTCATTCATTGGGACACACAGGACCAAAAACAACAATGTGACTGTTCCAAAGTGGAAAAAAAAGAAAAATATCTAACTTTATTGGGATGTCCCCCAACGTGAAAGGCGCTATAAAAATCGAATTTGTTGCTGCTGTTGTTGTTTATTCATTAAGGTTTAATGTGCTGAACAAGAAATATGTAATTATTGAAATTCTAAAATACCGAATGTCTGAACAATGAGTTTTTCAGCAGTCGATGTTTTAGAAATTATTAGAATAATAATAATAAACCTTACATTTGATATAGCATCTTTCACATTTGGAGGACATCCTAAAGCGGTTCACTGGTTATAATGTAAACAACAACAACACCACCAAAATTACATTTGTAAAGTGCCTTTCACATCGGGAGGATGTCCCAACGTGCTGGACAGACAGAGTTACAGACCTGAGCTGGGGGTGGGGGTGGAGGAGGGTGGAGGGCAGGGGCGGGAGCAGGGAAATCGAAAGCACAGTTGAAAAGGAGGGTTTTGAGATGGGTCTTGAAGGTGGTAAGGGAGGGGGCGAGATGGAGGTACTGAGGGATGGAGTTCCAGAGAATGAGGATAGGGGCAGAGTGAAGGAAGGCCCACCCGCCGATAGTGGGGCCAGCGAGGTGGGGGATGTGAAGCAGGCCGGAGCCCGCTGAGCGGAGGGAGCGAACAGGATGGTAGGAGGTTAGGAGGTCACAGAAGTAGGGGGGAGCAAGACTGTGGAGGGCTTTGAAGGTGAGGACTAGGATTTTGAATTGTATCCTCTGTGTGATGGGAAGCCAGTGGAGTTGGGCGAGGATGGGGGTGATAGGGTCGCGAAGCCTGGTGTGGGAGAGGACATGGACTGCAGAGTTCTGGATGATCTGCAGCCTGTGGAAAGAGGAGTTGGGGAGGCCGACAAGCAGTGAGTTTGCATAGCCGAGCCTCGATGTAATGAAAGCGTGTATGACGGTTTCATAAAGTACAGTTACTGTGACTTTGGCAGCCAATTTGCGCCAAATATTCAATGATCATACATTACCTATTAAGAAATTTGCTAAGAAAATAGTTCTGAATGTTTCATACCCCAAACTGATTTCTTCACCAAATGCTATAGCTTTCAAAGTCCCTCTTGAATTTGTTTAAATAACCAGTTTCCACCGTTGTCTGGGGTATTCTATTTCACTTATTCACTTTGTAAAGTCATAAAAACTGAACTGTCTATTCACTTTTCCTCTTCTGAGCTTAAATCTGAATTACCTATTTCTAGAATTTTTTATGGCCCATCCCGAAGAATGTTTCCTCCTGTTAGTGTTAGTAATGAATAGAGATGGCAGGCAAGTCATAGTCTTGGAGAGAGGGAGAGTTTGCAAAAATATTGTACTTTTGAAATGAAAGTTCCATATTTACTCCTCGTGCTACAATAGGATATATGGTAGAACCCAATTATAATGTAATAGTTGGGGTTCATAAATTCTGAGCAAGTTATCAAGCAGGGTTCACTAGCTGGCTTCCCACATGAAAAAAATCCTGACTTCTGGGTCATCACCTCTGATAATACCATTGAAAGTGATCTTCAGACCCAGAAGTTGCCCATCTTTCCCATTTAGGAATCAGGAGCAGGAAACCTGGCTGATTTTCCATTCTGTAACCAACAACAACAACAACTTGGATTTATATAGCGCCCTCTACGTCGGACGGCATCTCAGAGCGCTTCACAGTAACGGATCCCGGGGCCGAGCCAAGGGGAGGGGGAGGAAGCTGACCAAAGGCGCGGTCGAAAAGAAAGGTCTTCAGCAGAGACCTGAAAATAGGAAGAGAGGGAGCGAGACGAAGGGAGTGAGGAAGGGAGTTCCAGAGCCTCGGGGCATAGTGGCTGAAGGCACGGCCACCAAGGGTGGAGCGGAGGACTCGGGGGACAAGGAGGAGACCAGACCCGGAGGAACGAAGCAACAGGCATTGTTTTGAGGAGAGAGGAGGTCAGAGAGGTAAGGGGGTGCAGAGGAGTGCAGGGATTTGAATACAAGGGTGAGGATCTTGAACTTGATCCTCTCTGGGACAGGCAGCCAGTGCAGTCTGGCAAGGACTGGGGTGATCGGGGAGGGGAGTTTGGTGCGGGTGAGAATGCGGGCGTCAGAGTTTTGAATAATCTGGATTTTATGGATGGTAGTGGATGGGAGACCAGCGAGGAGGGCATGAGAGTAGTCCAGCCGAGAGGTGACAAAGGCATGGACCAGGGTTTCAGCGGCTTTCAGAGAGAGGTATTGGTGGAGACAGGTGATGCGTTGGAGGTGGAAGAAAGCGGTGCTGATGAGGGACCGGATGTAGGAGAGGCAGGATAATTGGGGGTCAAACCTGATGCCTAGGTTGCATACGGGTTCGGAGAGTTTTAGGAGCAGGTCGGGTAGGTGGAGAAGGTGAGAACCGTGAGATTTTAGATGTTGACGAGAGCCAAAAAGTATGGCTTCTGTCTTGTCAACGTTCAGCTGAAGGAAATTTGCGCTCATCCAGCTCCTGATGTCTGACAGGCAGGCTGACAGAACATCAGGGGACTGGGGGTCGCAAAGAGAGGTGGAAAATAGAGTTGGTTGTCATCTGCAAACATGTGGAAAAGTATCCTATGTCTGCGGATGACATCCCCAAGTGGGAGCATGTAGATCAGAAAGAGGAATGGGCCAAGGATGGATCCTTGGGGTACCCCGCAGGTAATCGGGTGAGAGCGGGAGGAGAAGCCGTTTGTGCAGATGTGCTGCTGGCAGTTTGTGAGGTAGGACTCGAACCTGGGATGCCCTTCACAAGATAGATTCAATTAAAGAAGATGTTTCGGTTTGTTTAATCTGATCTTTCCAGACTGCCACCTTACCATCCTTCCATCATCGCATCAAGCATCATTTTAATAAATCCACCATCCTGGACTCAACCATCTTTTTTTCGTAAACTATTCCAATTTTTTTTATATATAGTGTCCAACAGCAACAACAAAATTACAGGCTCCACTGGCGCCCTATCGCCAAATAGATCGATTTCAATATCCTCACACTCGTTTTCAAATCCCTTCCTGCACTGGCATCTCCCTACCTCTCCAACCTGCTTCCCCACAACCCACCTCCTCTGCTCAGCTGGCTCAGGCCTTGTGCATGTCACTCGTGCCCTCCGTTCCACCATAGGTGGCCATGCTTTCAGCCATTACGCCCTGAAACTCTGGAACACTCTTCCTCTATCCCTCCACCTTGGCCCCTTCACCATCTTCAGGTCGCGCCTGAAGACCTTCCTCTTCGACCGTCCCTACGGTTACCTCTCCCTCACCCCGGCTCTGCCTCTGTCAAGCACTCTGGGACCCTACCCTGCTGAGGGACACACATAAATGCAAGTTGTTGTTGTATAGTGCCTATCACATCGCACTGGATGTTATTATTAGTGGAGTCCTGTAGCTCAGTGGTTAGAGCACTCGCTTTGCAAGCAAGAGACCTGAGTTCAATTCCAGGCAGGGCGAAACCTTGGGCAAGTTTCCTTACTCCACACGCCTAATAATAATCCCTCCAAAAAACCAAAAACAATAATTAAATTGGTCATTTTCAATCTACGACTGTTTGTGGGACATTGCTGTGCGCAATTGGCTGCCGCGTTCGCCCAAATATACAGTCAATTCACTTTACAGTGTGTTCTGTGAAGCGCTTTGGGACGTCCTCCTGACGTGAAAAGCGCTATATCAAATGCAAGGATTATTATTATTATTATTATTATTATTATTATTATTATTATGTCCGATTATGTCTCTAATATTCTCATTTGCCTCTCTGCTCCTGGTCTGGCCTCTTCTTGTTGGGGTGCAGTTCCAGAGGCACTGGTCTTCCTCTGGTACTCCACTGTAAAGGGGGTCACAGCTGAGCCTGACCTCTTCCCATTCAACTGCCCCCCCACACACGCACACACACACCAGTAGAGAGTGCTATAGAGGGACCAGAAGCTGGCTGGTTTTCCCCGCCCTCACTCTGGGATCAAATTAACCTCCCTATCGAACAACAACAACAACTTGCATTTATATAGCACCCCCTCAAGCAGGGTAGTGTCTCATGCAGTTTCAGGACACCAGGATTCAAACCAGTCCATGCTGCTCTACTCACAACACCATCAGGAATATCTCAGTCCTCATTTTAGCTGGTAATTACTCTTTCTGTAAATAAGTATTTCCTAGTGTCTGTCTTGAAATTGTTCCTTGTAAACTGAACTTGTACCCTCTTGTTCTGCTGTTTCAGCGCATGCAAAAGTGCTGTTGTAGCATTACTTTCCCAATCTCTTTTAAAATCTATTTAATAACAATCTTTGCATTTAATACATCACTTATCACTTTGTTGCCTCTAACGGTTTCTCCTCCAGCCCCCGCACTGTCACATCTGGCGGCCCCCAGGGCTCTGTCCTTGGCCCTCTCCTCTTTAATATCTACATGCTCCCCCTTGGTGACATCATCCGCAGACATGGGGTCAACTTCCATATATATGCGGATGACACCAACTCTATCTTTCTGCCTCCACCCTCAACTCCAGGACCACTGCTGTCCTGACAGACTGTCTGTCGGACATCAAGTCCTGAATGAGGGCAAATTTCCTACAGTTGAATATGAACAAGACTGAGGCCCTCCTGATTGGCTCACGCCAGCGCCTCAGCACCTCAGGCTCTGGCAACATTAACCTCCATGGTTGCACACTTCAACTCACCAGCCAGTCAGGAACCTGGGTGTCTTGTTCGACCCTCAACTATCTTTTCTTCCCCACATCCAAGCCATGACCCGCTCTGACTTCCCTCACCTCCGTAACATCGCCCGACTCCGCCACTACCTCACCCCTCAGGCCAGTGAAACTCTTGTTCATGCCGTCATCACCTCCAGGCTCGACTATGCAAACGCCCTGGTTGTCGGCCTTCCCAACTCCTCCCTCCACAGGCTGCAGATAATCCAGAACTCTGCAGCCCGTGTCCTCTCCCGCACCAAACTCCATGTCCCCATCTCCCCCACTCTCGCCCGACTCCATTGGCTCCCTATCCTTCAGAGGATACAGTTCAAGATCCTGGTCCTCACTTACAAAGCCCTCCATGGCCTCACCCCACTCTACCTCTGCGACCTCCTAACCCCTACCAACCCGCCTGTTCCCTCTACTCAGCCGGCTCTGGCCTGCTCCACATCCGCCGACCCACCCGCCCCACTATTGGCAGGAGAGCCTTCAGCCACTCTGCCCCCAACCTCTGGAATTCAATCCCCCTCTGCCTCGCCCCCTCCTTAGCCTCCTTCAAGTCCCGCCTCAAAACCCTCCTCTTCGACCATGCCATCGGTCAACCCCCTTCCCCTCCCCTCCCTTCTCCCTCCCTGACTCCAGCTCGGGTCTGAAATGCTGTACACTGTCCAGTGCCTTGGGACGTCCTCCCGATGTGAAAGGCGCTATACAAATGGAAATCTTGTTGTTGTTATCAAGTCATCCAAATGTCTCAAATTATTTCACAAGAATTATTGTAAAGGCTATGAGTGTCTATTTGTAGACAAACATAGCAATCGATTTGCACAAAGCAATGTTTCTCAAACAACCAGGAAGTTAATAATCATTTTATCTGTGGGATTGTCGACCAAGAAACCAGAGAAACTCCTTTCTCTCTTTGAATGTACCTCTATCAGGTCCCCTCTAAGAATAACTTTCAAGATTGAAGAGCTTTCAAGATTGCTCATAGCTCATGATCATCCTCATTGCTCTCCTCTGCACTGTTCTCGTACCTGGGCAGTCACTTTTACTACCGTGACCAGAACTATGTGCAGTACTCTAGGTGCAGCTTGACAAGATCACTCTTCAGCTTGTGTAGGACTTGTGGGCATCTGAACTGAACTACTATAGCAATATAGCCCAGCATCCCTTTCACCTGATTCATTGCCTCTTCACACTGTTTTGACATGGCTAGCGAGGCATCAATTAACACTCTTAGGTCTCTTTAAGCTTCCCATTTGGTCAAGATCTATTCCATCTATAGAGTATATGTTGTTCTTATTTCCTACATGCTTAATGGTTATCTACATGGTTGAGGTTAGCTTTCTCATTGCAGACTGAGGATCAAGCATGGATCTGTCTATGGCTCTCAAGTACTCATTAAATGAACTAACGCGCTGAGATATGATGAAATTTCCCTGAGTAGGTGTTCCTGCTTTGATCTGTTCACAGAGTGTTGTAGATTTGGCAGAATATGCCAAGAAGTCTCTATTAGGAAATGGCATTTGCTCCAATTATAGCCACCACTATATCCACACAGAAGGGGAAATAAAGAAATACAGGCCCTCATCTGCTCCATGACTCCCTGCATAAACCTATATTCTGGAGGAGAGAATGTATGAGCCAAGGTCATCCTATTTGAACCTCATTAAACCTGACATCTCTTGTAAGCCATGGTTTGTTTAATGCCCAGGCCACAAACTAATACAATATCTACCTCAAAGACTTAATGAGTGCAAGTTACAATCTTGGTCATGGTTTTCTGGTTTTCCATGTTGGCTAATCCTTGCATTCTGCAATATATCCAATTATCTGTCTGGTGGTCACAGTATCTATATCAATTAATATAGAATTGACCCACAATGCAATTAAGCGTTGGCTTGGCTCAATTGGTAGCACCGTCACCTCTGCATCAGGGGGTTGTAGGTTCAAGTCCTGTGTTGGGGACTTTGAGCTCATGATCTAGGCTGACACAACAGTTCACTGTTGGGTTAGTACTGCATTGCTGAAGTTGGTATCCTTTGAATGAGACAATAATGCCAAGGATTCGTCTGCCAGTTCAGATGGACATTAAGGATCCCATGATACAATTCAAAAAGAGAAACCAGTTTCTCCTGATGTCCTGGCCAATGATCCTCTAGTTAATTGGTCATTCACTTCATGGCTGTTTGTGGAACATTGCTGTGTTAAACTTAATAATAATAATCCTTGCATTTGATATAGCGCTTTTCACGTCAAGAGGACGTCCCAAAGCGCTTCACAGAACACACTGTAAAGTGAATTGACTGTATATTTGTGGGCGAACGCGGCAGCCAATTGCGCACAGCAATGTCCCACAAACAGTCATAGATTGAAAATGACCAATTTATTATTGGTTTTGGTTTTTTGGAGGGATTATTATTAGGCGTGTGGAGTAAGGAAACTTGCCCAAGGTTTCGCCCTGCCTGGAATTGAACTTAGGTCTCTCGCTTGCAAAGCGAGCGCTCTTACCACTGAGCTACAAGACTCCACATCAAATGATGATGATCAACTTGGTCATCAAATGCAACTACCAATGCAGTCACTACAATTTACACCATGCAGAAAAATCTGTAAAGTGCTTTGAGATAATTCAGCATGATAAGGTGCAATATCAAATGTAAGGATTGTTATTTATTTGAATGAATCATCAAACTCTTCAAGCATGCCAAGCATATTAAGGGTGTCAGGCTGGTCCAGTTGGAAGTACTCTCGCCTGAGTCAGAATTTTGTGGGTTGAGACTTGGAACTCATGGACCAAGCGTCATGACACTCCAATGCAATTCTGAAGGTGTGCTGCATTGTTGGAGTTTCTCCCAGTGTCCTGGCCAACGATCCACCAAATAAAAGTGGTCATTCACTTCATGGCTGTTTGTTGGACATTGCTATACACTCTCCCATTCAATCAATAAATATAGCTTGACTTTTGCTGGTGTCACAAGATCAAGATCTTGACTTACCTAGGATGACTCTGAACATTGTGTTCCTTGAGTAAGCAGGCCAGAGGTCCAGCAGGTCAGACGGCAGTGTGGTTAGTTTGTTGCTCGATATATCTAGGTGGGTGATGTTTTTGAGGTATCGAGCTGCCTCAGCAGGAATAGTTGCCAGCCTGTTATTGTGCAAGTAAAATGTTCGAAGATGTGGCATTTCCTGTAGCGAATCCCAAGGAAAGCTTGATAGCGTGTTTCCATCCAAACGCAATTCATGTACTTGTTTTAAATTGTAAAAGCTGCGAGGGTTTATGGTGCTGATGGCATTGTATGTTAGCCAGAGATACTTTAAATCCACAAGGTAATAAAATGCTTCACGTGGGAGCTGTCTAACAACAGTTTTTTCAACACAAAGTTTGACGGTGTCCACTGGAACATTGACAGGAATTTCAGACATATCCGGGTCATTGCACACTACAGACCTATGAAAACAAAAGACAAGCGTCCATTTTTCTTGAAGTTTCTCTTTCCTTATTTCCTGTACATTATTCAAATTTTTGGAGTCAGACGGAAATCGGATGCGTGCATAAATCCATCATCATGCTTAAGAGTATCCAAACCAGACGGAGAGTTTCATATATGCACCTAAACATGGGAATTCCCGTGACATTATTTAACTAGTGATAACATTTTGGCAAGAGGTAAACTGAAGTTGAGTTGGGATCCAAGGTGACATGCAGGTCAGCTTGGAGTCCAATGTGCACTCAGTGATCCTGAACATCAAGAGGTTCCATATTTTAAATGCCCATGTTTTGAAAGGAAATAGGTCTTTGATGTTTAGAGTGGAAATGACATATTTTATTATATTTTTATGCTTCTATATTGATCAGCTTTTGGAGTAGGTTTATTAAAAAATAGAGGCACTACACACCACAGTAATTCCTGTGAAGCGTTTTGAGATGCCCCTTTGAAATAAAAGGCGCAATATCAAATGTGAGGATTGCTATTATTATTATGTATTTGTGGCTTTGCCCATTTATATTCATTCAAGTGATTAATTAGGTTGACAATAATTTTCATCCATCATTCTTAGATGCTGAAAACAAGATTTTTAGTATGTAATATCACAGTGAAGATTATTTCTGCACATGCTGTGAGTTCAACCTGTCTCAGCTGCAATGTGTTTTCTCCTTTCATGCTTTTCCTTTTTCAGTTAATGCAGCATATTTTGAGTTGTAAATTGGTTTATTTTAATGTTTAATAAAAACAAATACCACGTTCAGTGGCAGAGCTTGTGGGAGCTCCTGGGTGCTGTGTTATGAAAAGACAGGACCTGTCTTTGCCCAGTGGTTCACAGCAACAAGGAATTAAAGTTAATGGTCTCGTCATGCAATCATCTGACAGTGTGGAACATAGGTCAGACACTTACTCAGTGGAAGGGAAGATTGGGTGAGGGGGAGGGAGAAGAAGAGATCAATCTAATCTCCACACCCACCCTCTCAGATTGATTATGAAGGATTGATTACGGGGCATCTTGGCTTGGAAAGATTTTGAAAGAGGAGAAAAGAGATGAGAAAAAAAAGTTTTAAAAATTCTGGATCAAAAGAAATTGAAGTAGAATTTAATTGAAGCCTTTCTCTTTGAACAGTAAAGCTCTCAATGTTTTACTTATTTTGGTAAACATGTTGAAAGCAAAGACTTAATAATAATAATAATCCTTGCATTTGATATAGTGCCTTATCATGTCGTTGAGACGTCTCAAAGTGCTTAACAGAATATACTGTAAAGTTAATTGACTGTATATTTTGTAGGTGAAACTTTTCCCAAGTTGCCCTGTCAATATATAAGTTTCCCAAGTTTCATTGGTGAGTTTGGTTAAGAGCACTTCATGTTTGAGTGGCTGAATTTCAACAGATTTGTTTTTAGTTTTTAAGGCCAAATCTTGAATAATGCTTTTAAGGATTTCAGTTTGCTGATGATGATGCTTGTGAGATGCTCCACGTTGAGCAAAGAACTTATAAAAGTTACTTATACACAGCATGGCACTCCTTCTTGATCTCCTCCATTCATTCAAAGAGGGGAAAGGAACACTGAGAGATAAGATGGTTATCAGGCTTCTGTTAAAACAATTCATGAATGTTAGACTGTTAGATAGATTGAATGATAGATTGAATGTTAGACAGATAGATGTTAAATTGTTAGATAGATTGTAGGAATCTGGTAGGAAGATGGGTCAATGCTCTATTCCTGCCTGAAATTGTTACTATGGTGTGTATAATGTTTAAGGAAGAGAGAAAGTCAATTCAGTGGGAAACAATGTCACAAGGCTACAAAATCATAAGTTACATGTATATTTAAGTTTATAATAAAAAAAATACAAAAATCTAGAAGGTGATATACACACTTGTAAAAATGCATCATTTTTATAAACTACAAGAAATGGGACATTTTAATGCAGATTTACAAGATTAATTAATATTCATAATTCATGATTTAAGAATCATCTAAAGATTGTTAGGAGATAATTGGTGTTGTCACTTCTGGATAACCATACTCTATGCTGAATGTAGGACACTGTAGAATTTTGTTATAAATCGCAGTGAGATGTAAATCTGGTTGACAATATAACACTCACAACAAGCAGACATTCTGAAAAAGATTTTCGGCATCCCTCATCCTGTATTCCAAGTCTAATTATCTGCCGCACATGTATGATACAGTAAAACAATACGGTCCTCACAATACATCTCGGATATCAGAATATATTGCTTCTACCTTGCTGGCATCAAGTGCTAATAACAGCTGAAACCCATTGAAATTTATGCATTTTGTAGCTGATTTTTTTTAACGTAAGTCACATTTGGCTTCTGAAGAAAATTTAAATACTGTATATACTCACTTTACTTAACAACACCAAGACTATACATTATGTAGCAACAGGAGGGAACATAAAAGAATGATTCTATTCACAACCTTATTCACAGAAATGGATTGAATATGCATTTTGGATCACAATTTGTGTTGCAGTGTGTTTTACTTATTCTTGTTGAGCCATAACAGTATTTCTTCACATGTTTCATTTTAATAGACTTACCTCGTGCCACTGCCATCACTTCTGCCGTGGTAAATACAGGTGCACTGGGAAGGGCAAAAAGAAGAAACATTTGCTAGAAAAGTGACCAACATGCAAAGAACAGCAAGCAGATACATGGTTCAACGTCAATAAAACTAAGCAAAAATAAGGCTTTTAGTCCTGAGTTTCCGTTTGCCTTCTACTGAGAACATGGCGGAATCAATTTAAGACTAGAAGATTATATGAGATTAGCTGAGATTTGTAGTTCATGTAACCTTCAGGCCTCCCTTGGAGATCTTAGATTTCAGTCAAATGGTACTTAGCGAGGTATTGTTTCATTGCTTTGCAACAAATATCTTAAGTTGGTTGAATGGTTAATGGTTACTATACTATTTATTTGTATTAATAATTTTGCAGTACGGTGGAATTGAAATCTCACCACTAAGTTATTCAAAATAAAGTTGCTGTTTATCTGTTCTAAAAGCTCTAATTTAAACCACGAGATAGTGTGTTCTGAGAAAAAATCCAACATACATGTTGGTTTGCATACATAGTCAGAATTATTTGGGAAAATTCAACATCTCTTACTTTCTAAATTCAATATTTCTGATTATCTGCAGAAAACAAAGGCAAAACAAGCCTCTTCCCTACAATATATGCAAATTGTTTTAAACCATACAGCTCATAAATACTGTACAATATGCAGTTAAAGAGACTCCACTCTAAACATAGGGACTGGACCGATTAAAATACAGTTTGAAGCACCTCTCTAACGCTCTTTCAAAGTGGTCTATTCAGCTGAGCATGATAGCATTAGTAGTTTATAAACAATATAAAGCTAACTGAAATATGGATATGAAATGCCAATATAAGAGCCTGTTTCCCATACAAAATAAATTAAAACCTTGGAGAGTAAAATTAAAACTATAAATATAGATGGTTTACAAATGATAAATATAGCTTTGTTCAGTTGGTAGCACTCTTGCTTGTGGGTCAGCTATTTGTGTACAAGTTCATGAAAGGATTTAAGATCATAAGCTGACACAGGGGAGTGCTGCATTGTCGAAGGTGCCATCCTTAAGAATGAGATGCTGTCTGCAGAGTTGGAAGTTAAAGATCCCATGACATAGTTCGACACTATTTGATAAGAACGAAACAGGTTTCCTGGCTAACAATCCTTCAGATTAATTGCCTAGTGGCACCTCACTGATAAAACTATTAATTGTTGCATTTTATATGGCACCCATCACTTCAGGTCATCTCAAAGCATTTTACAGGACTTACTGAAAAGCGTAATATTTTGTTTGCAAATGTGGCAGTCAATTTTGTGCACTCTTAACGTTCCACAAACAGCACAAAGTGAATGGACTAATTTTATCTGGTTCCAGATCGGTCAGGACACTGGGAGAAACTCCCTTCTCTTAATGAATAATGCCGTAGAATCTTTAACATGTACTTGAACAAACAAGGAACACCTCCAACAATGCGCTGCTTGTTGGAGTATCTGGATAACCACACTTACTTGTTCTTATTGAAGCAATTGCAAAAATTCTTCATTATTTTATAAACACAAAACCAAATTCAATTTATGTCACAGCTCTGCCCTCTGCTGGTAAGAGAGTTCAGTTAATTCTGACACTGTATCTGTAAATGGAAATGTCACACTAATATTTTGCTGTCTTCCAGAGTTTGGGGGCGTAGTGGCTGAAAGCGCGATCTCTGATGGTGGGGCGGAGGGTGCGAGAGATGAGCAGGAGCACCGAGTGATGGATTGGGGAGTGAGGAGGTTGGAGAGGTAGGGAGGTGCCAGGGAGTGAATGGATTTGAACACGAGTGTGAGGATCTTGAAGTAGATCCACTCAGTGATGGGGAGCCAGTGGAGCCTGGCCAGAACTGGTGAGGTGTGGGTACAGAGTTTGGCCCGGGTCAGTATGCGGGCGACAGAGCTCTGAATGAGCTGGATCTTGTAAATGGTGGAGCTGGGGAGACCGGTGAGAAGTGTATTGGAGTAATCCAAGTGACATGTAACAAATGTATGCACGAGAGTTTTGGCTGCATTTGGGGTAAGGTACGGTCAGAGGTGGGCAATGTGGCGAGTTGTAAAAGGGCGGTCCTGGTTAGGGACTGAATGTGGGGGAGAAAGGACAGCTGGAGGTCGAACCAGACGCCTAGTAATAATATTGTGCACTGGTAATAATATTTCACACTTTAATAATAAAATTTATAATATTCCTTACAATTGATACAGCTGCTAACATCGGGAGGACGTTTCTGAGCGCTCCGAGACGTTACCCTGCGTGAAGGGTGCAAGTTGTTGTTGTTGTCTCAAAGTACTTCATGGGATACACTGTGTATCTTGTAAGCAAGATTATTGATTGGTAATGTTGTAACAGATTCAATATGTTAATTGACATGTCAGTTTTTACCACCAGCCCAGCTAAAGTATTTCCACTGATAAACCTCATGGCACCTTTCGCAGTTTGTCCACCATTACCTTTAATAACAAAGATTGAAGTAACATTTTCTGGAGTGCAGAATAGGGTATGAAGCCAACATAATGAAGCGCTAACTTTCAAGTGAAGAGGCCAGAATTTCACATTTTATTTGTTTGACAACATGATTTTTGAAACACACAAAACAAAATGTATATGAAAAACATTGCTTGAACAATACTTATCAAGAGGTGCACTTTATAAAATGTTTAATTGAAATAGGAATAAAGCAGAGCTATCTACACTTGGACTAAAATATCAAGTTATATTGAACGATACAGCCATTCAGCCCAACTTCTCCATGTTGGATAAACATGTTGATCTTACGCTTGTATGTTGCACTGATTCAGATCACTAAGACTCCTTTATTATAACTTGACAGCTATTTTGTTTCCAATTAAGAAACATAATTGACTATTCAAGGCACAAGGAGCAAGCTCTGAGAGCCAATGCAGACTCGATGGGCCAAATGGCCTTCTTCTTCTGCGCTGTACATTTCTGTGATTTTATCATTCTATATTATCAAGGTTGAAAAGGGTAGAGAAGATGAAATAATTGTAGAAGAAGTGAAAACTTGAAACCTTCTGCATTTTAGTGTTTCACTGTGTTAAATCACCTAGTGTCAGAAGTGCTGCCCTTTTGATGAGACATTAAGCCAAGGTCCTATCTGCCTGTTCTTCAGGTTGGTTAAAGATCCCATGGCATTGTTTGGATGGACACATAAGAGACATGAGGAAACAGAAGCTACCAGACATTACAACAGTGGTTCATTGTAAAGCAGATAGGATTTTTTTTAGATAAATGTTCTAAAGTTACAGAACAGGAATGATAGAGAAATGCTTTTGCCAAAGTAAAATTATGGGCTTGGATTGCATACGTGGTTGTCTGCAACACACAATGCAATCAACAAAAGGGGTAGAGTACTGCACAATAACATCAACTTGCATTTATATAGCCCCCTTCATGCAGGGTAGTGTCTCAGAACACTTGGCAATGGCAGAGTACGACACCGATTCAGAAGATGGGAGGGACAGACCATAAGCGCAATCAAATAGGGAGGTCTCCAGGCATGACCTGAAGACAGGGAAGGGGAATGGGGGAAGGGAGGGGCGCACAAGGTGGAGGGATAGAGAAGAGACCTTTCTTTTCGACCGTGCCTTCGGTCACCTTCTTCCCTCTCCCCCTGGCTCGACTCTGGGATCTGTTATTGTGAAGTGCTCTGAGACACCGTCTGGCATGGAGGGCGCTATATAAATCCAAGTTGTTGTTCCAGTTTCAGGGCGCAGTGGTTGCGGTGACTAGTTTGGTGAGTATGAGGTATAGACCAGGGAGGTTGAGGAGGTCAGAGCCACAGGAGAGAAGACATTGAGAAGAGCCAAGGAGTATGGCTTCCATCTTATCAACATTCATCAGTAGGAAGTTGTTCGCTCATCCAGAGCCTGATGTCCACCAAACAAGCTGACAGAACATCAGATGCCCTGAAATCGCAGCTGGAGGAAGAGAAATAGTTTTGTGTGTCATCAGCATACATGTGGAAGTTAACTCTGTATCTGCGGATGACATTGCCGAGAGAGAGGGTGTAGATGGGGAAGAGGAGGGGGCTAAGAATGAGTCCTGAGGTACGATTTGAATGCAGATTTCAATAAAAACAGTTTTATTCTGTTAGGGGGACCCGTGAGATGGTCATTGGCAGAGTGTGGTTGATGGTTATCTCCTGACGATTCTGGCAGCATATCATAGCCATGATAGCTTTCCGAAACCTGAAAGGCAAAACAAACACATTCAGATACATTCAGGTAAACAACTAATGAAAATGCTTCATCTTGTAAAGCAATAGACACTTACTTCTTATTTGCAATAACATATATACAGGGATTATAGAAAGTGGAAGACTTGGCAAAAAGGGGAGCTATAATTGCCATCGCAGGTGGAATGAGTTTTGGGTTCCCAAAGGATGCCCACAGACACACAATAGAATATGGGGACCAAGCCAGAAGGAACATCACAATCATCACCACAGACATCTGTTAGAAACACAAGAAAAATAGAAGAGTTGTATTAATTTCGTTTGAATGAATTACTTCTGTTTCTCTCCCCCACAGTTCAGCATCACAAGTAGGTCATTCACCTCATTAAGCATGTTCTGTAGTTTGATTAGATTGTGGCAGATATTAGAATATCATTTCTCTGTCTTCTCCATATCTATTATTTCCCAAATGTCCATCTATTTCCCTTTTAAAGGGAGTCTCCAGTTAAAAATTGAGTCAAGGATTTAAACCAGAGATTTCCTTGCTTGGTACAGCTCAGCACTTCACCATATACTGGAATTACCCATCAAACAATCTGGTGAATATAGTTTGAATTTATTTAATCGGTAAATGAACCTTCTCCCCAAACTTCAGCAGTTCCCGCCTCTCTCCCCCCATCCCCCACTAAGTCCTATTTGATAGAGCAATAAAAAGCATTTTGACACCTAACTATTCCACTTGCACTCAAAATGATAATTTCAGGCCGGAGGTGAAAGAAATGCAGAGCTATAGCTTATCCATATTGACCCTGTCAGGCTCAGTAGGTCAGATTCAAACTGGAGATTTCCACGCTGCATTTAGTCATTAAACGATGCTACTTTCATTTTTTTTTAAAAAAAGAAAATTGCATACAATTTTAAGTTGCAAATTTCAGTCTGTAGAATTATGGTATTCTCACAATGTTAAAAAGAAACTGTAAAGTTCCTGTAAAAAAAATCATAATTCTATAACAAAATATTTTAAAAATGCCACGATTCAGTTTGAATATCAGAAAGAATGATTTCCTGTTACAGCACTTACCTTTGTTACATCCAGCTGATCTGACCAATCCAGGTTTATATTTTCCGGGCTGGGGCTGCTTATAAACCTACTCATCGTTTTTGACACATTGTAATAGCAGAAGAACATGACTGATAGTGGCACCACAAAGTTAACAGCAATCACTGTCATGGTGTAGGAAACAAACAGTCTGAGAACAAAAACAAATAGGGCTTCAATGAATCAACACAACCATAACTTTCTTCTGACTCCTCCTCTGACAAGCCGGTGATGTTTATTTTTATAAATAAACAATCTAAACTCCAAATTGACCCAGATCCAGCAGAGCCAACACAAAGATGCGAAAGCAAAGTGAGAGCAGGAACATGACCAGGGAATTCCAAATGCTAAAAAAAATGCAAAAAAAAAGGGTTACTATTCGTTCTTTTTTATAGTCAGCTGGGCGTCTGCGGAAACCCATCATCATGCTTAAGAGGATCCAAGCCAAACTGAGAGTTCCATCATCCCACCTACACATGGAAATTTCCGAGATATTTATTGGAGTGGAATGCTATTCCCAGTGACTGGTTTGCCCTTCCAAGTCCTTGTGACGAGCCAGGTTGGCTGAGCTGTCATCAGCAATACCCTAAATTACTGTTAACCTGCCTGGCTCAGGAACTGAGCACTGCCACGAAGGGTGGACGCTATTAGCATTCCTTTCCCAGGTTCGTTATTCTCACAATGACAAGAGAACTCCATTAAACTCAGACCTTACACTACAATGAGGAACTCCCAGGTCACTGCTAACATTACTGCATGCACAGAAAGCCAAATGCCCACCTTAGAAAATAGCACAGGTCCACTGTACATTCACATTATAAGCAGAAACCTTACCCCACCCCCCCTCCCCACCCCTATTGTGCTGTGTGTTATAACTTTATTTGTAAAGTTAACACCCTCCACCCCCACCATAAACACAAGCAAACACACATATAGCAATATTCCCTTGAAGAGTTGTTATTTGTGTTCATTATATTTTCAGAGACTCTGAAATATAGTTTTCATTTCTTAAGCATTAACCGATTATACCGATCTGGAAAACCAGTGCCATGAACAAGCAGGAAAGTAAAGAGAAAAGTACATAAAGGGTCAACTTACGAGTTGTTGTTCCTCCAGTTAATAGTGCACGTGGCTCCTGTTGGATCTGGGGCATAACTAGCCCAGCCCACTACAGGCATCAGAGCCCAGAACAGACCATTGACCCAAGCCACTGTGATCAGGGCTGTGTATGTGGAACTGGTCATTCTTCTTCCTGTGGAGAGGAATTCTTGAGTAATCAACCACATGAAATTTTCGCACAGCTATAATCAAAGTCAGCGTAAATCAATTACAAAATATTTAGTGTGGAATAATCATTGAATTGGAGTTTGTTACAAAAGAATAATGGGATCAGTCAGTGTTATCTGAAGGAGCTGGTAACCAACTCCAATCCGATTGATATTTCACATAATGCATACTTTGTACTGACAAGGAATCAAAGGTCTGTAAATTCCACTACTATAATAAAGCCATGGAGAAAATAATAGAGTCCAAAATTATAACTAGATATGTTATGTCAAATGCGACTCTTAAATCATACGCCACCTTTGCACACATCGTCTCTCATGTCATTTTTAGTTATCTTTCAATTGCAGTTCTCATACAGAGACTTAAAACAACCTTGGGAAATATAAGGCAATATGTAGCATCCGTCAGTGACAGTTTAACTCAGAACGTGACATTTTCACCTCTGATTGTGGGTTCAATCTCCATATTGGAACCTGAGATCATCACCTGGATTGACACTCCAGTGCACTACTAGAAGAGGTGCCATTATATAAAATGAAATATTCAGCAGATTCAGTCTGCCTGTTATTCACATGGGTTAAAGATCTCATTGACACTATTCGAAAAGAGAATTACATTTTTCCTTGGCCAACAATTCTCTGAGTTAATTTCCCATTCACAAAATGGATGTTTGTGGGGTTTTGATGAGTATGGGGTCTTACTGTGTGCAAAGGGCTGCTGCATTTGCCTCTGGAACAAACAGTCACGACACTCGGCAATAATTACTTAAAAACATTGGGACGTTTCGAAGTAACAACATTCCATAAAAGTACAATTTAAAAAAAACAAGTTCTATTGGGCCACGTGACTGAAGTATGATTAAAGTATTACCTATTTCAGGTTTGCTAATGGTCAGGTAACGGTCAATGGCGACCACAGTAAGTAACCCAATGCTTGTCATTCCAAAAAATATATTTAGAGCTGCATAAGTCTGAAAGAAAGCAAATAAAGTGCAAGCACATTACCCACTACAAGAGTGTCAACACGTGTGCAATTCAGCTTTCAATCATTTTAACTCTGCGATGTGCTATACATGAAAAGCCAACAGGGTTTAATTGGTAGTTTTACTTAATAGGATTCCACAATGAGGAATTTAGTCAGGATTCCTATCAGAAAGAGATTGTGTCAGGTTGGCATTAGACAGAAAATGCCCAGCACCCAATTTTTCTAAAACAGTTGTGACTTCAGTTACATTGACATTAATAATAATAATGTCACTCGATCCATGACTGTTTGTGGAACACTACTTTGCGCAATTGGCTGCTGTGTTTCGCTGACAAAATATACAGTCAATTCACTTTAGAGTATATTCTGTGAGTGCTTTAGAAGTTTTAACAACATGATAAGGTGCTGTATCAAATGCAAGGATTATTATTATTCCTGTAGGTCGTCCTGATGTAGTTCTGTTTACCAGGAATCCTATTTTGTGTGACTCAGATTCTTCATAGAAAAATTTCACAAACCAGATACCAATGTCTGGAGGGATGTTGGTGGTTCAAAGTTATGTTTTGATTGGCATAACATTCCTAACTGCTTGTAGTGCTTGAAATTAAGGTAAAACTGTGTACTTAAAAATAAAGCATGGATTACATATTATGACAATTGATTTAATCTTAGGTGTCCTATAACAATCTTAAATGACTATAGGTGTTAACCTGGCTCAGTTGGTAGCACAGCCCCCCCACCCCCACCATCCTATGGCAATATTCAAAAAGAGAAGGCAATTTCTCCCAGTGTTCTGCCCACAAATCCCGAGATAAAATTGGTCATTCTCTTCATTGCTGAGTGCAGATTGGGTGCCGCATTTACCTTTAAATATAGTTACTCAGTTTCAGCGTTCCACCCAGCGTGAAAGGCACCACATAAATGCAATTTGTTGTTTACCAACAAAATGCTTTGAGACATTTTGGCATGATAGGCACGATATAAAATGCAAGGCTTATTATTAATAAGAGAGGGGAGAAAATATGATATTTCAATTGGTAAAACAACTACCGATTTTTATTTTTAAACCAATTTCTTTTGGTGAACTCCCAGCTCCCAACTTATGATCAAGGGGCCTCACTAACAAGCATATTGACGTAAATCAGCCATGATCTAATGCAATGGCAGAGGGGCTTAATTGCCTACTTCTGTTCCTATGATATATTTTATTCCAACCGACTCAACATTGAAACAAACTTCAGAAGTGAGCTGTATTATAAAACTAATATCTTGACCGTGCTCACACATTGTGCTAAACATGGATTTGGACACCCTCGCTTAAAAATCAATAATGAATTTAAGAAAATACCCTGACAGGTCACAATAGTAATTTTTATTCAAGAAACATAAAATATCCTGTTCCTTTAAGTTTATTTGGAAACAACCTAGCAACATAGCCGTAGTACCCTGAAGGATTACACTATACAAGAGAGTATTTGTTTATTCTAATCTTCACCACTGCTGGTGGTTACGTAAGATCTCTGGCTCATTGAAAATGTTCCTGAATTATACAATATCATGATTCAATCACTTGTTCTGGCCAAGCCTTTGCTAAGGTGACATATGCTATTGCTACCCTGAGTGAAGGGTACTATATAACTGCAAGTTGTTGTTGTTTTTCCCATCTACCTGTTCAGGTGGATGTTAAGTTAGATCACTTTGGATGAGACTTGAATTCAGCCTGGATCTAAACAACTGATAGAGCAATATCATCTATCATTAATTTGCTGTACTTGTCTCATGGCTTGCTGTAGGATATATCTGGAGGGCATTCTTACAAGAGTATAAATAACAGTTTTGTTCACAGTGTACTGGGTAGGATAAGTAAAGTATATTTTTTATACTCTTGTGACAAGAGGGATGTACCTGATAATCCTTAATTGCAGATTGGGCGTATGAAATGTTGCTGCATGCTAAGCAGGACCTGTTATTTTGGAGTAAGTTGCTGGAAGAGTTTGTTTAGCTCAGTCAGCACGCTTGCCTCAGGAATCGAGAGTGTGATTTTGATCCTCGCTCCTGTATTTAACTGATGATCTAGGCTGATTATTTGGGACATGTGAGATGAGAGATGCTAAACTTGTTCTGACAGTTGAGATAGGGTTTAAAGATGCCATGGTAGTATTTCAAAGCGCAGGGAACTGAAGTGCTTTGAGACATCCTAGAGGGAAATTGTTGTTGTTGTAGAGGGAAATGAAAGGCATCTATATAAATGCAGATTGTTATTCTTACACTGTCCTAACTAATATGAGCCCCCTCCCCATCAAACTTCACCAACATAATAAAGATTCATTACCATTTGTGGGATGTTGCAGTTGCAGATTTTCTTTCTTTTTGTCAATATTTAAAAGTGAACTATCTTTTCGGGACTTACTTAATTTATCAACTGATTTAAATCGCCCCCCACCCCATTCCATCCACACATCACAATTGCCAGGTGAGGTGCTGCCTGTGAACTTGTGATTGGAATATTTTACAATGTGATAATTATCACCAGTGAAAATATCACAGAAGATAAACGTTATCTCATCATGTGAAATGGTTTAGACACCATAGTAATAAGGAAGAATATTTAATAAAAATCACAATGATATTAAGAAAAGTTTTGATTTTTTTTTAAAAAAAAGTGCATTTCCCATTTGCAGACTGACCTGACACCCCGCATGTCCAAATTTCCAACTACCGTGCAGGTCTGAGGCAGCTGACATTGGATAGCCAATGCCACTCACTCCAATGTCGGTAAAAGCCAAGTTCACGATAATAGCGTTTGTCGCTGTGCGGAGCTCCTTGAACTTAACGAACATAATTAACACAATTATGTTGCTGAGTAGACTTATTACTCCTGCAATGAACCACAGTGACAAATTTCTCATTCTTGATCTCCCTGAGGACCAAAGCGAAAGGTTAACAATTTTAACAGAGTTGTCATGGCCTGGAATGCACTGCCTGAAAAGGAGATGGAAGCAGACTCGATAATAGCTTTCAAAAGGGAATTGGATGGGTACTTAAAAAGGAAAAATTTGCGGTCTATGGGGTGAGAGCGGAGGAGTGGGACAAATTGGTAACTATTTCAAAGACCTGGCACAGGCACGAAGGGCTGAATAGTCTCCTTCTGTGCTATAAAATTCAGTGCTTCTATGGTTTGTGCAGCTACAGCAACTTGTGATATAACACATTGCACCCTACTACAACCACTATCTGCAACTGAAGTATGAAAGATGCATATTTTTTATATCAAAATTCATCTCAAAATTGATTGTTCAATATTTTTGAACCTATTATATTTGAAACCATAGGTGTAGTCCTGGCCAGCAAATCACCCTAATAAAATTGGTCACTCACTCCGTGGCTGTTTGTAAGGCGTTGCTGTGCACAAACTGACTGCCTTGTTTCACTCACAAAAAAGTCAATCCACTTTACAATATATCCTATGGAGTGCTTTGAGACAACTCAATAATGTGAGAAAGCATTACATCAATGCAAGGATTATTAAAAGAAGTACTAATTCCACTGACAATCAGAGCACCTAAATGAGCTGCATATTTCAATCCTTCTTAATAAACATGAACTACTTCCTAAACTTCAGATCCTGCACGTTTATATTTCGTATAGAAAATTAAGCGAGTACCTGCAGTTATCAGATAAGTTGCAACAATGATGTGTTCTGTCTGGGAAAACACAGATTTGTGATCCCTTTCTGTAGGATCCGTGGAGAGATTGAAGGTAACAGTTCCAGAGAAGTGATTCAAAGCATCTTCCATTTCAGGCGAAAGTTTACGATACCAAATATAATCTGTAAGGGTTTCAATTTTATCTGTTCGGTGTGGAGATTGCTGTAGAAATTCAGCCACCACACTACAAGTCGTCCTGTCGCTGTAGTTGTCTAAGGTTAATTGGACTAGCCAGTGAAAAGGATTTAAATCTGCAGCTCAAAGCCCTTGTTACTTGAACAATGCCCACCACAGATCTGGTATTTTCATCCAACTACTTTACTGTGCAAAGTATTATTGAAACGGGATTTGGCAGTCACATGCTGTTTTTCTCTGGTTAAAATAAACCGCATTTTTAGCACCCATCATGAGCAACAGTTATTTTATTCTTCACACAGCAGAGACTTCATTCTGTAGAATGTTGCATTGAAAAATAGAGAAACAGAAGGCAGCATTCTGTATTTTTGAAAGAGCACAGGATAATAGTTCATTCAGCACACTTTGAAACTACTTTCTGACTGCATCATCACAGTAATCCTTCCCACACTATTCCCTGATCCATGCTAGCAACAGCACATCCTGCAAGTTAAATCTGCTTTCCCCTTTTTCTGCAAGGTTGCTGTTAAGTATCAGCCCCAGCTGTGTTGTGGAAGCCAGTTGTGAGAATGGGATTACTCGATATACCAACTAACTGGGAAAGAGCAACTGACCCCACTCGATTTACATTTTAGTGTCTTACTCCAAGTCTCCACCCTTACTTTTGCTCCCTGCCCGTATTCCTTCTTGCCTTTAGATCAATTCTTGCTACCCGATTCCTACAATTATTCCAAATAATTTGTGTCTTTATCAAATCTTGATTTCTATGTTTCTAAAAGCAGTTTGTCTGTATGTGCCCGGTCCCTCCTGCTCCAACTGACTCCATCTGTGTCTCAATAACATTACTTACATTGTAAAGTAAATCAGCTAGGTAATATTACAAATTGAAAAAGGCCACTATAGTCATGATATTTTCCACTGCACAATCACCGTGGGATTTTAAATGGCCAATCCAAAAATATTCTAAAGTAGTTCACATTAAAGCACTCAATTCCAGTTATCTTGTGGTTGGCAATCTGTAAGTAATGCACAGAGTACGCCTGCTATCCTCTGTGCTACAGTACTGCTGCAAGATATTATACCATGCTTAATAACCTGCTTTATTAAACAAATTAGATACCTAGGTTAACAGAAGTTACAACAGTAGCACAAGAAAAGAGGCAAACCCAAAGGTTACAAATACTAGTTCAATGGAAAATGTAAACTCATTTAAACAATTCTGGCTAACAAACCAGTCACCATATACCGAGGGCTCACATACAACAATGCAGAACCCTCTCTTCCTTTACATTATGTAATGAGGGAACCTCGAACAATTCTTGAGCAATTTCCACGTGCTTTACTGCCCACAAACTGCTACCACTCCTGACAGTGGCTTCTCTTCAACTCTTCATCTTACCTGGCTGGTAAGATCAGGATGCCTACTGCAAGAAGCAGAGTCATTTAAATTCAATCAATCAAATCGTTAAAACTAATTGGTGCTTATAGCAAAGTGCTCTCAAGATATATCCAAGCACTTCATTACCCTGGTAGATAAAGTAGCTTCACACTGGATTGCCATCAGTTAATGGTCAAACTTAAATAACCAGTCGAGTTTCTTGTGAGAGTCAAAAGTGCAACAAGACTTTCTAAAATCTTGTTGATGTAACAGTATACCAGGAAAATAAATCTGATCCCTTTAGCTCTCAAAAGTCAAAATAGCAATTGAACTACCAATTTATCATTGCACATATCATGGAAGTTTATAATGATATACAGAAATAAAAATCTAAATGGCAATCCAAACGCACTTACCTGGGGATCAGTCAAATAGATTGACAATTATAAACAACCAACTTGATGCTGTATTCTGGAAAGACGAGATCCTATTCATCTAAATCTCTCTTGCAATGCTTTTTGACAATAGTGTTACACTATTACACTGATCTGATAGATTATATCAATGACATCACCACCATGACAGACAGGGCACTTTGGCAGATAGAGAACTTTGTATTGTAACCACTATAATAATCTTTGCATTTAATATAGCACTTTTCACATCAGGAGGACATCCCAAAGAGCTTCACAGGATTTATATTCTAAAGTGCAGTAAGTTTATTTGAAGGTGAACGCGGCAGTGAATTTCTCACAACAAATATCCCACAAATAGCAGCAGAGCACTCGATAAAATTGAGCCACTTCATTTCTTGCATCCTGTTAAAAACAAATAAACTTCAAAGATTACAAATCAAAACCAGGAAACTGAAATTCAAAATGATCAATGGACAAATTTGTTTATCAGAGAAATTTTAAACTTAGAAAAATAGCAGTTAAGTGTCCGACATCCGATGCTGCTGAAAGTTGTTTGGCGAACTATTACATTCTATTACTTCCATGTAAATGCATTTGAATTTGCATTTAAATGTACTCGAGACAAAGATTACATTTGCAATTGTATCTAAATGTCCGAGTGAAACATCTGAAGTTGACCAAATACCTTTGTAAGATTTTCAAATGCTTCCAATAAATACCTGATACTTCGGTTGACAGGTGGCCTTTAGTCACATTAGAGACACAGATCAGGTATTGTTGCTTTGCCCTTTGAGGCTGATCCATTGAACTAGTGGCAAGACAACCAGCTGAGGTTCCCTCTTTTAGCCCTGCAAGCAAAATATTATTTGTGTACTCGCTTCATCTGACAAGGCAAAGGGGATGTGGGATGGAGTTCCAGAGGGTGGGGGCAGAGAGGCTGAAGGTCCGGCCGCCGATGGCGAGGCATGGAGCAGGCCTGCAGAGCGGAATGGGCGAATTGGTTGACGTGGGTTAGCATGTCGGAGGTAGGAGGGGGCAAGGCCTTGGATGGCCTTGAAGGTGAGGATGACAATTTTGAACTCGATCCTGAGGGATGGGGAGCCAGTGGTGCCAGGCGAGGGTGGGTGCGATGGGGTCACGGAGCCTGGTGTGGGAGAGGACATGAGCTGCAGAGTTCTGGATGATCTGCAGCTTGTGGAGGGAAGAGTTGGGAAGGCCGACAAGCAGGGAGTTGGCATAATCGAGCCTGGTTGTACTGAAGGCATGTATGAGGATTTCGGGGCCTGAGGGGTAAGGCAGTGGCGGAACTGGGCAATGTTGCAGAGGTGGAAGAGGCAGAACAGTTCAAAGCACGGATGTGGAGTAGAAAGGAAAGTTGAGGGTCGAACAAGACGTCTATGTACCTGACTGACTTGGTGAGGTATCCTTGGATGCTGATGCTGCCAGTGCCTGAGGTGCAGAAGCACTGGCGAGAGCCAATTATGAGAGGCTCGGTCTGGCTGACATTCAACAGGTAGACATTTAAAGATCCAATACAGTTAGCTAATATTGCCCCAGATAAAATTGGTTAATCACCACTTTGTCACTGGTTTGTCACATTCCTATGTGCAAATTGGCTGTGATCACCCATGAAATAGTCACAAAACCACAGTAAACCCTGTAAAAGTACTTTGAGATGGCCTTCCAAAGTAAACAGTGCTATATCAAATGCAAGTAATATTATTTGCTTCAAGACAATTAATATTTAACATCATGCAGTCCCTAGCTTCTTAGGGTAATTGTATGCATTTTCTACCCCATTTAATTTAAAATAATGAGTTCTAAAGTTTATGTAAAAACAGTATTTATTTTAAAACAAATATCATAATGAAATACTTAACAGTTTGAACCAGTTCTGTAGACTGAATATTGTTAAAACCAATAAAACTGTTGTTGTACAGACCAATTCTTTACTTCAATATAAATCCATTTTTTTCACTGTTTTGTACACAAATTTATCAAGAACTAGTAGGTTAACTATTGGGTTCAATAGTAGGAATTTCAATCAGTATATAATCCGTTGATCAGTCTGACCTACTGGACTCTGAAACAAATGTAATCCAAATCGATACCAAAAAACAAGAGATGTTACCGTATTGCTGCGTGAATAATACAAAATGTTGTTAGAATTGTAATAACATTAACATTTACAGACAATAAACTACTTTTATTTTGATAAAAAAACAATGTTCTTCAGACTTCTTGCAGTTCATAAAAGGAACTCCATTTTCTGGACTCGCAGGAGGACTAAAATGGTAAATATTTTGTGGCCAATCTTGAAACATCCACTGTTTTCATCTTCCTCCTATATGGGGAGCGGGAAAGGGAAGTAGACCATGAATAACAGATCAACATATCTCAAGGTATTCACCACAAAGAATGGGGGGGAACGGGAAGCAAAAGACAGGGAGAATTAATGCCCTCTTATGATGCCCTCCTCTCGATTCACATGTTAACATGTGAAGAAAAGCCAATTGAACAAGTTATTGGAAGTCAATCAGTAGCCAGAAAGTAACCAACAAGATGCTATACTTTCTCCAGGGAGAAAACTGAATAATGCTCTGCTTGTACTCTAAGGGTCAGTAAGATTCAAAACTTGCATCTTGTAAGGTGACACATACTTGCACCATTTCAAAGCTCACTTTTCTTGAATGCAAGGACATTAAATATAAATACTGAGAGAGGGAAGAAAGAGAAATCAACATTTATGCAAACCAAGTAAATGTTGGATAAGCTGAAATCTGATTTCATGTTTGAGCAATAGTAAAAAATACAATAAAAATTTAGACAGTGCTTTTCACCCATGGAGGACACCTCAAAGCATTTAATGCTGTAGGCTGGACACCTGAGCTGGGGGTCAAAGGGTGGGGAGTGGAAAGATGATCAAAAGCACGATCAAAAAGATAGGTCTCGAGATGAACCTTGAAGGAAACAAGGAAGGTGGTAAACCATAGAAACTCCAGGACGGAGTTAAGTACAGTTAAAGCTCAGGTGCAGCCAAGCAGTAAGCACTGCGGCTTAAGTGAGGACCTGAGTTAATAGAGCAGCACAACTTCAGCAAAATCAATGACTCGTGAATATTTAAGCCAGCAAAACCAAAGGACGGGTTATAGGGGGCTAAACAGGTAGAAAGTTGGTAGAGTGCTGTGTTAGGATCAGTCACAGAAAGTAAAACAAGAGGTTGAGTACCTTCACGAGCTGCAGAGAGCTGGAAAGTCAGCAGTCAGAGAGTAGCTGAACAAAAACGACAATCACTCAGACTGTGCACAAGGAACAAGAGAAAAGCTTATCACCGGGGCCAACAGAAAAATGCTGTAATATTTGCCCAAAAATTGTGGGGAAATTTGGGGGGTTTGCAGGGAGTAGATTGGTACTATTGAGGTACATTTTACTGCCAACCTACATTTTTTCACTTTAAAAACTAAACATGAAATAACACATACTGGACTGTTGCAAAAAAATTTGTAATTTCTTTAAGAAAAACTGGATGGCCCGTTTGTGTGTGGAGGGGGGGGAAATGGGCAAAGGACACCGGTGAGGCTAAAGGAGCTCACGACCTCCTGCCTCTCATATCGCTCAGGGTCACGGAGCGCACATAGACAGAAAGAGAAAGACACACTCAGAGAGAGGTACACACACACACACACATTCAGAGACACACACACATGTAGAAGAGACATATACAGACACACTCACGGACAACCACAGAGCGAGGGGCACACTCTCACTGACAACCACAGAGCGAGGGGCACAGTCTCACAGACAACCACAGAGCGAGGGGCACACTCACACAGACAACCACAGAGCGAGGGGCACACTCTCGCGGACAACCACAGAGCGAGGGGCACACTCTCACTGACAACCACAGAGCGAGGGGCACAGTCTCACAGACAACCACAGAGCGAGGGGCACACTCTCACTGACAACCACAGAGCGAGGGGCACAGTCTCACAGACAACCACAGAGCGAGGGGCACAGTCTCACAGACAACCACAGAGCGAGGGGCACACTCTCACAGACAACCACAGAGCGAGGGGCACACTCTCATTGACAACCACAGAGCGAGGGGCACACTCTCGCGGACAACCACAGAGCGAGGGGCACACTCTCGCGGACAACCACAGAGCGAGGGGCACACTCACAGACAACCACAGAGCGAGGGGCACACTCACAGACAACCACAGAGCGAGGGGCACACTCACAGACAACCACAGAACAAGAGACACACTCAACGACAACCACACAGAGAGACATAGACACTCACAACAGCAGGGCCTCCGAGTGAAGCCCATGTTCCGTTAGTGCTACATTGCGCATGTGCAGCCAGAGCTGGCCCGCTCATAATGGCGTCAGGTAAACAACGAGAGGCCCGCCCCGAACTCACTGTGTGTTTACAGAGGCCGGCGGGCCAGAAACAACATTTTTAGCAGGTTTGTAGCGGTGGAGGGTGTTTGTGGTGGATTCTGTGGTAAAAGCGTGTCTGCACTTTTCTATTGGCCGAGGTTATGAGGCTACAGTGATTATGAACATACAGTACATCTTTTAACACAGTCAGATGTAACGGGCATTTTCCAATTACCTCTAAAGCCACGTCCACCACCACCACCTCTGCCTCCTCTGAAACCACCTCCACCTCTGAAACCACCTCCTCTGAAACCACCTCCACCACCTCCTCTGAAACCACCTCCCCTTCCTCCTCGGAAACCACCTGCAAGAAAGATACACGCTCATCAGCTTTATCCATTGGAAATTCACAATCGTTGCACAGCTTCTTACAATATAAAGGGAACTTACCTGCAGCACTTAATGCTTTCAAACGACTACATCCTAACAGTTTGTTTCGAAAACATGTTTCTTATTTATTTCAGAATAATAAACCATCCCAGGAAAGACAGACAGCATGTATCAGCGGCAACATATCATGTAACTAAACCACCATAGGATGGATGCTAATGTGACAAGTATCGTAGGCTCCTCTGATGTCTTCTAAATTCAAGTAAATTCAGTGAGTAATCTGAGTGGCAGACACAGGGGTGATCCTAAATTTTGATCACTGGTCTGTGCTGAATTACTTCATCTCAACTGCAAAAAGGTTGGGGGTGTTACAATCTACCTCAATGGCTATTAACGGAGAGTAAGGTCAAATCAGGGTTCTCACCACTGATCGCTATTTAGAGAACTCCCATAGAAAAGCGCAGGTGTGGATGTTGGGCAAGGATAGGTACACAAACGGGAGTCATGGGGAAAGAACCAGTTGCCTGCAGAACTGTGCTCCCACAGAAGGAAAATGAGTCAAAATATCTTCAGGAGAGATGCCAAGGGAGAAAACTATAAGAAAATGTAGTTTCGATAATGTTCTGATTTATAAATGTTAGCCTTTTATTATTTCCTTTTAAAGCATTCCAGCAAATTCAGCAACATTCATAAACTGGTTTGAGTCAGAATGGTTGGTTTACTAGTTGTACAGGTTAAAATTTGAACTTGTCTGAAAATTGGGCTGAACCATCAGCCTTTACCACAATCTTTATGAATTAGGTCCACATTAAATGGGTTCTACTTTGGATTGGTAACCAGGAGAGCAGAATTTGTACAATCACACAAATTGGCCTCAAGATGTTTTGGTGCTGGAGCTGATCCCACCACACATGGGTGTTCAGATTCACATCAGATGTCACTTCATTGCACACATAAAATCTGGGAAGTTTGAAATTCCTTCACAACAAAACACTTAAGAATTTCCATGGGCCAGACAAGATGACCGATGCTTCAATATAATGAAATCCTTGCATTTTATATAGCGCCTTTCTCGCTAGGAGGAAGTCTCAAAGCGCTTCACAGAATATACTGTAAAATGTAGTGACTGTGTAATTTGTAGGCAAATGAGGGAGCCAATTTGCAAATAATAATGTCCCATAAAGAGATGAAGTGAATGACCAATTTTATTTGGGATCTGTTGGCCAGGACACCAGGAGAAACTCCCTTCTCTTTTTGAATAATGTTTAACATGCACTTGAACAGCCAGATGGGATTTCAGTTTAACGTCTCATCCGAAGGACGGGAAGCCTGAACCCACAACCTCCTGACTCTGAGGCAAGAGTGCTAATGTACTTTGCTTGTGGGAGCAATAGCAAGATGATGACCTGAATAAGTACTTAGAACTTCTTGACATTAGCCTTCAGTGGACACAAACCCCATTTTTGCTACAATTATGGTTTCTTGACAATTTTTGTAGATTTCTGGATTTGCTCAGTACTCTACAAGCCTATAGCTAACTTTCCAAAAGTCAGTCATTACTCTTTCAGTAAGAAAACTGCTGAAAGAATCTGTTTGTGGGACACTGCTGTGCGACATTGGCTGCCACGTTTTGCCCACACAATATAGTCAATGCACTTTACAGTGTATTCTGTGAAGCACTTTGTGACATCTTGAAGACGTGATAAAGTGCTATATTAAATGCAAGGTTTATTATTATTGTACACCAATTTAATGTCAATGAACAGAACACTCTCTTACCACCCCCTCGTCCTCTGCCTCCAAATCCACCGCGGCCTCCTCGGCCTCCTCTTCCTCGGCCCTTTTCACCCGCTGGCCGAGGCAAAAATCGCTGAAGTGGCAGTAATTTTGCAGGATCAACATAAAACTGCAAGAAAAGAGATCAACTTGATCACAGAAGCTCCTACTCATAGCTAGATATTTTAAAAATAACCTTATTGCGATCCAACAAATTTTACTGAGACAGGCAAATAGAACAACAAGAGATTTATATAGCTCCCTTTACCTAGCGTTACATCTCAGACATCTTCACAGGGACAGTGTCTCAGCAGAGGAGAAAAGAGGCTGGAGGATCTTTTATATACAATAACACACCAGTGTGATCATTGTGTACTTTTTTTTAACATACATAACACTCTATATTAATGTTTTACTCTTTTTAATTTTCATATTCCTTTTTTCAAATGAGTGATTAGGGTGGACTTAAAGGAATCTCTCGCCCCCCTTCACCCCACTACAATTTCCAGGTTGAATTTTCTCCTGGTTACTTTGGCTTATATTCTCCTCTGCTACAAATTGGCTCTAGCGATTGCCTCACATCATATCCAATCATTGTGCCTCTAAAGTGCTTTATGAGACTTCTTTTATATGAAAAGCTCTACAAATGCAAGATAATGTTACATTTTACAGGACACTATATCAACTCCACTGTACATGGAGTTTGCTGATGGTATTGTTCATTAAAGGGTTGAGATCATTTTGTTAGTTAATCCAAGCAGACAATGTGCTGCAAACCCATAATTTATCCACCCTCCAACAGATTAATATTTTCAAAGCAGAGCTTGAATATTCTTGTAGATTTTCCTCACAATCAGAAAACCTACCTTTTGTAGTTTCTTAAAGGAAGCAGCTTTCATGTTTTCTGATAATTTAACTGAAAAATACTGATCGGTCTTAGTTAAGGAAATAAAATAAGCCAATCACAGGTGTAACAGTAGCGAGCACTATCCCCCCCATGCAATTGTGACCCAGAATTATTCCCCACCCCAACACTCAAAAGCACCCATTTAATGCACCAGTGCAAACTACTTTCACCAGACCTCCTATACATTTCAGGTTTAAAATGACCAAATTAAAGACAGTGCCACTAAAAACAAAGGGATTTGGACTGCTCAATAATGCTTCACTTGTTCAGCACTTAAAGGTTATTTTGAACCACGAAACAGAGTTGTAGATGATTAGAACTCCCCCCCCACTCATCCCCTTACAGATTGTTTCAAAGCAAAAATGTCTAGTTTTAGTGTCAGCATGCAAGGAGAAATTGGTTTCTTTTAAACCCTTTGGATTTTTACTGAAGAAAACACTGTTCAATGTGCAGAATGTGTCACAAAACTTGGGAGTCCACCTTAACATAAACCCAGGAAAAGATACAAAATCTCTGATCTGTCCAAAGATCTCATCAACTTTCCCAATTTGTTCCTTGTTCTCCAAGTAAATTGGTGCATTGAAATATGGGATTTTATTTTCTTCCGAGGTACACTTGCAAACAATGTCATCTTCGCAAGGGTGCATGAAATGTCCTAGTTCTAAAAAAAAGGCAGTCAAGAGTTAGTCAAAGTATCTCATTAAATCTACACATGTACTGCACCTCAATTTATAACTTCAAAATTTTTCCATGAATTTTTGCACTTGGTAAACTGAGGAATGTCAATTCTAGGGAAAAGGTGTGCTTTCCTATTCTTGGGACCTGCATCACAATAAAGTAAGGAACAGTGCAGTGAGATTCTGAAAGTCACTTCTATTCTGCCTACGATTTTGTATTTGCTTTTAATCTCAGAAGCCACCACAGAAACCCTGGCAGCTATCCCTGTAACCTGCACATGGGTGCAAATTACTGATGAAGTTAGGAGCAGTTCTGAGTGAGATCCATGATCACCACAGACTGCAATCGATTCTATTCAACTTGTTCGCATAAGAGCCTGTCAAGAAATTTCCGTGTGGAGGTGGCATACATATGCCTGGTTTACTCTGTCTGGTTTAGATATTCTTAAATTTGGTGATGGGTTTCCACAGGACTACCAAAAAATATATTAAGTAGTCTGATGAAAAGTACAGAAATACTTCGAACTATTTGTATCAGTTATTCCTAGCCCCTGCACTCACATGTATTGGTTGTTGTATTTAAACTATAAACCATAACGTACCCACTACACTATCTGGTGGTCCCATATCATATCCTCGATTAAAGTTGCCTCCTCGCCCACCACGGCCTCGGAATCCACCTCCACCTCTACCACCACCAAAGCCTCCTCTTCCACCACCGAAGCCTCCTCCTCTTCCTCCACCACCCCTACCTCCACGGAACGACATTTTGAATAAATTTTCTGAAAGGAATGAAAAAAATGTTATTCAAAGTTCAAACCTGCAACCATAGTGGTGAAAAAGTTCACTCTGATGAAATGAGCAAAGTCGAATATATCTGTGAGACTGTAATTAGTTACTGCAACTGACATTCACCCGCCCAGAGAGCACCCTATCCATATATCTTTTATAGAACTCGCACCTTAATAGTCAATTCTGGGTCGAATAGAGAAAATAACTGCACCAGTTCTGATTTGAGCACAGAACGCTCTGCACCAAGGGAGAACAGTTTACGTTGCTTTAACGATTGTTAACAGTGTGAAGTGGATGGTTTAACGTTTCTGTAAGGCATTTCTCTCCATTTTGAAAAATGGGAAGCAAAGAAATGGAAAGAGTATTTCCAATAGAAATTAAATGGAAATAAGGAAGCTCTGTGGAACTGATGATCAGAGTAAGTGCCTCAAGTTACCATTACAGATTGCATCTTGTATTCAACAGTTGTGTATTCAACAGAAAGTAAAGCTCAGTTATTTCAATGATCACAATGACCAAACGTATTGAACATCTTACTCGTGCACCTTTTAAAATGACAGAACTACAATCGATGTACCCAAACAAATCCAAGTGTTCAGTGAATCTGTGTGTGTGTGTGTGTTACACAAGCTGCTCTGTGTGCGTGTGTTTTACACAAGGTTCTGCGTGTTATACAGGGTCCCTGTGTGTGTGTTAGTGTGTGTGTTACATTGGGTCCTCTGTGTGTGTCTGTGTTACATAGAGTGCAGTGTGTGTATGGGGTGCTGTGTGTGTGCGTGTCTGACTGTTACATAGGTGCTCTCGCTCTCTCGGTGAGTGTATATGTTACACAGGGTTCTTTCTGTAATTACGTTACACAGTCTCCCTGTCTGTCTATTAGGGTGCTACGTGTGAGTGTGTGATACAGTGTGCTCTCTCTATCTGATATTACGGTCTGTTAGTGTGCTGTGAGTGTGCCCCCACCCCCGAGTGTGTGTGTTAGAGTGCTCTTGTTGTGAGTGTGTGCGTGTGTCAATCTGCTCTCTCTGTGAGTGTGTGGGTTTACAGTGTGCTCTGTGTGTGTCGATGTGCTCGATCTCTCTCTCTGTGCTCTCTTTGTGAGTGAGTGTTACACATTGTTGGGGGTTGGGGTTACAGGGGGCTGTGGGTGTGGGGGGGGGGGTTACAGGGGCTGTGGGTGTGGGGGGGGGTTACAGGGGGCTGTGTGTGTGGGGGGGTTACAGGGGGCTGTGTGTGTGGGGCTGTGTGGGTGTGTGGGGGTTTACAGGGGGCTGTGGGTGTGGGGGGAGGTTACAGGGGGCTGTGTGTGTGGGGCTGTGTGGGTGTGTGGGGGGGTGACAGGAGGCTGTGGGTGTGTGGCTGTGTGTGTGGGGGGGTTACAGGGGGCTGTGGGTGTGTGTGGGCGGGTTACAGGGGGCTGTGGGTGTGTGTGGGCGGGTTACAGGGGGCTGTGTGTGTGGGGCTGTGGGTGTGGGGGGGTTACAGGGGGCTGTGGGGCTGTGTGTGGGGCTGTGGGGCTGTGGGGGGTACAGGGGGCTGCGGGGCTGTGGCTGTGGGGCTGTGGCTGTGTGGGTGTGGGGGGTACAGGGGGCTGTGGGTGTGGGGCTGTGGCTGTGTGGGTGTGGGGGGGTACAGGGGGCTGTGTGTGGGGCTGTGTGTGGGGCTGTGGCTGTGTGGGTGTGGGGGGTACGGGGGCTGTGGGTGTGGGCTGTGGCTGTGTGGGTGTGGGGGGGTTACAGGGGGTGTGGGGCTGTGTGTGGGGCTGTGTGGCTGTGGGGGGTACAGGGGCTGTGGCTGTGGGTGTGGGGGGTACAGGGGGCTGTGGGTGTGGGGCTGTGGGGGGGTACAGGGGGCTGTGGGCTATGGCTGTGTGTGTGGGGGGGGTACAGGGGGCTGTGTGGGTGTGGGGCTGTGGGTGTGGGGCTGTGGGGGGGTACAGGGGGCTGTGGGGCTATGGCTGTGTGTGTGGGGGGGGTACAGGGGGCTGTGTGGGTGTGGGGCTGTGGGTGTGGGCTGTGGGGGGTACAGGGGGCTGTGGGGCTATGGCTGTGTGTGTGGGGGGGGTACAGGGGGCTGTGTGGGTGTGGGGCTGTGGGTGTGGGGCTGTGGGGGGTACAGGGGGCTGTGGGGCTGTGGCTGTGTGGGGGGGTACAGGGGGCTGTGTGGGTGTGGGGCTGTGTGTGGGGCTGTGGCTGTGTGGGGGGGTACAGGGGGCTGTGGGTGGGGCTGTGGCTGTGGGGCTGTGTGGGGTCACTCACCGGTGTCGGGTCACGTGTTCCCCTGTGGCCGCCTCGTGTCGGGGCCCCGGGGCCGTGGCCGCCGCTCTCACACACAGAGAGAGAGAAATCTCTCACCACCGTCACCCCCTTCTCTCTCTGCTTCTGTCCGTCCGAGTCTGTATTTAAAATGGCTGCTCCTGCAGCAGCAGCGACATGTCTCTGTGTGTGTGTGTGTGTCAGTCAGTCTCTGTCACACCGCACCGTCGGCCTCCATTCATCTCCAGGGCCTGGACGGGACCGGAAATGGTTCCGTCACTTCCGCCCTGCGGCGCATGCGCACGGCGCAGTGTTCCGTCAAGCAACGTCATCAGCCCCGGGAGGGAGGGAGAGAGAGAGAGAGAGAGGGGGCGGAGCTCGGGGTGTGCGCCCTCTACAGGAGAATCGTATGAACTGCAAGGTCACCATGTGGTTGTGGGTGTGGGTGGGGGTGTGGGTGTGGGTGGGGGTTGGGGGGGGCAGCAACACACCGAGTTTCGGGGTCACCCCATCACCAATGCTTCGGAGTATCCAAACCCAACCGAGAATCCCGTGCGTCCCCCCCGACACGTGGACATCCCGGGGATGGATGGCTGGGATACAATGGACTTACCTTCCCGTATGGTGGGAGGGGAAGAATCATTCCTGGGCAAACTATCGCGTCGCTCCGGGTTTCAAAACGCTATTTTCAGGTCTCCCATCAGATCTCTTGACTACAACAAATGCAAGGATTATCATTTTTATCATTGTTGTATCATGATAATAATAATAGTAATCCTTGAATTTGATGTAGCATCGTATCACGTCTTTGAGACGTCTCAAGAGTACAGGATGTAGTGGGAAAAGTCTCTTAATTGAATACGAAGGGAAAAATAACGAACAAATTACACTTGTGTATCTCCCTCCATGTTGGAAAGACGTCCCAGATGCTGGACAGTTAGGGATTTTTGGACCCAAGCTGGGAGTTGGGGTCAGGAGAGGTGTAGGGCGGTGGGGTGGGTGGGGGGGAGGGGGGGTTGAAGGGGTGGTGGGACAGGGAGGGTGACCAAAGGCACGGTCGAAGAGGAAGGTCTTTAGATGGGACATGAAGGAGGCCAGAGGGATTGAGGCAGAGGGATTGGGGGATAGAGTTCCAGAGTGTGGGAGCAGAGATGTTGAATGCCCAACTGCCAATGGTGGAGCAGGAAGTTCAGGGGATCTGAAGCAGGCAGGTATCTGCCGAGCGGAGGGAGTGGACAGGCTGATATGTGGTTAGGAGGTCGGAGAGATAGGGGGGAGCAAGACCAAGGATGGCTTTGATGGTGAACTTCTGAGCTGCCATCAGGAAAGATATATTGGCCTTGGAGGGGTACAATGCAGATTCACAAGAATGATACGGGGGTGAAGGGGTTAACTTATGGGGCTGGGTTGTATAAACTTGTTTGTATTCCCTGAAGTTCAGAAGGTTGTTGGGTGATTTAATTGAGATGTTTAAAATGATAAAGGGACTTGATAGGGTATATAGAGAGAAACTTTCCTCTGGTGGAAGAACCTAGAACAAGGGGGCGTCATCTTAAAATTAGAGCTTGGCCAGTTAGCAGTGAAACCAGGGAACATTTCTTCATATAGAGGGTTGTGGAAATCTGGAAGTCTCTCCCCCAAACGGTTGTGTATGCTCGATCAATTGGAATTTTCAAGACTGAGATCGATAAATATTAGGTGGGGGTATCAAGGGATAAGGAGAAAAGGCTGGTAAATGGAGGTGAGATGCAGATCACCCATGATCTAATAGAATGATGGAACAGGTTCGAGAGGCTGAATGCTCTGCTTCTTTTCCTATGATCAGTAGTTGCCAACAAATAAATATTTGCTTCTTGAAAAACACAACTTTCTGTTGAATAGCCTCTGCCTGGAAGTCAGCAGAATGCAAAGATAAAAAATTATACAGCTATCAGAAAAGGAGCTTGGCGAGAGACAAAAAAAAAGCAAATGCAGTTTTTTTTTAAGTATTACTTGGTAAGGTATTTTTGGTACTCAGAAATAGTGCAAACTTTGAGGGAATTTTCATGATTCGTTTTATACTCATACTGCCTTTTAGGCAACAATATTCTGTGTGGCTTTCCTCACGTCGACAATGAAACCACAGTGCAATAACGCAAGAGTCAGCCTGACATATACTATACTGACCACAGACCGAATCCAACAAGATTCTATAATAGTCTACGTGGGAGGCCCGAGGCAATTGCAGGCTGAGGGACTGGAGGCAGAATCTACTGGGAAGACTGGAACTCAGAGTGATCTCATGAGCAGTAACATGTTGAAGTGTCACCATGACAATAACTGATACAGTTTTCTCCCTGAAAGCAAGTGGCCATTGGCAGGTGTATCACAGTTGAGGTAGAGGATAGGGTTGCACAGGAGCAGAGAGGACATTTGAGGCACATGAATTCACAACAGATAACAGACAGGACTTGCAGGGGGTCTAATGCAATAAAATGAGCTATTTGGGATGGCAGAAGTTTCCAGACAGTGAGCCTCAGCATAACAACAAGATCAACAACAAGATTACATTTGTATAGCGCCTTTCATGTTGGGAGGACGTCACAAGGCACTGGACAGAGTACAGCATTTCAGACCCGAGCTGGCATGGTCGAAGAGGAGCGTTTTGAGGCGGGACTTGAAGGAGGATAAAGAGGGGGCGAGGCGGAGTGACTGGGGGATGGAATTCCAGAGGTTGGGGGCAGAGTGGTTGAAGGCTCTCCCACCAATGGTGGGGTGGTTGGGTCGGGGGACATGAAGCAGGCCGGAGCCAGCTGAGCGGAGGCAGCGGGCGGGTTGATACGGGGTTAGGAGGTCACAGAGGTAGGGTGGGGCAAGGCAATGGAGGGCTTTGCAGGTGAGGACCAGGATTTTGAACTTGATCCTTTGAAGGATAGGGAGCCAATGGAGTCGGGCGAGAGTGGGGGAGACTGGGTCACAGAGTTTGGTGCAGGAGAGGACACGGGCTGCAGAGTTCTGGATTATCTGCAGCCTGTGGAGGGAGGAGTTGGGAAGGCCGACAACCAGGGCGTTTGCATAGTCGAGCCTGGAGGTGATGAAGGCATGAACAAGAGTTTCAGCGGCCTGAGGGGTGAGGTAGTGGCGGAGTTGGGCGATGTTACGGAGGTGAGGGAAGGCAGAGCGGGTCATGGCTTGAATGTGGGGAGAAAAGACAGTTGAGGGTTGAACAAGACACCCAGGTTCCTGACTGGCTGGTGAGTTGTAGTGTGCAACCATGGAGGTTGATGCTGCCAGAGCCTGAGGTGCTGAGGCGCTGGCGTGAGCCAATCAGGAGGGCCCTCAGTCTTGTTCACATTCAACTGTAGGAAATTTACCCTCATTCAGGACTTGATGTCCGACAGACAGTCTGTCAGGACAGCAGTGGTCCTGGAGTTGAGGGTGGAGGCAGGAAAATAGAGTTGGGTGTCATCCGCATATGTATGGAAGTTGACCCCATGTCTGCGGATAATGTCACCAAGATATATAAATATTAAATGTAGATATTAAAGAGGAGACAAGGACAGAGCCCTGGGGGACGCCAGACGTGACAGTGCAGGGGCTGGAGGAGAAACCGTTAGAGGCAACAAAGTGGAGACGGTGAGAGAGATAGGATTCGATCCAGGCAAGGGCAGGTCCGCGAAGATTGAATAAAGAGGAGAGGCAGTGTATGAGGATGCAGTGGTCGACAGTGTCGAAGGCGGCAGAGAGGTCGAGGAGGACAAGGAGGCAGAGGGAGCCCTGATCACAGATGTCCAGAATGTCATTAGTGACTTTGACCAGGGCTGTTTCCGTGCTGTGGGCAGTGCGGAAGCGGATTGCAGGGGTTCAAAGAGGGAATGGCAAGAAAGAAAGGAGCGGAGCTGGGATGCGACAACTCATTCCAGGACCTTGGAGAGGAATGGGAGGTTAGCGATGGGGCAGTAGCTGGAAAGAAGGGATGGGTCCAGGGAAGGTTTTTCAGGATGGAGGTGATGACGGCTGTTTTTAGGGGGGTGGGAGCTGAACCGGTGGACAAGGAGAGGTTGATGACGTGGGCCAGGAGAGGGGCCAGAAGGTGGAGCTGGGAGATGAGGAGAGAGATGGGGATGGGATCGAGGGAGCAGGTGGTGGGTTTGAGTTTGCGAACAATGGCGGTGAGGGAGGAGGGAGAAATAGTCAAAAGAGTATGGGGGGGTGGATGGGGGCTATGTGGGTCATGAGGTCGAGGTGATGTGGGGGTGGTGGTGACCGGGGCAGAGGTGGCTAAATGTATCCCCTTAATTTTGGATTCAAGGAAGTCCAGCATCTCCTCACAGTTGAAGTTTGAGGAGAGGATGGGCGAGGTGGACGGAGGAGACAGTTTGTGGTGGAAAAAAGAAGATGGGGGTTGTCCTTTGCCTCCAAGATAACCTTGGAGTAGAAGGAGGATTTGGCGGAGGTAAGAGCGCAGCGGTAGGTTTTGGTATGATGAAGCCAAATCTGCCGATGGACCGTTAGTTTGGATTTGGTCCAGGCGCGTTCGACAGCTCACACTTGTGCCTTGAGGGAACGGAGATGGCTGGTGTACAGAGGTATTTACGGGAGTATGAAGCAGTTCGGGAGGTGAGGGGGGCAAGGGAGTCCAGAATGGAGGAGAGGAAGTTGTGGAGAAAAGAGAGCGAGGAGGGGAGATCGGTCAAGGAGGGCCAGAGATGACTCCAGGGCAGTGGAGAGAGAGGGAATTCCACAGACTGTATGTGCTGGTAGAGGGTTGAGGAAGGGGAAGGGGTACGGAGGTGTTGAGGGAGATGAAGTGGTGGTCCGAAATGGTTTGTCGATGATGGTAATGTCCAAGATGGTGAGGCCCCGGGTGATCACCAGATCCAGGGGGTGGCCATGGACGTGGGTGGGGAGTGGATGAGGAGGGAGAGGTTAAGGGAAGAGAGGAGGGAGGAGAAGTCGGCAGAGGTAGAGCAGGAGGGGGTGAAGTGGAGGTTGAAGTCGTCTAAGATTAGGAGGTGTTCAGAGCAGAGGGAGAGGGAAGATAGGAGGGTGAAGGTGTCTGAGAGGAAGGTGAGGGAAGGCTTGGGGGGATGGTAAACAAGGAGGATTTTGAGGGAAAGCCTGGAGGGATCATAGAGGGTTAGGTGTTCAAAGGAGGGGAAGGTTCCAGAGGAATAAGGGGAAAGGCTGAGGGGGGACCAGGAGATAAGAGCCACACCACCACCATGGCGATTAGGCCATGGGGTTTGGTGAAAGGTGTAACCCCAGCTCCGACCGCCTCATCATCCTAGGCGACTTCAACCTTCACTTCACCCCCTCCTGCTCCACCTCCTCAGATTTCTCCTTTCTCCTTGTCTCTCAACCTCTCCCCCCACATCCTCTCTGCTACCCACCCTCACGGTCACCTTCTCGACATGGTGATCACCCAGGGCCTCAGTGTCTCGGATGTCACTATCACTGACAAGGTCATCTCTGACCACTATTTTGTCTCCCTCAACTCCTATATCCCTCTCCCCACTGCCTCCAAACCTACTACCATCTTCTACCGCCCATGGAAGAAGATCTGCCCACAGTCCCTCTCCGCTGCCCTGGAGTCCTCCGAACTCCTCCCCCTCTGGCCCACCTCTCGCACCAACCCACTCGCTGTTCTTACTCTTCTCCACAGCACCCTCTCCACCACACTAATGCCCTTGCCCCCCTCACCTCCTGAACTGCCTTCTATTCCCAATCCTCACCCTGGTTCACCAGCCTCCTCCGCTCGCTTAAGGGCCATGTGTGGGCTGCTGAACGCACTTGGCTCAAATCCGGCCTAATGGTCCACCATCACATCTGGCTGGACCACATCAAAACCTACCACTCTGCTCTCACCTCGGCCATATCGTCCTTCTATTCCAGGTTAATCCTGGAGGCAAAGGGCAACCCCAGGCTCCTGTTCTCCACCACCAACCGGCTCCTCTGTCCTCCCCGCCACGCCTCGCAGATTCGGGGTGTCGTTAAATTATATGCTTGTGTCCATTAAATATTTTAAACTTAATTCAAGAAGTGCGTATTTTAAATTTATTAATATAAACAGGATACTGGCTTTGTCCTCCTGACTTCCAAAGTGCCAATTCTATCACTGTGGCATTGGCTATAAAATACCAAGCTCTGTGACACCACACACTTAGTCAAGCTCCACTGGCTCCCCATCACCGAACGGATCGATTTCAAGATCCTCTCCGACCTGCTTATCTCTTAACCCACAATCCCCCGCTCAACTGTCCGGCCTTCTCCATGTCCCCTGTGCTTTCCATTCCACAATTGGCGGCCTTCGCCATCGGCCAAGGGATAATGTCACGAAACTCTGGAATACTCTTCCTCTATCCCTCCGTGTTTCCCCTTCCTTCCCCATTTTCAGGTTGCTCCTGAAGACCGTCCTATTCGTCTGTGCCTATAGTCACCTTTCTCTACCCCCTTTCATGCTCCGCCACTGTCAAGCGATCTGGGATGCTACCCTGCTTGATGGGCGCTTTATAAATGCAAGTTTTAATTGTTGTTGATTGGAGATGGACTTAACTCTACAGCAAAGTGCAAAGGTTCAGAATGAAATACTACCTTCCAGGAAAAATTTCTGGAAGCAATGAGTTTGTAAAGGTCACATGATCTGTGATGATTCTAAAAATAACTGGACCTGCAGCTGCTTACGTACGTTTGCTGTAATGTTACATAATGTGTTCCAGTAAGTAGGAATGAATCAATGGATTTGAGAAATCTGCTTATCTCAAAGACTGACACTGTATAGGCAAATGTGGAAGTGAGATGATTTATTATCGCATTGTCTTTACTCATCTTTTGAGTGGTAATTGGTGCAGTATTTTTAAAAAATAGCCTAACATAACCTGGTTTAGACTATATTCATTATAACATCAAAGCAATTAATAATCCTTGCATTTGATATAGCACCTTATCACGTCTTCGAGACGTCTCAAAGCGCTTCACAAAATACAAAGTGAATTGACTGTATATTTTGTGGGCGAACCGCGGCAGCCAATTGCGCACAGCAGTGCCAAACCAATTCGAATAGTGTGTGGTTTATACATCAGAGACAAAAATATTTGTAAACTTTTGTCATCTTAAAAAAGGAATCTTCTAACTAACTGACTTGCTCTAAGCAATACTGCTCACAAATGAAAGGAGGAAATCTACCATCCAAATGTTAAAGGAGATTAAACATAACTTATTTATATTAGGTTTGTTTCAATTTGCTTCAAATTGTCACCACTAACAAAAATGAGTATAACCAGCATAACACTAATAATAATAATCCTTGCATTTAATATAGAGCCTTATTACTTGGTTGAGACGTATCAAAGCGCTTCACAGGATTTACTGTAAAGTGGATTGACCCACTGGCGCAACAACAACAAATAACATTTATATGAGGAATAATAATATTATTAATCCTTGCATTTATATACTGTCTTTCACATTGGGAGGACATCTCAAAGTACGTCAAATGATTTACTATAAAGTGTAGTGGTTTTGTATTTTGTAGACAAACACAATTTTTTCAAATGTGCTGACAAGAGTTTCTAAATGTAAATTCTGATGACATTCTTTCTCTGACTTCCCCAATTCTAAACAATAAAAACAAGATTCAAATGTACCAGACAAACATACCCTGCTTTCAGCAGTTCTGACAGAAGAATAACTTTCAACAGTTCTGACTGCAGATTAGCAGGAGAAGCAGAGGTAACCAGAAATGAAGACCCATGTGATGATTTTGCTGCTAGGAATAGTTGTCATCTGGGTGGCTGTTGAAGGTAAGGATCAAATCACATGAGCTGTACCTGGCAAGACTCCTTTCCAAAGCAACAGTTAAAGCAGGTGAATATCTAACATTTAAAGCAGGTCAATATCCACCAAATAATCTACTTCATTCAGGGTTAGACTTCGAATATGAATAACTAAGTGGCATTTCAGTGGCTCGAGTGTAGTACTGCCCTTGGTTCAATCTATCCCACGGGTAGTAGATACAACTGATGAGAAATGACTCTGGATTAGATATTTCATGGGTAGTTATATTTTACAGTAAATCTTTATACTGGCTTCTGAATTAAAAAGGAAACAAGAAAAGCAACCTTGTATTAAATGGTAAGAGATGAGTTAATGAAATTATTGTGTCTTCTCTTTGGTCTGTGATTAATTTAATTACATTGGTGACCATCCTAAAATATTTCATACAATCATAAAACATTTGCAGCACAGTAAACCATTTCAACCCTGGAACTAGTGTTTGAGAGCTGCTTCACAGGATACTGATTAAGTTAAGTCTGTTAGTATCAAATCATAGCTGTATTCAAACGCCAATCTTTTGTGATCAAACTAGAAATGAGCAGAGAAATCTTTTGCTCCATGATCATCCTTATGTCCTATGCAATTATTTCCTCTTTTAGGAAGCCTAGGGCCTGGAATTCAATCAAGATGCAAATGTATTAGAACTACATCTGTGTTTATCCACCCAAGAAGATACCGACATATTGACGTTTTTCCTCGGAACCTCTATTGCAGAAGAATGGAAATCATGTAAGTACTAAAGAAAATATTTTCTTCTGCTGTGCAGTGATAAAGCATTGGATTAAGATGACTATTGAAAATATCACATCTCTAGAGCAATCATATTTTAAATGTCACAATAAAGTTGTCCATGTGGATCATTTTGGGGAGGTTATTGTTGCCATCTGATCCACTAATCCATTTAGGAACATAGGAATTCAACTGGCCACTTATTTTCTAAATTACCATTGTTCACTATCTCTCATTATATACATGCCCTTCAAATCCCTATATATCCATGTCTAATACCCTCTTGAAATTATCATCAATATTTCATGGTTGATTGTGGAACATTACTGTGTGCAAATTGGCTGCTGCATTTGCCGACAAAATGCAGTCACTACCCAATACATTAAATCCTGTGAAGCACTTTGAGGCATTCCCTGAACATGAAAGGCAATATCAAGTGCAAGGGATTTTTTTTTGTACTCTCTGCCTCCCTGAGCAAACTGTACCATACATTCACCATCTTCTTGGAAAACAGTTAAAAGCTAAACTATTTGTTCACATTCCCCCTTCTTAGCTTGATGCTGTGACTAATTTCTGCATTGTAAGTATTCTAGCTCGCCAGTCTCTCCTCGTAGACCAATTTGGTTGATAATCACTCTATACTGTCGGGATTATTTGCCCACATTTTTTGTATCCATTTAGCACAATACAGCCTAATTTTTAAATATACCTTTATTGTTGGGCTTAAAACATGATTGTGTGCATGCTCTTTGTCAGCATTTCCCTTGCATATTATGTTTATATATATATAAATATGTGAAAATTGTCCACCTTTTGGAACAGCAAAATTTCCAGAGACACTTGCTTCAGAGAGCGAACCTATATCATTATTCAATTGCCTCATGATGGTTCAGTTAGATGGAGGAGGTGAAACAAAGGCATTTAAATTTTAGTTTACGAGTATAACCAGAAATGTTTCTGTTTGTGATGTGCTGCAGAATTACTCTAAAGAATAAGAAGGTAGTTTGCATCAATCCGGTGACCCCATGGGTCAAGAAAATTGTTGTCATCCTGAGGTATGTATCCTTTAACATTACTTTTTGTATACTTATGCCCTTCTTATTAATCTAAAGGCATTTAATACTTCTTGCATTAGAATCATAGGAACTAGAGAATTTACGAGATTGTGACAGATTTGTGGAGTGCTGTAGCATATTGGTTAGTGCAATTGCCTCGCAAGCGTGAGAACCTGGGTTTGATTCCTTAGGCAAGTTTCATTAATGCACACACCTATTTACCTATCAGTAAGTCGGAACCGAGTTGTTAGTCGATTGACGGATCCCTTCCCCCAAAAATTGTGGTTACTCAATCCACGACTGTTTGTGGGACACTGCTGTGCGCAAATGGCTGGCGTGTTTCACTCACAAAATATACAATAAATTCACTTTACAGTATATGAAGCGCTTTGAGACATCTCGAAGATGTGATATGGTGCTTTATCAAATGCAACGATTATTGTTTCAATCCAGTTTCCCTTCTCTATATATTTTAAGTATCTATCTTCTATCTGCTTCTATGGCCCATTGAGGCAATTGCTTTAACTAATGATGTGATTGGTATGTGCTTCTCCATCTAAGACTCCATCGCCTGACTCCACTGGCTCCTCATCCCCCAGAGGATCGAGTTCAAGATCCTCGTCCTAACCTTTAAGGCCATCCATGGCATTGCACTCTCCTACCTCTCTGACCTGCTGACTCCCTACCAACCTGCCCGCTACTTCTGTTCATCGGGCTCTGGCCTGCTTCATGTCTCCCGCCTGACCCACCCTACCAATGGTGTCCGGGCTTTCGGCCTCTCTGCCCCCACTCTGGAACTTCATCCCATGGGCCCTTCGCATCACTTCCACCCTCGCATCCTTCAAGGCCGGTCTCAAGACCCTTCTCTTCGACCGTGCCTTTGGTCTCCCTCCCACCTCTCTGCCTTCCCTCACCCCTACCCCACCCCTCCCCCATGCTCGAGCCCCGACTTTGGGATGTTCTCCCGAAGTGAAAGGTGCTCTATAAATGTAATTTTGTTGTTGTTGTAAGACTGCTAGCTGCTAGTTAGAGGATCTATTATCTCTATCTGCCCCCTTTTAAATCAATGAGGAGATTAGCTCCCATTATCTCTCATTTAAGTAATTTATATCTGGTAAAGTGTAAAATAGCCTCAAGGAGCAGGATAATACTTAATTTGGGTCTGTAATTCCTTGCTATCCATGTGTTTATACAGTTTGCATAATAGACACCTATGTGGTGATTTTATTTATCCAGATGAGCAATTGTTCAAATCATAAGTGTACTGTATATATTGCATCAAATTAATTTCACATATTTTCTATTTTAAAACAGTAAACAAAGACAAAATGTACCTTGAAGACCTCTACACAATGAATGTGAAAACATTGCTTCAACAGAATCAATTCCACTGCACACCAGGAGCCATATCTCCATTACTCTACTCCTACTCTTGCATTAAAGCACCAGAAATAGATTATTTTAACCACTTTATACCCTTTAATTAGGATTGCAGCAATCTATGGAATAAGGGTTGTGATTGTGTTGGGGGAGAGATAAGCAGATAACATTGCAGAGATGGAGCAGAAAGTGGATTTGGTCAAGACTGCTTAAACAGATGTTGCAAAAGCAAGTTGTCGTGATCAACCACACAATTTCAATCTTGCAAGAACTGATAATAAAGTATCCTTTTTGGATACTGAGGAAATTTTTTTTCAACTGTACAAACTGTTGTGCATACTCCCTATTCAGCAAAAACATCAAGGCAGCAGTCTGACCAGAGTTGGAATTGCATACACACAACCGCAGATTTGTATCACTGAATAAATTATTCTTCAGACTTGATGTAGACAAATTTAGCTTCATGAGTACCACCAACAGAAATAAAATCAAGACCTCCAGATTTAAGTTACATGGATAAAAACGCTAAAAGGTTTTTCAGGACAATTTCATGCAAGATATTGTTACAATGAAAAGAGCAAATTTTTAAATGGCCATTTATTGCCTACAGTCAGAAAGAAAAAATGCACAGGCAAAAGGGAATAAGTGGACATAATTTAACCCTATACAATATTTGTTAGCAATACCCGACATCCATATGGAAAAATATTTTGTTTTAAAACCCCTTACATAGTAGTACAAGGATAAACACCTCCCACCTGAGCTGCTGAACATTTAAAGACAGTAAGTAGTTACCAGCTTGGTTTGGTTTATTCCCCTTTGCAAAATTAAAGGACTAAAATATCAGTTTTGGGGCATAGGAAGGTACTCAAGTCATTTGAGAAAGTTGAGGTTTTGACCTTGTACTGTAGTAATTCTCAAGAAAAAATTGAGCTGGTGAAAATCTAGCAAGATCATCTATCCTACTACATCAAGAATTGATAAACTTTCTAAATGAACACATTTAACCAATAGGGTGAGTTCAACAAGGAATAACATTACAAAACAACAGCAAAAACAGCATTTTTTTTGCTATTAACCCCATCAACTCAGAATCTATACCAAGCTGATTAAAAATATCTGCCGTGTGCAGTTGGTTGCCGTGTTTCGCCCACAAATGTATAGTCAATTCACTTTACAGTATATTTTGTGAAGCGCTTAGAAGACGTGAATAGCACTATATCAAATGCAAGGATTATTATTATTATTGGTGATAAGTGTGGGGGGGGTGAGAGAGAAAGAATGCAACACCCAAAAGGTCAAGAAAATCCATAATATCTGGTGACCAAAAGATTAAATACAGACACAGTTCACTCATCTCCTATTAACTCAGAATTATTTTCTCCTCAGCAATAAATGCTTAATGGAGGAGGGAAAAAGATGGTCAAAATGCAACAATTGTCTGAACGATTCACATTTAACAGAACAGAGATTATCAACAATACATCCATTGCTACATTTACTGACCACAATCCCTTTACTACATTATGTAAAAGGGTTTGCATACAGAAGTACCATATATCTCAAAGAGTCAGATCACTCACATTTTCAGTACTGTACATGAACAGGTTAATACTTAAAACCCTGTGCAACGTTCCCAAGTTATACAACTAACATCTATTAACTACAGCCCATTTCAAACCTTGTGATTAAAAGTAACCTTATTAATATTTTTATGTTTTTAATGAAATACAAAATTATATGTTCTTGAAAGAATACTTTCTGGAACAGAATCAATCAGTAGAAAAAATAACCAAGAAAGAGTCTGCTTTTTGTGGATTGCAACATAGCAAATGTCAGTAATGACTTCTTAGACTTCCTTTATCCTTGCGAAAGTTTGCTGCAAAACGTTTGACATTTTAAATCTGGAATAAACAGCTGATCAGTGTATAAACACTGGGCCTGCTTAACTCCAAATGCCACTGTTGAGAGATTGAACATTTCTCCATTGCCACTTTTGAAAGATAGAACTTTAATGTGTCTCACCCCATAACTCTTAGTGATTGAATCATTTAAGGATAAGCAAGGCAGAAGTGACTTAAGTCAAACCTTGAATTCAGTTAGATTCGACAGATATGCAGTACATTACCACATCTGGAAGATTGCTCACGTTATGAATTGGAGATGGTTAGAAGTTACATCCAAGCGATAGCCTGTAAAAACCACCACTTTGATTAGGTCACTGTAGGAGTGCTTATATTTAAAAGTTTCAGTCACATAGAGACATTTCCTTTGACCATCTTCAATGTAATGATTATCAGAAACTGCATGAACTGCTCACAATTCAATGCTATATTCTCCACTTCAAAACTTTTTAAGTGTCTCATCAAGATACCCATACTGCATTTCAAGCCGTGCTATCCAACAACAGGTTGTTTTAATGTGAGTGATATGAAACTTCAAAAAGGGGTCCATTCAGCACCTTTTCCATTCCTTCTTAGTATTGAGCTTTGGTTAAGAGCAGTCGATCGGGGGAGTGAAGCACTACTGTACAAGGAATGGGAGTAACTCACACCTAAAAGTGCACAATTCAAAGAAGTGACAAAAAACTTTACACATCCTGCAGACTTTGTTGGTTAAGGTAACACATTTACATCAGAAATAAAAACTAGTGCTGGGAATAAAGCTGGTCTTAGAACTCATTGTGCAATACCTGATTTATGGTGTGGTTTTCAACATGCCACACTCTTTGCAACAAAGATAAACATATAATAGAGCTTATACAAAACTGTTTAAGGATTTTTTGGAAAAATGTTTTAACATAAAATCTCACAAATTTTAACAGATTTATTTTATAGAATTTAAAAGTTGCCTTGAGAGGGATGATCAGGTTTTCTCTGCTTGGATGGGCAGTACAATCAAATGAGGCAAGTCCCTATGAAATAGTGGAATAGAAATTGATCAGAAACACAAGTGGATCTGGATGTGGTTTTTGTTTTGTCGTCTGAAAAAATGGGGCAAAATGGTTATCTCTTCATTTTAATATACAAAATGTTCTCCAAGTACACTGGCTAATTTAATTCAGGAACAATGCAAAGAAAACCTGATAAACACCCTTTTGCAACAGAGTGCTTCAATTAATTTATATTTAAAGCAGATAAAATACTGTATGGAGCTGTTCACAGGAAGTTTTTCCCCAAAAGTTCTATTTTCAATTTCAATTATCAAAAAGAGTAAAACTCAGTAAATGGTCTCCTTTGTAGGTCATGTACAATCATTACAAGTGAATTTGAATTCAAATTTATATAAACATATCTGACAAAATATTGGGAGTGAAGTATGGGAAAGTAATGTCATTCACAGCTATTAAAGACGTGTATGAAGGAAGAAGTTGTCATCATATCGTGAGCAGTGGGGCCATCACTAAGATCTTAAGCTTCTCATGTCCCTGATTTTAAGAAGGTCAGTAAAGCTGAAACTCTTTCATAAAAGTGACGTCTATTCAAAAAAAAAGTAAATGTTTTAGAATTTAATTGGTTTGCCTAATTTCTTACTCATTCTCATTAACTTTCTCTTGCTCCAAAACATATGTTCCCAAAAACGAAAGCAACACCCTGACAAATGTTGAGGGCGATGGAATTAAAGTGCCAACGTAAAGCTTTAGACTTCTGATAGCCTTGATTTGAAGCCAAGAATCCAGACACCCATATAACCGGAAGGCTTTCTAGTATATTCTACAAATAGAATTTACCCATATATATGTATATATATATTTAAATACTATTCTTCTCTTTGATGAAAGATGAACATTACATATTAAACTAAAACATGTTTTATATAATAAATAATATTGCTCTGTTAATTCAAAGAATTTAATTCTGTGGATGGGATCTTTAAATCCATTTTTTTTGGCAGGTAGGTTATACCAATGAACTAGATATATTGCACTTAGCAAAAAGCCATTTCTTTATAAAGTGCAGTAGAGTTTTGTAAGCATTACACAACATCAAAATTAACAAGCATTAGATGGTAATAGCACGCATGAATTCAAGCATGACTTGAATTCACGCCCAAATAATTTCTGATGCGTCACAGTCACCAATTGCTGCATGGTTTTTCATGTGGGAACAAAATGCAAGCCCAAACCAACTTGCTCCACTAAACGCACCTTCTCCTGACCAATCATGGAGCAGGATTGATTGTGGTATGGACTCCAGAGCACCATGCCCTCCTGGCAGAGAAGAGGTTCCAGTTGGCTTACGTAAGGAGAAACATAACGCAAAACACATGATTTTACCAAATACTACTAATTTTCAACCACTTCTTTTTTAAAAAAATCACAGCATTTCTACTGGACAGAGTACATCTTTAGTAATCAGTTTGGGAAGCATGAACACTTTTCCATCCCTGCAAATTAATAAATCAAAGAGGATCTTCCTTACCTGAGACTAAATGCCTGCCTTACACTAGTATGAATAAGGTCAAATAGGACTGAGATGAACCCTTTTGATCTGCGTGTTCTTTAGTACTCAGGATCAGTCAATGAGAGGTATTGATTAACTGTGATAAACACGGTCAGACAACTGAGGTGAGGTTCTGACTGATTATCAAAAGTTGCAAAGAGAAGTCTTTAAGAGATTTAAAGTGATCAATGAAAACATACAGGCAAAGAAATCAAGAGTAACTTACGTGAAGACACCGAATACTTATCTCAAATTGTAAATAAGTCAACACAAGTCTAAAAACAGATATATAAATAGATCTAAGGCAACCAGGGCAGGGACAAAACTCAGGTCATCTGAAGGCAATTTGTCTGTTAATCTTTGGAGAAGTAATCAATGACATTGTATGTTATTGCACATGCAACGCACACAATGGTGCCGTTTCAAAACCAGAGCCAATAGGAAAACCAACAGTTAATACATGGTCGCAGTGTGAGAAAATCTATTTAGACATGTAGAGGACAGAATCTCCAGTGTCTCCAAAGGTTTGAGCAATAAACCTTCAAAAGTAAGTAGGTTTTAATTTGCTCCAGCCCCAGTGGTAATGCTGTGAAATGGTGGAACAGGTGTATTATAAACATACAGAACATATCTAAAAAAGTAAGATTGTTTACAGGCCATACTTCACTCCTTCATACTTTGATTTAGAACTGTACACGTCCATAAAAGCAGGAAGAGCTTCTAGGACTGGTTTCCACTATCTCCTACACGGTAAGTGCACACCGTTTATCAATGATGGCAACAAAAGGTGGAGTTCAAGTTGTATTAACAGTGAAAAATGGTCTGAAGGAATATGAGGGTGAGGACATCCAGTGATACAGTTTTCCACAAGCCACTGAGGATCCAAAGGCCCAAGAACTCCCAGCACATTCATTCGAGTCTTCGAATAGAAAATGTAGTCAATAACACCCTGGATGGAATGAAGTAAAAGGGAAAACAGGTTAAAATGTAAAAGAAAACACAAATACAGTGACCAAATTTAACTTGTACATTTTACATTTAAGTTAGTTACAAATGCATTCTTTTTGGGGGGCAGCCAGGTATCTTGACACATGCAGAAATCCATCACCGTGCTTAAGAAATCAAACAGAGTTTCATGAATCCTACCTATACGGGGAAATTTCCGACATATTTATTGGAATGGAATGAGTACTCTCTCCCTGGAGGGAGGCATCTTGCTTACCTAATTCTGGAGAGTATTAGATGCAGGTCGGCAAGAGCCAAGCCCGGGGACCCCAGAGTGTGAGTTAGATTACTGGTGGAGTCTAGCCAGCTAAAACCACAAGCTTGCCATTGAGAGCACTCTCTGGCAAGCTTTCCTACTGCTCTCTTCTTCTTTCTTTCCAAATCGTGCCTGTGAGCTAGACTAGCTGAACTGTCATTAGCAATGCCCTAGAGTACTGCGGACCTGCCTGGCTCAGGACTGAACAACCAAGACCACCACAGAGGGTTGGCTCGATTCTGACATTCTATTACCAAACACGTCACCTTAGAACCAGTTCAGCTCCAAGTTCACCTCCCAATTCTTTCTTATTAAATTCAAACCCAAATTCATTCTTATTAATGGCAGATAATTATAACCTTCATCAATGATTATGTAGACATTAAGAGCACTATTCCCGTATTTGTTGATGACACTAAAATTACTGTCCAACTGAGTTCCAGAGGAGATGGCAATGCAAGCTATTTTGAACAGGTGGTTCGGTTGTACTGAAAGTGCAGTGTTATGCACTTATGGCTCAAGAATCCCTAATTTGACTACTTTATGGGAGGAGTTTCCCTTAGGACAGTTGGATCAGGATGCCTGAAGGTGAGCACTGATCACACTTTGAAGTATCAACAGTCGGGATAAGCCGTCATAGCAACAACAACAACAAGATTCCATTTATAGAGCGCCTTTCACGTCAGGAGGACGTCCCAAGGCGCTGTACAGTTGGGTCAGGACCCGAGCAGGGGAGAAATGGTCAGGGTGAGGGGAGGGAAGGGAGAGAGCGAGGAGGAGTTAGAGAGTCGAGAGGGGAGCCGAAGGCAGATAGTAGATTCCAAATAGCCAGGGACAACTGTACACATGGATGTATACAGCAGATAGTAGATTACAAATTTAAAGTCTATCTTGAGACTGTTTCATGCTTTGCAACAGCCTCATCTTGAATACTGTGTGCAGTTCTGGGCTCCCTACCCAGTTAAGGATAGAGATACTTGAGAGAGTTTAGAGAGGAGCCACCAGGCTAATTCCGTTGCTTGAAGTGCAACCTTATAGCTAAAAAGCTTGAGGAATGAGGCCTGTTCACAATGTAATGGAAGAGGGATCTCATTGAGGTCCACAAGATCCTGCATGGAATTAATAGAATGGCATGCGACAAATTCTTCACAGGTAACGCCACATGCTTGAGAGAGAAAAAAATTTGATGATGCACCATTTCACCCAAATAGTGATGGATGTCTGGAACAGGTTGTACTGTTTATACAAATAGGATCTTCTTCAAGAGAGAAATCCAGACAGATTTCTTAAAAGAAATGAGCAGCTATAGACTGAGAGTTTAATCTGCCATGTAATGTCCTTTGCAGTGTAATAGGGATTGTTAGCACTGCTCCAATGTTGGTGTTGACTAACCTCTCTCCTGTAGCTCACTTTACTGCCAATAAGTAAACACAGATGAAATTTCCAGGAAAAAAAACGTTTTCCTGAATCAGTGATAAGAGTTTTTTTGCTTTTCTCTGTTTTTTCACCTCCCATATGAGAGGACCAAGTATTAGAACCAGGGAAGTTAGGAAGGCATATATTGTAAGGAGCAGGAGTTGTTTCCAGGGAGTCACCTCAACGGGTCTCTGTGCTTTTTTTTTCATTTTGCCATCTATTTATCTAGATGCCGGACGTTTTAGAACATTTAAGATATGTGGGTTTTGCATTCATTTGTCATAGAATGTGACCGTCTTTTGGCTAACATTAGGAACCCAGTCAGCAATATATTAAAATGGTGTAGTTTTGATGCTTATCTTTGACAAATGGTGCGGTTATGGTAATCTGCTTCAACATACCTTATTTTTAAGTAACACAAAAACAAATGAAGTGTGCAAAATAGATCAGTGTCCAACGGAGTAAATCAAACCCAAAACATAGGAAACCACAACTTACTTTGAAGTCAAAAGTGTAATTTGTGTAAGGCATCAGGCTATTTTCGTACGCACTCTTGAGATGGAAATCATGAGTAATTCTGCCATCAGAAGTTCCATTCTTCCCATTGCAGCTGAATTTCATTAGACACTGGTTGTACCTCAGCTCCTTAAAGTCTTTGTGATTCTGTTCAACACCTCCAGTACTCAAGTATTCCACAACACCTGCACAAACAAGAGGCAATGTGGTGAGCTAGAACACCGCTCTTCAATTACAAGTGTGCAGATCTGCTCTTCCCACATTATAATACAGATGCAGGCATGTCGTCACAACTTGCATTTATATAGCGCCCCTCACGCAGAGTAGCGCTGCAGAAGTGCTTGCCAGTGGCAGAGCACAACGCTGAGCTGGAGGATAGAAATGCATATTTTCAACTCAAAAAAAGCATTCACTTAAAACCCAAATAAAAAAAGTTTTACAAGAACAATGTTTTAATTGCAATATCTTGTCCTTGGTCATCTTACCTGAATTGGGCAGGGAATTGAGATCGGCACACAGCACCAAAGGAATGGAATTAGGGTCTGCAGAAGGGAAACCTGGCCTAAGAGAGTTAGCTGACTTCTCCAGGATGCTTTTGAGTTCAGAGACTATCATCATAGTCTGGATGAGCTTCACATCTGAGTACTCTGGATCCCAGTGCATATGTGCATTGGCCACTAAAATTAGTTGCTTTTCTGTTCCATGAAGTGCCTTTACACCTGAAAATAATACTGCATTTAGAACATGTAATGAGATAAATATCAAATATTTTTATGAAGAAAATTGATTGCAGATTCAACAAAAACAAATTGCATTTATACAGTGTCCTTCACGCTGGGTAGCATCCCGGAGAGGTTTTCTGATTCACAAATGTCAAGATTAATTTTATATACGATAGCATTTTATTGTAGAGCTGGGAGGCCATTATTGTATGCAAAAGTCTGAATACTGTTTCTTCACTGTGACATGAGACAGAAATCTATTGTTTCCCTAATTGCCAGTGAAACAATGCTATTACTACAGCACACAGAGTCTCAAATGTAAAACAACCTCATAACTTGTCTATGGAAGAGCTTTTATTGCGTAGTGCTAGAGAAGGTATCAGTGAAGAAAAGTCTAACTTACTATCACCACTGTTGGATAGTCCTTTAAGAGAAAATTGACAATTAACAAAAGGGCCAATAATAAGGACAGGAAGTATAAAACGAAACTGGGAGTGGGCAAAGTGTGTGGTTATAGTGGTGAATTGATTGTTTGGATTGACAAATAAAGAAGCTTACTAACACACCCTTGATTTGGATTGAGTTATTATACAACCGTCAATCATCAATTCAATAAAATGCAGACAAATAATGTATTTAATAACAAATGACAGACTCAAATCTAGATCTTGGCAAGAGTATTTCACAATTTGGGCTCATGCAACCATTTTTTCGCACTTTTCCCTGGCTATCTGACTAATGGGAGAAATCAGAATCAAACCAATTCTCATCAAACATTCATACAGCAGAGTCTCAATGCAGAGATAATAAGCAGGAATGCAGGCTGATTTTCTTCTCCCTGTTCCAGGGATACTAAAGTCAATAGTAGCACCCCAACTGCTTCGTTGGCTGAAATCATTCGATTCAGCTTGGTGAGGATTTGAAGCTCACAACCTTCCAGTTAGTTAGTTAATTAGTTAGTGTAGCCCAGGGCTATACCAGGTGTACCTTCAAGGCCAGTCTCAAGATCCTCCTCTTCGATCATGCATTCGGTTGCCCTCCCACCTCTCTGCCTTCCCTCACCTCTACCCCACCCCCATGCTCGAGTCCTGAACCCTGACTGTCCAGTGCCTTGGTATGTCCTCCCGACGTGAAAGGCGCTCTATAAATGTAATTTTGTTGTTGTTGTTGCCTTAATCCACTAGGCCACTGGAAGATAGTAGTTAGAAATTTTAACAAATATTTTAAATATAGTTTGTTTTTTCACAGCATTGCAAAGGGCAATTTAAGGATAAGATGTACAGTCCTACCCACTTATCCTTTTATGTTGACATTGAGCTTATATCGACAAAAAAGTGAAGTCGATATAAGTGAGATGTTGACATAAACTCTTCTCTGCACATTAATACTGTAGCTCAGTGGTTAGAGCACTCACTTTGCAAGCGAGAGACTTGGGTTCGATTCCTGGCAGGGTGAAACCTTGGGCAAGTTTCCTTACTCCACACGCCTGATAATAATCCCTCAAGAAAAAAACAATAATAAATCGGTCGCTTCAATCTACTACTGTTTGTGGGACACTGCTGTGCACAATTGGCTGCTGCATTTTCCCCACAAATATAGTCAATTCACTTTACAGTCTATTCTGTGAAGCGCTTTGAGATGTATAGAAGACGTGAAAAGCGCTATATCAAATGCAAGCATTATTATTAGTAGTAGTTTTGTATATAAGTGAATGTTTTTTTGTAAATAAGGTAACTAAATACAAGTAAATAAATGGTTCAGAAATGTTAATTAAACGTAGATCTATTTTTAAAATAAATCAATGAAAATATATATATATACATGGTACAAAATTTTTAATCACAGAATATCTATTGTTCGCTTGTGACCGCCTATGTCAACAAAACTTGAATGATCCCTGACATGTCGAGATAAGTGGGTCGGACTGTATTTCTTTACATAATTAATGACTGGAACAGGTTACTAGAAAAGGTGGTTGAGGTCAGTACACTTTAAAAAGCAGCTTGATGCTGTGATGGGAAAACTGTGGGCGAGTATTCTGGAATAATAAAATCAAATCGCCCAAAGGGACTTTTTCACTTGAACCTCTCTTGTGATCTTAGTTTTTCAAACTTTGTATACCAGTGAGTAATCATTCTTGCTGGCAGTTGACAAAATAGCAGTAGTGACAGAAGTCAAGTCTCTGCTCTTTTGACCAGTGCTTGATAAATAGAATTTGGGAGCCTGAAGACAAGTATATACTTCTGGATCAGGTGGTTCTGGGTTCAATCCCCACTTAGGAACTGGAGGTAGTTGATGAAATTGTTTTTCCGATGCCACATTAGCCAAAACCCTGTCTGCTTGGTTGATAAATGCCTGTCAGCCAAATAATCATAATAAATTGTAAATGGATGAAGATACCCTTGTGTTTATGAGAACAGATTCAAATTAAAACTATTAGTGCCTGGTTTCTCCCACCTGCCCTCAGTATAAACAGGATGCTTAAATTAATTTGGTTACTCTAATCAAGAATCTGCAACTGTATATTTTCACTTCTGTATTTTACAGGAAAAACAAACTTTGCACAAACAGCTTGGTTGGAGTGATTCATCCAATGCTGTGTTTCTTTTGCAACATAGTTCTATAATGCATTCACAAGACTCTTCTATAAATGCTTGCTACTGAATTTTACTAATATCAAATAAATGTGAAAAATTCCAAAACACAACAACTCGCATTTGCAGCTTGATGATGTAATTGGAAGACTGTGGGTGAGTATCCTGGAAAGATTAAATATTGCCTACAGGGTGCTGTGCTCCTTGAAAATTCTGACGATTTGGGTTCCACTGTGATGAAATATTTGATTGCTTTATAACGGAAGTTGAAAACGGTGATGGCAGTGGAATTTCCCACAGAAAAAAAAACAATTCCTACAATCTCCGGAAGTATTACCCTCACCTATACTGACTCACTTACTGTCAGTTGACAAAAGAGCAGCAGTGACAGGTCAAGTCTCTGCTCCCATTTCCAACCTACCCTTCCTGCTAAAGTCCTGTAACGCATTGTTGCGGGTCAACTTCGGTCACACCTCTCCCTCCACTCCCTCCTTGAGCCCCTCCAGTCTGGTTTTCGCCCTGCCCACAGCACAGACAGCGCTTGTCAAAATCACAAACAATGTCCTCTCTATCTGTGACCAGGGCTCCCTCTGCCTCCACCGCCTCTCCTTCGTCATCCACCTTAGTGGGACTGCACTCACATGGTTCGAGTTCTACTTAACCAACTGCCTCCACTTCATCTTGGCAAATGGTTTCTTCTCCCACACCCATCCCGCCAGTCACGTGCGGGGTACCTCAGGGCTCCATCCTTGGCCCCATTCTTTTCCTTATTTACATGCTCCCTCTGGGCGATGTCATCCGCAGACACGGGGTAAAACTTCCACGTGTTTGCGGATGACAAACAAATCTACTTTGCCTCCTCCAGCAGCGACTCCAGGTCCGCAAATGTTCTATCAGTTTTTCTGGCAGAAATCAGGGCCTGAATGAGTGCAAACTACCTGCAGCTGAATGTGGACAAGACGGAAGCCATACTACTTTGCTCCCGTCAACATCTTCACTCCTGCAGATCTGAACTCCTCAACCTCCCCAGCCTCCCCCAACGAATCACCAAACCAGCGTACAATCTAAGAGTCCGGTTCGATCCCAAGCTTTCCCCACATCTGGTCCGTGACCAGGACCACCTTCCTCCAACTCCGCCACATTGCCCGCCTCCAATCGTACCTTAACCCAAATCCAGCCAAAACCCTTGTGCATGTGTTTGTTACCTCCCGCCTGGATTACTCAAACGCACTCCTCCCATGTATCCCCAGCTCCACTATTCAAAAGATCCATCTCATTCAGAACTCTGCTGCCTGCATACTTACCTGGACCAAACTCCATACCCACATCTCACCAGTTCTGGCTAGGCTCTGCATCATCAAACGGATCAACTTCAAGATACTCACACTCGTTTTCAAATCCCTCACTCCCTACCTCTCCGACCTCCTCACTCCCCAATCCACCACTCCGTGCCTCCGCTCGACTAACACTGGCCTCCTACTTCTCCCTCGCACCCTCCGCTCTACCAATGGAGGTTGAGTATTTATCCTCTATGTTCCAAAACTCTGGCACACTCTCCTTCAATCCCTCTGTCTTTCCCCCCTCTCCACCTTTTCAAGTCCCACCTGAAAACCTTTCTTTTCAACCGTGCTTATGGTCACCTCCCCCAGCACCCACCTGGCTCGGAGTCAGGCTCCGTCACTGTTAAGCGCTCTGAGACACTACCCTGCACGGAGGGCGCTATAAAGTGCGTGTTGTTGTTTGGACCAGTGCTTGATAAATAGAATTTGGAGGCTTGAAGAAGGAGTGGGAGGAGGAAGAATAGGAATGTGGGTATGTGTGTGTGGGTGTTGTGTGTGTTGTGTATGTGTTTAGAGGGTAAGAATAAAAGACAGTGTGGCTTTTAAGATGCACCATAGGAAAGTGCAACAAACATTTTTGGAAAGTCTGACTATTTTTACATTTTAAAATGAAAACAAAACCCAAATAAAACTATAAATTATAGCTTTAGTAATTAGAATAACAAGGGCATTTGTTTTTTTTAAGAAATTGACAATAAACATACCTCCAAACAGATCTTTATGGACCTCCAACAGGACTGCGACGCCAATATTATCTTTCGTCATCACTCGATTCAGCATGGCTTCAGATCCTTCGGAGTTGGCCATTGCTAACTGGTTGAATTCCACACTGTGTTTCTGCACCAGTGTAAATCTGAGGGGAGAGCAAACATATTGCATGAATTGCGCTATGCAGTTCTGAGCACTCTGAGACGCTATCCTGCACGTGAGACGCTATGTAAATGTAAGTTGTTGTTTTTGTATTCAAGCAGAGCTGTGCAAAGCATGAACATTCAGTTGGAGAATAAATCAATGGGTAAACTATCAGTACCTAGGATTAAAAATATGAGCTCCGATTCAAGACGCCATCCGGCGTGAAGGGCACTATATAAATGCAAGTTGTTGTTGTATGTAGATGGGATAATTGGAATTCCATCCCAGAATCCCACTATATTGCCCCCCTTCCCCCATCGACAAAATGCATCTTTTCAACTGCACTTTTTGGACGTCCTCACCCCCCACCACACACATACCCAGCACCCCACTCAACTCTAGCTCCCAGTCAGGTAGTGAAGCGCTTTGAGACATCCACTCACAGAAAGCTGCTATATAAATGTAACTTGCTAATATTGATACACAGTGGGAAGAACTTTCTTAGAATGAGAAAATTGGATTATGCGTTAATAATAATAATATCATATTACATTTGGTGTAGCACCTTTCACGTCAGGAGGAAGTCCTAAAGCACTTCACAGGAAATGCTTTGAGTTTTGGGGGTGAAGTTTGTCAAGAAATTAGTTAAAGAGAAAATTGTTAAGAGTTAATGGTGCTACATTTTACAAATTTGGTATTTTATCAATGTAAAAAAAAATCAAGTGCTCTAGTACTCACATAGGAATGTAGGAATTAGGCCATTCGGCCCCTCGAGCCTGCCCCGCCATTCAATAAGATCATAGCTGATCTTCTAACCTAACTCCATCTGCTCGCCTTATCCCCATATCCCTTAATCCCTCTATCCTTTAGAAATCTATCAATCTCAGTCTTGAATATGTTCAAGGACTGAGCATCTACAGCCTTCTGGGGTAGAGAATTCCATAAATTCACTACCCTCTGAGTGAAGAAGTGTTTCCTCAACTCTGTTCGAAAGGGCTGTCCCTTAATCTTAAGACTGTGACCCCTAGTACTGGATTCTCCTACCAGGGGAAACAGTCTCACACTGTCTACACTGTCAAGCCCCATAAGAATCTTATATGTTTCTGTAAGATCTCCCCTAATTCTATATTCTAGAGAATATAGGCCTAGTTTACTCAACCTATCCTCATAGGTCAACCCCCTCATCCCAGGAACTAATCCAGTGAATCTACACTGCACCCCCTCTAAGGCGAGTGTGTCCTTTCTTAAATAAGGAGACCACAACTGCACACAATACCCTAAGTGCGGTCTCACCAAGGCCCTATACAGTTGCAGCAAGACTTCCCTACTCTTGTATTTTAACCCTTTTGCAATAAACGCCAACAAGCTGTTAGCCCTCCTAGTTGCTTGCTGTATCTGCATACTAACTTTTTGTGACTGGTGTACAAGGACACCCAAATCCCTCTGAACAGTAACACTATCTAGTCTCTCCCCCTCTAGAAAATAATCTGCTTTTCTGTTTTTACTACCTAGGTGAATAACTTCACACTTCCCCACATTATATTCCATCTGCCACCTTCTTGCCCACTCACCGAGCTTATCTAAATCTCTTTGCAATCTTTTTATGTCATCTTCAGATCTTAATCTCCCACCTAGCTTAGTATTATCCGCGAATTTAGATATTTTAAGTTCGATGTCCTCGTCTAGATCATTGATATAGATTGTAAATAGTTGAGGACCAAGCACTGATCCTTGTGGCTCTCCACTACTCACAACCCGCCAATCTGAGAAGGAGCCGTTTATCCCTACTCTCTGTTTTCTTCCCGTTAGCCACTCTTCGATCCATGCTAATATATTGCCTTTAATTCCATGGGCCCTAATCTTGTGTAGCAGCCTTTTATGTGGCACCTTGTTGAATGCCTTCTGAAAATCTAAATATATTACATCTACTGATTCCCCCTATCTAACCTGCTAGTTACATCCTCAAAGAACTCTAAAAGATTTGTTAAGCATGACTTCCCTTTTGTAAAGCCATGTTGACTCTGCCTAATCATGTTATGGTCTTCTAAGTGCCCCACTACAACATCCCTAATTAAGGATTCTAGAATTTTCCCTACCACCGAAGACAGACTGACTGGTCTATAGTACCCCATCTTCTCTCTCCCACCCTTCTTAAATAGTGGTGTTACGTTTGTGATCTTGCAATCAATGAGAACCGTTCCAGAATCCAGAGAAATTTGGAAGATCAAAAACAAGTCATCCACTATCTCAGCAGCCACCTCTTTTAAAACCCTAGAATGCAGGCCATCAGGTCCAGGGGATTTATCATTTTTCAATCCCAACAGTATCACTAGTACTAATTCTTTACTGATGTTAATTTTCCTAAGTTGCAGAACATGAAGACAGAAGCAAAGTATTTGTTTAATGACTCTGCCATGTTTATCCCCCATTATAATTCCTCCTGTCTCTGCCTGTAATGGACCCACATTCACTTTTGATAGTCTCTTCCTCTTTATGTATTTGTAAAAACTCTTACAGTCTGTCTTTATGTTCCTAGCTAGTTTGCCCTCATAATCCATTCTCTCCCTCCTAATCAGTTTATTAGTTTTTCTTTGTTGGTCTCTGAAGCCCTCTGAATCCATGGGTTTACTGCTTTTTTTGGCAGTATTATAGGTCTCTTCTTTTAATTTTACACTTTCCCTAACTGCTCTAGTTAGCCATGGTTGAACCAGGTTTTCCGTGGTATTTTTATTCCTCAAGGGAATATGTGATCACTGGGTATTATGTACTATATCTTTAAAGGTTTGCCATTGCTGGTCTATTGTCATATCCTTTAATCTAATTTCCCAGTCTATTTTAGCTAAATCCTCTCTCATACCTGCAGAGTTGGCTCTATTTAAATTTAAGACCCTTGCTTCAGACTTAACTACATCACTCTCTAACTTAATGCTAAATTCCATCATGTTATGGTCACTCTGCCCTAGAGGAGCCTTAATTTCCAGATTGCTGATTAGCCCTATTTCATTACATAAAACAAGATCTAGGATAGCCTGTCCCCTGGTTGGTTCCTCAGCATATTGATCTAGAAAACTATCTCTAATGCATTGTATAAACTCCTCCTCTAACTTACTTTTGCCAATTTGGTTTTTCCCAATCTATATGAAGATTAAAATCACCCACTATTAGTGTATTTCCTTTGCTACACGTTTCTCTAATTACCTGGTTAATACCCCTCGCAATACAGTGACTGTTGTTCGGGGGTCTATAAACTACTTCCACTAGTGATTTCTGCTATTCTGTTATTTCGTAATTCCACCCATACTGACTCTACATCCTGATTTTCTGATTTAAAATCCTTCCTCTCTACTGTTTTTATCCCATCCTTTATTAGCAGGGCTACCCCCCACCCCCCACCCCGTTTTCCATATTGCCTATCTTTCCTGTATTCCGAATACCCCGGAATATTTAGCTCCCACCTTTGATACCCCTGTAACCACGTCTCAGTAATGGCTACTAGATCATACCCGTTTGTTTCTATTTGTGCCATTAATTTGTCTATCTTATTACGAATGCCTTGTGTGTTCAGATATAGCGCCTTTAACTTTGACTTCTTGCTATTTCCCCTACTCGCTAATGCCCTACTTTCTTTCCAGCGCCTCGGGATGTCCTCCCGACGTGAAAGGCGCTCCATAAATGTAATTTTGTTGTTTGTTGTTATTGTTTGCTGAGTTTCTTGGCCCTTCTTGACACACTCTGTTTATCTCCCTCTCTAATCTGCTCTACCACCGTCATCGTTCTTAGTTTTGCTGGTTTACTTCTAACTGTAACTGTAACCTTCCCTCCCCCCCTTAGAAATTTTTAAAGCTCTGCCGACCTCCCTATTTATTCGTTTTGCCAGGACATTGGTCCCAGCCCGGTTTAGGTGGAGCCCATCTCTATGGAATAGCTCCCTTTTCCCCCAATACTGGTGCCAGTGGCCCTTAAAATGAAACCCCTGCCCTCCGCATCACTCTTTCAGCCACGCATTTAATTCTTTAATATGTTTGTGCCTGTACCAATTTGCACATGGCTCAGGCAGTAATCCCGATATTATTACCTTGGAAGTTCTACTTTTTAATTTCATTCCCAATTCCTTGAACTCCCTCCTCAAGTCGTCCTTACTAGTCCTACCTATATCGTTGGTACCTATGTGGATTACCACAATTGGATCCTCCCCCTCCTGCCTCAAATTCTTCTCCAGCCCCGAAGAGACATCCTTCACCCTGGCTCCAGGAAGGCAACAGAGCTTCATGTCTCCTGGTTGCGGCTGCAGAGAAGTGTGTCTGTCCTCCTGACTGTCTCGTTCCCAATTACAACTAAATTCCGTCTATCACCCCCCCAATTGTGTGGCCTCCTGTATAGAGGTGTTGGGAGTCAGTTTGCCCAACCTCCTCACAGGCTTCCTTGTCCACACAGGTTGCAAGTATCTCATACCTGTTGGACAAGGTTAAAGTTTAGGGCTTCTCCGCCACTCTCTCTGGGATCCCCTTACCTGCTTGATTATCAGTCACCCTGTCCTGTCCCTAACTAGTATCGTAATCTATACGTTCCCTGAGCCTCAGGGGAGTGACTGGCTCCAGCATGAAACTATCCAGGAAGCTCTCAAAATCCCTAATACTGCTCTGAGCTGGAGCTTCCTCAGTTGCAGACACTTGTTGCAGATGAAGTCGCCCGGGCTCAGATTTGCACTCCATCAACTCCCACAGACCTCGCACATCACCTGCCATGCCATTCTCTCTGCTCTCTCTCACTCTGGATTTTAAAAATTTCTTTATAAGTTTTTAAAAAAAAAATTTTTGTTAGTTTTTCGTTAATATTTTTAGTGTTTTTGTAAGTGTTTTGGTTAAGCATGACGTCACACTGATGTCACTTGTCATTTTTCTACAGCTCCCCCGTTCCGCCCCCGCTCTGTCCCGGCTCCGCGCCCCCGTTCTGTCCCGGCTCCGCGCCCCCGCTCTGTCCCGGCTCCGCGCCTCCGCTCTGTCCCGGCTCCGCGCCTCCGCTCTGTCCCGGCTCCGCGCCTCCGCTCTGTCCCGGCTCCGCCCGTCCCCCCGCTCTGTCCCGGCTCCGCCGCTCCCCCCACTCTATCCCAGCTCTGCCTCCCCCGCTCTGTCCCGGCTCCGCCCTCACGATCCAACCAAAAACAGTTCTTGGAATACGTGTGGTAATGAACAGACTGCAGACATTTCCATTTCACTGCATCATTATCCGCTGTTCACAAAGGAGGCCATGATAAGGAACTTTTCATTTGTCCTGACTGCATAGGATGGAAGTGAGGGCAGACTAGCTCAAACAAGGCCATTAAATACCAAATAAATTGAAAACAATCCCCATCTAAATTAATTATTTTTTAAAAAACAATACACGTGTAGTATTTTTGTTAAGATGCTCTGTATTAAATGAATCTCATTGCTGTAGCATACTTCAGATAACTAAGCCAGTATTATTTCCCTGATAAGATCTGAGCCATATTCACATTTAGGATCTTAAAGTGCCACAAAACTCTGGAACTCCATTCCTCAATCCCTCTGTCTTGCCCCCTCTTTGCCTGTCTTCAAATCACACCTGAAGACTTTCTTCAACCTGGCTTCCGTCACCTCCCCTTTCTTTCCAGCTCAGTGTCAACCACACTGCTGTTAAGTGCTCCAAGACACTATTTGTGTGAAGGACACTATAAAATTCAAGTTGATGTTTTTATAACATGCACCACCATCTATTATATGCTTAATGCATATACTCTACTCCACTATATTAGAAACCAAACCAAAACAATCTGAAAGTACATCATTCACACCATCTGAAAGCTCACATTAAAATGTGCAACACAAAGTAAATTTGATAATCTACCACATCTTCTTTCTTGCACAGCATCACCTGCATAAAATACATATTCCAGGAAAAACAATTCACCCACTCAATATCAGGCCAGAATGAGTTGAGAAAAAAGGAAATTTCTGCCAAATAAGTCCAGGACCTGGCTGTTCCTTTAATTCATACAGTATATTGATATTGTCTAGGGATTCTGCAGCTTAGTCTCTCAGTTATAGAAATGTCAAAAGTCCCATCCAGTAGCAGAAGATCAGTACTGCAGATTTCTGAAAAGCTTAATCAGCATTTACACCCACATTTTCTAAAGGTCAACACTCAACTGTCTCACTCTCTACCGCCACCTTCGAATATAGGTGTTGCCCTCAGAACTTTGCTATGTTACCCCTTTGTTTGCTAGTGAATATTGTTAGCCAAGAATATGCGTGGAGAGAAATATTGGTGCGGATACAGTCTGAAAAAAGTGGAACACTTTCCAGCAGCACTCAAATACCCCTCAGCTTACCGAACCCTCCAAAAAAGAACATTTAGGAAATGTTTTGACTTGCTCAGCAAGCCAATTCACCACCACAACTTAATGCAGTAGTTATTATATAGCATTCTTCACATAAGGTAACATCTTAGAGGGCTGTACAAATTTAAAGTTGGGTACCAATAGAGTGATCAATGAGGTAGGTTTTAATTCACGATTTAAAACCAAATAGAGAGATGGAGAAGTAAAAGGAGGGAGTTCCACAGGTTAGGAGCTTAGAATCTGATTGACGGTGGAATAATAATGAAATACGACTTTAAGTATATTACAGCTCATTCTTCACCTACTTTTCTTTTTTGAAGAATATCGCACAACCATCCACATGCTTCCTTTCTTGTTCAGTCATTATTTTGGCACGAGACTTTGGACAGAAGAACCCATCATATCCATGCTGATTCAGCTCAGGAAGGAAGAGATTGAAGTATTGCTCGGTTTCTACTTCCTATTGAAAAAAAACACATTTAATTACAGATGTACCAGATCACAAAACAGCTAACAGTTCTTTTTTTAAAATTGTCTTGAATCATTACTGTACTTACCAAACAATATTAATTTTATAGTGAGCTTTTGGCAGAGGGTTTCAGAAATGCACAAATTATCTCTAATAACAATAATCCTTGCATCTGATATAGCAACTTATCACATCGTTGAGATGTCCCAAAGCGCTTCACAGGATATATTGTAAAGTGGATTGACTGGATTTTGTGGGCGAAACACGCAGGCCATTACGCACAGCAAGCTGCACCAAATGTACCGTACTCCAGCAAAAGCAATTCAAATTGGCCTTAAATAAAAATTGATGCTTACAGTGGGCTAAATATAATTCTTGTTATGTTTTAGCCCCCACTCCCATTCTTTTTCAATCCTTTTTTTGTTTGAATGGCAAACACCTTTGAGTGGAGAAAAAGAGGAGGCTCATAATATGCTGACTTCTCTCCAACCACTCAATGCTAATAACTTAATACAAATAACTCTTGCATTTTCATATAGCGCTTTTCACATCTTCTAATAATAATAATCCTTGCATTTGATATAGCGCTTTTCACGTCGGGAGGACATCCCAAAGCGCTTCACAGAACACACTGTAAAGTGAATTGACTGTATATTTGTGGGCGAAACGCGGCAACCAATTGTGCACAGCAGTGTCCCACAAACAGTTGTGGATTGAAGTGACCAATTTATTATTGTTTTTTTTTCTTGAGGGATTATTATCAGGCGTACGGAGTAAGGAAACTTGCCCAAGGTTTCACCCTGCCAGGAATCAAACCCAAGTCGCTCGCTTATGATGCGAGCGCTCTAACCACTGAGCTACAGGACTCCATTTCAAAATTATTCTAATAGTACATAATCAAGCAAGAGGGCAGTTATCTCTCAGATAATTTTTCCTCAATGACGCACAACTCAGGAAAATACTCCCTGGGGGAAGGGGTAGAGGCACCCTGAGAACTGGAGAAAAATACTACAGAGGTAGCACAGCCAGAATGGCAGTCAGGGGCAGTGCAGTCTGCGACCAATTGTGGTGCTATTTTGTAAAAAGGTACAGGAACACATGAATATCAGAGAAAATTAAAAAATTATGGTGAATATAACACTACCGTATCTAATTGTAATAATTCCTACTTAGTGGTTTAATGCTGCAACACCAGATAGTATCACCACTGTAGTTCCCTGAATGAACTATGCAAAAGTATACAAATCCTTATTTCATGTCCAACCGCACCCTCACCCCAAACACCCACCCCCCCATATATTCTGGATTCAAGGAAGAGGAAGTCATACAAAAGGAAGACACATATTAAACATTTTTATAATGCCCTTTTTTCCAGATAATAAAATATAATGTTTAATTAAACATTCACATTGCTCATTCAATAAACAAACATCTTCTGAAGACATAGAGACCAATATGCAGAGCTGAATAGCTGAATACATAACCGTGGTTTGTCCAGAAATAATCAGCAACATACTGTAGGTTCACTACACCCGTCCCAGCAACAGGTTCCAGCCGACCCTTACACTTAAAGCTTGCCATCAAAAGCAACCTTACCTATGACAGCAACAAGATCACAAAGGATGTCAAGAGAGGTACAAACGAAAAAGGCCTTTGAGCTCATCTAATATGCCTATTGTCTCTTCAATTCAATGTCAAGCTGTTTCATAAACAAGACTACCCTGTTATAGAAAGAAAGCCACATTGCCTGCGGAGATTGTTTTACCAGGAACATTATCCTGCTGCTGAAGCAATAGGACCCAGCAAAGCAAGATAAAAAGCTCCCACCTGGTGCATTGTCAAAGGCTCCCACCAGATTCAGTGATTCCCATATTTTTCTGTTCTAAACTAATCAATCTCCTCGATACAGTAGCAATGTCCATTGCTAAATCAAGGGGAGATCAGGGAAGCTCTGTGACCACAAAAAAAGGTAAATGTTCATGACTTAGAAACTGCAAATGTGAATTCACACATGGCTTGCACAGTTGTTTCCAGGATGTTACCACTGCCTGTCATGCAAAACAATGTCCCTTTCATATTTGGGATCTCGCAGCATGGACTACAGCATTGAAGTGGAGGTACTGACCCCATTGTAAACCCGTGCTGTTTTTCTGTGCCTCCACATTTGTGAAGGAGGGAGAACATTTGTGGTTTGATGAAGTAAGACACAACACATGTGTGCAACACCATTAAAAGTTCATTTACACAACTGCTGCCATCAACCAAATATTAGGGGGCTTTACACTGGACCTTTCCTGCTGTCCTGCCACCATTAGTTTGGTTGTGGAGATTATGAAATTAAATTTTCAAAGCTTTTTCACATGAGCGAAACATCTGACCTCATGAAACCAGCTTGGTTAAATCCATATTCACCATTCCCTCACTGCAACCATGACACAGTGGTTTAGATTTACATCCGCCTTGCCTTACCTGAAGGCTTATGATGTCTGCATCACAGTTTATAATCTCTTCCATAATTCCCTTTTTCCTGTATTCCCAGTTCAAAGCCCAGGATGGGCAGTAGCCGTATAGCTGCCTTGTGGCATACTTGTCACATAGAACATTATAACACATGACAGTGAACAGTGCTGTAAAGCAAATCCATAAATCAGTAGGTTACCCAAAATATTGGGATAACAAAAACAATATGAAAACAATCTTTGATCACAAAAATTTCACAAAACAATGCACATATGTCATCTTGTCACATTCCGCCACATACAGCACAGGGGCAAAAATTATACATCCAAAATAATATTTTCAAGCAATTTAAATGGATTGAGAAAAAATAATTATAATGGTATAAGGAATGAACTGGAGGGGAAAAAATGGCAATCAAAGATGTTGAGCAACAATGGAAATTTTTTAAACATGAGACAGAAAAGGTGCAGGAAAAATATATTCCATTAAGAAATAAGGAAAAATTACCTAACATTGATATGCCATAGATGAATAAGGAGTTGAAGACAAAATTGCAGCTATGGAAAAAAGCATAACAGAAAGTTCTCCAGTAGGGACAGGGAAGTGGGGTTTCCATGAATTGAATGGAAATCAAGGAGACATGATTACAAAAGGCAATCAGACTTGTAGTAATTGTCAATGGTTGACCAGATGGACTGCTTTCTCAATCAGACTAAGCAGATTAGACATGTTCTAGCCCCTAGAATACAAAGGTTGAAGGGCATGCCTAGTTGGAAAAGTACTGTGAAACATACCAGTGCTTTGTGCTAGTAACATGAACAGTTAACAAAAATATTTTTGAATGTCAAACAAACATCTTTTACATTTGATTACTCTTACAATTCATCTAAGATAATCATAGAAATCAAAAAAAACATTCACCCATTTAATTCAGTGCATCTATATCTTTGCGTAGGCAATTGGATTATGAAGTATTCCGTGTGTAATAACTGATTTAAAGCAAAGCATAATTCTTTCACTGTAATGAACAACAAATTTACAGATAAGCAGAGATTCTCATCTAAGATTACTGCCCGTAGTTTATAAATATACCTGTTGGTAGCACTTGATCTCTTTCCTTTAGTGTGACCCACGGCCTCTGAGGAAGCTGCTCTGGATGAACTTATAAAAAAAACAAGCAAAGATGTGTTTGTTGCCCTCCCAAAGAATAACCTTAAATTATTCCCTCCTTTGCTTGGGCTCCCTAACCCTCCATACATATATGGTCAAAAGGGCAGCAACCTTTCAAAAATAATAAACTTTGCATTTGATATAACATATTTCACAGGATTTACTATAAAGTGGAGTGACTGTCTTTTGTAGGCAAACCAATATGCGTACAGCAAAGTGCCACAAACAGACGTGAAGTGAATTACTCATTTTATTTAGGGGTTTGTTGGCCAAGACACTGGAAGAATCTTCTTTCTCTTTTCGAATCGTGCCATGGGATTTTTAGCTTCCACCTGAATAGGCAAACAGGACCTCATCCAAAAGATGGCACTTCAACAATGCAACACCCCCCCAGAACGACAATGGAGTGTCAGCCTAAACAATATGGAGTTCAAAGTCCCAATGTGGGACTTGAACCCAGAACCTTCTGACTCGGAGAGAGTGCCATCAACTGAACCAGGCTGACACATGACTTCCCATCACTGATTTTCTTGCTCTCCATCCCTGTGAAGAAGCACCTATCCTCCTTTTGGTGTTTCCTCCAGTGACATGGTTGAGATAGAGAAGTCAACAGTATGGTGACCCACGAGGCAAAGCAATAAAAAACATTCAATGTGGTTCAATTTATTAGTGATTTAATGTGCTGTGCCACCCAAAATATAACCTTCTCAGAAATAAAGATCTAGCATATTATTTATTCATAAGTAAAACATTATCATTGTGAAAAGCAAGTAAACGGATGAAACTAGAATTTCCAATTTCACAAAATATAGATTCTGTCAATCGTAAAAAAATTTTAATCGCTGAAACATTATGAAAGTTATTTCAAAATATCTTACATATAGCCAGGGAGGGTGGCTATATCCACATTGAAACACAATCAGGATAAGACCAGTGAAAAAATACCTGCTAAATTGTCAAGCATGTAGTTCAGTAGCTTTCGTGTTCCATCTGGCTCTTGGTAGAGGTTTAGAATATCCTGTGACAAAGGATTGCCTAACACCAAACCAGGAAAAATAAGCATTACAAATCTGTGCATAGTCCAGTTAAGAACACAGATTCTGAGGTATTGACAACAGATGTAAATATTTGAAAAGGGAGAAAAGGCAGGCAAATGGAAATAAACAATTTGCTATGATGTAATAAAGTGGCCAATCTAGCACGAGAAGCTCAAAATCCTTTTCCTATTCCTATAATACAACAACAAAATTACATTTGTAAAGTGCCTTTCACATCGGGAGGATGTCCCAAGGCGCTGAACAGTCGGGGATCAGGATCAGAGTGCGGGGGACAGGATTGGGGTGAGAGAGGGCAGAGGGATAGTCTCCACAGGGCCTGGAAAGTTTAGCTTCAGTTCACAAACCAAGAAAATAACATTATAGAGTAGTTAAAAATCCAAATGTGATTAAACTGGCAAGTCTTAAATGTTGAGAAAATATTATATTAATAGTTGGTAAGAGCAAGGTGGGTGGTGGTGGGAAGACAACCAAAGGCACAAACAAAGTCTTGGAATAAAGTCACGTCTAAACTTATTAGAGCTATAAATCGCAAGTGCATTGGATATTCAATACATATAAAGTCATACTTGTTATCTGACCTTTTAAACCCAGGGTCTGCAGCTGGAACAATCGTCCGAGTTCATAAGGCAAAACCCGTAAGAGATTGTTATTTAAAAGTAATTCCCTGGAAGAAAAAATACTTCATGTAAAAACTTTCTTCAGCTACGTAATTTGTTACTTCGAAATACAATAATAATAATCCTTGCAATTGATATAGCGCCTCATCACATCTTCGAGATGTCTCAAAACGCTTCACAGAATAGACTGTTAAGTGAATTGACTGTATATTTGTGGGCCAAACACGGCAGCCAATTGCGCAGAGCAGTGTCCCACAAACAGTCGTGGATTGAAGTGACCAATTTATTATTGTTTTGTTTTAGAGGGATTATTATCAGGCGTGAGGAGTAACGAAACTTGCCCAAGGTTTTGCCTTTACTGTATATACTGTATACACATTGCTGGTAACAATGCAAAAGAACTTTAAAATTTAAATTCTAACATAACATAGGAAGCAAATAAAGAGACGACCAGGGTCATGGGATAGAACAATAAGCCTCATCTCTGGCACTTGAGAGTTTTACCTCAAAGTATGTGAATCTTTTTCTCAGATTATCATTCTCCTACAGTCATCACTAAACAGGATCGGTTCCTCAAGAAATTTAAAATAGCAACGACGCAGCAACTGCATTTATATAGTACCCTTCATGAGGGGTAGCGTCTCGGAGAGCTGAACAATGGTGTCGTTTGACGGCAAAACTGAGAGAAAAACTTGAGGTGATCGTAGATAGAGCTGAAGAGGAAAATTTTCTGGTCCAATCTTAAAATGGGTAAAGAGGTGAATGGGTAAAGAGGTGGAGTCCTGTAGCTCAGTGGTTAGAGCACTCGCCTTGCAAGCGACACACCTGGATTCAATTCCAGGCAGGGCGAAACCTTGGGCAAGTTTCCTTACTCCACACACCTAATAATAATCCCTCCAAAAAAACAAAACAATAATAAATTGGTCATTTTCAATCCATGACTGTTTGTGGGACACTGCTGTGCGCAATTGGCTGCCGCGTTTCGCCCACAAATATACGGTCAATTCACTTTACAGCATATTCTGTGAAGCTCTTTGAGATGTCTAGAAGATGTGAAAAGCACTATATCAAATGCAAGGATTGTTATTATTATTATAAGGCAGAGGAATTGGAGAAGGGCGTTCCAGAAGATTGAACATCCAGAAAGCTCAGTTTAAAATCTTACTTCCAACATTTGAAATGAATGATATCTTACACAAGAAATGTATGAAATCTCCTCTCTTGTTTAAGCCATGTGCATTAAAAGGGCAAATATCAGAAAACAGTAGTTCTCAAGATTTGCAAAGTTGCTCATCAAAGCTGCTTCACCAAAAGCTCAGAGTTGCACAACTGTTACAAAACTTAACTCGACCAAAACTATTTTATTTATTCCTTAATCACAAATTGCTAGTAATAGTACATTTTACTGAATTGTGCAAATATATACATATTATGCACATACATGAATTGAACATGTAATACCATCTAGAAAACTCTTTTAAATGCAGCAGAAATACTGGTTAGTTAATAATATTACATGTGCAAACATATGTGCACACAAACACACGCACATGCACACAGGTTCTGAGCACACATAGCACCATGGTATCAAGAGTTCTCTGTTGTCACAGTTATTGGAAGATCAAACTTTTCAAGATGTTGCAATCCACTATCTCAGTTCCTCATCAGGTTTATGGATTCAGATATTCAGTTTCTCAACGTGCAGCTGTTCTATTTGGTTGGTGAACTAGTTTCAGCTGTGCTTAGTAGTTTTTCTTTACGGTCTTGTCAATTTCATAACAGTTCAGATTCCTTGAGAACTGTGCTTGTTTTATGAAGGTCTATGATTTGGAATTTACCTCCGTTGTCACTCTTTGTTGTAGTGGGAAATGTTTCTACTATCTTGTAGTTCGTTAAAATTTGTTTCCAGTGTTTGGTGTGTCAGGAACTCTAATATATATTTATATCACCAACTTCATTCCCAGTTGCTGTGTTCATTCATCTCAGTGGGTCTGGAGCACTTAGTGTTTATGCAGTCATGCATTTGTTAAAACAAAACTGCACAAGAGGTGTAGGTTCAAGAGAAAAGAGGGGGAGTACTTTCGATTTAAAATCTTTTAAAACAAATTACAGTGTGTAGGGGATGAGTATTTTACTACTTAAAATAGATGCAAAAGATCACATTGGATAATTTTTAAAAATCACTATGTGACCAACTTAATTTCCTCCCTAAAGACAACTGTGAGTAGCTACCTTACACCACCAGGCAGTGCACTCCTTTCTGTTGCTTCCCCTTTTTTGGATACCGGATCAGAACTGAATTTGGTCCATTTTAAAATAAAACATTATAGTCATTATACTTTCTGTTATAAAATAATACTTAGTAGTTATTGGTTTACTTAAGAGGGTTTTGTCGGGGGTTGCCGTGGCGGTGGTGTGTCCCTCATCTCCAGGATCTCGCTTGCTCTATCCCCTTACTTCTCTGACTCATTCCCCTCTTGCGAGCACTTTACCCTCTATCATCCCTCAAATCTTTCCCTCAAAATTCTCCTTATTTACCGCCCCCCAAAACCTCCCTACCTTCATCTCTGATGTCTTCACCCTCCTAGATACCCTCTGCCTCTGTTCTGAACGCCTCCTCATCCTCGGCGACTTCAACCTACACTTCACTCCCTCCTGCTCTATCTCCTCAGACTTCTCCTCTCTCCTTTCCTCTCACAACCTCTCCCTCCACATCCACTCTGCCACCCATGTTCATGGCCACCCACTCGACCTGGTGATTAACCGGGGCTTCAGTGTCTCGGACCTCACAATCACAGACAAAACCATCTCCGATCACCATTTCATCTCCTTGAACTCCTCAATCCCTCTCCCCACCGACACCAAATCCATCTCCATTTCCTACCGCCCCTGAAGAAAAAAATCTCCCCGCAATCCCTCTCCGCTGCCCTGGAGTCATCCGAACTCCTCCCCCTCTGGCCTACCTCCCACACTGATTTATCCTCCTCGCTCACTCTCCTCCACAACTCCCTCTCCACCATTCTTGCTGCCCTTGCCCCCCGCACCTCCCGAACCGCCCCCTACTCACGAACCTCACCCTGATACACCAGCCATCTCCGCTCCCTCAAGGGTCAGGTGCGGGCCACCGAACGCACCTGGCTCAAGCTTGACCTAACAGTCCACCGGCAGATCTGGCTGGACTACATTAAAGCGTACCGCTCTGCCCTCGCCTCTGCCAAATTATCCTACTACTCCAAGGTAATCTTGGAGGTGAAGGACAACCCCAGGTGCCTATTTTCCATCACTAAGCGGCTCCTCCATCCTCCCTCCCGCGCCTGGCTCATTCTCCCCTCAAGCTCTGACTGCGAGGAGATGCTGGATTTCTTTGAGTCCAAAATCGAGGGGATCCATTCAGCTGTCACTGTCCTCCCAACTGCCACTCCCTCCACATCTCCCCACCACACTCCATCCCCTACCCATCCCGCCCTCCACATTTTCGAACCTGTCTCCCACTCCTCTCTCACCTTATCCAGCATGAAACACACCACCTGCTCCCTTGACCCCATCCCCACCCCTCCCCAGCTCCACCTCCTCGCCCCTCTACTCTCCGACACCATCAATCTCTCCCTTTCATCTGGCACCGTTCCCATCCCCCTAAAAACAGCTGCAATCACCCCAATCCTGAAAAAACCTTCCCTGGACCCATCCCTGCCTTCTAACTCACGGCCCATCTCCAACCTCCCTTTTGTTTCAAAGGTCCTTTAAAGAGTCATTGCTTCCCAGCTTTGCTCATTCCTCTCCTACGACTCCAGGCTTTAGTTCCTTCCAATCAGCTTTCTGTGCTGCTCACAGCATGGAAACTGCTCTGGTCAAGGGTACAAACAATATTTTTTCCATCTGTGAGCAGGGCTCCCTCTGCCTCCCCGTCCTCTACACTACCTTCGATACCGTGGATCACTCCATCCTCCTCTCACCTCAACCTTCAAGTTTCTGTCCTTGAATGGTTCAGGTTTAATCTCTCACACCGCCTCCAATTTGTCTCTACCAACGGTTCCTCTTCCAGCCCCCACACAGTCTTGTGTGGTGTTCCTCAGTGCTCTGTCCTCGATCCCCTCCTCTTCAAACTGTACATGCTCCCCCTTAGTGACATCATTCGCAGACATGGGGTCAACTTCCACATGTATGCGGATGACACCCAACTCTATCTTTCTGCCTCCACCATCGATTCCGGGACAGCTGACATCCTGACACTGTCTGTCTGACATGAAGTCCTGGATGAGAGCCAACGTTCTGCAGCTGAATGTTTGCAGGACCGAGACCCTCCTGATTGACTCGCACCAGCGCCTCAGCACCTCAGGCACTGGCAGCATCAGCATCCACGGTTGCACACTCCACCTCACCAAGCAAGTTAGGGTGTCTTGTTCGACCCTCAACTGTCTTTTCTCCCCCAAATCCGTGCCATGACAAACTCTGCCTTCCCCCACTTCTGCAACATTGCCCGACTCCGCCACTGCCTCACCCTTCTGGCTGCCGAAACCCTCACCCACGCATTCGTCAACTCAAGGCTCGACTATGGAAACTCCCTCCTTGTCGACCTCCCCAACTCTTCCCTCCACAAGCTGCAGATCATCCGGAACTCTGCAGCTCATGTCCTCTCCCACACCAAGCTCCGTGACCCCATCACACCCATCCTTGACCGGCTCCACATCCCTCAGAGGATCAAATTCAAAATCCTCGTCCTCACTTTGAAGGCCCTCCACGGCCTTGCCCCCTCCTACATCTCTGACCTGCTGACTCCCTATCAACCTGTCCACTCTCTCTGCTCAGCAGGCTCTGGCCTACTCCAGGTCTCCCATTCGACCTGCTCTACAATCGGCGGTCAGGATTTCAGCCTCTCTGGCCCCACTCTTTGGAACTCCATCCCACAATCCCTTTGCTTTGCCTCCTTCAAGGCACAACTCAAGACCCTCCTTTTTGACCATGCTTTCAGCTGCCCTCCTTACCCCCCTCTGCCCTCCCTCATCCCAATACTGTCCCCCACGCTCAGGTCCTGATCCCTGCCTGTTCAGCGCCTTGGGATTTCCTCCCGACGTGAAAGATGCTTTACAAATGTAATTTTGTTGTTGTTTCTTTTCCTTGGGTCTTGCAGCTTCAGGATTCAATCCATTATACATTGTCTAGAAAGACTTCACGTATTCATTTCCTTGGACTTCTGATTTGATTCTGTTTTATTTTTATGTCTTCTGAGGAGCAACTAAAACAAAAAGGAAAAGCTAACAAGAGAGAATCAATGATCAGAGAGCCTCATTGTCAATCTCACAAAGAACCACAAGAAGCCAAGACAGATCAACCTTCATCTACCAGCCAAAGGCAGAACAATGTGTAAAGAACCATAGGAATAAACCTGTGAAACAGAAAACATACAAGAACTCCTCCCCAGCCTGACTATTTAAAAATTGACACAATTGCTGAAAATCCAAAACAGTGGGTTGAAGCATCCTGAAAAAGTTTTTAATAGATTTTTGTAAAGTAGACATAGGGAAGATGTTTCCACTTGTGTGGGAGACCAAAACCAGGGGCCATCAAAATAAAATAGTCACAAATTGATCAAATAGAGAAGTTAGAAGAAATTTTGTCACGCAGAGAGTAGTGGGAATGTGGAACATGCTACCACAAGAAGTTGTTGAGGCAAATAGCATAGATGTATTTAAGGAAAAGCTAGATAGGTACATGAGGGAGAAAGGAATAGAAAGTTAGGCTTGAAGGCTTAGTTGAGGAAGGGCAGGAGGAGGCTCATGTGGAGCATAAACACTGGCATAGACCAGTTGGGTCGAATGGCCTGTTTCTGTGTTGCATATTCTAATGTATTCTAATGTATACTAAGTCAATCTTCCAAATCTGAAGACACAAATAACTTAAAGCATAGATCATGCAAATGATCAGAACAGTTCAAACTTTGTGGAACTATCTTTTAACGGGAGTACCGCTGTGCAAATATTCTTTATCGAGAACAAAAATATCATTCATGAAAATATATGAACGTTATTTGAATTTCAAATGTCATGGCTATGAACGGCTAAACAGTTGTTTCAAGTCTGATAAAGGTGATCTCCTCAAGGTTTGAGCTGTTCTCATTCATCAATAATAATCCCTCCAAAACCAAAAACAATAATAAATTGGTCATTTTCAATCTACGACTGTTTGTGGGACATTGCTGCCGCGTTTGCCCACAAATATACAATCAATTCACTTTACAGTATATTCTGTGAAGCGCTTTGAGACGTCCTCCCGACGTGAAAAGCGCAATATCAAATGCAAGGATTATTATTATTATTATTTCCATTCAAGACATTGGCTCATGATAACTTGTTCTTACAGCTGATAACATACTACTGCAGTAGAGAAATCAAACCTACAGTCAACTCACCTGAGCGACACCATGTTTCCGAGCTCTGCTGGCAAACTGCGGAGTTTATTAGATGACAAATCCAAGTAAACCAGATTATGGAGCTTCGATATATCAGCTGGAATGCGTGTAAGGTTATTATCATTAAGGTGCAGTGCCGTCAAGTGTGTTAACTCCCACAATGATGTACTCAAGCTCCTTACTTTACCTGTATGGAAAGGAAAGAATTAATAATCCTTTCCCCCAAAATTATGAAGCGGCAGTAACCTTATCAAGACAAGAAAGAAATATGTGCATTTACTGGCTAAAACCACCACCAACAACAACTTGCATTTATATAGCACCCTTCACTCATGTGGTCTATAAACGTAGATCCTGAGTGAAAACAAAGCGCAATAAAACGTCTGCTTTCTGGGGCTTCTGGTTGTTGCTGATGTCACTCCCTGCGCATGAGCAAAGTGACATCAGCGGTGCTTCCTGCGCATAGTGTGCAATGAATAGGAAGTGACATCATGGGAAAACTGACAACCCAGAAGGCACCTTTTCTTTGCATGGGTGTACTGTGGACTTGCTCTATGTGAGAAGAATTGGTAAATCTGGCTTCTGGTATAGTGTGGATCCATAGTACTGATGCTAAACTATTCAAAGAAGGAAATAAAACAGGGTTTGGGAGACACTCACCGGAGATTTCTAATCCCACCCAATTTGATTTCTTCACATTCCCTGCGTCTTCAGATGACATGATTGTATATATTATCCGTGGATCTGGTGGATCATATTTTTCCTTTGGCATCCCAATCAGCCTAGGGGAAAAAATATACCATCTTCATTAGTTATCAGTTTCCTCAATACAGTACCTCAACAGACTGCATTTGGGCTCTTCATATCCAATGAGGATCATAGAGTATCACAGAAGTGGTGCAATGCAAATAAAAAGTGCAATAAAGACACCATAGTAACAAATTATACTATTTATCCACATCAAAAAGCATAAAATTCTAACTGATAAGATTATTTTGTTTCAAAATGTAAGATTACCATGAAATTGTGGAAAATTCTTAAATTTAATCTTAATTTAGAAACTGTTTTTCCAGTTCTTAAAAAGAACTTGCTTCCAAATTCTAAATTTAAGAATTTTCCACAATTCTGCACAATTTTAATTAAGACAAAATGGTCTTACAACGTTAAACAAGGCGAACTTTCCTGTCTAAAACTAATTACAGTACTGTCAACTTCTGCGACTATGTTTGAGATGTAAGCAAATGTCCTGCAAAACAGTGATGAGCTTTTATCTGGAGGATTGTTGGCCAGGATTCTTAGTGAGCACACAAGGAGAAACTTAATTCTGTTTTCAAACAGTGTTGTTGCATTTAAATGCACGTCTAAAGTGCAGACAGCACTAGTTTAGTGTCTCATCTGAAGGATGCTACCTCCAACAATACAACACCTTTCTCCCTCTCCACCCCTGAGATAGAGCATCAGGCTAGAGATTTTACTGATTATAATCCAATGGTCCATGCTATCAGGGGTGGGAAACTGACCTACTCTTTCAATCCAGCTCTGAATCACACCCACTGGAACTACAAAAGTAATTAAAAAAAGACACACTATGAATACTGTTTTCTCAAAACAGAATGAGGGACCCAAGAGGTCTGACTGTTTTACCAACCTGACTGGAGTATTATGAGCTTTTTCAAAATATATTGCTCGATTTTAAATAAGAAAAAAAAATCATCCCCACATAAAAACTGTTTTTGAAAAATATGGAGAAAATGAGAGAGACGTTACATTGCAAAACCAAATGGAAAATCTATGAATTCCGCTCTCAAAAATGTCAAAAATGTTTTGGAATGCTAAAGATGCTAAAAATCGAGTGTTCTGCCAAAAGAAACTAGGTGCAGTAGTAAAAAAATACAAGGATAAACTAAGGCTGTACAAACAGTTTATAGGGAAAAATAAGGACACAAAACTATCTATATTTGGTTTCAAGGTGGCATTTGTGCATCCTCATCTGAACCACAAACAAAAGCAATTATGAAGGTGCCAAGGAAATACAACAAAGACTAAACTAAATTTGCAATGATTTTAACAAATATTTTTCTTTCTGCTATTGCACAAAGATTAATTTGCTTACTTTCAACCGTTCCCTGGTTAATGCACAACCGTAAATCAAACTCTGGGATGCTACCCTGCGTGATTTGGGGTGTTTACCATAACACAATTTACAAATACACATACCAATCCAAACAGGCCCTTAGATCCTTTACAAATTCAGGCAAAAGCAGGATGTGTAAATTTCAAATTTGCAGGATTATAGGCTTGTTTTTCAATCCTATTTACAGTGTGATAAATAGACATAAACTGTAGAAATGTAATTACAGTACCAGGGCAAGGATCTCATCTATCTCTTCCTCTCCACCCCAGTCAGGCAGCGCACAGCCATATGTAGAACAAAGCTCTCCCCCACCCTCCTGCAATAATATCCTCTTAAACCAGACTACAAGAGTAATCTGGAACGTCAAACAAATCTTTTATCAAAAATTCCTACACTGTAGATATACGTGTTTAGAAATGTTACGGTCAGACATGGTTCACAAAAGGCACGTAAATAATTGTACTTAACTTAAGGTCACTGAACAAAGCTCAGTGATTAGTACATTTACCGACGACATGAGAATGAAGTGTGTGTGTCTGTGAGCCTAATTTACAGACAAGCAAACATGGTACCTTTGCAAATGTCCAGGGAATGTCTAGAGGCCAGCATGCTCTAAACTACTTCACTTACTCGAACAGAGGCAGGAAGAAGGAGTGCTTGAATCGCCTTGCCTACCTACCAGCAGCTGAGCTTTTATTGGCTGTTTCCAGCAGTGCGCTGAGGCGCTGCTGTCAAAAGCACAGTTGAAAACAATCTTCTTGGCAGTGCTTGCCGTTGGCAGCAATCTCTCAATATAAATACAACAGACCGAGCTTTAATGTTTTAAACGCTCTGGGACTCTACCCTGCACGAGGGGCCCTATATAAATGCAAGTAGTTGTTGTTAATCTCCTATTTTGTTTATCCAACACCTGAGGCATCTTAAAATAAGTGGACTGTAGAAGTAATGTCACAAATTGTGGTTTCTATTGCTGCTATGCAAATCAGCCAAACGAATATGCCTGTCAAACAAAACCCTTCTCACTATGATTAGCAAGTCAAAACACACCAAAATAACCCACTCTGGTTAAGTGGAAAATAGCAAATACAACATTATCCTTCTCTTCCAGAACAGTATTTTGTTTTGCTGTAATCCAATTGCAATTCATTTCTAATCTTCCAATTAGAATTGGTACATCTGAGTTTTGCAGTTAATCCTCAAAGTATGGCTAATTGATGATTGATAGAACTGACCTACGAGTTTTGCCCTTCAGTCACACACTCTTTCTCTGTTTGAGAAATACAATGTACATAACACTATTATTAGTATTCAGAACTTTAAAGCTGGACAGAGTTTCGGACCAGAGCCGGGGGTCGGGGTGGGGGAGGGCAGTGGGGGGGAAGCAGGGAGATCGAAATCACGGTCGAAGAGGAGGGTCTTGAGGTGGATCTTGAAGGTGGAGAGGGAGGGGGCGAGACGGAGGGACTGTGGGATGGAGTTCCAGAGAGTGGGGGCAGAGTGGCTGAAGGCCCGTCCGCCGATAGTGGGCCGAGCGAGGCGTGAGACGTGAAGCAGGCCGGAGCCCGCTGAGCAGAGGGAGCGAACAGGGTGGTAGGGGGTTAGGAGGTCAGAGAGGTAGGGGGAGCAAGACTGTGGAGGGCTTTGAAGGTGAGGACCAAAAACTGTATTCTCTGTGTGATGGGAAGTCAGTGGAGTTGGGCGAGGATGGGGGTGATAGGGTCACGGAGCCCGGTGCGGGAGAGGACACGGGCTGTAGAGTTCTGGGTGATCTGCAGCCTATGGAGGGAGGAGTTGGGGAGGCCGACAAGCTGTGAGTTTGCATAGTCGAGCCTCGATGTAATGAAGGTTTCGATGTATGAGGGTTTCGGTGGTCTGCGGTGTGAGATAGTGTCGGAGCCGGGCGACGTTGTGGAGGTGGGAGAAGGCAGAGTGGGTCATGACACGTATGTGGGGTAGAAAGGATAGTTTAAATGACTTAAGCTTGAGTTTTTTATGCACAATATTAGTATCAATGCACTAATTCAGTCTAGTATTAACATTGAAGCAACAATGGATTATTTTACATTTCTATGCAATGGTATAATAATCCTTGATTTGATATATGACACTCTCAAAGCTCTTCACACAACATATTGTGAAGCGTAAGACTGTGTATTCTGTGTACAAAACTAAATATGATTTGGCAACATAACAGAACTGGTCCCACCATATTTCTCTGCTGAATATTCATACCAGAATCCTAACTCCTTTATGTAATCCAAAGCAACAATTGACCATCACAATATTTTTAGAACTGTCTCAGATTCCTTCTACAGATATACTTATAATAACTTGCATTGACAAATTGAGGAGAGACCTAAAATCCACCAGGGAAATTATAATTCATACTTTATTTTGAAAGTCAGAAACACCGATAAATCCCAAATGGCACTGGCACCAGATAATTACAGCATGAAAATCTAATCACAAGTCAAATAAACCCAGTAAAGCAGCTGCTGTTTTGTTTTCATTCCCTTCCCATAGACACTAGTCACCAGTGCTAATATAGTTTGAGAAGCCACACTTCCACTCGTTGCCAAACATTCTCATTCCACCACTAGAGCATTACATCAACAGCGGTCGATTCAAAATATGTCCAAGTAAGATTTATTTTCATTTGTGTGGGAGACAATGAAAATTAACATCATCATTATAATAAAACCAGTTCACTCACTTTTTGAAACTTCTGTCACCAAAAACAATATTGCAAACAGTTGTTTAAATCAACTTGCACAGATGCAGTAAGATTCTCTGAAGTGTCTCTGTGAAGTTATCTATTTTACATAAGACAAATATGCTTTCTTCTTCTTTTTATCAGACAAGTAGAGCTCAAACTGCCATGCTACCAGTTCAACAACATGGCCATCAATGCTTCAGACTTAGAGCCAAGTTAGTTATCAGGCCAAAGCCAAATATAGAAAGCCACCAAAGCAACATTGCATTACATTGCTACGTAATCACCTAAGGGCAAAGTTTACTTTCAGTCTACCTACCCAGACCTTTGACTTGTACCTCCTCCCTCCTAAAAACATATTTCTGCCTGATGCTAAAGCAATGAATAGACATCCCTTTAGAGATTTAGCTGAATCCAGATGATTAACATTTCTAGTTTTCATACCCAATCATTATAAATATGTGTGAAAACATTCTTCACACAATTTGCATTTATATGGCGGTGGCACCTCAGAGCGCTCAAAAGATGATAAAAATATGAATTCATGGTCACAGTAGACCGGAGATGCAGAATTGATGGGTATGTTTGGAAGGTAGAAAGACATTTGCAGAGTTGGGAGTTAAGAGATATGGAGAAAGGTAGGCGTTTTAGATGAAAACATTTGCAGACATCTAATCAATAGCAGGACAGGCTCAAAGGCACTGAATGGCCTTCTTTTGTTCCTACATTTCTCCAAAGCATAGGTTTATTCATTCATCAACTTAATTTCTCAAAAGTGATCAAGGCATTTGGAGAGTCAATTACATTGAAATTAACCTCAAATGGCTGCAAGTTTTCTATTTCACAAGGTTGCAGTTCAATATTTCCAAGAACCGGTAATACCCTCTCTTGTGCACGTGTGACTTTTCCCATTTAGAAACACGATCACTCACACCAATGATTAACATGGAAAATTGGATATTCTTCATGGTCATTCACTGCTCCTAGTAAAACCAGTGGTAGTTCAGGATAATAATAATAATAATAATCCTTGCATTTGATATAGTGCTTTTCACGTCAGGAGGACGTCCCAAAGCGCTTCACAGAACACACTGTAAAGTGAATTGACTGTATATTTGTGGGCGAACGCGGCAGCCAATTGCGCACAGCAATGTCCCACAAACAGTCGTAGATAGAAAATGACCAATTTATTATTGTTTTTGGTTTTGGAGGGATTATTATTAGGCTCTGTGTGGAGTAAGGAAACTTGCCCAAGGTTTCGCCCTCTGCCTGGAATTGAACTCAGGTCTCTCGCTTGCAAAGCGAGTGCTCTAACCACTGAGCTACAGGACTCCACAGGATAAAGCAAATACAAATACAGATTCCTGGAGGCAATACGTATTTGTCCCAGACTGTACCCATCAAAAGCTCCAGCTTATTTGCAGCACAACTCCTGTCTCACATACCCGTTGCTTCCATCCTTCCAAGACTGCACTGGCCTACAGTAGATCATATTCAAGGTGGTTTCCTAAATCTCAAATCTCTCCTGATCCTTGCTCCAGTTTATCTGCACAATCTTCTCCAGCAATACATCCCAGGCCACACTAACTTCTCTTCTAAACCCAATTTTACTATTCCGTCCCTATTCCTTCTGTTTTAGGCAATTAGCAAATCAAACTTATTTGACTTTATTTTCAGAGTCCTGTAGCTCAGTAGTTAGAGCACTCACTTTGCAAGCGATAGACCTAAGTTCAATTCCAGGCAGAGGGCGAAACCTTGGGCAAGTTTCCTTACTCCACACAGAGCCTAATAATAATCCCTCCAAAACCAAAAACAATAATAAATTGGTCATTTTCAATCCACGACTGTTTGTGGGACATTGCTGTGCGCAATTGGCTGCCGCGTTCGCCCACAAATATACAGTCAATTCACTTTACAGTGTGTTCTGTGAAGCGCTTTGGGACGTCCTCCCGACGTGAAAAGCGCTATATCAAATGCAAGGATTATTATTATTATTTTACTTTATTTGACTTAAAAGTTTTTTTAAAAAACATAGATACTGACAAAAACTCCCACAAATACAGTAGTCTCCCTCCCTGTCTCTCTAAAATACACATGCGGTACACACTCTCTCTTTCTCTCTCAGACACGCACAGTCCCCCACTCTCCGTCTATCACTCACTCAATCTGCCAGGAACTTGCCCTCAATCTCACACATTTACTCTCAGTCTCTCTCTTGTACAGGTGCAGTCTCTCCTTTTTCACTCTCTTTCTCACACTCTCCCTCTCATCTCTCTAACTCACCCTCTTTCACTCTGTCTCTCTGTTTTCAGGCAGGACTTGAAAGAGGGGAGAGAGGGGGCAAGGCAGAGGGATTGAGGGAGAGTGTTCCAGAGTTTTAGGGCGGAGTGACTGAAAGCGCGACCTCCGATGGTGGGGCGGAGGGTGTGAGGGACGAGCAGGAGGTCGGTGCAGGGCGAGTGGAGGCGCCGGGTGGCGGATTGGGGAGTGAGGGGGTCGGAGAGGTAGGGACGTGCTTTTTTCTCCCACACTCTTACCCACACTTTCTCTCACTCTCACACTCTTTCACCCTCTCACACCCTCACCCTCTCTCACTCTCACCCTCACACCCTCAGCTTCACTCTCCTACCTTCGCTCTCTCACACTCACTCTCCTACCTTCACTCTCTCACACTCACTCTCTTACCTTCACTCTCTCACCCTCACACTCTCTCTCCCTCACTCTCCCTCCCTCACTCTCTCACCCTCACTTTCTCACCCCCACTCTCTCTATCTCACACCCTCACTCTCTCACCCTCACTCTCTCCCTCACTCTCTAACCCTCACTCTCCCTCCCTCACTCTCTCTCCCTCACTCTCTCTCTCCCTCACTCTCCCTCCCTCACTCTCACTCTCCCTCACACTCTCACCTTCACTCTCTCTCCCTCACTCTGTCACCCTCACTCTCTCTCTCTCCCTCACTCTCTCCCCCACTCTCTCACCCTCACACTCTGTCACCCTCACTCTGTCACCCTCACTCTCTCTCCCTCACTCTCTCACCCTCTCTCCCTCCTCACTCTCTCTCCCTCCCTCTCCCTCACTCTCTCTCCCTCACTCTCTCACCCTCACTCTCTCTCCCTCCCTCTCTCACCTTCACTCTCTCACCCTCACTCTCCCTCCCTCCCTCTCCCTCACTCTCTCACCCTCACTCTCCCTCCCTCCCTCTCCCTCCCTCTCCCTCCCTCTCTCTCTCCCCTCACTCTCCCTCACTCTCTCTCCCTCACTCTCTCACCCTCCCTCACCTTCACTCTCTCACCCTCACTCTCCCTCCCTCCCTCTCCCTCACTCTCTCACCCTCACTCTCCCTCCCTCCCTCTCCCTCCCTCCCTCTCCCTCCCTCTCCCTCACTCTCTCTCCCTCACTCTCTCTCCCTCTCCCTCACTCTCTCACCCTCACTCTCTCTCCCTCTCCCTCTCCCTCACTCTCTCCCCCCCCCCCCTCACTCTCTCCCTCACTCTCTCCCCCCCCCCCCTCCCTCACTCTCTCCCCCCCCCCCCCCGCCTCCCTCTCCCCCTCTCGCTGTGCCGGGGTCGGGGCCGGGGGTGGAGGAGGCCCATCAGGGCCGGAGCTGTGGTGGCTGAGCGGCGGTTAGGGCCGGAGCTGTGGTGGCTGAGCGGTGGGCGGTGTCCAGGCGGCGGCTGTTGCCCTCCCGTGTGCGGAGCTCAGCGGCCGCTGTCTTACCTTCACCCGCGGGCTGTCACCTCACAGCACCGCGGCCCCGAGCACAGGCCCCGAGCACAGCGGCACCTCCTCCCCCCCACACACAGTGTAACCCCCACACTGTAACCCCCCCCCCCCCCCCCCCCCCACAGTGTAACCCTCCCCCCCCCCCCACACACACTGTAACATACCCCACAGTGTAACCCTCCCCCCCCCACAGTGTAACCCTCCCCCCCCACACACACTGTAACCCCCCCCCCACACACACACTGTAACATACCCCACAGTGTAACCCCCCCCCCCACACACACACACACACTGTAACCCCCCCCCCCCCACAGTGTAACCCCACACACTGTAACATACCCCACAGTGTAACCCTCCCCCCCACACACACACTGTAACCCCCCCCCCCACACACACACACACACTGTAACCCCCCCCCCCCCACAGTGTAACCCCCACACACTGTAACATACCCCACAGTGTAACCCTCCCCCCCACACACACACTGTAACCCCCCCCCACACACACACACACACTGTAACCCCCCCCCCCACAGTGTAACCCCCACACACTGTAACATACCCCACAGTGTAACCCTCCCCCCCCACACACACACTGTAACCCCCCCCACACACACACACTGTAACCCTCCCCCCACACACACACTGTAACCCTCCCCCCACACACACACTGTAACCCCCCCCCCACAGTGTAACCCCCACACACTGTACCCCCCACACACACACTGTAACCCCCCCCACACACACACACACACTGTAACCCCCCCCCCCCACAGTGTAACCCCCACACACTGTAACATACCCCACAGTGTAACCCTCCCCCCCACACACACACTGTAACCCCCCCCCCACACACACACACACACTGTAACCCCCCCCCCCACAGTGTAACCCCCACACACTGTAACATACCCCACAGTGTAACCCTCCCCCCCCACACACACACTGTACCCCCCACACACACACTCTATTCCCCCCACACACACACTGTAACCCCCCCCCCACACACACACTGTAACCCCCCCACACACTGTAACCCCCACACACTGTATCCCCCACACACACACTGTACCCCACACACACACTGTACCCCCCACACACACTGTACCCCACACACACACTGTAACCCCCCCTCACACTGTACCCCACACACACACACTGTACCCCTCCCCCCCCCACACAGTGTAACATACCCCAACACTGTAACCCTCCCCCACACACACACACACAGTGTAACCCCCCCCACACACACACACTGTAACCCTCCCCCCCCCACACAGTGTAACACCCCCACACACACACACACTGTAACCCTCCCCCCCCCCCACACAGTGTAACATACCCCAACACTGTAACCCTCCCCCACACACACACACAGTGTACCCCCCCCCACACACACACACTGTAACCCTCCCCCCCCCACACAGTGTAACACCCCCACACACACACACTGTAACCCTCCCCCCCCACACAGTGTAACATACCCCAACACTGTAACCCTCCCCCACACACACACACTGTAACCCTCCCCCCCCCCACACAGTGTAACATACCCCAACACTGTAACCCTCCCCCACACACACACACAGTGTAACCCCCCACACACACACACACTGTAACCCTCCCCCCCCCCACACAGTGTAACACCCCCACACACACACACTGTAACCCTCCCCCCCCCACACAGTGTAACATACCCCAACACTGTAACCCTCCCCCACACACACACACTGTAACCCCCACACACTGTAACATACCCCCACACTGTAACATACCCCCAACACTGTAACACCCCCCATACACTGCAACACCCCCCCCCATACACTGTAACATACCCCCCCCCCATACACTGCAACACCCCCATACACTGTAACATCCCCCCCCCATACACTGTAACACCCCCCCCCCCTATACACTGTAACACCCCCCCCCCCCCATACACCGTAACCTGTGGTCACATACACCCTACCCCACTGTAACCGGGGGTCAAATTCAGCCCCCCCCCCATACACTGTAACCTGGGGTCATATAACCCCCAACCCTCCGCCATCCACTGTAACCTGGGGTCATATATACACCAGCGCTCACACTGTCATATCCACCATGTGAGATACACCCTGTGATACACACACCATGATATTGCCATATATATATATATATATATATACACACATGTGTGATACACACACTACAATACACATAATACACGCCGGCTCACACTGATATACACACAGTCATGCACATACACTTTGATCTGTACGCACTGTCACACATACATTGTAATAAACACATACATGTATGTATAATATGGATGTATGCTCCGCAATCCTATCACCCCCATCCTCCCCCGACTCCACTGGCTTCCCATCTCACAGAGGATACAGTTCTGGATCCTGGTCCTCACCATCAAAGCCCTCCATGGTCTTGCTCCCCCCCCCCCCCCCCCCGACCTCTGTGACCTCCTAACCCCCTACCAGCCTACTCGCTCCCTCCGCTCAGTGGGCTCCGGCATGTTCACGTCCCCCGCCTCACTCGCCCCACCATTGGCGGGTGGGCCTTCTGCCATTCTGCCCCCACCCTCTGGAACTCCATCCCGCAGCCCCTCCGCCTCACCCCCTCCCGCGCCACCTTCACGACCCCTCTCTAGACCTCGATCTCCCTGCTTCCTCCCCTGCCCTCCGCCCCAGCTCGGGTCCTTAACTCTGTCTGTCCAGCGACTTGGGACATCCTCACGACGTGAAAGGCGCTATACAAATGTAATTTTGTTGTTGTTGTTGCTGTATGAATATTGCAGTGTACAAACATATATTGAAACCATACACTGTGTGCAACATATAAAACATTGTATACACTGTGTGCAATATACAAACAACTATGCACATTGTGTTCAATATATAAACAAATATATACAGTGTGCGCAATATTTAAAGAAGTATATCCAGTAATAATAATCCTTACTAACAATATAATAAATAATAATCCTTAATAATAATAATGAACACATTGTTCAATATTTATATTCTGTGTTGTATATAAACAAAAACAATATACAATATGTACTGTGAAAATAAAGGATTGGTGTGCAGGGTGAGGGTGGCGGTGTGAGGGGCAGTGCGGGGTGAGGGTGGCGGTGTGAGTGGCAGTGGGGGGGGTGAGGGTGGCGGTGTGAGTGGCAGTGCAGGGTGAGGGTGGCGGTGTGAGGGGCAGTGCAGGGTGAGGGTGGCGGTGTGAGGGCAGTGCAGGGTGAGGGTGGCGGTGTGAGTGGCAGTGGGGGGGGGGTGAGGGTGGCGGTGTGAGTGGCAGTGCAGGGTGAGGGTGGCGGTGTGAGGGGCAGTGCAGGGTGAGGGTGGCGGTGTGAGGGGCAGTGCAGGGTGAGGGTGGCGGTGTGAGTGGCAGTGGGGAGGGGGGGCAGGGCGGGGGGTGAGGGGGGAACTGTGTGACGGGGCCGCGGGGCTGTGCGGAGCTGAGAGGCTGTGACGCCGCTGAGGAGATGGCGGTTGCCGGGAGGCGGCTGTGCGGAGGTCAGGACACCGCACTGCACTACACGCGCTCACTCACCATCACACACTCACAGCTGTGGGCTCCGCGCCCTGAGCCCCGCGCGGCCCCGCGGTCTGTCAGTGGGAGGGACAGCGCGGCCGAGTTTCCATCTTCACACGAACCTGATCGTCAGTGACCCGCAGCCCCGCGACTACTGCCGGGCGGCGCCTGGTGCCTGGTGGGCTCCTGGTGGAGGTGGGCTCCTGGTGGAGGTGGGCGCCTGGTGTCTGGTGGAGGTGGGCTCCTGGTGTCTGGTGGAGGTGGGCTCCTGGTGGAGGTGGGCTCCTGGTGTCTGGTGGAGGTGGGCTCCTGGTGTCTGGTGGAGGTGGGCTCCTGGTGGAGGTGGGCTCCTGCTGTCTGGTGGAGGTGGAGCTGGGCTCCTGGTGGAGGTGGGCTCCTGGTGGAGGTGGGCTCCTGCTGTCTGGTGGAGGTGGGCTCCTGGTGGAGGTGGGCTCCTGCTGTCTGGTGGAGGTGGGCTCCTGGGGTCTGGTAGAGGTGGGCTCCTGGGGTCTGGTAGAGGTGGGCTCCTGGTGGAGGTGGGCTCCTGGGGTCTGGTAGAGGTGGGCTCCTGGTGGAGGTGGGCTCCTGGGGTCTGGTAGAGGTGGGCTTCTGGTGGAGGTGGGCTCCTGGGGTCTGGTAGAGGTGGGCTTCTGGTGGAGGTGGGCTCCTGGTGTCTGGTGGAGGTGGAGGTGGGCACCTGGTGTCTCGTGGAGGTGGAGGTGGAGGTGGGCTCCTGGTGTCTGGTGGAGGTGGGCACCTGGTGTCTGGTGGAGGTGGGCTCCTGGTGTCTGGTGGAGGTGGGCACCTGGTGGAGGTGGGCTCCTGGTGTCTGGTGGAGGTGGGCGCCTGGTGTCTGGTGGAGGTGGGCGCCTGGTGTCTGGTGGAGGTGGAGGTGGGCACCTGGTGTCTGGTGGAGGTGGGATCCTGGTGTCTGGTGGAGGTGGGCGCCTGGTGTCTGGTGGAGGTGGAGGTGGAGGTGGGCGCCTGGTGTCTGGTGGAGGTGGGCTCCTGGTGTCTGGTGGAGGTGGGCACCTGGTGTCTGGTGGAGGTGGGCACCTGGTGTCTGGTGGAGGTGGGCACCTGGTGTCTGGTGGAGGTGGGCACCTGGTGTCTGGTGGAGGTGGGCTCCTGGTGTCTGGTGGAGGTGGGCTCCTGGTGTCTGGTGGAGGTGGAGGTGGGCGCCTGGTGTCTGGTGGAGGTGGGCGCCTGGTGTCTGGTGGAGGTGGAGGTGGGCACCTGGTGTCTGGTGGAGGTGGGCTCCTGGTGTCTGGTGGAGGTGGGCTCCTGGTGTCTGGTGGAGGTGGGCGCCTGGTGTCTGGTGGAGGTGGAGGTGGAGGTGGGCGCCTGGTGTCTGGTGGAGGTGGGCTCCTGGTGTCTGGTGGAGGTGGGCACCTGGTGTCTGGTGGAGGTGGGCACCTGGTGTCTGGTGGAGGTGGGCACCTGGTGTCTGGTGGAGGTGGGCACCTGGTGTCTGGTGGAGGTGGGCTCCTGGTGTCTGGTGGAGGTGGGCTCCTGGTGTCTGGTGGAGGTGGGCACCTGGTGTCTGGTGGAGGTGGGCTCCTGGTGTCTGGTGGAGGTGGGCGCCTGGTGTCTGGTGGAGGTGGAGGTGGGCACCTGGTGGAGGTGGGCGCCTGGTGTCTGGTGGAGGTGGGCGCCTGGTGTCTGGTGGAGGTGGGCTCCTGGTGTCTGGTGGAGGTGGGCACCTGGTGTCTGGTGGAGGTGGGCTCCTGGTGTCTGGTGGAGGTGGGCTCCTGGTGTCTGGTGGAGGTGGGCGCCTGGTGTCTGGTGGAGGTGGAGGTGGGCACCTGGTGGAGGTGGGCTCCTGGTGTCTGGTGGAGGTGGGCGCCTGGTGTCTGGTGGAGGTGGGCTCCTGGTGTCTGGTGGAGGTGGGCGCCTGGTGTCTGGTGGAGGTGGGCTCCTGGTGTCTGGTGGAGGTGGGCGCCTGGTGTCTGGTGGAGGTGGGCGCCTGGTGTCTGGTGGAGGTGGAGGTGGGCACCTGGTGGAGGTTGGCTCCCAATGTAAGGCTGGCTTGTGGGTTCAAGCTCCATGTAAGGACTTGGAGCTCTCATAGTCCAAGATGACACTCTGATACAATGCTGGGGGAGTCCTGCATATCATATGCTGGAGGCACTATCCTTCGGATGAGACATTAAACCGAATCCCCATCTGTCTGTCCAGGTGGATGTTAAAGATCCTGTGGCTCTATTTGAAAAGAGAAGGGAGTTTCTAATGGTGTGTCAATAATACCCCAAATAAAATTATGGTTCACTTCACGTTTGCTTCTGGGACATTGCTGTGCACAAATTGCTACGTTTTCCTACAAAATAAAAATTCACCCCGCTTTACAGATGAATCCTGTGGATCGCTTTGCGATGCCCTCCTGACATGAAAGATGCTTTATCAAATGCATTGTTGATTATCATATGCAAGATCTGCAAACTTTTTGATCGTCACAAATTTGATTTATCTTCGTAGATGAGCAGGGAAGGATCTTGTCATTTAGCGAAATATAGATACTTTTGTTTTGGCCGTAAATGTTATTTTATTTTGTTTTTAACCAAGAGTCACTTCGAATAAAAAAAAGAGGCTCAGTTAGGGAAAACAGAAATTTACGCATTTTTCTAGCGTTTCTGGAACTTGCATATGATAATCAACAAGTTAAATTCATATAAGCACCCTTCACTCAGGATAGCATCCCAGAGCTCTGAAGTTAACATATGTAAATAACGTTGTTTTTCCTCCTTTGTTTCAGTGTTTGTTGGCTGCCACACACATTTGTTGACAGGGGGTCAGAGCACCATCAAGGTACCCAGTTTGTTGAGGAAACAGTTTCCTGTCCGACAGTTTGCTGCTGTCAGGTAAGATTTTTCACATTTCTTAAAGTATGTTACCATATGGGATACATGCCTATAACATTTTAGATGGATTATCCACAATTCATTGTAGATATATGTAGTAAATAAATGATTTGTACTTTTTTAATTAAACATACTGGTGCAGTGCATTACATAATTATTTTTTCTGCTTTAGTGCCTGATTTTTAATCTAAGGTATACTGATGGGAATGATAGTTGTCTTTCTGCTGCATATGATAGTTTAATTTGGAATGAGTTTTGACTGTCTCCGATCATGTCATTGTAATGAGCCACTTTCTTTGCCCCTATGTAAAATTGATACTCCTCATATTCACATTCAATCTAAGGCAGTCTGTCAGTATTACTTGAGAGCAGTTTTGCTTTTTAACGTATCTGTGGATCCATCCTTTCTTATATTTACTTGTTTATAAGGAAAAGAGGAGTACTCCGGACACAGTTGTTCAAGTGCTTGCCGTCAATCAATTCTGAGAGTTTTTATCCAAGTTAACCTTACGCTCCAATTATATAAGCAGTTTTCGGCACGCATTTATAATGTTTGTGAGGTTATCCTGTAATGTATGATATTTGTTACAAGTTGATAAGTTAGCTTGATTTGTGGAATTTTAGTTTTAAAAAAAATCTTTTTAAAAAGTTTTCCATTTTCTATGCTAAATTTGCCAGTATCAAAACATAATAATTTTTACTCGTTTTTGAAATGATAGATTTGCCAAAAAACAACAAAAAAATCAAAAGGAAGAAAAAACGAAACCTAAAAAGGAAAGAGTGGTCGGCATAAAGCAAAATAATGCATATGGGGCGACATCATTGGAACCAGTCGATGATGTGTACAGAATTAAGCTTTACCCAAAGCCAGTATATGGGATTGAGACAGCAATTGACCTGCTGAAGAAGTGGCAGCGGTTAGACTTTACTTACCCCATGCAGCCTGTGTATGTTGATCTGCTGCTTGACATGAAGCTGGAAAAGAAGGTGAGGTTTACAAACTTGTGCTGTGTAATCCTGTTTTAAGCTAAATGTGTGGAATGCTTTTCCAGGATGCTTGTTTTCTTTAAAACAACTTTTTCCACCATTGTAGATGTCAGCTTGGCTCAGTTATTGACACTCTTATCTCTGGATCAGACAATTGTAGGTTCAATCCCCATGTTGAAACTTTGAGCGCATAGTCTAGGCTTAAACTCCAATGCAGTCCTGGGGCAGCACTGTAATTTTGGAGGTGCCACCTTTTGGAACAGACATCAACTGGAGGTTTTATCTGCCTGTCTTCCAAATATTTTATTTCACTGGAATTGTATTTCTTAAGATCCATCATGTGGTAGTTTGTCACTGCAGTAGGCTACTGTCATTGGGAAAAAAATTGCCAGAGTAGTCAAAATCATATTTGATGTGTAAGGATATGGCAATTGCTTCTGAGCAACATTATTTCCCTGTTTATCCCAGGAAGGTAAGCACAGTCTCTTTAAGATGATGTGCATACAATGGAAAGTTGGAATTGGATCAATCTTCTGTGATGATCTCAGTAGTCTGTATCCTGAACCAGTTGGGTCTGCAGTACTCCAGGACACTGCTGGTGGCAGACCAACTAACCTGCTTTATTGGCAAGACTTGGAGTTAGCAGACTGATCACTGGGTTTAGGGATTCTTTTCACTTAACTCCTATTAACGGCGTAAGCCAAAGCACTAACGGTGTTCCTAGATGGACAAGTTGTGAGAAACTTGCCAGATGATACTTTCAACAACAACAAGTTACATTTGTATGGCACCTTTCACATTGTGAGGATGTCCTCAGGCGCTTGCTTTCAATAGAATGCTCTGTGGTTTTAGCTCCAGTACTACCCTAACACACATACTTGCTAGGGTCCTCAAGCTTTGGCTTTCGGCAGCCTGCACCTAATACTCCCTGGAATTATGCAAGCAAAGTGGTGTCCCTCCAGGGAGAGAGCATGCATTCAATTTCCAAACACGGAAAGTTCTATTTGAAGGTAGCAGATATATGTGGAACTCTCAGTCAGGTTTGGATACGTTTAAGCACAGTGATGGGTTTCTGCAACTGTCAGACACCCAGCTGACCAAAACAAATTTTGTCAAAGATTGGCATCGTAATTTCTATTGATTTTGTATGTTTTTATTTAACTTGTTATAACATTGGTAGGTAGTAGCTTGAGGGTGTTAATGAGGTCAATGGAGTAAGGGAACTGAATTAAGAAATACTTATTAAAATAAGTATGTTTCAGCATTAACATTATATATTAAGTTCTTGTTTAAATTGAAATGGACATTAATTATTTGTAACTAAGTGGTGCTGCTGGTGAAACTCTTAACAATGTGGAATATTCTTTGATGCTCACTGTATATAACAGTGGCATTGCTACAGTATAAACAAAACAGTGTTGTTGTCTCAAGAAGGAGTTGCTGTCACCTCCCAAACTGAGTCTTCATTTTTGGGATGTGGACGATACTGGCATTTATTGTCCAATCCTGGGTGCCCTGAGATGGTAGTGCTGGGGACTTATTAAAACCCCAGCAATCCTTGTGACGATGGTGCCCTAATGGACGTTCCAGAACTTTGACCCAGCAAAGATGAAGGAACGGTAATATAAATCCAGATCAAGGTGAAATGTGACTTAGAGGCAAACTTAGAATTGCTGTTGTTCCCAAGATAACTTGCATCAAATGTCCCAACATATATGGGACATGGATCTCAGCACCATCCAGAATGCTGACTCCAGATCCATGATACTGGAATTCACATCAGCTTTGCTAGTTAGTGGAAAGCGACTTATGCTAAAGTACGTCCAGGGTCCACTTCCTGCACATTGGTAGATTTGATGTATTAAATATTGAATGAGTTGACCCAATTATGTGGGTAAAAAAGCACTAAACTCTTTCTTATTAAATAATGGTTTTAAATATTATGTGGGATGTAAATCTGAAAGTTTCAGTTATTTATTGGTAAAGAATATCTGACATGGGGAATGTGAATATCAACCCAGTATTTTTCAGATACTGATTGATCTACTTTGTATTCCTACTTTTTATTTCAGATCTGTATGTTTATCTCTGACTTGTGTATTTCTGTGTTCCTTATCCCAGAAAAAAGTGGATCAGTTTGTCGGTACTGTTCAGCTGCCTTTTCCTTTTAAGAAAACCACCAACAAGGTGGTAGTATTCACAGAGGTGAGAGGGAATTGTATGTAAATCTACTTTTTTGATAGTTTGAGCAGATCATAACAAATACAATTTGCTGTTTCCTTCAGTTAAGTTATCAATATGGATAGGATGAAAGTCTGCTATTTTGTGTTAAATATATTTTGTGTTAAAATAGTCACAGTCCCTATTAATGACTTCTATAAAAGAGTATAGAGAGAGGAATGTCAGCTAGAATTTAGTTTATGTATTTTTGTAAGGGTGTGAAATACTTTTATTTTCTCCCTGCGTAATGCATTATACATTGTTATAACAACCTGGCTCAGTGGTAGCACTCTTGCTCTGGGTCAGAAGGTTGTAGGTTCAAGCCCCATGTCGGGACTTGGAATCACATAGTCTAAGCTGACACTCGAATGCAGTGCTCTCCTTCACTGGCACTGTTCCTGCACCCCTAAAACAACCTCCAAGAATCTTCTGTGGACCCATCCCTGTTCTCCAACTAACGCACCATCTCCAACCTCCCTTTCCAAGATCTTGGAGCAAGTTATTGCTTCCCAGCTTCGCTCTTTACTCTCCTGCCACTACCTCTATGAACCCTTCCAGTCAGGTTCGTGCTGCTCACAGCACAGAAACAGCCTTGGTCAAAGTGACAAGTACTTGGTTCATCTGTGACCTGGGCTCTCTCAGTCTCCTCGTCCTCCTTGACCGTTTGCTGCCTTTGCCACTGTTGACCATTCTATCCTCCTCCACTGCCTCTCCTCTCACATCAATCTTCATGACTCTGTCCTTGACTGGTTCAGATCCTACCTTTCAAACCATCTCTACTTTGTGTAAACAAACATCTCTCCTCTAGCCCCCGCACTGTCTTGTGCGGAGTTTTTCAGGGCTCTGTCCTTGGTCCTCTCCTCTTAACGTCTATTTGCTGCCTCTTGGTGACATAATCTGCAGACATGGGGTCAACTTCCACATGTATGCGGATAACACCCAACTCTATCTCTCTGCCTCCACCCTCGACTCTCGGACCATTGCTGTCCTGACAGAGTGTCAGACATCAAGTCCTGGATGAGAGCTAACTTTCTATAGTTGAACATCAACAAGACCGAGGCTCTCCTGATTGGGTCCCGTCAGCACCTCCTCACCTCAGGCACTGACAGCCTCACCATCCATGGATGCACACTCCACCTTACTAAGCCAGTCCAGAACCTTGGCGTCTTGTTTGAGTCTCAACTGTTCATTCTACCTCACATCCGCGCCATGACCCGCTCTGCCTCCCGCCACCTGCGCAACATCACCCCGGCTCCGCCACTGTTTCGCCCCTCAGGCCGCCGAGACCCTCATCCATGCATTCGTTACATGTAGACTTGATTACCCCAACTTGTCGGCTTTCCCAACTCTTCCCTCCACATGCTGCATATCATTCAGAACTCCACAACTCGTGTTGTCTCCAGCACCAGACTCTGTGAGCCTACCCCCCCAGCTCCACTGGCTCCCCATTCCCCCAGAGGATAGAGATCAAAATCCTCATCCTCGCCTTCAAAGCCCTCCACGGCTTTGCTCCTTCCTACTTCTGTAATCTGCTAATGCCATATTGACCTGTCCACTCCTTCCGCTCAGCAGGCTCCTTCGGCAACCCTACCCTCCCTGCCCTCCACCTTTCCTGATCCCAACCTCCTGCTCAGGTACAAATCCCTGACTGTCCAACCCCTTGGGATGTCCTCTCTATGTGAAAGCACCATACACATATAATTTGTTGTTGTGCTGGGGTGTGTTGCATTGTTGGAGGTGTTGTCCTTTGGATGAGACGTTAAATCAAGGTATCATCTGCCTCCTGGTGGACATTAAAGATCCCACGGTACTATTTGAAAATAACTTTTTCCTGGTGTGCTGGCCATCAATTCCCCCAATAAAATTGGTTACTCATTCCATGTCTGCCTGGGAACCAACTGCCGCTTTTCGCTCACAAAATACAGTGAATCCACTTTACAGTATATCCTGTTGAGAAGTCTCAACAACGTGATAAGGCATTATATCAGGTACAATTTAATTTGATTTTATTATTGCAGAATCCAGAACAAGCAGCTGCAGCTCAGGAACATGGAGCAGCTTTTGTGGGAGGAACCGAGCTTATTGATAAAGTATGTATATACATTTAGTAAATGTGTGTTTTGTGCAATTGAATACTCACCTACAAGTACACAGTCACTGCATTTTACAGTAAATCTTGTGAAACGCTTTGAGATGCCTTCCAGACCTGAAAAGCGCTTTAACATATGCAAGATTTATTATTATTTATGATAACAATTTTAAAGCACTGAAGGAGGCTATTTGACCTCATTTTGCCATGCTAGATCTATCAAGTCTAATTCAAGAGTTAGTCTAATCTTCTCCAATCTTAGTCAACTATGGACTTGCGTTAATACTGGAAACAAAGTACACCTGGCTTACCGTGCTGACCAGGTGGCTTTCCACATAAAAAAACTCCCAACTTCTGGGTGTCAAATGGACGCTGATGACACTTTCTTTTTTAAAGCAGTACATTACTGATTGGTAATTAAGAATCACAGTACTTATTAAAATATATGTTTTGGTAGTTGAGAGGAACCAGTGCGGTAGCAGATTGAAGGGAATCTTGTAATGCTGTGGAAAGGTAGTAAAACCCACTCTTGTAATATATCTTACATTATTACTGCTTTATTTTGCCATTGTGTCCTTACACACAGCCTGTTTACTTTGCAGATCTTAGAGAATGAAATTGAAGCAGATTTCTATGTGACTGTTCCAAGCATGGTAACGAAACTGTTGCCTCTTAAGAACAAACTAAGGAAAAAGTTTCCTAAAAGTAAAAGAGGTAGGAAAATACTGGCTATCATACACAAAGCAATTTTCTACACCGTTTCATGTAAGTGAATATCAGATTGTCTGACAGTGTTTTTGTTTGCTCAACTGACTGTCATGCATTCAGAAATCCAACATTGTATTTAAGATGATCAAAACAGACTGAGAGCTCCACATATGCATGCCACCTGCACATAGAATTTTTTGTGAATGGAAAAGCAATCATTTGTAACTTTCTATATCACTATTAGATTAACATTGGGATTAAAAACTCTCCTCGAGGAAGCTGTATTGTTTACCACCCCCTTGTCCCATGGAAACAGTTCTTCGCAACTTTAAGTGTATTTTTTGCAGTAAAGCTCTGCATGACTTTGGTTCCAACTCAAGATCTCCTCGGAGCCTAACTCCTTCGCGACTTAACCACAAAAAACAGTTTGCTTTGTGAGGAACTTTATCCGGCAGCAAGATGTCTGTAGCATTCCCGCTTTTCTGAGGAATGCTACTGATTTGATAGATTTGTACATTATGTTTGAATAATTTACACAATAATTAATGAAAACCACCATGGTTTTCGTCATAAAACCATCATTATTCCTGAACGTTAATCAAAAATATTGGTCTCATACCATCTGTTGGTCCAGAAGGAAATATATAAATCTGGGAATACAAATTTCATGCTAATGCTGACGTACCTGATTTTTGCCACTGGATGGGGCTATAGTAAATCTCTATCTTGAATTGTGTGTTATACTTGAAGTAACTGGATTGCACTTTGCCTCTGGCCTGATATATGGACTGTATGCAGATAGGATTAAAATTTGGTTGACAAAAGTAGTTTAATAATGGCATACATGATGCGTGGAGTCCTGTAGCTCAGTGGTTAGACCACTCGCCTTGCAAGCGAGAGACCTGGGTTCGAATCCCGGCAGGGCGAAACCTTGGGCAAGTTTCCTTACTCCATACACCTGATAATAATGCTTAAAAAGAATAATAAAATTGGTCACTTCAATCCACGACTGTACTTGGGACACTGCTGTGTGCAATTGGCTGCTGTGTTTCGCCCACAAATATACAGTCAATTCTCTTTACAGTCTATTCTGTGAAGTACTTTGAGACATCTGGAAGACGTGAAAAAGCGCTATATGAAATGCAAGGATTATTATGCAAATGTACATTACAGTTTTCAAAACAGGATGCTTCTTTAATAAGACTCCTTTTATCCTGTTAATTGATGCCATTGATTTATGTGCAATCAATTGGGGGAGATAGATGGAATTTAGTTGTAATTGGGAACGAGACAGTCAGGAGGACAGACACACTTCTCTGCAGCCGCAACCAGGAGACATGAAGCTCTGTTGCCTTCCTGGAGCCAGGGTGAAGGATGTCTCTTCGGGGCTGGAGAAGAATTTGAGGCAGGAGGGGAAGGATCCAATTGTGGTAATTCACATAGGTACCAACGATATAGGTAGGACTAGTAAGGACGACTTGAGGAGGGAGTTCAAGGAATTGGGAATGAAATTAAAAAGTAGAACTTCCAAGGTAATAATATCGGGATTACTGCCTGAGCCATGTGCAAATTGGTACAGGCACAAACATATTAAAGAATTAAATGCGTGGCTGAAAGAGTGATGCGGAGGGCAGGGGTTTCATTTTAAGGGCCACTGGCACCAGTATTGGGGGAAAAGGGAGCTATTCCATAGAGATGGGCTCCACCTAAACCGGGCTGGGACCAATGTCCTGGCAAAACGAATAAATAGGGAGGTCGGCAGAGCTTTAAACTATTAAGGGGGGGAGGGAAGGTTACAGTTACAGTTAGAAGTAAACCAGCAAAACTAAGAACGATGACGGTGGTAGAGCAGATTAGAGAGTGTGTCAAGGAGGGCCAAGAAACTCAGCAAACAAAAACAACAAACAACAAAATTACATTTATGGAGCGCCTTTCACGTCGGGAGGACATCCCGAGGCGCTGGAAAGAAAGTAGGGCATTAGCGAGTAGGGGAAATAGCAAGAAGTCAAAGTTAAAGGCGCTATATCTGAACACACAAGGCATTCGTAATAAGATAGACAAATTAATGGCACAAATAGAAACAAACGGGTATGATCTAGTAGCCATTACTGAGACGTGGTTACAGGGGGATCAAAGGTGGGAGCTAAATATTCCGGGGTATTCGGAATACAGGAAAGATAGGCAATATGGAAAACGGGGTGGGGGTTGGGGGGTAGCCCTGCTAATAAAGGATGGGATAAAAACAGTAGAGAGGAAGGATTTTAAATCAGAAAATCAGGATGTATGGGTGGAATTACGAAATAACAGAATAGCAGAAAGCATTAGTGGAAGTAGTTTATAGACCCCCGAACAACAGTCACTGTATTGCGAGGGGTATTAACCAGGTAATTAGAGAAACATGTAGCAAAGGAAATGCACTAATAGTGGGTGATTTTAATCTTCATATAGATTGGGAAAAACCAAATTGGTAAAAGTAAGTTAGAGGAGGAGTTTATACAATGCATTAGAATTAGTTTTCTAGATCAATATGCTGAGGAACCAACCAGGGGACAGGCTATCCTAGATCTTGTTTTATGTAATGAAATAGGGCTAATCAGCAATCTGGAAATTAAGGCTCCTCTAGGGCAGAGTGACCATAACATGATGGAATTTAGCATTAAGTTAGAGAGTGATGTAGTTAAGACCAAAGCAAGGGTCGTAAATTTAAATAGTCCCAACTTTGCAGGTATGAGAGAGGATTTAGCTAAAATAGACTGGGGAATTAGATTAAAGGACCATAACATGATTAGGCTGAGTCAACATGGCTTTACAAAAGGGAAGTCATGCTTACCAAATCTTTTAGAGTTCTTCGAGAATGTATCCAATAGATGTAGTGTATTTAGATTTTTAGAAGGCATTCAAAAAGGTACCACATAAAAGGCTGCTACACAAGATTAGGGCCCATGGAATTACAGGCAATATATTAGCATGGATTGAAGAGTGGCTAACGGGAAGAAAACAGAGAGTAGGGATAAACGGCTCCTTCTCAGATTGTCAGGATGTGAGTAGTGGAGAGCCACAAGGATCAGTGCTTGGTCCTCAACTATTTACAATCTATATCAATGATGTAGACGAGGACATAGAACTTAAAATATCTAAAATATTTTATAAAATATAAATATAAAATATAAAATATAAAATATCTAAAAAATTAAAATATCTAAAATCTACATCTAAGCTAGGTGGGAGATTAAGCTCTGAGGATGACACAAAAAGATTGCAAATGGATTTAGATAGGCTCGGTGAGTGGGCAAGAAGGTGGCAGATGAAATATAATGTGGGGAAGTGTGAAGTTATTCACCTAGGTAGTAAAACAGAAAAGCAGATTATTTTCTAGAGGGGGAGAGACTAGATAGTGTTAAGAGGAATATGGGTGTCGTTGTACACCAGTCACAAAAAGTTAGTATGCAGGTACAGCAAGCAACTAGGAAGGCTAATAGCATAAAACCCTTTATTGCTAAAGGGTTAGAATACAAGAGTAGGGAAGTCTTGCTGCAACTGTATAGGGCCTTGGTGAGACCGCACTTAGGGTATTGTGTGCAGTTTTGGTCTCCTTATTTAAGAAAGGACTTATTCGCTTTTGAGGGGGTACAGCGTAGATTCACTGGATTAGTTCCTGGGATGAGGGGGTTGACCTATGAGGATAGGTTGAGTAAACTAGGCCTATATTCTCTAGAATATAGAAGAATTAGGGATGATCTTACAGAAACATATAAGATTTTTATGGGGCTTGACAGTGTAGACAGTGTGAGACTGTTTCCCCTGGTAGGAGAATCTAGTACTAGGGGTCACAGTTTTAAGATTAAGGGACAGCCTTTTCAAACAGAGTTGAAGAAATACTCCTTCACTCAGCGGGTAGTGAATTTATGGAATTCTCTACCCCAGAAGGCTGTAGATGCTCAGTCCTTGAACATATTGAAGACTGAGATTGATAGATTTCTAAAGGATAGAGGGATTAAGGAATATGGGGATAGGGCAGGCAGATGGAGTTAGGTGAGAAGATCAGCCATGATCTTATTGAATGGCGGGGCAGGCTCGAGGGGCCGAATGGCCTACTCCTGCTCCTAATTCCTATGTTCCTAAAAAATAAAAATCCTTCTATTTGATTTACTACTTCATTAGTGTTTCGCCCACAACATATACAGTCAGTTCACTTTACAGTATATTCTGTGAAGCTCTTTGAGACATCTCAAAGATGTGATAAGACACTCTATCAAATACAAGGATTATTATTATAACGAGTGTGTATTGTGTAGGCAAACATGGCAGCCAATTTGCACACAGCAATGTCCCACAAACGATTATGAAGTGAATGACCAACTTTACTTGGGGAATTGTTAACTAGGATACCGGGAAAAACTGCCATCTCATTTCAAATGAAATCTCATTTCAAAAAAATGCCACAGGACCTTTAAAATCTAACTTTTGCAGGCAGACCTCAGTTAGTGTACCAACAAAGATATATTAGCTGCTGAGACCTGAACTTCTTGATTCTCTGTTTGCCTCTTTATTCGTCCCTTTTTCTTGTCCTGTCCTTTTGTTCTTTTTCTTGCTGAATTTTAATCTCACTTTGCAGACACTCTTACTGCAGTTTAAAATAATTTAAATGGAAAATAAGTAATTTTAAAGGCATGTATTTTGAATAGAAACAATTCTGAATCAATTTTATTTGCCTTCAGCGTTTCTACTCCAAACCATTGCTTGCCACTCTAAAACTCTGAGCTTTTAAAAAAAATCATTTTCAAACTCTACATTCCATTACTGCAAACAAGGCATTAAAAGAGTTTTAAAATTACAAGCCTTTAAATGTACAACTAGTCATAAACAAGTTCAAATCAGTTTTATGTGCTCTCAGCCATCTACTTCGAATCATTGTTCACTGCTATAAATGTTTCACCACAGATGACAGCCAGAGTAGTTCAGTTCAGGCCCCTCCTGCTCCAACTCAGTCAGACTGACTTGATGTTGCTCTTTCCTCTCCCCCCACCTTTAAAGAATGAAATAAATGAAATAAAAGGAATAAAGACAGACTATGAAAGAGAAGACAGATGAGTGATTTAAGGGTAAAATTGTAGGGATATAAGAAGGAAGAATGATTTTGTGCAGAAGACATTTTAGTGAAGTGTAAGCACATAAGACCTAAACCTTTTGCCTGACATAGTCATTCTAATAAGCAATGGTACTGTGTCTGATCCAGTAACAGTGGCTTACAGTAGAAAACAAACTAGTGTAGAATGGGAGAGTGAAGGGAAGCAAAATCTTTTTGTGCAGTCTGGTGCAACTTGGATCAGTTGTTCTTTACTAAATCTATTTATGTTTTACTTCCTGTCAGTGTTTTTGTCTGTTCTGCCCACAGACCAGTTAATGCCCAAAATACAGTGAACTAAATAATGAAATGGACCGAACTAACTAATGAAAACACTGGGGGCTAAATTGCGATTATTTCTAATAAGATTCTTTAATAATGACTCTGAGTTGCAAATGGGGACACCTTCCAGAAACAAGATTCAGGCACCATGTCAGGCCCCAAATGACACTCAAGTACAGTGCTGAGGGACCTCTGCATTACTGGAAGGGTCGTCCTTCAGATTAAACTAAGGTCCTTCTGACTATTCCTGCTGTCCTGGACAACAGTTCCCCCAGATATTGATCAGCCTCTCTGTCTATAATAAATAAATAATAATAATTTGGTCACTCAATCCACGACTGTTTGTGGGACACTACTATGCGCAATTGGCTGCCGCTTTTCACCCACAAAATACACAATCAGTCCACTTCACAGTATATTCTGTGAGATGCCTCGAGACGTCTTGCAGACATGATAAAACGCTATATCAAATGTAAAGATTATTATTGTTATCACTCACTCATTGGCTGTTTGTGGGATATTGAGACGTCTAGAAGATGCTTTGAGACATCTAGAAGACGTGAAACTATATAAAAATAGCAAGGATTATTATTATTGCTGTGCGCAACTTGGATACTTCGTTCACCTACACCTACACAGTCACTGCACACTTCACAGTAAAACCTTGTGAAGCACTTTGACAGCATGATAACGTGCTATATCAAATGCATCTAATTATTAATATTATGATATTTTTCTGCTTGGAATTCCCTTTTTGCAACTATGAGTCTTTCTTAAAGAATTCAGTTAGCAATCACTGCTTTTTAGACCCCAATGGATTTTATTATTGTAGTATATGATATGTTGTTTGCTTAAGCAGGTATTGTGAAATTATTCTCTTGAACAAGGACACTTAGTGAATCACTTTGGATTAGAAACTCTACAGGAACAACCCACGACAAATATCTAATGTACTTACATATTAGCCTTCAAAGAAAACAAAAAAAAACTACTGCCTTCATCTGTATATCTGTATTGCGCTAATGTATCTCTTCAGTGAATCATTTGTTATTTACACTTACTTTTGTAACTCCATCTCATAAATTCTGTGTGAATTCTTGTTTTATATATTTCATACTTTTAATTCCCAGGCTCTGTTGGACTTAATATTCTTCAAATGCTCGAAACCTTTAAGACTGGTCATGAGTACATCACGGAGCGGGATTGCTGTATTCTAACTAAAGTCGGAACAGTAAGTTCAGCTGGAACATTAAAGATTACTTTGATCTTCAAAATTGCTGTTTAAAGAGCAAATCTTTGCGAAAAAGTGGACTGATGAATGCAAAAGCTTATATGTCTGTTAAATATCCATTATTGCAATTACACACAATTTGATACACTATAGGTTGCACGCACAGGCTTATGCAAGGTGTTGACTTGAACCAAACAATATGCCAGATGTTGTTATATGTTATATGTTGTTCTTTTTGTTTTTGATGAAGAACTTCAGTTCAAAACTGAACCAAATATTAATCTTTGCATTATGGAGACCTACGGCTAAGTGGTTAGAGCACTTGCTTTGCAAGTGAGATGACCTGGGTTCGATTCCTGGCCAGGGCAAAACGTTGGGCAGGTTTCTTTACTCCACACACCTGTTTACCTAGCAATACGTGGGAACCCAGGTGTTTGTCGATTGGCGGATCACTTTTCTGGGGATAATATATCCCTTAAAAAATGCGGTTACTCAATCCATGACTGTGGGACACTGCTGTGCGCAATTTGCTGCTGCGTTCCGCCCACAAAATGTACAGTCAAATCACTTTATACTATATTCTGTGAAACACTTTAAGACATCTCGAAGACACGATAAGGCGCTACATCAAATGAAAGGATTATTATTATTAAGATGTTATTGTTAAGTCTGCAGTGACTGTGTAATTGTCGGTGAACACGGCAGCCAATTTGTCCCACAAGCACCATTTAGTGAATGAACAATTTTATCTGTTGTTGGGCAGGACACCGGGAGAAACTCCCTTCTCTTTTCAATTAGATACCTGAATGCAATTTACAATATAGCAAAAAAAATCAAAATCTATGCACACTGTTTTTGTCCTTTTATTGTTAATGCAGTTTGACTTTTCAATTTGTTTGTGTTATATTGTATTCATGTAAAATACACTACAATCTGATCATTGGCTGCCCTTTACTCGATGGCTGTGACAGACATACACACACTGATTCAGAGTTTCCCCAAAACGACAGAAGCATACACAGGGTAGCTAATTCATTGCATTGATAGTTTCAAAATTTTTTGACACTTACTGTGAAATTATACTAGGTTCCTGTATCAGAAGAGCTGCAACGTTACACTATAAGTGTTGGATTTGAAGAACACACTATAGGATCAAACATCTGATTAACACATGCTCTGTATTGGTAAACAGGTTTTTAATGCTACTGTCGGCTAAAGCTATTGGCCACGTTGATGATGATTTTCTGGGTAACAATACCTGTCAGTAACATAGTGTGTTTGCAGAAAATGTTATCAAGAAAGGGTAATTTAATAAACTACTTTCACAGTAATGAGTGAACCAGATGCTGTTTTGTCACATATCAATTAGTGAACACCAGAGTTGGAACATCAGACATTTAATGGGTCCATTCGTTGACTTGCACAAAATTGATGATCTGGAAGGTGTTGTTTCTTAGCACTTTGAAGGTGGATGGCAGCCTCACAGGGTGGAGTGGGGGTTTTATGAAGATGCTGGTTGTGCTTTTTGCTGCTTGTTTTTGTTGGATGCTGTACATCCAACAAAAACTATACTATCACTGGGTGCTATTGCAAAGAAAGAGTTCAGAAAGATGAAAAGGACACTCCTGCATGGGTAATGAATGTTAGGAAGTTAAATATCTATGGAGATATTCAACCAAATATCCATGATATTACTTCAACTGCTCAGTTATCCTGCCTTTGAAAGAATTAAAGTTAGTGTTGTTGTTACCAGACTGTTATTAACAATGGCTTTAGCTTGGTGTTGAAAAGGTGCTTGGTGTTGAATGGTTGAAAAGCTAAGATTTTATCCTTAAATGCAAAACACTTTGCTCAGTACAATTTTTTTAATAGCAAGAACTACATTTATTAGATGACATCAAATTTTCTTTGAACAAAAGGTAAAATCAATGCACGAATTCAAAGCTGAATATGAGAAAATGTTTCATCATCTGCTTATTACTAAGAACACGTTCTGTTCCACCAGAACTTTTGTTCTTTTTATAACCCTGAGAGATGCAGCAGATTTAGATTGTGGTATTGGTTGCTGGGTTACTTTTTCAACATCTGATTACTTTGACCCAACATTTAGATCAATTCTGACTATTTATATTTTTTGTCTTCGTTGGTGAAGCTGATCCACTTTGTGAATGAATGTCTTCTGTAGACTTATGCATCAGATCAGTTTAACTGGAATTGTAAATAGTTCAATATTTGTGGTTTCGAGTAGAATGAATTTGGGAAAAGGCAAGATTATCTGGAGCATACCAATATAGATGAACCTTCACAACATTTTATGTTCAACTGTAGTGAGGGACTCAATGTATGGGAAAATTTACAAGTTCTCCATTTGAACCATTATTTTGAATTCTTGTGCATATTGAGGGATGCATGCTAATAGCAAGAGTGGTTTTAGATGCTGCAAAACCGTACCTCGAGAGGCACTTTTGCAGATTGGTTTACATGGGGTTGATCAATTAAATTTTAAGATTTGCTGTAGAAACAAGGATTTCAATCAATGTCCATAAAGAGTTAAGAGTTCCTCTTTACTCTTGGCTCACATTTACAGGCGCTAATGAAGGCTGGAGGTAATCTGTTCCTTCATAACAGCTCAGAGTGTAATAAATGGCTGGGGTTGGATTTCTCTATGATATGACTGCGGGTTTACAGAATGACCCACTTTTCATTTGGAGTGATTAATTATTCTTCGGTGGAACAAACATGAAAGCTGTTCTGTGACTGGCGACATTTTGTTCTTCAAATAGCAGTTTGATTTTTTAACGGCTTCAGGTTACACAGTTTAAATTTTAAATCTTTATCCATCCCACACATCACTCTGCTGCCCAAATAATTAATCTTACTGTTCTTTTAGTAGAGTAAGATATATAACAACTTTTGACCATTCAAAATTATATAAAAGCAACAGTATAAAGAGCTTTTGTTCTTGAAGTTAATATATACAGTAATCCATTTGGTGACTGAATTGGCACCAGTTATCATTGTGAATTTTGCATTGAGGGAACAGGTTTCTTAGCCACTCTTCGTAATTCCTGAAATGTATCATGTTCTTAATCTTGAGATAATTTCTTAAAGTCCTGTAGATTAGTGATTAGAGCACTTGCCTCACAAGCGTGAGGACCTGGGTTCGAGTCCCGGCCAGGGTGAAACGTTGGGCATGTTTCGTTACTTCACTCGCCTCTGTTTACCAGCAGTAAGTAGGAACCCGGTTGTTAGTTGATCGGCAGATTACCATTCTGGGGGTAATAATCTCTTCAAAAATAAACAAATAAATAATTTGGTCACTTAATCCATGGCTGTATGTGGGATGCTGCTGTGCACAGTTGTATGCCGCATTTCGCCCACAAAACATATAGTCAATATATAACATACAGATGTGATAAGGTGCTATATCAAATGCAAGCAATATTATTATTAAAATTTAAAATTGTGCAGCATTTTGGAAAATTCTTCAATTCATTCTAGATTTGTAAATCAATTTTCTTTAGGTCTTAAAACAAATGACCACTTTGGTGAGTTACCAGAAGACTGCCAGCACATGTAAAACCATACCCCAGCTAGTTAGCATATTCAGGAAACAAGGAGAGAAGAAAACTGGCATACAGTATTTATTATTTTTAGAAACACACGAACAGTGTTGCTGGGAAAGGGAAATATGCTCTTTGTAAGGCAGTCAGCCAGGGCTGAAGGATAATGATCTGGAAAGTATAAATAATCTAGTGTTTATGAAGAACATTTTTGTTCAAAACATTAATTGGGTCATGTAGAGTCTATGATAGTGCAGACTAGACTTTGTGGAAGAGAAGTCAGTGGACCAAAAGCCATTTAAGACCCTTATAAAAACTATAAAAACCTATATTCAGGCTCTCACCCACTTGGTTTTTCCTCAAATCTCTAACATTGGCCAACTCTGTTACTACCTGTTTACTACCTCCTCTCTCTCATACCATCCTACTGAGACCCTCACCCACAATCTTATCAAATCCAGGCTTGATTATTCTTAACAACCTGCTCACTGGACTCCCCTGCTCCACTCTACTCAATCTATAGATCATTCAGCCATGACCTCTTCTGCACCAGACTCCGTGCACTCATCACTCCCATCATTGTTCTGCTCCATTGGCTCTCCATCTCCCAGCAGATCGGATTCAAGTTTGTTGTCCTCAGTTTCAAATACCTCCAAAGCCTTGTCCTTCCCAACCTGTATCTGCGACCCTACCGCTCCATCCATGTTCTTAATTTCGCCCACAAATATACAGTCAATTTACTTTACATTCTATTCTGTGAAGAGCTGAGAGATGTCTAGAAGACGTAAAAAGCGCTATATCAAATGCAAGGATTATTATTAATTTTGAGACCATTTCTTAAAGTCCTGTAGCTTACTTGTTAGAGCCTTCCAACACTGCTGTTTCATGTCCCCTGCCCATTCAGCCCCACCATTGATGGGTGAGTTTTGACCTGCTCTCCATCCCAGAGTTCCTCCGCCTGATCCCTTCCCTCCCCAGCCCATCTTAAGATCTATGTTCTACTCGCATTTTCACATCTTCTCCCATTCCCCCACCCCTACCCCCATACCTTAGGAATCCAGCTCTTTGAAGAAGTTTGAGATGTCCTCTCAAAGTGAAAGGCAGCTATTTAAATTATAATTTCTTATTTTATGCTCCTTGTTTTTTCTCTCTTCTTTTGAACGTGCAGAATAAACATTGCTTTTGTTTCATCATAAAATGTTGCTATAAACCACAAATAGTTCATTTAGTCCAAACTCAGTATAAGTGTAGCACTACATTTTTCAATTCAATTCATAGAATTATATTTTAAGCTATATCCCCAAATCATTTAGATAAAAAATAATTTCTCTGTGAGTTTCACACAATTGGTGGAATAATAGCATACTGATAAGGTTTTCCACAAAGGTTTGATTAGTATTTCAGTAATCAATGTCATTTGGATGGACTATAATGTGAGTGGGGGCCATTGAAGACAACGGGATTCTGAACCACGTACCTTGACTTATGATGCCTGTTTCCTTTCTTAGTTACTGTAGCAACAGTAATGTTTGATTAGTAGGAAGTCCTCTCTAGCTGCAGTAACAAAACAGTATGCCGGAGCTGCTTCAACTTCTCGACATGAATTAAAACACGTTGTTTTATTCATATGAAAGCCAGAAGCTTGATAGAATGGAGAGAGGAGTGCTTTGCTTTGCTATATTTGGGACTGTTGTCTGGCTGATTGTGGGATTGTATCTTATCGTGTGCTTCTTACTTCTGTACTCAATTTGTTGCAAAGCAAACAGTGAAGTTCAGCAAATTGAAAACCAGCCTCTGTCACCTGTTGAATGTTTAGAAAGTGTGTGACATGGACTAAGTGTATATACCTCAGTATATACCTGTATTTTTAATTGGACGTAGTGGCACTGTAAGTATCAAGAACGATAAGTACTGATTTACGACTCTAGTAGGACACGAACGGTAAAAGTCTGAATGCCACTGCACCACCTTATCAATTTGGGATTGCCAATTGGACCCATGGTATTCAAGAGACCAATCTCAATGCCGTAAGTGTTTATATGGTAACGGACAAGGATATTTTACAAATGTCAAAAAAATGTTTTTTGTGAGCACTATTGTAATGATTTTGACAATGAATTGAGAATGTGACTATTTGGAATTGTCTTATGAGTCCTTAGTGCTCTTCAAAGATTACATTTAACCTTGTAGAAATTTGTATGATCTCTGTGGTAAATTAATTTAAAATGTGTACTTACAGTGGGTTTAACTTCAGTATAGTTCTCTTCGATGAGTCAGTTGGCAAACAAACTGTACTTGGGAAATATGGCAGTATAGTATTTGCATTCTGTTGGTAATTTATTGTTCCAAAGCATTTTTACTGCTACTTGAGATTGTGTTCCATTTAAGGGTATTGGATAGTTTAAATAGCACAAAAGATTTGTCAAACTTTCCCCAAATTAGAATTGATTGTTATAAAATTTATTTTAAGGATAAATATTTATAACCCTTGCAAATGCAAGAATTATAAATATTTATCTTTTGTGCTCCTGAAGAATCTGAAAGACAAAGCCATCTCGGATAACTACTTCAACTCCCTTAACTCCTCAATCCCTCTCCTGACTGCCAACCAACCCACCTCCATCTCCTACCACTCCTGGAAAAAAATCTACCCTCTCCCTCCACTGCCCTCGAGTCATCTGAACGCCTGCCCCTCTGGGCTTCCTTGGGCAGATAAGTGCCTGAGGACTTATCATACTCAGGTAACTGAAAGTAACTCATGAACGATAGGAGATACCTGAAAACAAATATGCCCATGTCACTCCTAGATGCAGAACCTTTCCGATGAGGTATAAATTATGTCTCTATGTCAATCGGTTATTGAGATCCTTTTTGAAGTGCAGACAGAATAAAACATTGTCGTTTTATTAGTATAGAAGATAGAAAAAGAAGATTATTGCTTAATTAAATTTACAGCTTTCCGTCAATGGTAACATTTTGGACTGGTTCATATAGTATGCTTATTGCTGCCATGTCGTAAAATTACGGTTGGAGTTTTCTCATTCATCTCCATTGAATGATTGTTATTTTTTTGATATGTGGCTTTAGACATCTAAATCCATGTGATTCCATTTGCAAATTATAATAATGGGATGCAGAAGCATGTTTGTATGCGAAAGATGCTGCTCAACTGAACATTTTATTTTCAGCTTATTGTGGAGATTCAAGTCTCTGAGTGAAAAGAATGATTGAGGTTGTAGACTTGAGGTATTTGCATTAAGATATTCTGGTCTTCTTAGTGCTGATAAAGTGCTATTTTTTAAAAAGAAAATAGGTTGTGAATTTATAGTATTGTAAATTATAGTCACATATGCGCTAAAGAATATTTGTTTTGTTTGTCTGATTTTTGTTAGCAACAGAGAGTAAGAGAGCATTGTAAAAAAAACTTATAGTTACCTGAAAAGAGCAGACTACAGAATCTGTGTGTGTGTGTGTGTGTGTGCGCGGGGAAGGGTGTGGTTGTGGGAAGTAGGGGTAACTAATCAAAGTCATGCAGCAGACTCCTTGGTAGAGCTGTGGGCATTTAATGCAGAAAGTTAGAATTCTATCTGATTTTTGTCCTGTCTTTTTGATGCATGTTCCGTTCTTTCAGGTGGATATGCCAAGGGAACACATTGTTGCTAACATTGCCGCAATCATCACTGATGTTTGCACGTACAGGCCAGTGAGTTTTGGTGAGTTATAGAGTTCTATTTAAAATCAGTATTCTGAGTGTAATGTTAGAAAGATGGATAAAATACTGTATGTTTAACTTTATGCTTAAAATATTTAATAGCAGAAGTTAGGTTCATTTTGTTTCCAGGGGAAAACATGTTTGTGTGACCGGGAGGTGCAGGAAAGGTGGGTAGACATATATAATAGTTTCTGTTTGGTTGGTACGGAGAGTGCCTCCAAATTCATTCTGGTTTCTGTGGCGTGAAACATTTTTGCTGTCAAAATGTATTATTTTTAAGTAATCTGACCAGGCTGAAGTAATATATAAATATTTTGAAACAGTATTGTATGGATTTATTGGTGCTTTAACAACCATTAAGGTGGCTCAGAGAACCATAAATCAAATTGTGAGGTTCAAAACAAAGATAACTCGCCAGCACTTATCACATCATAAACCATTGTGTGATTTCTGCATCTGGTCAAAGGATTTCATAAACCAGCTAAGGGCACTGGCACGGAATAATAAATACATCTTTAGTGACTTTTAACATGAAAATTTAAATGTTTTTTGATTTCAGAAATATGTTCATATCACAATGTTTTTTTAAAGCAACACAGTCCATCAATATTATGTTGATGAAGTGTAATCGCAATGCTGGTACCTACCAACATTGTAATTTCTAAGTCAGTATCCCTGACTACTGAAGGCCAGTAATGATGGTGAGGCTGCTTGATGCAATAGGATAGTGGGCCTGCAGGAGTGTACAAGCAGAATGTTTTTTTTTAAAAATTTGTTATGGATCCGATCCGGCTAAGTCTGATTTCCGGATACCCGGAGTCCATCCAGTAAGCTGGGAGTTTACTATACTAGTTTTACCTTTGTAGTCCTAATGTAATATTGTGATTCTTTTCACCTGTTAACCAAAGTTAAACGTTGGTTGTTATTATTTTCAGGACCATTTGTTGAACGAGCCATTATTTGTAGTGCAACTAGCGAGTCTTTGCTGTTCAAAGTGGAGCCCTTCCTTCCTCAAGTAATGGAAGAGGAGAAGGAAGAGCAAGATGTCAATCACTAACTCCCACGTTTTGTACCGATGTGTTGCCTGTCTGTTGATCTCTATATGGCATGTTACGATGATGCAATAAACCCTGGATTGTATGACATGATGAAAAGAAACAAGTTATTAAGTGTATCATTTCTACTAAAAAAGGGGCATAAGGGAAATTGTACTAGAAAAGTAAACAACTAAAATGTGTTTCCCCATTGTTTACTTAAAAGAGCTATTTACCCAACAGATATAATCTCCAAATAAATCATAGTGCTTACTTAAAAGAATGGATAATGACAACATATTTCTCAACTTTGGAGTTTGGACATCGAGTATTTTTAACAGGTTTTTTGCGAATGACAGGATAATGCTCTTATATATCATACCATATAGCATATCATATCTTGTAAATTCTCCTATGAAATAATTACCATTAAAGCCACAAAATGAAACAGAAGTTGCACATGCACATTGGATGGATCACATTGTTTGTTGGAGCAACAGCATTAGGAAGCAGACTCTTAACCAGTCTAGTGATATAATAAACCAATCTCCTTCAGTTATCAGATGATCATTTCTATAGGCAACAACTAAGGTGCTAATTGGTTGCTTGAATGGCCAACCTCAGCAAAGGTGATGCACATATACTCAATGGAATTTTTACCCAATTGTCAACCATTCAGGCTCTGCATCCCCATGACCCCAGTTCTTGCCGAGTTCCACTGGCTCCCTGTTGCAGAACTGAACAATTTCAAGATCCTCACTTTTAAATCTCTTAGTGGCCTGGCACCTCTCTACCTCGCCGATCTGTTCACATTATACTTCAATAACCACCACTTCGCTCAGCTGGCACAGGTCTGCCCTTGTCCCCTCCGCTCCACAATTGGTGGCCTCCTTTCGGCCACTCTCCGTATCTTTTTATCTCAATCCCCCATCTTGCCCCCTCTTTACCTGATCCGAAACACTGATTGTCCAGGGCCTGGGGACGTCCTCCCGACATGAAAGGCGCTATACAAATGTAATTTTATTGTCTTTAAATCACACCTAAAGACTTAACTCTTTGACCGTGCCTTTGGTCATTACCCCCCTCTTTCAGCTCAGTGTCAAGCCATACCACTTAAAGTGCTCTGCAATGCTACCTACGTGTAAGGTGCTATATAAATGCATGTTTTGTTTTACATATAAGGGAAAGATTATTTATACAGTGCTTCCTGATGTGCTATAAGCAATGCTGAAGTGGCAGCACTAACACTGAACACTGTTCTGTTCGCAGTGCAGCCAACAACCATGAAATCATCAGCTGAATGTCTAGTAGCAGAACTGGTCCAGGTCAGCCCACAACAGGAGGAATGCTATCACCAGCCCATGACATTGCAAAACACAACTAATTTATGGCATTATTGTCTGATTACGTGTGATTATAGTGTTAACTCGTACCCATTTAAGTAAGGATGCACTGCACATGTATGCACATACAGGATATGTTAACACATGTGTTATATGTGCAAAAAATGAAATTAACAAACTATTCCCTAGAAAGGTCTATCTAACCCCTAGCAATATAGGGGGAGCATTTTGCCACTTACAAATCAAAATGAATGCAATATACACAAAAGTTTTATTGAATTCACACCACAGTTTATTTCACCAGGTGATACAAAATGTTTTGTAGGAAAAGATTAACATTGAGAGGAAGACAATTGTGATATGTAGTTGCACTGAATTTTCTAGCAGCAAGGCTCAACGATTTGACCATTCCCTTCGTTTTTCTTTCTGCTGCAGTGGTGATTTGAATTGGTATCACAAATGGCCTATAAAGATGCTCTGGTTTCTTCTTGTACTCCCAAGCCTTAATCTATTTTCTTTATCCCCTTCCCCAATTCTACCTGTCTAAATTTAAATGATAAAGAAATATATGTTTCTCTGCTCTTTTTATGGCCACCCAAAGAACATAGGCCTAACTTGTAACAGAACAGAGTAATTTCATGGCAATAAAAGTGTCACAACATAGGGGTGGGGGGGGGGGAGAGTATAATTGCACACACAAACATGCACAAGAAACTGATGCCGCCTGATGGTACAATAGTGCAACTACAGGTGAGAAACAGTACCACCTGATGGAGCAAGTTTGATATAGCGCCTCATCACATCTTTGAGACGTCCCAAAGAGCTTCACAGAATATACTGTAAAGTGAATTGACTGTATATTCTGTGGGCGTAATGTGACAGCCAATTGCACACAGCAATATCCCACACAGTTGTGGATTGAATGACAAAATTATAATTTTTTTCAAGGGATTATTACCCCTGGAAAAGCGATCCGCCAATCAAGTAACAACCGGGTTACTACTTACTGCTAGATAAAAGGCGCGTGGAGTAAGGAAACTTGCCCAACTTTTCGCCCTGCCAGGAATCAAACCTAGGTCCTCTCGCTTGCGAGGCGAGTGCTCTAACCACTGAGCTGCAGGGATGAATAGTGCGACATGGATCAGAGTGACCATATTTTGTAAAACCAAATCTGGGGACACATATAAAAAATATTTCCTAATACTGGCAATGTTGGAGAAACCTGTTGGATTAATGGCTGTATTTCTCTGATGAGTGCTTTAGAATGTTATTGTTCTTGCACAGCTTGTTGCTGAATTCAAGACAGAGCAAATTTGGCCAGGGACATAATACCTCATGGGGGAACTGTCATAGAGCCAGCCTCATACACTTACACAGCAGAAGTCCAGCACCAAGAGAAGGGAAAACGGTGCATGGTAATAAACAAGTTACTTTTCTAAACTTAATTAGGTTCTGTTAGGAATACCTTTGGATTGTAAGGTTCAAGCCTCACTTCAGGGAAGGGAAGCACTATTATTGAAGATGCCCTCCTTTGGATGAGATATTAAACCAAGATCACACCTTGTTCATATCAAAGAGCCCATTACAACATTTGAAAAGATAGGGATATTTCTTTCAGATAAATCCAACAATCTGTTTGTTGTTCATTTTGATGGCTATTTGTCAGACCTTGCCATGAGCTCAAAGACTGACACTCCACCATTGACACAGCACTCCTCCCACTCACGGACCAGCTTCTCCGTTCACTGATATGGAACTTATTAATGTTCCTGACTGCCAACTCCCCCATTACAATCACAGCAAGTCCCACTGTCAAACACCAGATCCCTCATCACAAGCACAGAGCGCCACATTTTCACAAACCATAGCTGCAATCTAACCTCCTTGGCTCTTGGCAATATCTTCTCAACTGCGACTCCGATCTCCTTAAACACCCCCCACCAGCCTATCCTTCAGATAGACACAGACTTCTGCACAACCTAGACGTCAGATGTAATTCCCCACTTGATCTTCCTAATCCCCATCTGGTCTCTGACCAGGGCCACTTTCCTCCACCTCTGCCACATTACCGGTCTCCATCCATACCTCACGCCCAACACAGCTGAAACCCATATTCACCTATTTGTCAAATTGCACTTTGATTATTTCAATATCCTCCTTGATGGTCTCCCCAGATCCACCACACATAAAATCCAACTAATTCAACATTCCACCACCCATATTCTTAACTGTACCAAACTCCACACCACCATTACCCTAGTCCTTGCCAGGTTCCACTGGCTCCCAATTGCAGAATGATTGATTTAAAAGTCGTCAAACTAATTTACACATAATTTCATCCCCTAACAACCCCCTACCTCTCTGACCTGATCACACCCTACTCCTCTACACTCCCCCTTGCACAACTGTCTCCAGCCTCCTGCATGTCCCTTGTCCCCTCCGCTAAATCCAGGACCAATTGCGGGGTCTGAGGTCGTAAACCAGATTTGGGGGCAATTCATGGAAAAATTGGGCACCAAATCTTGGTGGGGGTTGCACCAAAAAGCATTAAAAAATGCACAAAGGTACAGCCCCCACCCTTCCATATCGGTATCACCTGAGGCTGTATCGCACTGCTGCAGCCATCTCCAGCCCCCGGGCTCAGGCTGTCCGGGCAGATGGTGGCACTCACCATCATCTTGGCGGCAGTAGCTTTCCTGTCTTCCAGACTCCATGGCTAGCCCACCATGTGCCACAACATGTTGCGGAGTGAGACTGCACAAGGAGGGAAGTAGCAGGGTCTGCTGGGTGGAGGATTCCCTGTTTTCAGTAAATCAGGAGATATTTTCACAGGGGTGCTTGGGAACCATTTCCTGAATGGCCAGTCCCCCCTTAGTAATATCCATATCCGGGGCCCCTCAGACCTCAAGATCCTAAACCATGGCTCAGTTGGTTTATACATTAATCCGGTCCTGACTCCACTATTGCCGACCATGCTTTCAGCCATAACATCCCCAAACTCTGGAACTCCCTACTTCAACCCTTCCACATTGTCCCCTCCTTGCCCAACTTCAGATTACATCTGAAGACTTTCCTCAAGCTCGGCCACTGGTAAGCATTCCGAGACGTTAACCCGCCTGAAATATGCTGTTTAAATTCAAGTTGATGTTGATTTGCTGGTTCAGTATGACATTTTGAAATGTTTATATTAGCACAGCACCCGCACGTTGCATATTTCATCAGCTTGAACTGAGTGTAAACTACTAGGAAAGGATTATAGATTCAATGGCTCTACTTATATGAGCTTGATAATATTGACTCCCTCAAAGACTGCTTGATAAATACGGAATTTGATACTGGAGCCCTAAAGTGTCTATTGGTGTTATTATAACTAACACAACAACAACAATATTAAATTTATAGAGCACCTTTCATGTCGGGAGGATGTCCCAAGGCACTGGACAGTCAGGGGTCAGGACCCGAGCATGGGGGAGGGGTGCGATAGGGTGAGGGAAGGCAGAGAGGTGGGAGGGCGACTGAAGGCACGATCGAAGAAAAGGGTCTTGAGACCGACCTTGAAGGAGGCAAGGGAGGAAGTGAGGCAAAGGCACTGTGGGGTGGAGTTCCAGAGTGTGGGGGCGGAGAGGCTGAAAGCCCAGCCACCAATGGTAGGGTGGGTCGGGCGGGAGACATGGAGCAGGCTTAGTTGCTAAAGTTGGGAAAAGGCTTTCACAACCAACAAATAGAGCCAGTCTGGAAGCTCCTGACTTGCAGTGCATACATTAGGCTAGATTAGAACATTTATCCAATAATATAGATGTGAAACAAAATCTCAAATTAAGGTCAGTGACTACATACTATGATTTCTAAAGCCTTCTCTTAGCGCTTTAAATCTTAAAATACAGAGGCCTAAAGTATCACTTGGTCTTGGCGCATAATAATAATCCTTAGATTTTGATTTCAAGGACAAATAAAAATAATTTGTCTTAAAACTTAGGATAATTTGGAAGCCAGTTCTTTTTTAATCACTGCAGAAAACTAACCTCCAAGTTAAGATTGAATTGAAAAAAAATCCACAATTCTGCACAATTTTAAGTCTTAAGACAAAATGTTCTCATAGGCTAAGACTGGAAGGGATTTCAGACCTTTGGTGCTTTCAAAGATCTTTAACAATCAGTTCATCAGTCTTCTGAATGTGTTGAGCAATTTAGCCGTTTCCACAATTAATGATTGAAGCCTCTGCTTTCTGAATCATGGGAACCTGGAGAATTATTATCTGTGAAAGAGAGACAAGTGAAAAAGCAGGTCTCGTGAAATTACCCTAACTGGCTGATAAGGTTAGGACACTGTAATTCTTCAGGGCAATTCCTTATAATGATTGCATGGGGAACGGCGTGTGGAGGAAAACCTCTCGTTGTCAGCTCCTCAGTAAGTCATAGTCTCCTGTTGCATCACCTCCATTATGATCTGAAGCTTCGTAGTTAAGAAGCCTGGAAGAGTAAGCAGATGTGCTCTATAAGTAACCACGGAGCCTAAATATAAGAGAAAGCTTTCAAATAAGTAAAGTCATGTAACAAAGAAATAACAAAACCAATACCACTAAAAATGAACACCAGGTTAATCAAGATCTGAAAGAAGCACAGAATCAGAAATCACAATATGGAAGATACTTTGTCGGATTGGAGGCTGTACTGGTACCATCTCAACTGGCACTATCTACTGTAACATAATTCCTTACGCTTTCCTCATATCCTTTTAAAAGGCTTCTGGGATTGAAAAATCTGCCAAAATCTAATCAACTATTGGAATAGGCTTGATGACTTGATTGCCCTTCTCCTGTTGCTGTTTTCATGCATTCTTGTGTTCGATCTTGGCTGGCACTGGCCTACTTCACATCTCCTGCCCTCCCTGTCCCACCTCTGGCAGTTGAGCCTTCAGACTTTCTGATCTCACCCTCTGGAACTCCATCCTGGTATCCCTTTGCCTTGCCCCTTTCCTTCACCTCATTCAAGGTCAGTCTCAAGACTTCCCTCTTTGACCATGACTTCAGTCATCTCTCCTCATCTCCCAATCCAACCAAAAGCCTTGACTATCCAGCACCTTGGGAAATCCTCCCGATGTGAAAGATGCTACATAAATGTGATTTGTTGTTGTTCTATAATATGATTGTACAGAGGAGGAGAGGTTGACAGGCATATGATAGTGAATGGAATGGATTCTCTGGTAGCGAACAAAATATCAAAAAGGTTTTTTGGGGGGTTACCCTCCTACATTCTGTACCATGCAATCTATTGCCAAAGTGGGTAAGGAGAATCAGATAGGATCTAGATTTACTGCCTTAACCAAAGCATGTTGTCTCTAGCAGTGAAGTAGCCTTGCCAGTAATAATAATCCTTGCATTTGATATAGCGCCTTATCACATCATTAAACACTTCTCAAAGCGCTTCGTAGAATATATTGTAAAGTGAATTGACTGTATTTTGTTGACAAAATGTGGTAGCCAATTGCACACAACAGTGTCCCAGAAATAGTCATGGATCGAGTTTTCGTTTAGGGATTATTATCTTGGGAAAGCATCCACAAATTAACTAACAACTGGGTTGCTAGGTAAACAAAGATGTGTGGAGTAAGGATATTGGTCTAAGGTTGTCTAGTAATCAATCCCAGGTCCTCTCGTTTGCGAGGCGAATGCTCTAAACACTAACAACGACAACAACAACAACAAGATTCCATTTATAGAGCGCCTTTCACGTCGGGAGGATGTCCCAAGGCGCTGTACAGTTGGGTCAGGACACGAGCAGGGGGGAAATGGTCAGGGTGAGGGGAGGGAAGGGAGGGGGCGAGGAGGAGGTAGAGAGTCGAGAGGGGAGCTGAAGGCACGGTCAAAGAGAAAGGTTTTGAGACCGGCCTTGAAGGAGGAAAGGGAGGAGGCAAGGTGAAGGCACTGGGGGATAGAGTTCCAGAGCCTAGGGGCTGAGAGGCTGAAGGCCCAGCCACCGATGGTAGGGCAGTCGGGGCGGGGGATGTGGAGCAGACCGGAGCCAGAGGAACGGAGGGTACGGGCAGGTAAGTAGGGGGATAGTAGGTCGGAGAGGTAGGAGGGAGCAAGGCCGTGAATGACCTTGTAGGTGAGGATGAGGATCTTGAATTTGAGCCACAAGACTCCACAGATCCCAAGTTCACCTCAACTAGGGAATTTGTCCACATGATTATCAACTGATAGCAATGCCATTGCCAATTGACACAACCAAGGATAGATTTTAAACCACATTTATCTGTGAAGCTTTGCTACATACATAAGGTGCAGGAAGGATAGATAGATTGGAAGGACATATTTGATTAATAACCTGGAGCCCACCATTTTCCATTACATCAACCACATCTTGACCCATCAATGCTGCCCTTGACACATATAATTGGTTTCTATACTTACCAAAAGCTTTCCTGCAGCAGGCTGGTACTTGAGATTTGCGGATAACCAGGCAATAGACAGGCACGCCTGTCAGGGTTAACAAACAGCCCATTCCTGTGTTAAATGGGTCAGAGTAAAGAGACAAGCCCACAATCATCAGGCACATGATTGTGAAGATGGCAGGAATGACGATTGGAATCTAGAAAGAGAGAACTTGCATTTTTATCATGCCTCATTACGTCAAAGTCTCAGAGCACTTTACAGTAATTTATGCCAACGGTAGTGACTGCTTTTTTGTGGGCAAATGTGGCAATTACTGTATTTTATCCACATCAAAGCCCATAAACAGGCAAAAGAGTTGAAGGTACAATAATAATCCCTCCAAGAAACAAAATAATAATAAATTGGTCATTTTCAATCCATGATTGTTTGTGGGACACTCTGTATGCAATTGGCTGCCGCGTTCGCCCACAAATATACAGTCAATTCACTTTACAGTATATTCTGTGAAGCTCTTTGGGACGTCTAGAAGACGTGAAAAGCGCTATATCAAATGCAAGGATTATTATTATTATTATTAATTACTATTTGGCTCATTGACCCAGACACCAAACAAAACTCACTTCAAAAGCATATTTGTCATGTAAAATTGAGCATTCACTTCTCAGCTACTTGTGGCACAATTCTGTGTGTAAATCGGTTGCCACATTCATCCACAAAACACACAGTCACTCCACTTTACAATATTTTGGGCCTCAGGTGATATCACATTCAGATGAGTGTGGTTTATGTTAGTAATTATATTTGGATTCCAGCCTTCAATTTACCACCTTGTCATTGAGTCTTCAAGACTCTCCATGACCTGCCTCACCCTACCTCTGCGACCTGCTGACCCCATATCAACCTGCCCACTCCCTACATTCAGCAGGCTCTGGTCTGCTCCACCTACCTCGCCCAGCCCGGCCCATCGGCGGTCGAGCCTTCAGCCTTTCTGCACCCATCCTATGGAACTACATCCTGCATTCCCTTCGCCTCGTTCCCTCCCTTGCCTGCTTCAAGGCACATCTCAAAGCCTTTTCTTCGCCAAGGCCTTTGGCTACCCTCCTACCCTCCCTGCCCCCCATCTTCCCCGATCCTGACCCCCAGCTCGAGTCCAAATCCCCGATTGTCCAGTATCTTGGGACGTCCTCCCGACGTGAAAGCCGCTATAATTTTGAATTGTATTGCATTGAGTCATCTAATGTCTGGGTATAGCCTGGCAATGGTAGAGACCTAGGATCAACTTAAATTTCAGACTTCGATTGTGTCAGAGGTGAGAGTGTTGCCAACTGAGATAGGCTGAATCAGAAGGTTCTGGGTTTAAGCCACACGTCGCAACTTTGGCTCATTAACCCAGAAACCAAAAGAAACTCACTTCAAAAGCATATTTGTCATGTAAAATTGAGCATTCACTTCTCAGCTACTTGAGGGACAATTCTGCCACTTCAATTCAGTACATTGTTGGAGGTGCCTTCCTTTGGATGAAACATTAAACCAAAATCCCATCTGTTCAGGTGGATGTTAAGGATTCCTTGATACCATTTGAAAAGAGAAAGGATTATCCTGGCAATCAATATTTCAATTAAAATTTATTGTTCACTCCTTGCTTTGCACAAATTGGTTGCTGCATTAGCCTACACAATATACAGTCACTGCACTTTATACTATATCTCATGAAGGGTTTTGAAGCATCTTCCCGATGCTAATGGTGCTATATCAAATGCAAGTATTATTATTTTATCATCCTTATTATTATTGGTGACAGAACATGAGTGGCATAAAGAGTCAACAGAAGAGGAAGCGAATAAAAAATAATGACCTTACATAAAGCCTCATTTCCAAACACTCATTAGGATACCGGTGACAACATAAGACAGTCAACTTGGAGTTGGAGCTGAACCTTTAACTAAAGCAAGAAGGAGACGTTCGTCTGACTATGGTACTGTACCTTGAATGGCCGAGGCTGCTGTGGATGTGTGTAGCGATGCCGAATGAGGCCAGTGGTTACCAGCCCCATAAAGAACCAGCGTGGAAAGCTGTTAAAATTCAGCAAGGCATACAATTCACCACCAAAAATCATCAAAAGGATTACCGGATACTGAGAAAGAAACAGAAACAGATTTCAGACAGTGAACGCAGCACACTAAATATTCATTAGCTATTGATCAATCTACTGCAATGGGATGCTTGGAGAGGGGACAATTTGGTCTTGTTACCTGCACTATTTGGGACATCAGGATGAAAATAGCAGTATTATCTGCAAGTTTTTGTACTAACTCGGCACTAAAAGTGGCGCAGCACCAAAAGTGAAGTAAAACAAGTGTGCAGAAGAGTGTTTCAGTGAAATCCTCAGAGTGAGATAGTTGAGGTTGAGGTAAAGTGCGACCTACTCACCAGTAAAAGAACAGCTGGAAGAGGAGTGTGGTATCGGACATGGATCATGGAGAATAACACTGGCCACTGGTCTTCTCTGGAAGCCACAAAAAACATCCTTTGCAAGGCAGAAAATAGTCATTATTACTCAGCAGCATACACAGAGCACACTGGTAATAAACTGTCACCGTCAGTGTAACAGCTGGGACTGGCCATATCCTGCAAGAACCAGTGGCCCTGTCCATTTGAGCTTTGGTTTTATTTGATCCTTTGGTTGTGGGCACGTCTGTATTTATGATAATAAAAATAATAATACTTGCATTTGATGTAAAACCTACAATGCCCAAAGTGCTTCACAGGAATTATTGTGAAGTTCAGTGACTGAACTTGTAGGTGAATATGGCACCCAATATGCACCCTGCAATATTCTACAAAGAGCCATGAAGTCAATGATCAATTTATCTGGAGGATTGTTGGACATAAGAAACTCCTTTCTCTTTTCAAAATGTCCCCTGGGATCTTTGACATTCAGCTGAACAGAGAGAAAATAATAATCCTTGCTTTTGATATAGAGCCTAATTATGTCGGTGCGACGTCTCAAAGCACTTCACAGGATATACACCACTAAAATACACCACTGAGTACCTTGGTTTAACATTTCATCTGAAGGACGGGATCTCTGACAATTCAGCGCTCGCCCAGCACTGCACTGTCAGCCTAAACTGTGCAAGACTTGATCTCACAACCTTCTGATTCAGAGGCAAGAATGTTGTCTTGTGAACAAGACTGATAACTACAAATCTTCTTGATTTGGAGCATAATAACTTACATTTTCAAGCAGGTAGAGGATAGTAAAGCACAATTGCCCAAGATACATCAGCTCATTGGGATATCCTCACGATGTGAAAGGTATTACATTTGATGACAGTGTAGACCTCACTTAATTCCCCCCAAAAAGAAGGGTCCATACTATTTGTTTTATTGCCCTCAAAAGGCCGGAGTGGACCCATGAATATTTCTTTGTCACATAAACACACATCCCAAGAACCAACCACACTGTGGACATCCTCTATACTACCTGGAAGTAGAAAACAATGCTCCGTTTATTGCCCCGAGACACGACAAGGCAACAAGAAGTGGAATCACTGGGGAAAATTCCTTCAGAGTACGAATGCCAAACGTCTAATAAAAGGGAAAAGCACAAACAGATCAATAGGAAAAGGAAGAAGCTCCTCTAAAGAAACCCAACTGATATGTCTACAAGTACAAGTTACTTCCCCCCACAACTCACAGGCACCATGGTCAGAGGCTGCCATTTATGTTTCCTCATAAGAATACCAGGCTGGGAGCAAGAACTTTCTAGCCTGTTTCATCCTATGCATTCCAGCTGTGTGTCTACATTTTTGCAAAATCTTAATTGTAGTTTGGATGAATAACACTCTTCAACCTATTTGATCCCATCCAGAATACCCAGCCTGCCATCTTCCTATTACAGTATCAAGCTTAAATATCACCCTTCCTGGGAATCTTTTAATCAACCTGACTTGTTGCGCTGAATATTCGCCATTAAAAATATGCTGGGCTGAAGCATACTTCTCTGAGTTACCTACCACAGCAACTGCGCTAGAATCCAACACCTCATCTGCTGTCATTACTGCATAATAGGCCACATTTGCGAGTAGGTAGAGGATAGTAACAATTATCAGGGAGAAGATAATTGCCCGAGGTACATTCCTACAAAAAGAAATCATATCAAACGGAACCATAACCTGAATTTTGTCCTCATCACCTCCGTTTAAAGCTAATTGAAATGAATGAGTAACCAGTGATGGGCCACGAGCTGGTGCCCTGGTGGGCAATGTTATGGGGTGGCAGGGGTCGACTGTTCATACTCGGTGAGCGTAACGTTTCAGCTGCACCAATTACAGGGAGTGACTGCTGCCACTTTCACCCTACCTGTTCAGGCTTTGGCTTAAAGAGTTGACAGGAGCTGAGTAGGAAGTATCCCGAGCCCCAGTGACCTGTTCCTCCAATCCATTTCCTGCTGACAAGGCAGGCTGGCTGGTCGGTCATCAGTAGTGACCTGGAGTAGTCTGGATCCGCATGGCTGAGGAACCGCAATAGAAAAACCGCCACAGAAATTTGACTTGATTCCAATATTCTGTTGTCAGGTGTTACACTTTGGAGCCAACTGAGCCCCAAAGAAACCCCACTATAGCCAGTTACACAGCATGGATTGTACAAAGCTTAGGTGCAAGTCACCCACTCACAGCAGTGAATTCTGGAGAATGTGGGAAGGGTTGGATGAAACGCAAACAGGGGCAAGAAACACCACATTTAAAATGGAACAAAAAATATAAATGAAAACATACTGAAGCATGAGCCAGGAGAATCAAAACAAAATGAAGAAAGTTAAGAAAGTAAAGAAAACAGTACATCACCTAGATTTTATTAGGAATCTCAATGAGAATTATAGTACATACCTCTCTGGGTCAACGACCTCTTCTGTGATATAGTTGACATAGAACCTGAAAGAAGAAATGTACCAAGTGATAATATTTCCAACAAATATTCGGGTAAAACCCTTGCCTTCTAGATAACTAATACTTACAAATATCTCACTCTAGCCATCGACATTGTTTATATAGTCTCTCATTATCAACAACAACAACAACTTGGATTTATATAGCACCCTCCACCCTGGATGGTGTCTCAGAGCGCTTAAGAGTAACGGATCCTGGGACCGAGCCAGGGGGAGGGGGAGGAAGGTGACCAAAGGCACGGTCAAAAAGAAAGGTCTTCAGCAGAGACCTGAAAATAGGAAGGGAGGGAGCGAGGTGAAGGGAGTGAGGAAGGGAGTTCCAGAGCCTCGGGGCATAGTGGCTGAAGGCACGGCTGCCGAGGCGAAGCGGAGGACTCGGTGGACGAGGAGGAGGCCAGACCTGGAGGAACGAAGGCAACGGGTACTGTTTTGAGGATAGAGGAGGTCAGAGAGATAGGGGAGTGCAGAGGAGTGCAGGTATTTGAATACAAAGGTGAGGATCTTCAAATTGATCCTCTCTGGGATAGGCAGCCAGTGCAGTCTGGCAAGGACCGGGGTGATCGGGGAACGGAGTTTTGTGCGGGTGAGAATGCGGGCGGCAGAGTTTTGAATGATTTGGATTTTATGAATGGTAGTGGATGGGAGACCAGCGAGGAGGGCGTGAGAGTAGTCCAGCCGAGAGGTGACAAAGGCATGGACCAGGGTTTCAGTGGATTTTGGGGAGCGGTATTGGCGGAGATGTGCAATGCGTCGGAGGTCATCACATGCCTCTGCTTTTCTCTCTCTCTTCATATACTCCTCTCTTTCTTCACGCACTCCTCTCGCTCGCTCTTCATACACTCCTCTCTCTCTCTTCACACATTCCTCTCTCTCTCTTCACACACCCCCCTCTCTCTCTTCACACACCCTCTCTCTCTCTTCACACACTCCTCTTGCTCTCTCTCTCTCTTCACACACTCTTCTTGCTCCCTTTCTCTCTTCACACACTCCTCTCTCTCTTAACACACTCCTTTCTCTCTTTGCACATTCCTCTCTCTTCACAATTTCCTTCCTCACTCACAGAGTTTCACATAGACTATCCAAACCTCCTAGTGCACCTTTTTTTCTCCCACACACCCACACAGACATGCGTTAAACTATATTTTCGCATACCAGCCACTGTAAGCAAACATGCCAGCGTAGAAAGCCAATGGGAGCTTTTCCACTGTGAGTAAATTACTGTCAAATGCATTCTGGAAGTTGTCATAGTGACCTGTATAAAGAAAAGAATCTGAGCTCAATCCAACGTTAACATTATAATTCCTCTAACTGAAACCAATGTTATTCATCAATTGACTTACTGATACAGGAATAGTAAGAAATTACCTCCATTGAAACAAAACCCTGGTGAAGTATATTTCAAGGGAAAATTGATGAAAAAACTTGCAGAATGGATTAGGAGCCAAAATGAATGGTCATGTGGAGATGTCATAGTCGTGACCACTTTCGTTAGGTTTCGTTTTTAAGATTTAACTGGATTCCTATACATATTGGATGTGTTTATGTCACACTTTCCACTTTTCAAGTTCGCAATACAAAATACAATGTGATATTTATATAGCATCTCTCACGTTTGGGAGGACATCTCAAGCTGCTTAAAATGGTCCTGGCTTGGAACCCGAGCTGAGGGTGGGAACAGGTGGGAAAAGCTGACAAAAAGCGTTGAACAGATAGACCTTGAAAACCCCATCAAAGGTTCAATTTAAATCATGAATGGAATACATACACATAGGAGAACAGTTTTGATATCAGTTATTAATATTATTAAATATGTAATTTAATGGTTTCTATGTTGTACAGTGTTCAAGGATAAATATCTTTATGAAAGAAGAAGAATTCATGCTGAGTGACAGAGTGTTTTGCAGGAGACAATGAGCTCCAGGGGTAATCAGCTAAAGCCAAATACATGCAATATCTCACTTGTGATCCCATGGTGATGAATAATTCTGGATCTTCTCTCAGCCCATGGATGAATACCAATTAGATATCTTTGGAGCAATGATTCAATCCCACTTGTTCTTGATTCAATGACATTTTTAATCGAGCCTCATTAGACTCCATCAGTATGCTATTTGCTTTTCCCTTAGTGAAAACACTGTCTTAGAACCAACTTCTTGCTGTAAAGATGCCTGAGCACTTCTTTTGCCTGAGTCAGTAGATGATCAGTTTTATTACAACTGGTTGCATATGCAAGGCTGATGCAGATTTTACCCCAGCCCCACTAATACATCTGGAAAACCCAACATACAACCAGATTTTTTGTCTTTTAACTTTATCAAAACTTTGTACCTACTGTATTCCTATAAGTAGGAATTCCAACAACAACAACTTGCATTTATATAGCACCCTTCCCGCCGGATGTTGTCTGGAGCGTTTTGCCTGTTCTTGGAAAGTGTCATACCTTGGAACAAAACCATAATCCCGGGAATGATGATCAGTCCAATTGCCAGCAACTTAGCAAACAAGAAGATGGTCTGAATCCGGGCTGTCCAGCTCACACTCCAACAGTTTAAAAACACGATGAGAGCTGCAGAGAGGGGAAAAGCAAAGCTTTCTAAAGACCGGACATGTAATATAAAGTGGGGGTCAGAGCCTGTTACAATACAATTTATATTTATGAAGCACCGTTCGCACTGGGGCCAATGAGGTGTTCACATCAGAACACCTCAAAGTGCTGTTCTGAGAGAGTCGGGTAAGAGAGACAAAGAACCCACAATTCATGTACATGTTGGTTATTCTAATAAATTACAAAACATCATATATCTTTCTACAAGTGTTCAAAGTAATTCATTATTCAGTTTAAAAATACAAGGGAATAAAGCGGGAATGACTCGATCAAAATAACAAGGGAACAAACTAATTTGCTGGATTGCTGGGCATAATAATCCTGAGTTGTCACCATTGATAAAGGAACACTGAATGTTGTTGTAGCACTATTGACACCCCATCCCTACTCCCAATTCTGAACATTAATTCTTTGACTGTAAAGCCAGTTTCTGTGGCACAAACTAATACTTACAGACACCAACGGCACTGACAAGTTTTATTGCCAAAAGTGGAGCTTGACAAGGGGAAAAGAAGGGCTCTGTGATGTAACGGCCAAATGTCAAGGCAACAAATGCAGTGTTTGCTGGTCTGTTGAAAGGGAGAAAGATGAAATATTAATAGCCTCTATTAAGAAATATTTATAAGTATTTGTAAGTATAAAACTGAAATGAGATGTGAGCATGTGTTTGTGCAATGATACAGGGACCTGTGTACGTGTGTGTGTGTTGTGTGAGGGCTGAAGTAGTTGAAGTAGCACTTATAAGAAGTGATTTTACCTTTGTGATGAAATGTCGCATTTACCTAGTAGGAATAAAGAATCCCTATAGCATTTCTATTGAACTGTAGGAGCTGGACACCAGATGTCCATCACATTGGAATGGAGTTCACATGAGTCCATAGTGTGCAATGTGCAACTATCAGAAAGTGATGCAAGCAGTGCTTCCTGCACATAGTGCATATGTGCAAGTAATGTCAGTGGTGACCTGGCAGTCTGGGAGTCAGCCATTTGTTGTGTGTTCTTGCTTATACCGCAGGCCTGAAGTATTAAACTCAGGTGATCGCATTATAATGGGGTTAACCTGTACACAGAGATGAAATGAAGAACTTGTACCATTAGCAGAGGAGGCTCCCAAGAGGACCATGTGCCCCCGGGCCAGCCAGGGGAATGTGGAAGGCCATTAACACCACAGTGTGTGCCTTACCTGATTATAATGATCTCAACCCACAATCGTAGAAAGGCTGGAAAGGGACCCAATGTTTCCAGAAGATAGATGTAGTGGCCACCAGATTTCTTAATGCTTGTCCCAAGATCTGCGTATGAGAGAGCTCCTGGTGTCCCAAAAGTACAGTTAAAAGATTAGTGTCTCATAATGTGTTAATACTGTTAGAAGTAAAGCTACTTCCAGGCAACTTCTGCAGCACTCCAGTACTGCACTACACTTACAGTCTGGACTGTAAACTCAATTTGGTTTGAACCTTCAATCTTTTTGACCCAGACGTCAGAATGCTACTGTAGCACTTGCAAAAAGAACTTTAGTTGGATTGCTATTTTAAGAGTTAATTTTAATTTATTTTGCTTAAGTTGTTTTGCTGAATGGTGATTTTTGATAAGCATTTGAGTGAGCGCAGGGTGCTGTGATAAAGATGCTGTGAGCACAGTTTTGGATAAACAAGGACAATATGGTAAACATTAGCACTTTTAGTCAAAGTCACAAGAAAAGGACACACTGATTGGAATGAAGCATATACACTATTGCTTGGCTTTGCTGCCATGAAATATATACAGTATTTGTCATCATTTTAATAATAATAATAATCCTTGCATTTGATATCGCACCTTATCACGTCTTCAAGATATCCCAAAGCGCTTCAAAGAAATACTGTAGATTGATGAAACTGTTAAGTTGATCATTACTATGTATTTTGCCTATAATGGAAAATGACTGAACATTTGTAAGTGAAATTTTATGGGTGATTGTACTCTTGTGACTTTTGTACTTTGCTGGATGCTATCTTTTCCTGTCTTATGCCCCTTTCCTTTCTAATGTTCTTTTCCTTTCGAATATTTACTCATATAGCTTGTTTACCTGCTAGAAATAACTGGCATCTGTCTTTCTAATGTCCTTGGTATAATGGTCTGTGTGGTATAGTTATGTGGCAAAAAACGGTTACAGCATGTGAAGGATGGTCCATGTATGTGAAAGATGGTTGGTGACCAGTGAAACGTTGACACATTGACACATTGCAGTCAACACTACCAACTAGGACACACTGACCCAGTAGAGCAAAATACTGGGATTAACCTAGTTTTACGGATCAATTCCACATCAGGCATTATCTTTGCAATGCGGGCATTGGGGGAGCTGGAATCCTTGTCCGCCATGTTTTGAGGCAGCCCAAACTAGAGAACACCTCTGACCAGTATTTAACATTCTAAGTAGGACTGAGAGAGCAAACCAAGGATGATACTTGCAGGTATGCTAGGAAGACAGAACAGGTGGATAGAGTTTCAAGCTTAAAAACGAAATTCAGGGCAGACACCAGGGACCATTTCTTTGCAATTAAAGATAATTAATGACCAGAAGCAGTTTCCAGAAAGAATGGTTGAGGCCAGGGCATTAGACTCATTTTGGAACATCTTGATGGGATAATGGGAGGACTTTAGGAGGGTATTTGAGAATGATGAGATCAAATGATCTGAAAAGCTTTCATCTGAACCTCTCTTAAACTATGGCAAAGTCTTTCTTTTTCTCTCTCTGTTTTGTGTTTTTCTTTCTCTGTGAAAACAACAGCTTTGCTGTTTATAGTTTATTCATGCTGTATGAAAGCATAACAATATTACATTTCTGTTTTCAAACAACTGTATCGACCTACACTGACCTGTCCTAAGCACCCTGCTGGTGGAGTTATCTTCACAACGGGCATATCTATTTGCCAAGGCCCCATCTGGAATACGCAGCTGGTGCTGAAGAAACCTTGTACACAGTTTTGGACTTGGACCTCGAGAACATCAAAGTGGCTGGTACGTCACAAGCTGTCCTATAAAGGTCCTCTCACCACGTTGAAGGCAGATGTCTGGCAGACAGCTGATGAGGAAATTTTGGGGCTTGGGGCAACAGCTCCAGGAAGGTGTTACCTGGAGTCTGAGTTTGTGAACACACGTTCGTACAACCAGTGTCTGGAATCCACCTTAATTGTCCTGCAGAGAGGCAAGCAGATGCTGCTCAAACTCTACACCTTCAACTGGTGGAACCATTGCTCAATGGGAAGGGACATGTGCCCGAGCTGCAAACAGGAAAATAGTGGCAATGCTCTCACACATTTCATGCTGAGATGTGTTGCTCATCGTGAAGCTCGCAAGCAGTTCCTGGTACATATCATCCACCTAGTGAAGGCTAAACCTGTTCCTGTTGAATGTCGAACGACCAACTAGTGATTATCCTCCTTGGGGTAAGTGGGGTCTCAGTGGAGCTGAATTGGCTCCAAGGTGATGTGTTTGGCAACAGAATGTCAGAATCATGCCAGCCCTCTGTGGTGGTCTCGGTAATCCAGTTCCTGAGCCAGGCAGGTCCACAGGACTCCAGCGCATCCATCTAGCTAGACAAACAGCGCAAAAGCTTACCAGACAGTGCTATCAATGCAAGCTATGCGGCTTTAGACTCCAGAAGTACCCCAAAACACACTATGGGCTTCCCAAGCCTTGTCTCTTGCCAACCTGTGCCTAATAGAATCATAGAATTGTACGCATAAAAAGAGGCCATTCGGCCCATCAAGTTTGTGCCGGCTCTTTGAATAGAGCAACTAGATACTTTCCGAACTTAGGCAAGAAGGATGCTTTCCTCCAGGGAAAGAGTGTGCATACCATTCCAACAATCTATCTCTGGAATTTCCATGTGTAGGTGGGATGCCATAGAAATTTCTGTTTGGTTTGAATATTCTTAAGCCTAGTGATCGGCTTCCTCATTTGTCAGCCACCTGGCTGACCAAAAAAAGTTAAAACAAAGCACATTTTAATTTTTCTTTACAAAAGATATGGAGATTGTAAAGGAAAGTCAATTCTTAAAACATTTTCATATTATGACTATTATTCACTAGCTGGGGGTAAAATTCAACCTATGTCTATATTTACATATGGGTCAGCCTTTCTTAGTTGGTATCACTCTTTCCCCTGAGTCAGAAGGTTGTGGGTCCAAGCCCCACATATGATGCCAGTACTGTTCAAAAAAGAGATGGGAGTTTCTGCCTGTGTCCTGGCCAAGAATCCCACAAAATAAAGTTGGTCATTCATTCAATGGCTGTTCGTGGGACATTGCTGTGTACAACTCGGCTGCCGTGTTTAGACCACAAAATACAGTTATAGTAACACTTTACAGTATATCTTGAGAAGTGCATTGAAATGTCTCAACGACGTGAAAAGGCGTTATATCAAATGCAAGAATTATTTTTATTAATCCTTCCATCTTGCTCCCTCCTTGTCCATCTTCAGATCACAGCTGAAGATCTTCTTCTTCGACCGTGCCTTCGGTCATCTCCCCTCTCTCCCCAGCTCAGCGTCAAACTCTGCCACTCTTAAATGCTCTGAGATGCTTCCCGCGTGAAGGGCGGTATAGAAATGCAAGTTGTTGTCGTTTAAAGTTATAATTTCTATCCTTCTGTAACATTCCATTATTTAAGCGGGAAAGCAGACCCACAGCTCAGCATAGCCTGAGACACCCTTCAGCCAAGCACACAGAGGTGCTTCAAAGCAAACCCTCTAAATTGCTAAGATCAGGAACTCATAGACATTAACCCACAAAAAGCGGCCACACTTTGGGAACATCAATTTGATTCATCACCATATAACACACTCAGCGAGATTTGCTTTTGATCTAAAATAACCACAAGCAAAATAATACACTCACCAAACATCGAAAGTATTCCACAAGACACCCAGATGATCAGGGATGTCCCGACATTCCCAGAATTGATCAATACTCCTTTTGGAGAAATAAATATGCCGCTGCCTATTATTGTACCAATTAACAGTGAAAGCGCTCGGAATAAGTTAATTTTTTTTCTCAGAAACACAGTCTTCTCTTTCTGCTTGTCTTCTTTCGTTATCCTTTCTGAACCGGTTGTTTCCATGATTACAAATAGAGAAAAAAAATGAAAAGTTTTGCAGCGTTTCTAGATTTAAAACCCTGCAGCTTGAGGAGTTTACTTTTCTTTACTAAAGAGGTCCCCAACCCCACCACTAATGTACCAACGAAGGAATGCTGAGTTTTGAACCTTTTGAAAGCAATTGGACTTTGACATGAAAAGAAACAAAAACTGGAGTGAGGCCAGACAACAGGAACGCTTCCAAAAGACTCGCAGAAGATTTAGAATTGATAGATAGTCCCAGCATTGAAGCTCCTCAGTATGCAAGCCACCAGATTCAGCTCCACTTCATTAAGCAATAAACAAAAATGCATTTGTGTGCCTGTCAAATGCTATATTACCGTCACACTTCTTTTGGACAATGCGAATCGCAAAGGAAAGAAAGCATTTAATAATGAGCACTAGGAAATGATAAATAAGAATCGCACGGTTCTAAATTGTAGGATTTCTTGACAAAATTACCGAATAATGAATTTGATTCAGTAAATTGCGACTCCTTGTGGTAACAAAGTAAATCACTCCGACCCTTGGGAACTGCGTTCCAATGCCATACACTTCCGGAGAGAAATTCAGACTGGTTCATGTTATCATTCACAACTCTGCAGCTCGTGTCCTCTCCCGCACCAGGCTCCATGACCCTATCACCCCCATCCTCGCCCGGCTCCGCTGGCTACCCATTCCCCCAGAGGATAGAGTTCAAGATCCTCGTCGTCACCTGCAAGGCCCTCCACGGCCTTGCTCCTCCCTACCTCTGTAATCCGCTGACCCCATATCAACGTGTGCGCACCTTCGGATCAGCAGGCTCCGGCCTGCTCCACGTCCCCTGCCTGGTCCACCATTGGCGTTTGGGCCTTTAGTCTCTTTGCCCCCATCCTTTGGAATTCCATCCCATAGTCCCTTCACCTCACTCCCTCCCTTGCCTCCTTCAAAGCACGTCTCAAGACCCTCCTCTTCGACCGCACCTTCGGTCAACCTCCTACACTTCCTGCCCTCCACCTCCCGATCCCAACCCTCTGCTGGGGTCCAAATCCCTGACTGTCCAGAACCTTGGGACATGAAAGATGCAATACAAATGCAATTTGTTGTTGTTGGTTGACAGGAATTCTACCATGATTCCCAACCCCCTGCTCTCCAGAACGTAATCCCAAAGTCCATCCTCCACCACCCCCACCTTGCCTCCTCCCTTTCCACTTTCAAAGCTTGGTTTAAGACCTATCTCTTCAACTGTTCTTTCACCTTTCCTTTACCATATTATAAAAATAATAATTCTTGCATTTTATATAGTTCCTTTTATGCCAGGAATACGTCTCAGAGAGCTTCATAGGATTTACTGTGAGTGTATTTTGTAAGCAATTGCAGAGGGCAAAAAAGCAGCCATGAAGTGAATGACCATTTTTATCTGGGGCATTGCTGGCCAAGACATGAAGAGAAACTCATGTCTCTTTTCAAACATGATAAGTCCTTTGTCTTTTCCCTCCCCTTCTCAGTTTACCCCTTCCAAGTAGTTCAAGCGGTAGTCCGTTGTGTGAAGCACTTTGAGACATACTTCCAAAGTGAAAGGGACTATAGAAATGCAAGTTGTCGTTAGTATAAGTTCAGGTGTAAAGTGAAAATCCAGATCAGGCAACAGCACCACACATTTATAACTAAAGAGTTTGGCCTGCAAACGTTTGGTTAATTTTTCTTTCTTGTACGTCATTTTTCCATTTCTAATTGAAGGGATGGGGATTTAACGGATCAAACAACAGTCTCTTGCTAAACAGGCAACATTTACACCCTGGAAAAACTGCAGCTCACTTAACAACAACAACAAGATTACATTTGTATAGCGCCTTTCACGTCGGGAGTACGTCCCAAGGCGCTGGACAGTGTACAACATTTCAGACTCGAACTGGGGTCAGGGGGAAGAAGGGAGGGGATGGGAAGGGGGGTGGCCGATGGCATGGTCGAAGAGGAGGGTTTTGAGGCGGGACTTGAAGGAGGCTAAGGAGGGGGCGAGGCAGAGTGATTGGGGGATGGAATTCCAGAGGTTGGGGGTAGAGTGGCTGAAGGCTCTCCCGCCAATGGTGGGGCGGGTGGGTCGGGGGATGTGGAACAGGCCAGAGCCGGCTGAGCGGAGGGAGCGGGCGGGTTGGTAGGGGTTAGGAGGTCACAGAGAGAGGGTGGGGTGAGGCCATGGAGGGCTTTGTAGGTGAGGACCAGGATTTTGAACTTGATCCTCTGAAGGAAAGGGAACCAATGGAGTCGGGCGAGAGTGGGGGAGATGGGGTCATGGAGTTTGGTGCGAGAGAGGACACAGGCTGCAGAATTCTGGATTATCTGCAACCTGTGGAGGGAGGAGTTGGGAAGGCCGACAACCAGGGCATTTGCATAGTCAAGCCTGGAAGTGATGAAGGCATGAACAAGAGTTTCAGTAGCCTGAGGGGTGAGGTAGTGGCGGAGTCGGACGATGTTACGGAGGTGAGGGAAGTCAGAGCGGGTCATGGCTTGGATGTGGGGAAGAAAAGACAGTTGAGGGTCGAACAAGACACCCAGGTTCCTGACTGCATATGGTGAGTTGTAGTGTGCAACCATGGAGGTTGATGCTGCCAGAGCCTGAGGTGCTGAGGCGCTGGCGTGAGCCAATCAGGAGGGCCTCAGTCTTGTTCACATTCAATTGTAAGAAGTTTGCCCTCATCCAGGACTTGATGTCCGACAGACAGTCTGTCAGGACAGCAGTGGTCCTGGAGTTGAAGGTGGAGGCAGAAAGATAGAGTTGGGGTCATCTGTATGGAAGTTGACCCCATGTCTGCGGAAGATGTCACCAAAGGGGAGCATGTGGATATTAAAGAGGAGAGGGCCAAGGACAGAGCCCTGGGGGACGCCAGACATGACAGTGTGGGGACTGGAGGAGAAACCGTTAGAGGCAACGAAGTGGAGACGGTGAGAGAGATAGAAATCGATCCAGTCAAGGGCAGGTCCGTGAAGATTTAGTAAAGCGGAGAGGCTGTGTATGAGGATGGAGTGGTTGACAGTGTCGAAGGCGGCAGAGAGGTCGAGGAGGACAAGGAGGCAGAGGGAGTACTGATCACAGATGTTCAGAATGTCATTAGTGGCTTTGACCAGGGCTGTTTCTGTGCTGTGGGCAGTGCAGAAGCCGGATTGGAGGGGTTCAAAGAGGGAATGGTGAGAGAGAAAGGAGTGGAGCTGGGACGTGATGACTCGTTCCAGGACCTTGGAGAGAATTGGGAGGTTAGAGATTGGGTGGTAGCTGGAGATGAGGGATGGGTCCAGGGAAGGTATTTTCAGGATGGGAGTGATGACAGCTGTTTTTAGGGGAGTGGGAACTGGAACGGTGGACAAGAAGAGGTTGATGACATCGGACAGGAGAGGGGGCCAGAAGGTGGAGCTGGGAGATGAGGAGAGAGGTAGGGAAGGGATTGAAGGAGCAGGTGGTGGGCTTGAGTTTGCGGACAGTCGCGGTGAGGGAGGAGGGAGAGATAGGGTCGAAGGAGTATGGGGTGGATGGGTGGCGGGTGGGTCATGAGGGAAAGATGATGTGGGGGTGGCTGTGGACGGGGCAGAGGTGGCTGAACGTATCCCCTCAATTTTGGTTTCAAGGAAATCCAGCATCTCCTCACAGTTGAAGTTTGAGGAGAGGATGGATGAGGTATGGGAAGGTGGACGGAAGAGACGGTTTGTGGTGGAAAAGAGAAGCCTGGGGTTGTCCTTTGCCTCCAAGATAACCTTGGAGTAGAAGGAGGATTTTGCGGAGGCAAGAGCGCAGTAGTAGATCTTGGTGTGGTGAAGCCAGATCTGCTGATGGACCGTTAGTTTGGAATTGGTCCAGGCACGTTTGGCATCTTGCATTTGTGTCTTGGGGAATGGAGATGGCTGGTGTACCGGATTTACGGGTGCATGAGGCAGTTCGGGAGGTGAGGGGGGCAAGAGAGTCCAGAATGGAGGAGAGGGAGTTGGAGAGAAAAGAGAGTGAGGAGGGGAGATTGGTTAGGGAGGGCCAGAGGTGTAGGAGTTCAGATGATTCCAGGGCAGTGAAGAGGGAGAGGGAGGAAATTTTTTTCCACGGACGATATGTGATGGTGGAGGTTTGAGAAAGCGGAGGGGTACAGAGGTATTGAGGGAGATGATGAGGTGGCCCTAAATAAAAGGCTAGCATTTACCAAGAAAAAAACAGTTCAATATTTGAAATGGTTTCAGAATATTTAATTAAACCTTGCAAAATTGAAAAAATAATGAATCCCAGTGAAGCTCAGAAGTAATGTTGCTTTTAAAATTAATTTTTAATTTAAATGGTGTTTTTTTTGTGTCATAAACGTATTTAAATTGAAGACCAACTGTACAGACTGATAACCAGGACTGGTATGTTCTGTTCCAGCCACTTTATAGCTGAGTTACTTTTGACATGGAAAGCTTAAGGAAGAAAGTGTTTTGTTAAACTGTACATCGTTTATAAATATTTCACTTGGTTTGATAATTGTAATTATCCAGCACAGCTTCACGTCAAATTTAAATTTCAAAAAATTAAGTGACACAAATTGTCCTAACAGGAAAGCAACACCAGCCATAATTCATAAAATTTTTAATTGTAATCCTTAGTTAAGGATTAATTGTAATCCTTAGTTAAGCCCCCCTTCCAGCTCCACTAATTACAATCAGGGGTCAACTTTACCCATTCAGCCACTCGCTTGTAGGTCAGAACATTGTGGGTTCAAGACCCAACTGGGGACTATGAGCTCAAAATCTTGGCTGATGTTCCAGTCATCGGGCCACAAACAGTGAACTAGTTCAAAAATGTGAACTACAGCAATGGTTCATAGATGACTGCAGGGAGGTTTATACCCGTTAAAAAATACATAAACATGCATGACATAATGGTTGAAAAGTTTTTGAAGGCTTTATGTTGATCCAGCCTGGCTCAGTTGGTAACACTCGCATCTCTGAGTTACAAGGTTGTGGGTTCAAGCCCCATGTCGAACTCACATAATCCAGGCTGACACTCCAATTCAATACTGGGGATGTTCTGCATTATGGGAAGTGCTACCTTCAGACAAGACGTGAAACCGAGGTCTCGGCTGACTGATCCGGAGACA